TACAGGTTTTTGTGAAGTGCTTCAAAGAAAAAGTACTTTTTATAAGTATTATTATATGGAGGTGTAACTAGCAGGCTACCTCCTTTCCCAGTCTTAGGCGTACATCTCAGGGATGTGCAAAGAGGAAATAGGAGAGGAAACAGTGTATTTTATTTTTTACTTGTTAAGCCATCAAATACTTTAAACTACTTTTAACAAGAAGGAAGGATCTAAAGAGCTGAACTATTCACAAATCTCCCTTGAGTTCCACATATAGCATACAGAAAAGCCAGTCTTTTAACAGACACATTTTAAAAATAAAGTACACTTCCTCTTGAATTGGAATATGTAAAGTTTGCCATCTTTTGTATGTTCCCCTTTTAATTAGACATGGACCTTTTTGTTAGATTAACAATGGCAGCACATCTGCTGCATTTGGGAAAGGAGACATTGCTGTGTAGTTTATATGAGTTCTGTCAAATGACAATATTTGTCAAGTAGTTGGCTTAAAGATGGGGACACTATCCAAACTTGCTTTCCTGTTTGTGTGTTAAACATATGCTGCCTCATTCCCAATATACACAAGCCATTGTATGCCAATAAAACATGGAAACACAGTAATGTTCATTAATAAGAGCTGCTTGTGAATATGCCTTATAGCCTTCTCAAAATCTTTGGGAGGAGGGGTGGAATAAGAGGTTTGGGGTAAATTCCATAGTTAGGGAGTCTTTGCTGCTTCCTCCCTTTTCTGATCTATTATGGACACCATTCTCTCTTCAATCTTAGACGTGCATCTCAGGGATGTGCATATTGAGCCCAGCATTCGGATCTTGGAAAACCTAAGATTTGGTTCCATTCTATATTTGAAGTCTCCATATTGGACACTCCCTTAATCTTTTTCATCCTTTACTCCCCAAGGAGCAGCTCTGTCCACAACTGTTAGGTGATTAAAAGTTCTATGGTGATCAGATTCAACATGATGCAGGTGTATTTGTATCTGTATCTCTCTGTTTGTTTTTGTGTGTGTGTGTAGATACATCCATACATATACAAATGCTCACTCAAGATTCCACCTTCCACTAGTTGGGGCAAGAAAACTGAAGTGCAGATCACCTAACAAAAACAAACAGCAGCTTTGCTCTGCTAATACATATGCACTGCTTCCTTTAAAACAAACTTTTTTTCTTTTTTTTTTTTTGAGGGAGGGATGAAAAAAGCAGTGGAGTTTAGAACTACTTTAGCATCCACTGGTTAGACAGAGACTTGAAATGCTGCTTTAATTTCAGAGCTCCTATGGGGGCTATGTTTACAAAGAACTGATCAGGAAAATGACCAATTGTGGATATCCAACTTAGTGAATTATGCTTCATTTCTGGTGAGCAAGCCATGTAGTGGAAAATGTCTTAATGGAAAATGAAAGAAGTTTAACTCCACCTAGCCTTATTTGTGAAGTAAACAATATTTTATGTCCAAAACATCTTGATTAGACAAGGCAGCTTTTCTACTTTGCACATAAATAGGTAATACGAAGGTACAGCTGAAATGCTATTGCCTGAAACACTGTCCCTTCCCCCAAGCAGGCATAATAGTGGATACATGTATTGAGGCTCTTTGCAAAGATACCTATTAGTATTTTTTCCTTATACTTGAAATAACGTACCCATCTCTATTTGTCAGTTGGGCATCCAAGAAGGGTGGAATAGTGGAAAATAGGAAAAGGCACAATATGTTTTCATACTAGAGTTTGCTTAGTTCTCTCCCCTCCCCCATAGTGCTTTTATTTCAGCTTACTTTCTATCCTAGGAATTCACATGGACACAGAAACACAGCACTTTATGTGCTCTTGCATGGCATGCTGCCCTCCCCTTCTCCCTCTCTTCTCTATTTTTATTTTAGTATAGTGGTACTTAAAATCACTGTTTCACTTAAAAAGACAATAAAATGTTTAAACTCTACTAATGTACAAATAAGCTGAAATGTTGCATTTATGTGTATTTTGCCATAGCAGGTACTGTATTTCTCATGCTGGATTTCAAACCAACAAAAGGGTGATGTTTTATTGGAGTGTGACAAGTTGAGAGTAATAAGGAATTAAGTCGTCGTCATTTCATTGAAATTGAGAGATGGTGTAATACATATTACGTTTTCTGAAGGTTTTTGTTTTTTTTGCTTTTAAGCAGCTTTTGTTTTTATTTTGTTTTTGTTTTTTAAGATATGATTGTATTATGTGCAACTCAGTTGCTTACATTATAACTACAAAATATTTTTGGGTTCCTGGAAAAAGAAAGACTAATAAATGTGTTTGGCTGCTAAGCATTTAATCCTGTGACTCCTTGTCAATTTATTTTTGTTTGTTGATTTGGTCTATAAAATGCAGTTGTTAACTAGAATTTCTTGGCTGTGCATTTTCCCTTCAGGAATTCATACTCACTATTTACACAGTCTTGCAGCAATAAACTATTGATAGTTTATTATTTTTATCTTTAGTATCTCCTCAGTCATGTAAATAATTGTGCACACACATTTTCCCTAGGTTTGGAGGCAGCTATTTTTATTGAGAAATAGCATCTTGGCTTATCACAATAGCACATTGTTATTCTGGTATCAGAAATTCAAGGGTTCTAGAATCTGATTGAGCTTTACTGGATACCAAGGAAACCAGACAGATGGACAGTTGTCAAACCTACTTGTCAACTCTCAGATATCTGTGCAGGCTGGGCAAACTACAAGCATTATTTAGCAGGAAGATGTTAATCCCCTTGATATCTTTGTTTGGAGGAGGAGAGCTCAAATTCATACTGGATCGAAATGAACTGGGAATTCAGCAACACCCAAAATAACTTACTTTAGCTATGTGAGAGCTCCCAAGGTGGCTAGGAAAGCCCCTTCTCCCCCTGTCCATGCCACCCACCCTGAAGATGTTTTTCTTGATGGTACATTATAGTATATTCAGGGTACCATATGGGTTATCATCTCCCTGGTTCTTCAACACAATACACATTGAACATGACAATGCTTGTTTCTTCTAACAAAATTATAAAAGGGTTGCATTTCGAAACACTGCTCAAAGCAAGCTATTATTCACCACTGGGGGAAAGTATGCAAAGCTAGTGTGATGTAGTTGCTAGAGTCCAATATAAACCTGCACTCTGATGTGACACTCATTAGGTACTCCTGAGCAAGTCAGATCTGTGACAGCAAAAATTGTTGCTTTAATCTCCTTGGAGAAACAAAAGGTTACAAATCTTATATGACCTTGTTATGTCAACAACAGATTCATCATAAGTGATGTCAGTTGTCAAGGAATGGCCACATCATGAACAGCACACTTTCATAGCCCTGGAAACAAAATTACCTAAGATTCAAAATTATAGATACTGTACTGAACTTGCTGAATCCTTGAAAATAACTGGCTTATAAAATCACTGGAATCAAAAGTGCAACAGATTTGCAAAGAGACTGTTACACGATAATTCTTTTCCTGCGTCAAACAAAGGTCTGACTTGTCTGGATTTGGTTTCCAGCAGCGACCAACCAGCTGCTTCTGGAAGCTTCCAAGCAAAGTGGGTGATGGGTCATATTTTGTATCTTGTACTCAGAAGTGTAGTGTGTCCACTTACAGACACTTTCTGTATAGCTATAATGGCAAATAACTGATTTGACCTACACACAAATTGTCTCATTCTGCTTTTAAGCCATATGAGCTAGTAAAGGTAAAGGACCCCTGACAGTTACCGTAAGTCCAGTCGCAGACAACTCTGTTTGTGGCGCTCATCTCGCTTTACTGGCCGAGGGACCCGATGTTTGTCCACAGACAGTTTTTCCGGGTCATGTGGCCAGCATGACTAAGCCGCTTCTGGCAAAACCAGAGCAGTGCATGAAAACGCAGTTTACCTTCCCGCTGGAGCAGTACCTATTTATCTACTTGCACTTTGACGTGCTTTCAAAATGCTAGGTTGACAGGAGCTGGGACTGAGCAAGGGAGCTCTCCCTGTTGTTGGGATTCAAACCACCGACCTTCCGATCAGCAAGCCCTAGGCTCAGTGGTTTAAACCACAATGCCACCCACGTCCCATCTAAGCTAGTAGTCCTCACCATAACTCATGGCAGTGAACTCCACAAGTTTATTTTGCTATGTGAAGTACTTCCTTTGGCCTTCTGTGAATTTAATGCAAATCTGTTCCTGCAGAGGAATGTCCAAGTTCTACTGTAATGACATTTCTGTTATCAGTCTGTCCACACTACATATGTTAATAAACATATGCAAAGGCAGCTCATACAGATACTACTAAAAATCTAATCTCTTGGGCCTTTGCTTACATGGAAGATTCTCTTATCTCTTGCTGATTTTAGCTACCCCCTTATAAATTATTATTTATTTGCAAATGTAACAAGGAAAGGGAAAAAAAGATAAAAGGAAACAAGGTAAATTAAAGTTGAAGAAAGAAGAGGGAAAAATAGTATACAAATAATACTAATATCAACGGTAGATCACCATTGGTACACAAATCTTAAACATGCAAGTTAATACATAAGTGCTCCAGATATCCACACAACGTTGGGGCAGTGAGATCTTAAGACCATTTTGTAATAGACCCATCTCTAATTCTTCCAACTCCACTATAAACTGGGGCAAGCAATATTCAAAGCAGGGCCACACCATACTTTACATTTTCAAAAAATAATAATATGGAAATACCAGGCGTTCCCCACTAGTTTATAGAAAGGAATCGATGCATTCATTATTCCTAACCACCCCTAACACGGAATATGCCCCCCCCTAACCCCACTGCAACAATGGAAGCTATTTTCAGTAAGAATTTTGCCGAGACCCCTCAAAACTTCTTCGGGAGTTGAAGCCAATAGGGACAATAGTATACGTGGAGAGTTAACTCGGAGGGTAGCGAGGGCTGCAGCGCAGCCTCCCAAGCAGCAGGGGCCGCTGCGACCCCGACCCAGTCCAGTCACGGGCGAACCGGAAGGGGGCCGGGGACGCCGGAGGTGAGGTTGAGTCGGGGGCGGGCCTAAGGGCGGGACATCTCCGCTCCCTTTATTACGGTCCTGGGGCAATTGCCTCCCTTTCGCCTGCGGGTTGCAGCTGCTTCTCTCGAGGGTGTCGCTTCCCTGCGCGGGACCTTCTTCACGATGGCCGAGGAGGATCCTTTCTGCCGCTACCGCTCCCCTCTCGTCTCGCGCTACGCCAGTCCCGACATGGCTTTTAACTTCAGCGAGAGGAAGAAGTTCAGCACCTGGCGGCGCCTCTGGCTTTACTTGGCCAAGGCTGAGAAGGTGGGCGCGCGCGGGTTCGTGGCTGTGCCAGACAAACCCATTAAGTGGAGATGCCCCTGTCAGTGCAATGGGGGTTGTGGCATTTGCAGTTTGACTGACTCTGCCACACACACACAGAGCTAACAGACCTCCTTCTGCGCAACAGGTTAAGGGGCAACATGCCTGTTCTGTTTGACGCCACTGTTTGCATACCTACATGGCCTTTATACTTCTCTCTGTGTGTGCACATCTGCCCAGTTTTGTTAATAATGCACTAGAGCTGGAGACTCATCCACTGAAGCTGAATGGTAGGCAGCCAAAATTTATCCCCACCCCCTGCCCCTACTCAGTACAGTGGTACCTTGGGTTACAGACGTTTCAGGTTACAGACTCCGCTAACCCAGAAATAGTACCTCGGGTTAAGAACTTTGCTTCAGGATAAGAACAGAAATTGTGCTCTGGCGGTGTGGCGGCAGCGGGAGGCCCCATTAGCTAACGTGGTACCTCAGGTTAAGAAAAGTCCTCCAGAACGAATTAAGTTCTTAACCCGAGGTAACCACTGTACTTAGTTAAACTAGGGAATTTGCTGCCACAAGAAGGTAGTGATGGCTGCCACTTTAGGTGGCTTTAAAAGGGGGTTTTACCCATTGTTGAGTTTTACCCATTTACCCAGACATGGCTGTCTGTGTATTCAGGTGATATTGGATGTATTGTGGCCTGAAGGATCCGATCGGATATAGCACAGCTTCGAATATTGATCCCCAGGAAACGAGAGCAAATGTGTCGTTATGCTCGCATCTTGTTTGTAGGCATCCCAAAGACATCGGGTTAGCTTCTCCAAATTGTCGTGTTTTGTTAATAACGCTTTATATAAGTTTTTGATACTGTTGCACAGTTGTAAAGCTATATTGTGCTTAGCAGCAACGGTTGCTCAGAAACAAAATAAAAGGAGCATCACCACTTAGAGAGAACTGTGATCAAGCAGTATACAAATTGCAGAAGTAAAATCGTTGCACACGACTTCTAAATTTAAATGTTTTTTTTTACTTTTGTGCAACACTGTAATGTGTGGTACTTATGTCTAGTAAATGTGCTGTGGTTCTTCATTTCTCATCAGATTCTAGGATCCTTTTCACCTGGAAAAGGTATTTGGCTGAGAATTCCAATGTAACTTTTTCATAGGCGTCTGCTCATATTGCAAGTGTCCATTGTTGCATCAGGATCCTTATGCAGAGTTACATTTTTGCTATTCTCATCTGATTACAACAATATGACAATGGACATTTGCTAAAATGGTTTCTAGAAACGTACTCAGAAGCATACTGTCTCTGATCATGGAGGCAGAACATATTCATTGAGGCTAGCAGCTATTGATAGCCTTTACCTCTATGAATTTGTCTAATCCTCTTTTTAAAGCCACCCAAAGACTCTTCTATTCTGATTACCATACTCGAGGTCACTGCAGAGGTGGTATGTTGTAAGTGTGTGCATTTCAATGCAATTTATCAGTCACCAAGGGGATGGAAGCAATATTCCGAAGATGTTGGTTACACAAACCTCTGTACGTCACTCTAAACCATACAGAAGATACAATGTTGTTTGCTTAGCCGTAGGTAACATTTCATATGCCCCATCAGCCCAGAGGGGATTGACCCTGACTATCAAGCAATAGCACTTTATCTAATGTGTATTATACCTCGCAAAGTGATTTTGTCAATCAAGAATAAACAAAGTGGATTTGAGCTTCTGATCCAAATGTTAAACCATTACAACTCTTAGTGGGATTCACTTACCCTCAAAAAATCTTTAAATGGTACCACGTGGTCCTTAAAGTATCCTGGATCCAAGTTTTTCGGAACTTTCTAGATCTTCTTTTAAATTTTTGTTTATTTCTGACAACCCAAAAGTATTAGTAGCAGGGTGCTACATTGTACCATAAAGAAACAAAGAAAGAAAAAGAAATTGTAACACACCAGTCTGCATTGAGGCATCCAGGTTTCACAGGCTAGCATGGGTGGTGACTATTGCATGTACGTTCAAAGCATAAGAAATAAAATCCTGCCAAATGATGTAGAAGTGTTCTGGGTTCTCCCATTACTCTGGAGACACACAATAACCAAAAGTCCATAAGTTCTTATACCACAAAGACCAATGTAGATTTTTTCCTAAGCTTTCCATAGCTAGATTATTGAAATCCTAGCAGCAGCTAGGATCCATGTCAAAGATTATTTAGTGTGACAAGCTTTCCTATTATCAGTCCACAAATTCAGTAGTGACAGTTGTGGATACGCCTGTGCAGATGATTTAATTATTTTAAGTATTTATTTATAAACTTGGAATCCGAATTATGAGAGCAGAGGGCATTCCCACCAAAGATAGAAAAATATTCCCCAGAGCCCGCAGGCCTGCCAGCAATCCTGTATAGATTGTGGTATAATATGAGACATCTGCACAGGTGTACTATCCCATCTGTTCACAACTTTGAGCATTCCTTCACAAATAATGGAACAGATTTGTGAGGCTTAGCTGACCACAGTGATTTCCATTCAAATTCCTCTTTTTGAGCATTTAGATCTTTCTCCTAGTAAAGTATAAAGTGAACCAAGGGACAAGTGGTGTGCTCTGAAAGCTCTGCATAAATAATAGAGACCAGTTCTTTATCTCTGATAATAGAGACCAGGACTTGTGTTGATATATAATCAGCACAATAACTTTGAACCTGGCCCTGGAACATGTGGGAAGACAGTGCAGATGTTTTAACAAAGGTTGTCATTTGCTGAAGTACAAGATATCATAGTAGCTAAGAAGTTATGCCCTATAAAATTTTAGAGCATGGGATTTACAACTTAACAAAGGGCTCATCTATGCTTCTCTCCACTTTTCTATTTTTTATTTTTTTAAAAATATTTATTAATTTTGTATACCACCCTTCATCTGTAGATCTCAGGATGGTTCACAACATAATTATAATATAAAAGACACAAAATACTTAGTAAAAATAAGAACAAAAACAAACCCAATATTCCCCCTTGCACAAAAAGGGCATTGGATTTCAAGGCAAAGTTCTCTTTCCAAGCGCTCCTCCCCCCATGCCACTTTCTCTGTGAAAACCAAATATTTATTGCTACATAAGAGCAAGTGGGTGAGGGTCTCTAGATCCTTCATCTTATGATTATTTTATTATATAGCAGTGTACATATTGCTTTACCAAGTCACATAAGCAAGATAGTTCTCCTATCTAAACAGAACCATGTTTTCGGAAAGCATGGCAGATGTTGTTGTAACATATCTTGTGCTTTAATGTGAGTTGGGGAGCCTGTTATTTTTATCCGTATGTTCACATTCCTAAGGAGTTACAGCTCTGGCCTTGATCTTCAGCTGGAAACGGAGAGACAGACACACAGCACCTGTTCGTTTCAACAGGGTTCTGTCAGATTGCTACTAACAATCCCCAATAGATCTCCCTTTGGTCCGACATGGGATATGATTAGATTTCTAGTTGTAGGGGATTCAGTGTAGTGAAGAGTGCGTAACATTTATGTGTTGTTTGCCCTTAATTTTATATAAGCAACATCCCTGCTTGTTTTTTAATTTAAATTGCATTCAGTGGGAACAGCAGCAGAAGGTAAACGAGGCACCTAAGATTCTGCAGGCGGGTTAAGATAATAGATGTGATGTTACATATAAATCATGGAAAGGCAAAGCACAACTTTATTTTTCCTCTGAAAAATTGAAAAAGGTGTAAAAAGACGGTTATGGAGACTAGTCAATTACAGTAAATTCTGGGTAGTGTTTTCAGAAAGCCTAGCAGAGTCAAGTACAATGGCTTCCTTTAGAACTCTGAAAAAATCCTTTGTACTGTAGATAGAGCATTGTAGTGCCTTTTCGTACAACTGGGTTGACATTCAAGTTTGAGGCAACTCCAAACATTTTAGTCTGCTGTCTCTCCCCGTTTTTAAAGCTATTTGGGACACTTACTGTCAGAGACAAAACTGAAGTAATTGCTTAAATATAGAAGGTAGAAAATGAAATAAACTCTATAGTAAATCAGCCAAATTCAAAAAGAGAAATTACACAGTTCTTTTACGTTTTTATTTAAATCAAATTGTTGTGATCTATAAGAATAGCATTTTTTTCTAATATTAATTGCAATGAAGTGTTCCTTTAAAATTAACTCATTCAGAACAGTAATAAGCTTGGGACTTTGGATTTTAACCTCAGTAGTTAAAAGCTAATCTTGCATAAACTGGGCTTTGTGTCACCCATCCCTGATTCTGAAAGTTGCATAAGAATAAGATCCCAGTCGATTGTGTAAATTCAGTGATCTTACTAGTGGGGGTGTCCTTGAATAGGGGGGTGATGTGTTAGTTAACTTCAGGGTTTTTTCCCCTTGCAGTCACTGGGTCTACCCATCACAGATGAGCAAATACAGGAAATGGAAGCAAAACTGGACAGCATAGATTTCAAGATGGCAGCTGAGGAGGAGAAGCGGTTACGTCATGATGTAATGGCCCATGTGCATACATTTGCCCACTGTTGTCCAAAGGCTGCAGGAATAATTCACCTTGGAGCAACTTCCTGCTACGTGGGAGATAATACGGTAAAACAATGTTATGAAATTGTTCTCCATAAGCTGGGCTGAATCACTATACAGTGGTACCTCGAGTTACAAACGCCTCAGGTTACAAACGCTTCAGGTTAAAAACTCTGCTAACCTGGAAGAGTTACCTCGAGTTGAGAACTTTGTTCCAGGATGAGAACGGAAATCGTGTGCCAGCGGCAGCAAGAGGCCCCATTAGTGAAAGCACACCTCTAGATAAGAACAGTTTCAGGTTAAGAACGGACCTCTGGAACGAATTAAGTTAGTAACTAGAGGTACCACTGTAATGGTTCTTTTCTATCCCCGCTTTACTATCTGAAATACCAAGCTTGTAAAGTATCAGCAATATTTTTTCTTTATTAAAAAGACGAAGATAAGTATTGTATAGCTAAAAATTCAAAACCCAGTAAAGTTCTGTGAGATAACTCCCCCCCCCCCCTCTCGTCTCTTCATTTTCACCCTTTTTGGTGGCACAGAAGTAATGCTGATCCCTTTGAGGCACAAGTGAATTTGAGAGTGACCAAAGTAAATGCTTGTGCACAGTAGACTACTTGATTCCTTGATACACAAAGAGAATGTTAGTTATACCCATTTGTCTTTATGGAAATTGCAAATTACCCTGAAAGGAGAGTGTAGATAAGCATGTGGCTATTGAATAAAATTGTGACTGACTGACTGTTTTATTCCTTTTTCTGTTAGGACTTGATAGTTCTCCGGGATGGATTCAACCTGCTTCTTCCCAAGGTGAGACACACAGTTTTTAAGAGGTGGGTGCTATTGATTCCAAGTGGCTGTTTGCCAGAGTTAACTAGAAGCAATTAGGAGTTTGCAAGACACTGAGAAAAAGGTAGTTATTTTACAAGGCACCTGATCAATGTTGGATTCCAGTTGTGTTCATACAGAGTTAATAATATAACATGAATTGCTTTTATGTACTGTATATGCTGTTGTTTTAAACTTATATATATATATATTTAATTGTTTTCATGTATTCAGTTGTTTTAACTGTTTTATATATGTTCTGTTATAAATCCCTCATTCTGCAAGGGTCAGACCTAAATGAAATAACTAATAGTAATAGTAGCAGTAGTGGTGGTAATATAGAGGCATCATATTAAGTTATATATTTTTCTCTCTAAATTTTACAATTCTTCTTGGAGAATGATTCAGACTTGACTGTCAGATTCTCTCTCTCTATGGAATGAAGAACCTTGTATTCTTCCCTACCCTTCTTGAAAGCAGAATTGGATAAAAATGTAAATAATTATTTTGTGACTTCCCTTGTGTTTTCCTTCTTTCATTCAATCTTGCTAGCTTGCCAGGGTGATCAGCCGTCTTGCAGACTTTGCTGAGAAGTATGCTGACTTGCCCACCTTGGGCTTCACTCACTACCAGTAAGTAATTCATACAAATACTCATTTAATTCTGTGGATGCTGCTCCCATTTCTACCCCATTTCTTTTATTCACCCTCAGATCAGCGGCCTTTAATTGCTACTGTGCAAGATTAAACTCCAGAAAACTAAATGAATCACGGCTATAAGATTCTGAAAGAAACTGATAGAAATGCTTTCAAAGCATCAAGTGTGAACACTGTACGAATGAAGCTGTACAGGCTTATTCTTGAGTCATATTCTGTGTTCTTTTAGGCCTGCCCAGCTGACTACTGTGGGTAAACGCTGTTGTCTGTGGATCCAAGATCTCTGCATGGACCTCCACAATCTTGAGCGGGCACGAGATGAGTTGAGATTTCGTGGTGTGAAAGGCACCACTGGTACACAGGCCAGCTTCTTGCAGCTCTTTGAAGGAGATCATGATAAAGTACGTATCCCCAGCAAGTGTCAGTTTTGAATTGCAATTAGTTTGGGAACACTTGACTGTTGTATTATGTAGTGCTAAACACAGGCTGCCATTCATCATAAACTTCCTGAGCAGTAGTGGAAGAAACTATTGAAACAGCATCTAAAAACAACAAAATCCCACGGCAAAAACAGTAAAAAAAAACAGTTCTAAATCAGCAATCGGAATATCCATAAGGTGCACCCTATGCCCCAATCAAGAAATGAGCAAAGTTGCTTCCTGGGACATTTCACTCTAGGGCTTTTGCCAGTATGAAATTTGCATGAGACCTACAGATGAATTTTGATTTCTGTGGGAAGCAGACAGCAGATTGAGCATAGGGCAATATAGTGATTGCATCAGCAAAACACCTATAGTGCTCAGAATGGTGCAAGAGGCACAATCATTCCCACTTCAGCCACTGCATTCTGAGTGAGGTTCCTGTCATATTTTTCCCCTGAGGTGGAGGAGCTGGACAGGCTGGTGACTGCAATGGCGGGATTTAAGCGGTATGTAAAAAAACAAAAAACCCTCTCCTTCCTTGCCTTTACTGCTTTAAGAACACAGAAATCTGCCTTTATACTGAGTCAGACCATTGGTGTTGTCTTACACTTAGTACTGTCATATCTGGACTAACTGACTGGCAGCATGGTTTTCCAGAGCTTCCAGCCTTACTTGGAGATATCATTGTTTGAAGCTGTGATCTTATATGTGCAAAGCCTGCCATTAAACTGTGGCCCTTCCGCATTCTTAAGATGAGCACCTCTGGACCTATGTATAAATTTGGATTCTGCTCTGCAATTAACATTCCCGCTGTTGCTGCTAACTGCTAGGACCTATTAGGGAAAAGGTTTCGCTTACATAATCTACTCCATGATGTAGGTTTGTAATGGAACTTCCTCCCATCTTAGTCCTTTGCAGTCTTGCTCTTCTCCATGTGAATGCATGTTTCCCTTTTTATTTTATTTTTTTGCGCTACCCTACCGCATGTTAAGCTGAATTGTACAGTCACACAAAGAATTTCTCTAGATTGTTTCAAACGAGTACTGTACCTTCACTGGATCAGGAAGCAAATATAAAATGAGGGACAGTTGATGTTGATGTTGTGTGATATTCATTCCTTGTTGCATGCTCTCTCAATCTCATTTATAGGCTCTGTTAAACTTCATGATGCTTTATCTTTGTGTTTGGTTTCAGCGCTTATATCGTCACAGGGCAGACATACAGTCGCAAAGTGGATATTGAAGTTCTTTCTGTTCTGGCCAGTCTAGGGGCATCTGTACATAAGGTAAGAACTACTTCAAATTCTATATTCAAAGGCACCACTGAGAATTGGGGCTCAATTGGATGCCTTCTTGAATTGCACAGCCACATAAATTATTTCTTTAGAGGTTTCAAGCTTTTAGAAACTGTGGTCACATTCTGATGTTTGGCTTTTCTCCTGTGTTTAACACAGATTTCTGTAGTATACCAGATATCTAGGAGATATCCTAGATCTATTGTATTATAGATGGCTGAAAAAGTGAAAGCGAGCCAGTCCACCATTCCTGCTGCTGCGCCTGCACTGCCTTGCCTCTCCCTGCCAGTAAGCAGAAGCAATGCACAGTGTTCGGAAGTTGGGAGAGTGACTCAGGGGGGCAGACATCTGGGGGAAAAGACTTTGGCAATCCCACCCACCAGTGAACCCAATGTGTTTTCACTACATGTGATTTTGGCTTTATGTGCTATCCCCAGAATGTAACCCCAGCATAAGTTGAGTGTCACGTGTATAATAGGCTTGAATTCAGATCTGTATGTTTTGGGCTGGGGAATATGTTTATATTCAGAATTTCTCCTATTTCCTTTAAAATAAGATGATGAATTTTTTATACTATTTCTTTGTATCATAGACTCAGGGCTAATTATGAAATCTTGCATGCAGTAAGTCTGTGTCTGCATCTGAAATGAATTAATCTCTTTTTCTCCCCAGTGGTTAGTAAAATGAACCAGCTCCAAGATTTCTGATGGATATTAATACTGCCCAGAAAGTGTCTGAACTAATTAGAGTTGTTTTTCTCCAGATATGTACTGATATTCGCCTTCTGGCCAACCTCAAAGAAGTAGAGGAACCTTTTGAGAAAGACCAAATTGGTAAGCAATGGCTGTAGAAACAGAATTTTGTTGTTCTTAAATTAACTTGTATTGATCGCCCTTTTGAAGTTGAATGATTGAAATTAGAATAAAAATGTAATATGTGTAAACATGTCTCAGAGCGAATCAGCTGGTACATTTACATCCCATTTTTATTTAAAAGACAGTTAAGGAGTACGTGCATGCATACAGTTACCAGCAAATTAAATTTCTGAAGCTACTGCTTTGCTAACTATCCAACAAGTTGCTGTAAGGAGTCTGAAACTGTGACTCCTCTGAGAAAGTGAGATAATGGGCTGCTTTAGATATAATTCCAAACCATGCCCTAATGCTATGAAACTGAACAGTCAAGGAACCTTGGCCTCACACACTACTGTCTGTCTTTGCATGCAGTGATTCCTCATTGCCTCTTCTGAGGCAAAGTGGAAATGTATATTTTACACTTGTGTTGCAAACAAAGAATTAAAACCATAGTTTGATCCTGGTTTCCAGTCATGGTTTGCAGGCAAAGTACAAGCCACAGTTTGTCTCAAGACTTGCTCTCTGGAGGACCCCAGACTGAAATACTAAGGTCTTTTCAATCCCTTACTGACTTTTCTTTTGTTTTCAATACAGCTTTTTTTAAAAAATTGATTAACTTGTGTAATATATGGTATAACTGATATAATTTTTCCCACTGGTTACTTTCAGTCTCCATCATGATTCTATCTAGTTTGCCTGTGCTTTATTATTTAATTTTTGCCTTGTACTTGGTACTATTTTGTATCACTTTAATAAAAATCCCAATAAAAATTATTGCAACCTCCTCCCAGAAACTACTACTATTATTTTATTGAATTTATATACTGTCCTATACCTGGAGGTCTCAGGGTGGAAACTATGGTTTATTCAAACCAAAATCAGTGTCAACAAGTCAGATTCAAACGATAGTTTCAGATCCCAATTTGCTAGTTAACCTTGGGTAGAACAAACCACAGGTCCCCAAGTTTGAATATAATGTGAAACTCTGGTTTGTTTTAAAGCGAGAGCATGAGTTTTCACTCTTTTCCCTTCTGTGCAAGAGGGGGTAATGTGCAGGCCAAAAGCTCAATGCAACCTGTTCCCAGTCTACATTGGAGTAGGGAACCTCTGGGCCCCATGATGTTGGTGGACTTCCATCTCCCACCACCCTTGGCCATGCTTAGGTTGATGGGAGTTGCCCAAAACATCTGGAGGGCCATAGGCTCCCCATGCCTAGCCTTAAGGATAGTAATTTTGGTACAAAAGCAGCTGCTAAATTTAACTAAGAGAGCTTTAGAAGTAGCCTAGCTATGTTGTGCTCTGTCCAACTCACCCCATGGGCCACTAACAGGTGGGAGGCCACCCCTTTTGTCATCTGATGTCACCATGAAGTTAGCCAACCTATTTTCATTTGTGCCCCAACTTGAACACCTGAATCTATACATTTTTGTGTGCAAGCTCTGCTATCTATTAAAAATTATTGTATACAGTGGTACCTCGGGTTACAAACTTACTTCATTCTGGAGGTCCGTTCTTAACCCGAAATTGTTCTTAACCTGAGGCGTGCTTTTGCTAATGGGGCCTCCCGCTGCTGCTGCACCACCAGCACTCGATTTCCATTCTCATCCTGGGGCAAAGTTCGCAACCCGAGGCACTACTTCCGGGTTGGTGTAACCCGAGGTGTTTGTAACCCAAAGCGTTTGTAACCTGAGGTACCACTGTATTGTTGAGGATTGTGTTTGCTGATAACCGAAGCAACTTTTGTAGACGGTGAGAGAACTTTAGAAAGGCACACTGTTTAACATTCTTGTTTTTCATTCTTTCTCCTTCTCATTTGCACACTCTTCCTTCTCCTGTTGCCCATTCCCCTCCCCCCTCCCATTGTACAGGTTCAAGCGCTATGGCTTATAAACGGAATCCCATGCGTTCAGAGCGATGTTGCAGTTTAGCTCGTCATCTTATGATTCTGATCCAGGACCCCCTTCAGACAGCATCTGTGCAGTGGTTTGAGCGCACTTTAGATGATAGTGCAAACAGGTACATTCCTGATTCTTGTCGCTCGGTCATGAAGCAGAGAGATTATTTCTTTGTTTTCAAAATCCATTTATAAACTAACAGAACTTTCTATGATATTGTGAACTGCACCCAAAATATTAAACATACTTACTTGAAAGTGAACCTCTGTGATTTCAGTGGAACCTTTTTTAACAAGTATAAAATGTACAAGGCCACTACTGAAGGGTGTAATTTCTGAAAGCTAAGCTGGAGGTGCAGAGGATTCTTGCTCATTTTGCCCCCATTGGATTCATGTGTGACTCAGAACTTGGATTTGTGGATTATGACACATAATCAATGAACAAATCCATGCCTGCTTCTGTACTGTACTTAGGAGTTTTAACGTTTCTTTAAAACTTGACCAGCTACTTAGAGCAGCCAAAATCTCCTCCAAGGCTACACAGTAAAGAATGTGTTTTAAAATGCTCCCAGAAAGGAACTGTATATCACAACATGCAGAATTGTACAAAGAAAAAGATGGCTGTTCCCATGCAATGCAGGAAGTGTTCGGTTCCCCAAGTAGCTGTAAAATGTTGACAAAAGGGGCAGCTCTTGGACCATCTCATAAGCAGTTCTTTCAGTAAAACAGGGCAGATTTTTAAAATTAAAAACATCTATCCATAAACTGGATGCCATGGAGTTAGTTTTGTGAATACACGAAACTGACACAGTACAGAATTGGGATGATCCATCCACCCCAACAAAATGTTCCTTAAAACACTGCCTAGTGTGGAAAATAGGAAGAGTAAGCAAATTAATGAGGAAAGAAAAAACAGTACGGAAATGTTTAAAAAGTCCTTTCTGTGGGAATGCTGCAACTTCTCCCTCCCTCCAATTCTGGTACTCTTTTTCCACAGGCGTGTGTGTTTACCTGAAGCCTTCCTCACTGCTGACATAATACTTAGCACCCTGCAAAATATCTCTGAGGGTCTTGTGGTATATCCCAAGGTAAGAAGACTCAGAGGAAGTGTGAGCGGTCTCTTTCTCCTGTATTGGCAGTTTTCAAACTGTTTTCTGGGGAAAGCCTGGGGTCCCTTGGAAGCTTTTCAGGGTGTTGTCACCTGAAACACAGCTTGCTTCCTGTTATCAGTCTTCCCTTCATAGCCACTGTGAGTTGAATATGTATTTTTAATGCACACTCAGTTAACACAGGGGTGACAGCAAGGACCAACAACCCTAGCCACAACTCCACGCAACTAAGCATGGACACACACACACACACACACACACACACACACACACAGCAGGGGCTTCCTTTGCAGACATGCGATGAGTACTTTAAGGACAGAAAATTTCAAAAACTCTGCCATAAATCAGCACCCACTTCCAGCCCTGGACATGTATAAGGAAGGAAATAGCTCAGCTGGTAGAGCATGAGACTAATCTTGGGGTCGTGGGTTCGAGCCCCACGTTGGGCAAAAGTTTCCTGCATTGCAGGGGGTTGGACTAGATGGCCCTTGTGTTCCCTTCCAGTTCTACAGTTCTATGATTCTAAGCTTTTAAAAACAATCTGATTCATGTCAACTGTTAAATTCCATTTAGCTACATAGTGGAGGTTTTACAGATGGGTAGGTCACAGTCACTACGAAGCAGATACCCAGTGCAGGTCCAATCTAATGAATGCTGGGCACAGTTAAGTATGGGAACCTCTATCCAAGGGATTAAGATAGCAGTTTCAGGAGTCTGCAGCAGGTTTCAACTGTGCACAGTTCCAATGGACTAGCTTTTATAAGAAGAACCCATCCCCTGAATAGTTTTTACTTCTCTTGTAATATTGAAGAAAAAAATTATTTAACACATAACTGTTTAAATTAATAAATGCATGTGTGGCATTTTAAAAAGTAAGAGCAGGCATACAACTCCCTGAAGTATGGTGGTGAGACAAAACTGACAACTTGAAGCATTTTTAAAATTCATTCATTACTATATTATTTTTACTCTGAACAAGAGTGGCAGCTGGCTTGCTCCACAGGAGTGGGGAGAAGTTGTTTTGACTTCCTGTTTTAACATTGAATCTGTGTGCATCTGTAAGGAGACAGTATTTTTTTCTTCAGTTTTAATTAGGAATGAGCTATTAATATTCATGAGGTGTAGCAGAGTTTGGAATGATATAAAATTTGAAGCTAATGAAGGACATGCCATCTAGCAGTAGAAACTGCTTTCTAAATGATGAATCTATTTGTCCTTGTATCCCAGTCTTATCTATTCTGACTGGCAACAAACACTTCTTCAGGGACTTGGGCAGAGGTCCTTCTAACGTGCTACTAATCTGGGGCCTTCTCTATTCAAAGCATGTACTTTTATTGCCGAGCTGTTATCTCTCCCCTGAATAAATAAAATAATGAAGAGTAACATAGAAACTGGATTTTCCAGTCCATTTTGTAAATACTGTACTTATATTTGATGTTTGATTTAGGTTATTGCGAGACGTATTCAGCAAGAGTTGCCTTTCATGTGTACAGAAAATATTATCATGGCTATGGTGAAAGCTGGGGGCAATCGCCAGGTATGTACCTAACTGTAGGCTCTCATTTACAGGCCCTTAAGGGGACTTTTCATGCCAGGAAGTAGAGGGGTTGGAAGAAAGTTGTGACACCAGTATCTTGAACTCTTTGCTGTTTCACAATCTAGCCCTGTTGTTATGCACATCCTCTTTCTCTCATCATGTTGCATATTTCTAAATTTTACAAGTTCAGCTACCAGGGAAGGCATTAGTTTTGTTTTATCACCAGTTTTAGTGTCACTATATTAGTATTTAGAAAGCAGAGATGGAACATTGCAATGTGCCTATCTTTTTCAAATTAATTATTATAATACTGAATGAGGATGCTTTTGGAAATAACTTATAAAATTCAGCACTAACTCGTTCACTTCTTTACCCAAGATCCCTGCTGCCTCTAGATTTGTTTTCTTAGTATCATATGAATGTTAGCGATTAGACAAATTGTCACCCTACACATTTTTTAAAGAGAAGTCTGAAATAATTTTTGTTTGTTGCATTGTTTGCTGCTACTTTTATCTTATTTCTGTACTTGTTATGCTCCCTTGATGCATCTAGAACTGAGAAGTTATTGAGACAATATTCTGCAGTGATCGGCTACACAAAATACTGAAAGTTTCAGAAGAGGATGGAATTTTGCTATTTCTTATTGCAGTTTGTGTGTAATTAAAAAGAGAACTATTATGAATGGACTGAATGATAAAAAGACCCACTGAAGAGAGAATTCAGGCATTGCAACAGTTCTGTCACACACAGTTCAAATGTTGTTCATTTCCAGGTAGCCTAGCTCAGCCTCTTTTTGATGAGTTCCTGCACTCCATCTTAGGACCAAGACCAATTCAGATTTACTATGGTTTAAATACTAAGCCACTTCCCCCACTACGCTCTTTTCCCTCTTCCTCCCTGACTATATTCTGACATTTTGGTTGGCCTAATAGATACAGCCCTACAATGGATTTTGGATTTTTTTAATCGTGAGCCACAACTACATTAGCTTTTTGTAAATCCTGTATATGATACTTAGGATGTTTACCGTGTTTGCTGATGGTTTGTAATGTGATGTTGACTTCTTTTTCATAGGATTGTCATGAGAAGATAAGGGTTCTGTCCCAGCAGGCAGCTGCTGTTGTGAAGCAACAAGGGGGTGATAATGACCTCATTGAACGTATTCGTGCAGATCCTTATTTCAGCCCTATTCATGGAGAACTGGAATCTCTTTTGGAACCCAAATCCTTTACTGGACGTGCTTCCCAGCAGGTAAGAACAGGAAAGTTCTTATGAGGTTGCCGTGGACTCTAGTCCACCTAAAGCTTTATGTTCTCTACCTGTGACTGTTTCTTTCTTTGTCTTCCTTTGTAACCTTTCTCGCTCCATTTGAAAAAATTCATCTATTACTCCTTGTTTTTGTTTCTTCTGCCATAAGCTCCCCTGCGAATGAACCAGTTTCCCCCTCCTTATTCTATTTAGACGTTTCCTTCATCCATTGCTACCCAACCTTCCTCTAACTACATACTCCTGACTTTTTATTTAATTGCCTGCCCCACCCTGTCTTACTGATTCAGTGCAGATTGTAGTCCAGTAGCCTGTATCAGCCAGTTCTTCATTTACCAGTTAAGCAAAGCTAGGCTTTAACAGGAGCGGTTTGAGAAAGATTCTTGGCATATCTCCCATATCTGGAAGAATTCACTTTCTGTACTTCTAACATTTCCTTTTTGTTGTTAATGGTGTGCTTTGGGTGGGGACAAATCTAGTCTTTGCCTTATCCGGTTACAGGGAAGTGTGCAGAATAGAGTAATTGGTTAATATGCTAAGGCTAAACGAGTATTTGGTCCAAATTATTCTTTTAATGCCTTTTTCCTCCCTTCTTCCATAACAGGTAGCAAGATTCCTAAAAGAAGAGGTCCACCCCGTGCTTACCCCTTATAAGAGCAAGATGGATGTGACAATGGAGTTGTCTCTTTGAATTAGTATTCAATTATTATTTCATCAGGGTATTTGTGGGGAAGATAATAAAATATATTTCAAAACAGACGTGATGTGTGAACTGAGTCTTCGAGGTTTCTGTGGCAAGTCTAGGAAATCTTAAGGACGTGTAACACTTCTGGGAGAAGGATATGCAGTTGAATTAAAGCTAAAACTTGTATTGCAATTGTCATGGGGCATGGAGTTGGAATTTGCAAAAGCAATTGTTGGTTGAAGTGGGAGATCTGTAGGATAAAGTGTAGTGTTTCTTGGTGTACAGTGTCTTCAGCTTCCTGGCTATAAAACGGGAGTGGCTGACATACAAAGAGATGAAGCTATTTTATGGTTAGACCGAGCTGCTCTGAAATTATAGAGGTTGGTGCAACTTCAAAGAGTTCATGCACACAAACAAATATTGGACTCTTGTTATAAATCACTCATTTCATTCATGGTTGTTACATTGTTCCTGAGGCAGGAATGTTAGAAATTGTTTTAAGCACAGGGTTGGAATCAGAAAGCAAGGGGGCATTTTACTCCTAGGGTTGCATTGTTTAGTAGAAGAGGAATGAATGCCTCTTCTCTCTCAGATAGAAGGGAAATCCTGCTGGGATGTGCTATATGGTTCCCATCTCTCAAAGCAAGAAATAATTCATTTCCCCATGAGAACTGTTATTCATATAGGATTTTACACAGATTTAATCAATTGATCAGTTAAAAGTCACACAATTATGTATTTTATTGAGTTCATTTTATAAGGGCCTGCAAGGGGTGCCAGAGTAGCCGGGAACTGCTGTAGGGAAAGGAACGTAGAAGAATGGAGGTGCAGAAAAGTAAATAGTCCGTAACATTCTTTGTCAGCAAAGTACGAGAGTAACGCGAGAGACTTATAGGAAGCTTAGAGAAAGAAACTAGTCACACTGCACAGCTGGTCTTGTTTATTTCCCTCTTTCTCCTTCATTTTACGCTTTTGGAGGAATAAAAGTACGTCACATTTTCCGGAGAGTCACAAGGTGTCTGTATTCATTTGAGCTCCGGGAGCATTGGGCTTGGAAGGAGGTGGGGCCGAGGGCTCGGTTTAACCAGATTTAAGAACATAAAGAGAGCCCTGCTGGTTCAGACCAGACTTCTTTGGAACAGCATCATGCTTCCCTCACTGGCTGAGTAGTTGCCCCTGGGAAGCCCACAAGCAGGACATGAGCACAATAGTCCTCTTTCCTGCTCATGAGCCCCAGCAATTGGCAGGCAGACTAGATTCCTGCATTGTAAACAGATCCCCTCATCTTCAGATCCCATCACATGACATGAGAACTAAAGTTGTGGGAAACACTAGTATGCAATCTTGGACTATACGGGGCGTGGCTACATTGCAGGGCTGTTGTAAATCAGCAGGTCAGCCTCAGCTCCACCTCCAACTTGCTATTTTGAGAGCATGCTGCATAACAGGGTGTGCTATGCCTCAGTTGCTGAGCTGCCCCAATTTGCAGCATGAGGATAAACAATAGTAGATCACATTGCAAGGGATGTAGAGAGCCACCCTCTCTCAGCAACCCACTTGAAATATAGGGATTTGCATTTTCAGCCCAGTCTTTTTTTAATCATAATAAAAAGTTTAACACCGTTGTTGCTATTTATTTTTGAAACGCCTTTCATACGTGTGCATTTTACAACCATAAAGTAAAACAACTAAAATAGGTTTAATAACAATACAAATATCAACCTAAAGAAAAATTAACCCAGCTGGGAAAGCTTGTCCAAACAAGGGTGTCTTCCGTTGTTTCAGAAAACGAAAAGTAGCAGGCATGTCTCTTAGGGATGCTGTTTCAACAAGATGGGCAGCCGCACTCAAAAGCCCTGCTTTGGAGTGCAATGGAGCAGGCTTATAATTTAGGAAATCCAGGGAGAAGCAATAGCTGCTGTATTATTTTATCATATTAATTTCGGACAAAATAAGAACAGAATTGGAAAACAAAATGAACGCCATTCTTGATTATATATTTTCTCCCTTTGGGTGGAGGGCACCGGACAGAGTGAGCTGCACAGTCACAGTTTAATCGCTGAAATCCTGGATTTTTCCATAGTTCTTTAAGGGCAGTCGTCACTTTTACCCCGCTGACAAGTAGTCCCGTTTTTAAAACAATAAAATCGGCTGCAATCCTAACCGCCTCTTCTCTGAACTAAATCCTGCTAAATCCAAGGAGTTGCTCCCAGGCAAGTGGGGCCAGGGTCAGGATTGCAGGCGGCAGCAGCAGCCTTCGTCCCCTTTGAATACCGATGCTTAGAGTCGAAGATTCTAGCGACTACAGTTCCCGTGATGCTCTGCGGCGTTGGCGTCACGGTCGTGGTGGGGCTTTGGTTGCGCATGCGTCGTGGGTTCGGTAGGCGCTGACGGGAACTAGATGCGGGGAAGAAGTGGGGGAAGGCTGAAGCCGTGGACGAAGGTGAGCGCCTGGAGTCCGTATGGATGGGCGGGCGGGCGAGCGGGCAGGCAAGAGGGACGGGTTGCTGGTGGGTGGAGACAAGAGGGGAGCAGGCAAGGGGGTTTGTGTGGAGAGAGGAGGAGGAGGAAAAAGCAGCAGCAGGCGGGGACCCCCGAGAACAGGCGTCCTGTTTGCGTGTGTGGATGGACGGAGTGGCTGAGGGTCAGCCCCCCCCCCCGATGTGGGTGGCCGACTGAGGGCCGGAGCCTTAAAAGAATTGCCCCCCCCACGCCCAGGTGAAGGCAGGTGGAAGAGAGGTGGCCATAAATCAGGTGGGGGGGCGCGCTGACGGGTCACATGACGTAGATCTGGTTTGGGGAGACGGTTAGGAATCCCCGCACCTTTCGCCTTTCCTCCCCCCCTGCGAAATTAAGGTCTTGTTCTCGGGCTGGCCGTCAGGGAAACGCTGCCACTGTAGTAGGAGAGACACTTCTTTCGGTGAAGCAAAACTGTTATGCCTGATAGCAGATCATCTGGTCTAAATGGAAGCCGACAGAGAGGGTGTCAGCGTTGTATCTGCTTCTTCCTCTTCCGAAACTCAACAGGCTAAGAAGGTGGTCACCAAGGTCTGGACTAGTTTATCCTTTATTGATGAGGCTCACATGTCTTGTCATGCCTTTGTGATGGCCAACTAAAATTCACAAAGTAGCGAGCAAGCTTTTGCATCCTCCAGAAAAAGTGTTCTTCAGGCTAGCTTTTACCAAAGTGGACAAGGAAAACGGTGTGAGGGGGGAGGGAGACGTATTATTTTAAAAGTCCCCAAATCTGTAGTTTGTAAGATGGAGGGTCAGGAAGGGTTATGCATGTTTAATTATATCAGAATGTTTTTCAGCTAGTACTTTCTAATCTAATTAAACTCTGAATAATGTTATTAAACTACAATGGATTTTGGATTCCCCCTCCACACATCAACAGAGCAATCCATAGGTAAGGGGGGGGGAGGACAGTTAAATGTATGACCAGCTATAAATAGGTAACCCAATTTTCCTACTATTGACTTCTTTTGCCCTGCTCCTTTAAATAAGTGTGTGCTAACTAGTTTGTATTATTGAGAATATTATGTAGAGGAGACTAGAGTGATATTTTGTATGGGATACCTTTAAACAGAAATGGATTTTTAGCATTTCATAAGGGAAATATCTGTTGTTGTAACAAGGGCACGTGTAACCTAGAATAATTCTATTGCATTCACATATGTCCCACTTGATGGCACTGTCAGGTGTCGCTTGACATAGAACATCGTGTGCAGTGCTTTTCTCTTTCCTCTAATTATCTCCCCCCTGTTTCTGAAGCTTTTGTGTCCCTCTATTAATGCTTTCCTCTTCTAACATGTTTATATCCTATCCAATTTTTCTAGAAGGGTGTATGGAGAAACAAGGTTTCAATTAATACAACAGTCCATAAAGCAAAATCTTCTATTCCTTTAGCACTGTTCTGTGCACAGGGCTGTCCCAAATGCATATGCGGATCATTGTGTACTTGTGCTGTGAGGCAGGTTTTGTTTTGTCTGCCCCTCTCCCAACCAAATTCCTGTTTGTACATAACTACTTTGCTTGCCTAGGCTTTCCTCCCTTTTTGTGCCCTCCATTCACTATAATGACACTCTGAGATATCGCTAATCCTATTACAAGTATGTAGCTTGAGGTTTAGAACTTGCCAGAATTGTCCCCACATTATGAATTCTAATCAGTCTACTGGAAGAAAAAAAATCCAGATCAAGGATATTGAATCTCAGAAGCTGTTGCTTCATCTGAGTTTCATTATCTTAAGTTACACTGATTACCTAAACTAATGCCAGGTGCTGTTTTAGATTCCCGTTTCATTTTATAAAAAGGGCATGCTCCTTCATCTGGAGTGATACCAGTATTTTTTAATATTTCATTGAAAGATTAATTGTTGTGCTTTGATGACTCACAGGACCACACTGCAGTTTTCTGACTCATTTTCCCCCCTCAAAGCATTCATGATTAGATTTGTTTGTTTGTTTCCTTGCATGTTCCCTGTTCATTTTTTTGTTTCCCTTTCTTTCAACTTTTCTAGTTCTCAGTCCTGTAATGTGATCTGTTTTCTCCTTTGAAGTAGCTGATTGCTTGCAAGTGACCAAATCATGTGATCTTTCAGTTCTAACAGACCGACCCTATGCCTGTTTATCCAGTAATAAGTCCTAGTGAGTTCAGCTGGACTTGCTGTTAAATTAACTGTATCATAACAGCTGTTCTTTATTCTTTGTGACTTACTTCCAAGTAAATGTAGACTTGCTATGCTACATGCAGCTAGGCTGCAGTCCTAATCCCACTTAAATGGGAGTATGCCCTACTAAATTCAATTGTACTTACTTCTGAGTAGACCTGGTTAGATTTGGGACTAAGCTCATAGAACCCAATAGGATTTATTTTTGAGTAACCATGCATGGAAGTGTTCTGTATTGATGTATTCCTTGCCTTAAGAGCTGCTTACGATAGAATCTAGTGTTGTGCACTCTCACAATGCAACTTGCCCGTCCTCTTTTCTCCACTGCGCCCCCTACACTAAACTGCTCTGGAGGGTTAGGGGATGCTCTTAAGCAGATTTGGAACTCATAGTGGACTGCAGGGGCAATGGGAGGAAGGGGAGGTGTCTCTTGGCACAAGTGAAGCTTGTTCCACTTGTAAATGCACAGCATTGGGCTCAACTCTGTGCCTTGGATAAGGGTCAATTTCAGGGGTTCCTAGAATTAGAATAAACAAAGGCTTTTATAAAGGTCCTTAAGTAAGAAAACTAGAGAAGTGAAAACGCATTGGAGTCCGAGGGACACAAACGTCTGAGTTTATGTGAGAAAGTTCTTCTGAAGTGGTGTATTTTTGGTATTTCCAAAATACCAAGGATAGTTGATTTTCAGCAATTGCTGTAGTTCCTTTTGATTACAGAATTACAACTTTCTGTTTAATTATCCCATGTTTTGCTTTGCAACAGTCTATTATAGTGATGTGTAAGGCAATATATTTTTGTCCAGGTAACAAGGCAAAAAGTAATGTAATGTTTGGGACTGAACATCCGTGAGTCATTGAAGGTGCCAAAAGTCTCTTTGCAGGAGTTAGGGATGTTTGACTTTCAGCATTTCTCACTTGGGGACATGTTACATGTGGGATTCTGTAGAGTTAAATATGAAAACATGTTCAGCAATCCACATTGCTTGTGTCCCTTTAAAACTTCATACAAAATCCCTTATGCACTGTAACTAGCATATTGCTTTAATAAACCCTCAGGAAAAAATATTCATTTAACAAATCAAACCACAACAGATGTTCTCCTGATCCTACCCTTACCTCTCTTATCTGTTACTGCCCTGTTGCAGGTGTGTATGCTTTACCTAGAATTGGCATTAATTCTTCAAGTTAATATTTGATTTCTGAATGGGGAGGAGCTCTTCTTAGCTTCTACTAAACAATAGAGAAGTAGACATTCATGACAGATGGGATAAGAATAGGTATAAGGAGTGGCCTTAACACTTCCTTCAGTTGACATAACCTTCCCTTTTTCACCATACTACGTAGCTTGAGTTTTTACAAATTCCACGTGTCATGTTGAACAGCTTTTATCGTTTGCATGGGCCTAGCTCACTCAAGGAAACACCTAAAGACTAAGGGCTATTAAAATGTTAATCTATAGTGAATCAGTTGCTTCCCTCTCATGTCTATATTTTAATACCTTTTTAAGATCTATACGAGGTATTTTTAAGGAAATATTTCATATTTCTTTTTTAAAAAAAAACTTACTATCCTTAAATCATCTTCTAATAAACTAACTGGAAAATTACATAAAATGGCTACAGAATCTAAACCACCAGCAGCTTTATAACATCAATCGTTTTTGCTTTCACAAACATTGTTCGTGTTCTGGTTCCCCTGGCATCAGGCAAATCAGTTGTGACTTTATTTCTGTATTTATTGCTCTATTACTAATGTGTTTTATATGTTTGTCTTGGCCATTCTTTCATTAACATTTTTTGGTCACATTTACAAATGTTTGAAATAATTTTGGATTCTGCTAATAAATTGTCAAGCGTTGCTCTTTAAAAAAAATAGAATCTCTTCAATTCTTCAGCAAAATAACCTCTATAGTGAACTCCAAAACATATCTTATACATTCCTTGATAACTCCTGGAAGATATTTCCAATATATTGTATTACTTTGTCACCAAATATTTAAGAATTCTGCATTGCTAGTATGTAGCACTAATTTTGTTGCATTCTAGGATCTCCCCTCCCGCATTCTGAAAGTGTAGCAAGAATGAAAGAACTTAATATTTGGTACTCTTTGCTTAAAATGTGTCTCAAAGTTCTCTTGATTGAAAGATACTCATCACATGACAGGGCCTTGTCGGCAGTCTCGGTAGGCAGAGTCCTTGCTGGAGCTCTTGTAATGCCACTTGTTATTCTTTGTTTAATAAAGTTGGTTTACTTTGGGTTTACCTCTTGGTTAAATAATATGTTTATAGCAGTACTGCAGACTATGCTGCCAAACTATTTCAGATAATTATGAGTTGCCCTGGGCTCTTGTTCACCTGAATAAAATGTCATTGCAGAAGTGCATTTAGGTATGTGATGGCACTTAAATAGGTAGGAACACACTGGGTAATAAATAACCAACTAAGTCATATTTAGGTAGACCTAAACTGAGTGATTATCACTAACATTGGATATCACCTGTTGACATTAATGTCCAGCCATGTGAAGGATTTTTAATGGAGTGACCTGATATTTATCTTTGTAGAGAGTTGAGATAGCATTAATATTGTTCCCTTGTTTTTTCAGCTCTGAAAAGCAGCACTAAATGTTTAATAGACTTATGAAAACCATCAATATTTTTTTTACAGGTAGAAGCTTAATAGAACAGCTCTGCTTGAGAAGGGAGTTTAGTTTAGTATAAGACTGACACCTTTATTCTATAAACCCTAGATGTCTGGCTTGGTTCCCATAACTTAGTCTCCTCCTTCCTTGCATCCCAATTTATGGCCCCTTTCTGGTCACCAGGTGTGATTCATCCACCCTCTTTTGCAACTTTCCTTTAGCAGAGCTGTGTTTGCCTGAATCTCTTCCTCTTTGTCAGGTCTTGAAAGCAGTTGCTAAGGAATGCTCCATAGCAACCAAAGGCAGGAAAAACCTGCCCACCTAGTTCAGTTTATTTAATAGTCAGCTATTTATGAATAAGTTTAGTGAGCTGTGCAGGGGTGGGAGGGAATAGGTAGGAGGAGTGGGCTGGTGATCATGCAACACATTAGACATGGCTGCCTATTATTTTAGAGGAGAAAGAAATTCTCACATAACTGCCTTTATTACCTTAGTCTGTAAAGGACCTTGGCAATATGACTTTCTCTGATACATATTGTCTTTCACATTCCATGTTGGAGTACTCTGATGGAGTACTCTTGTCTGTGACAATGGATTTGTTAGTCTGCAATCCTAACTCCACAAACCTGGGAGTAAGCCTCACTGAATTCTGTAAGACTTACTTCTGAGTAGACACCTGAGTAGTGTATCTATTTAGATATACTATCCTCTGCAAAAGTCACAGGGCAGTTTATAACAGGCAAATTAATAATGCAATGCATAAAATCCATAAAATAACACAATCCACATAAGCACATAACAAATCACTGTAGTGCAATTGCTAATAGCAGCAGCAATCAGGTCCTTCCCTCTTCAGGCACCTGCTAAAAAAGGTGCAGCTGAACTATCTGCCAAAGGTGAGGCCAAATGCACCTTGATAGGGAGGGAGCTCAACATAAAAGGAGCTGCCACTGCAAATGCCTTTTTCCACATACCTTGTCCTGAGAAGAGAGCACCACGAGGACTCATCTGCTGATCTTGAAACATGGGCAAGCTATTATTCAAGAAGGCATTCTTGCAGATATCTGTGTCCCAAGCTGTTTAGAGCTTGCCTGGTGCCCTCATTACATATCTTTATGGGCCAGGCAAAAACATTTCTCTATAACCAGGCCATTGACTGATTAACATTCCATGGCCTTTTAAATGTGTGTGTGGGATGGGGATTATGGATTTGTTGTTTGGTTTGTGTTTTATTATGTATTTTGCGCTCTCATTTTGTATTTCTATGCTATGATCTTCAGATGAAAGGCAGTATACAAATTTTAGTAATAAATATGATAATAGATCTTCATAGGAGTGAAAAAGTGTCTCTGTATATGAATTAGGACTGAGACAAAAATTTCCATCCAACATTGGTTTAATTTTCTGCAGGTTTTTTAAAAAAAACATTTAGAATGATGTTTCCAACAGTCACCTCAAAACTTTAGATAGTTTTCTTCCATGTTGTAGATATTGCTCAGGAACCATGCAGGCAGCCCTAAAATGCAGCAGAGGCAGGGATTAGTAGAATGCTGCAAAATTGATTTATGAACATGATAGTCTAGGCAGCCTTGGACTACCATATTATTTATAATAATTTATGTAGTTCTTTGAACATATAGGGTGCTCTAGAATTTTTTTCTCATTCTTGCCTTGGAATAGTTCCTTGAGATTTCCTGGTCTGAAAAATGGGAATCAAGCCCAAGAGTAACTAGGCCACCGTACAAATCCCTTAGTGACCAAGAGGTCTTCCAGTGTAACAACATTTTGATATTATATTCAAGTTGTGAGGAAATGCAACTTCTCAAGAAAGTGATTTTCACTTCTTGCTGCTACTCAGAGTGAAAGTGACAGGTGAGAAAACTGTATCGAGAAAGTGTGTTCAAGTATTGAGAAACTTGAACAGGTTTTCAAATTTAGAAACAAAAGAATTGTCACTGCTCATCTTTGTGAAGGTCTGTTTGACTTGTTTCTTGCAGTAGCCTCCAACGTGGAGATTCTGAACCATTTCAGTCCCGGCAATGTCTGCTTTTGCTTGGGAAAAGCAACAAGCAGTGAACCTCTGAGGCCTACTGTGTCAGGTTTGTATTTATATTTGATAGTAAACACCAGTAATGGGGAACTGTTGGGCCCCCAGGTGATGTAGGACTGCACCTCCCATAATTCCTAGCCATTGGTTGCAACTGTTGGGTGCTGAAGTCCAGCAGTGTATGGAGGGCCACAGGTTTCCACCCCTGGCATATACCAACTACCAACTACTAGCTGTCAAGGAAAACCTGTGTAGCGGACATCATGTATTATTTTTACAGAGACAGTCAATGGTGTTAACATTTCTCTGGAAAGGTTGGAGTTGAAAATCTGAAGGCAGACCTGTATCAGGGAATTTTTAATGTCTAATGTTTTACATTGTTTGTGTGCTATAAGCCGCCCAGAATGGCTGGGGAGACCCAGACAGATGGGCGGGGTATTATTATTATTATTATTATTATTATTATTAAATGGACATAAAGTGTCATGGTGACTCCCTTAGCTAGACTTGTGTAGCTGAATCGTTAAATTAAATGCTATTATATCCTGCTTGTCAATACTTCCATCTTCATGCTTTAATTATAGGAAGCTGTACTCATTCTGTTACTTTTAATTTAAAGCTTAACATTTAGACCTGCCCCATAATGCTGGAAAACTACACCAGTGTCAGTTTAAGTGCTAGGACAAACATAATGCAAGATCAGACATAATCTGTGCTAGGACAAACATATACATGTAGACCCTGCTATCTGTTCACTTGCTATCTTAAAATCACTTATCTGCATATAAAGAATTATGCCCAAACTTCATTATTTGCACTGCAGACTCAGATATCCGAACATTTGGCTTCCTTATTTCCTTGTTTGTGCTTTGCTGGCTGGAGGCAGCCTTTTCAGACAGAAACCATGGACAGAGGGAGATGGGAGCAGGAGAGATTGGATAAATTAGTTAGTTTGTTTGTTTGTTTTTATTTGTCTCTCTTTTGCTGATGGACTGCAGCCATTTCAGGAAGAAACCGTGGAGAGATGGGGGAAGGAGATCATACACATCCTGCATTAGAAATATTTCAAAATAAAAATAAAAATTAAGATTATAATTTGGAAGACAATTGGACTTTTTTATTTTAGTTTTTTTTTTATTTGATTTGATATCTTAATTAGATGTTCTTATTGGGAAATTAATAAATGCTTTAAAAAAATATATTTCCAAAAGAAATAATGTAAATCGTGGACTTGTTATGCGAACTCTCGCCTAACAAACGGTTTCCCGGGAACACATTGCTTTTGATAAGTAGGGCCTGCATGTATATATTACACTAACCAAGATGCAAACATGCCCAGGGTTATTCTGTAAAGATAGCTGAGCAGACATTTGAATTCCAATACTTCATTTCCTACACTTGAATGGCTTCCTTTATGTGTTGACTCCTGACATAGAGTTACTCTTGGAACGTAGAAATAAGTTTATTTGGTAAGGATTGATTTAACTAGTGTTGGCTCTGATTAGAGAGCAGCTAACTGTGAATCAACTATACTTGTTATGCATAGTTTGTTGGTCCCAAGATTAATTGCTTTATTCTTTCTGTATTATGCCTGCATCTATGTTGTAACAGGGCAGTGACCTTCTGAAGAGTAAAATAGCCACCATTGCCCACATTCCACTGCCACCATGTCAGGTAAGCCCTTAATCAATTATTAGTAATTTTGATACTTTATCAAAATCCTTCCAATTTTCAGAAAAGACCAAGCCAACCATACAAGTGTTGTTAACTTTATTCCAGTTAGCTACATGTGTCATGTAGTGTTTGAAACTTCAGAGAGTCAGGCTGCTCATCAGATCGGACACACAGAATCACAGACATCTTTTCACTTACTTTTCCCTAGCTCTCAGACAGAAAACTCAGTTAACGCTACCATATTTACAAGAACAGAATATGTAAATCACTGGCTTGATCCGGATTTTTGAGTGGAAGGCCATTTTTTCCCACCTTTTCCTCCCCATTGCAGTCCCCTAACCCCCAAAGCTGCTCAGGAGGAACGGAGTATGGGAGATTGCAGTAGATGGGGGAATACACAATGAAGAAGAAGCTTGAATGTGTCAGTGGTTGGATTCTTGCAGTTTCTTCCCTCCCACTGTGTTCTGTACTCACTCCTGGGCCATTCTGAAGGTATCCCTAACCCTCACAAGCAGCTTTTTGGGATGGGTCGGAAAAGAAAGGGGAACAAAGGCCCCATAGTATGAGTAGCTTTTCTGCTTGCAGAAAGTCTGGGTCTGAGTAAAGATCTCTAGCAAGGCCATGGCTGGTTTATAATGCCCCTAACTAATACATTAGGAATACTTTCCTGGTTGTCAATAAAAGAAGGCAATAAGAAGCTGTGCTGAAATAAGTGTGTTTAGAATTTATCACTTCAAAGGTTTGAGAAGAATTGGGGTTCACATGGTATATTCAGAGGAATTTTCCATCTGTTCCCCCCACCCCTTCTAGAACAATAGTTATTCCCATGCTTGTGAAAAATGAATTTAATCCTACATACATATCTGAGTTACTTGGGCTATCCTGCATAATTTAGTTGCTTTTCCATGTTTCCATGTGTCCACAGTTTCCTTATGGTGATTTCTGGACTTTAGTAGCACAAAACTGGAGACAGAGTCTCATGAAGTGTTTTAGGATTGGCTAATCACAGAAGTGTTAGTGTGACTTTCCTGTCCCTTGTGTTCCATGGTTGTGTATGTTTGTAATGTTTTTACATATAGGAAGCTGTACTCCTACTGCTGGTGGGCCCTTCTCTGCTCTCACACCCAGCATATGGCCTCAGGAGATCTTGGCAAAATATGCCCAGGTACTACTATAAGACAAAGTGAAATAATAAATATTGCACCTAATTTCTCTTTCATTGTTGAATAGTAAACAGTAGTGTCATTATGAATGTTTGTATGTGTCTTCAAGTACCCTTCTAGGCATTTGTGGCATTTAATTGCTGGTTCAGCAGCTGCATTCATTCTAGCATGAATGGAGCTCTCAGGTAAATTGGCACTGCTGGCAAAATCTGATATAGAGCCTGACTCTAATAGTTTATTAGCTGGTAACCTAAACACAAATTATGTTTGATCTTGCATTATGTCTTACATTTGGGTAAAGAAGCCAGGGTATAAAATACTTCTGGGGGCTGTGTATACCCTTTTAAAAAGACTGGGTAGTGGAAGCCACGCTCTTGAGACCTTGCCAAAGGTTTCACACATGAATAGTCTATAAATTTAATTAGAAGTGCATGTGCCTGGCACAACATATAAAATGAAAAATCAGCTGTGAAACATAGAGTCCATTGGGATAAAGGCTGCCAGTAAGGAACCCTTACACTGATGAAATAAATAGGCAGCTGCTTGCATGATAGGCACTGTTATATGTACAACTGCTTGGTGATGCTCAAAACTCGCATTCAAGGACAACAGGGTTAGGCTGACAAATGTTTTCTGGGGCCATCTGGATTAACAGCAATCCCCAGGTTGAATCAGGAATTCTGTGGTAGATCTTTACATCCAAAAGAAATTGGGACTGCTTTGGTACTAATCTTAGCATGTTAGAATTTGGACCAATATTGTGCTTAAGTGGTTTAAACAGTACAGAATTCAAAGTATTAATTGTGTCTAGACTAGAAAAGTAGTTGTGACAAGCATTGCTAAGGATCCAAATTCTAACACATGGAGAAGCATAAATGGGAGCAGTGTTTCCTGTGCATACAGTATATGTACACATAGAATAATATGTAGACTGAGCCAATGAGTGACCAAATCATCAGTCTGTAGGATTTTGATGCCTTTTAAATAATGAGAAGGGGTTAAGGTTGGGAGAAGCAAGGCAAAAAATCTCCAATGGAAATATCTTCCCAACATGTTCTTCCTAGATTTACTGTGGAAGTTATTTATATAGGCTATAAGAGTACAGCACAAATGCATAGAGTGCTCCCAATTTTATTTTGGATGCCTGCAGTGTGTAAAAGTGTTGTATCACCTAGTGGCAAAGAATGGAAAGCAATTCTTTTCTTCGGTTTTCCAGAAAGAAGAATCTGTTGAACAGCCAGAGTTCCGGTATGATGAATTTGGTTTCCGGGTAGACAAAGAAGGCAAGGCCTTTTATTTCTGTGGTGTAACTTGTGACAAGATCTCCCTGGGGCTGTGCTTCAGAAGTCACTTATTCCCAGCAGTCCCTTTCCAACTCTTGATTCTGGTGGTGCTTTGCAAGCAGTTGACCTCTAAAGAAATTAACTTCAGGCTTTACTAACACGATAACATTCTTGGTAACATGTCATTTAGGAACAGTGCACATGTATATAAACAGCAGCTTTTCCTTCTTGAAAAGACATGGAGGTGACAACCAGGATAGGATCAGGGTGTTGCTTGTATGTATTTTAAAGCTGCAATCCATCTACGTGTTTGTCTGGGCTCAAGTTCTTGAAACCAGCGGAGTCTGAAACCCTGGACAGCTGCTGGAGGCCACCCAGCGTGACTGGGGAAGCACAGCTAGATGGGCGGGGTATAAATAATAAAATTATTATTATTATTTGTGTACATTGTTTTCAGAAGATTTAGTGGTATAGAAATCTATATGCAAATAATAAATATTAGGACAGCTAGCCACTTTAGGCATTTCATATGAGCCAGAATACAAATGTTCAAATGGAAAAGTAAACACCTTCATTTTCCTGTTTGAATTTCAACTGGCTGGTGCCCATATACCTCATAAGGGACTGTCAGAGTGGATTTTTCAACATCACCAATGGTGGTGGTCTGTGCATGCTTTGGGATCAGAATTGGAACTTAGTTATACAGTTGTCCAAGCATGCACAACTGAATTCTTGACTCTCTAGATTGTAAAGTCCAGCTTTTCAAGGAATTATTATTTTTCAGATGTAGAAGGCTACTTGCTACTTTCTTCCCCACACCTAAAGCTGGTGTTCTTTGCTACAGATGGCGCGGAGCCAAACTCCAGCAAGCTCTTGGGGATCCCACTGGTTGAAGAGCCACAGCACAGGCTGAAATGGCAGGCCCACTTGGAATTCACACACAACCATGACGTGGGGGACCTCACCTGGGACAAGATAGAAGTCACACTTCCACGTTCCGATAAGCTGCGATCATTGGTGTTGGCTGGCATTCCTCATAGCATGAGGCCACAGGTGAGGCATTCCTGGTTAATCCTGAAGGGGAGGAGAGCTTGCTGGTGAGGTTTCCTGTCTTAATCATAAAACCTTTTCTTCCTTCATTTCACCCAGCTGTGGATGAGACTGTCAGGTGCTCTGCAGAAGAAGCGAAATTCAGAAATGTCATATCGGGAAATTGTGAAAAACAGCTCAAATGATGAAACCATTGCTGCCAAACAAGTGGGTACTTTGCCATGGGTTAGTTCTTGGGGCTCAAGAAAGGGCACTCTATCAGGTGGGTGGAAGAAAGGAAAGATTAAGAGCAGCGATTGAGAGAAGGAGGGGGTTACCCACTCAGTTTCTCGGAGTTGGTAGTTCTCTTCTAGTGCTGAAAATGAGCTTAGAGGGATTGGCTCACAGTGTTCCTCCTGATATTGGCCAAGAAAGGATTTACTACCAAACATCACCTCCGTGGATTTAAAGTTTATGTAGAACAAAGAGGGGTGGGGGTGTTGCGCACTTGCTGCCATCATGCTAAAAGGAAAAGAATAAAATCTTCAATCATTAGAAGGTAGGAAGTTTTGAGGTCTAGGTACAGAACTTTGTAAGCATCTCTCTCAGCCAGCACAAATCTTCTTGCCACTCAGCAGCAGCTAATTACCCTTTAGGCATAGAGTTTGCATAAAATATTATTCTGTTGATGCACTAACATGTATTCATGAGGCGCTTTGCTCAGACTCTTGCTATTGGATATAAACACTGAACAAAATGTGAAGAAGTAGTCTGGAGATCACTATACAAGGTTGTGTGTCTTAAGTTCCAAATAGCACCACCGAGTCCTAGCTTTTAATCCTCAGACTCTTAGGGCAGATCCACACCATACATTTAAAGTACTTCCAACACGCATTTAATGCACATGACTTTCCCCAAAGAATCCTGCGAAGTCCCCCTCATAGAGGCACAGTTTCCAGCATCCTTAACAAACTATAGTTCCCATGAATATTTGCGAAAAGCCATGTGTTTTAAACATGCATTAGATGTGCTTTAAATATATGAGGTACATCTGCCCTTAGATTAATGAGTGATTCTCAGCCCATTAAGGGCAAACACCAACAACCTAATGAAGGAGACAGGACTTTGTAAAACTAGTAGGGAAGACGAAGCAACTTTATAAATAAAGCAAAATGGGAGATGCCATGTATAGCGCTGTGCGTGCCTCCTTCAGATCTCATACCTTTTGCAAGGTGCATAAAGTTGAGCCTTCCTTCCCCCCATTGTAACTAATCTGTCACCAGTCGTTGGAAGGTAAATATTTTTTTGCTTCAAGTAGGCAGGAAGAAAAAGAATCACAGAGTAGAGGCATCCAAGACAGCCTTTGGAACTGGGCAAGGCTTCTGAAGCAAAAGTCAACCCTTAAAGCAGGCTTTGGTAGCCTGGTACTGTCCAGATGTTTTGGACTGCAATTCCTATCATCTCTGGCCATTCTGTTGGGAGCCAAAGTCCAACAACATCAGGAGAGCACCAGGTTGAAGAAACCTGCTAATAGGCCCTCTCACAATGGCACCATTGATACTGTTTGTGGCAGTCAGGGTCTCATCCAGGCTGCTTTAGTGGGGGGAAACTGCTAGAATGTGCATTGGCACATAAAACCCAGTACTATTTGGTACATTTTTATCTTGAGTGTGCAGTAAGAGATGTGCTTCTTACTCACTCACTTTGAGCAGTTCACTTCCGGTTGCAGATGAGGCATTATACGGAATGGATGGAAGTTTGCATGCTCTTTGTGAGGCTTCCATTCTGAGGTGAAATGGCAGCCTCGGACTACAGGCCTACTTTGTGGGGGTGCAAAGAATGTAAGGACAGCCCAGGGGACTAGAGAAAGAAAAAAGAAGATGGGGAGGATAATTGCTAACTGAGTCTAGAATGCTAATCTGTGATACTTGATTTCTGTTAGATTGAGAAAGATTTGCTCCGCACCATGCCCAGCAATGCCTGCTTTTCCAACATGAATAGTATTGGAGTGCCGCGGCTACGCAGAATTCTCCGGGGACTGGCATGGCTGTATCCCGAAATAGGCTATTGTCAAGGCACTGGCATGGTAAATAAACCTCTCCTATATGTGAGTTGTTATTGTTTCCCTTGGGATTCTGCTCACAAGCAGGTGAGAGGAATTCACAGGTACCTGTATAGGCAGCAACATACTTTTTTTTATCCAGTAGAAATAATAAAATAAGTTTACTGCAGAGGTGATGGCACCACTAAACATAATATATTACTCCTGCCAGGAGTAGGATGACCATGGTGAGTTTTTGCTAACACCCAGCTGTAAGCCATAAAGTAGCCTGTTTCAGGTATAGCCACTGTAACTTGGAGAACCTCCACATCCTCAGAAACAGCCACCAAGAATTGGAAGTAGGAGATTCCTACAGTCATCTGTGCAGTTAGATGTCCTATATGTTTCAGCAGGGGCAATGTGCCATTTTCATCAACACCCCCCGCTTTGCCCATGTAATAGTCACTGCAGCTCAAGGTCTTTGTGATGGGGAGAAATGAAGGCCGTTTGAGTGGCAGGGCTCACCAAAGGCTCTTGAGCTACCTCTGACTAGCAAAGTTATTAGCACCATAGGTTAGAATCAAAGTTACTTTATGAACTTAGACTACATTGCTCCCTATTCATAATTCTGTTTAGAATTTAGTTAAATCATATGTTAGCCAGCCTGCAGCACAAGCTCCCAACTTGGCTCACATTGAGAGAGTGGCCCAAAGTTATGCAATGGAAAACTGGCGGACAAGTCAGTCTACAGATACTAACCCTTTAGGAAGTGCAAGTAAGGGTGAACTGGAGGCGCTATCACTCTGTACACCTGAGGACATCCATTTCAACAAGCTAGAAATATCAAAAGGAGCAGACTGCTCTACAGAATTACCAGGCCCAAGGGTCATTTAATTCTGGGGATGCATCATTGCCCGCCTGACAAAAATGCTCTGGTTGTTTATGAGATGGAGAATTAAATCAAAAGCTGCATCCAATGAGGAAATGTAGTTACGAGTGACTTCAGTTATCCTCACGTAGATTGAATCAGTGTGTGTTCCCGTAACAACAAAGGTACAATTACTAGAAAGGCCAAATGACTGTACCCTAGAGCTGACGGTCATGGAGATGGCCCTGCACTTAATTTTAAGTAGTATTCAGGGCCTCTTGTGACATCTAAGTGTCGTTAAACTGCACTATAAAATTCAGCATATATATTCAGATGGACAATCGCCAAAAAAGTTTAGCACAGTCATGTTTGATTTCGTAGAGGAAACTTAGGGGCGGGGAAAATGAGACTTCCTTCAGAAAATGGAAGTTTTGTATAAATGAGAACAAAATAAGCACAAACTTAGAAAAAGAAACGATAAGGGCAGCATTCCCTTCTGGTCAACCAGCCAGTAGTGGACCACCAACTGTGCAGAGCAGTGAATGTGCACTGTGCCTTGTGTGGTAAGCTACTTCCTAGACACACCCCTCTCTACCCAGGCAGGCAAGTATCATAGTTCAAGGACACATTCCAACCAAGCAAAGGGACTTGAGGAAGATGCAAAGCAGGGCTGGTAGGGATGTGGTCTGAGGATTGGAGGGCCACAGTTGGCCCTGAGCCCAAGGATCCTTCTCCCTCTTATAGAAGAACTTTGGCAATTAAACAGTATATTAATAGCTCAAATAAATAAGTATATTAATAGCTCAAATAAATAAGTTTTCCTGGAGTCACAGAGGTTTCCATTATCCCATTATTATCCTTTTACTGAAACTATGAGGCTGCTTTGCATGCTCCTCATCATCTAATATCCTGTTCTCACCATGGCTAATTGCTTTCTATCCCTAAAATTCTGCTGCTGTGAGGGAGGCCACCAGTGGGCTGTTACAGATGCTTTTCAGCTTATCTCCATGTTTTCCTCTGCTGCTAGGTAGTCGCTTCCTTACTTCTTTTCTTGGAAGAGGAAGATGCCTTCTGGATGATGTGTGCTATCATTGAGGACCTGGTGCCAGCCTCCTACTTCAACACTACTCTGATGGGCGTCCAGACTGACCAGCGCGTCTTGCGGCATCTCATTGTGCAGTACTTGCCACAGCTGGACAAACTACTCCAGGAGCATGACATTGGTGAGAGCCTCCCTTGGGCAGCTGAAGGTTTTGAGCTTCAGGGTCCAACTCTCTTCTGTGAGCCACATTGTTAGCACACTGTGCATGTGGCTGCTAAGGGAATGTAGTAGTGCAAATGAGTCAAACATGCTTTTGAGCATGAGTCACTTTAGCTTGGTATTTGGGTTGAAATGGAAGGAAATATATGCTTGTGTGTACATAATCTCTTGTGCTATTTGAAAATTCTTGTTTTAAGCGGAAATATTCTCAGTGGCCTCATTTGCTTGTTATGGTAAGCTATAGTTAATGGTTTGCTGTGAATGTGCCTATCTGGGCCACTTTTCCTGCATACTAGTAGCAAGCAAACCACAGTCCTTTGCTTAGTATGCTGTCTGAACTAGGATTGTAGGTTGTTTTGCCCCAAGCAAACCACAGTCTGTAGCCAAGTTTATTGTAGGCAAGCTTATCATTGTTTATTTGGCTCTGGCTTGACATAGTGAAAAGGACTGAGAAGGGAGCTATATTTGCCTGCACTGTTACAATCATAATGACATGGGTAGATTATCTGGAATAGATGTGAGTCTTCTCTGTTTTATGTTGGAAGTGGAAAGTGATTCTATGGAGGGCAGGGGTAGGATGGATTCTTCCTCGTGTGGGTGACTGGTAAACTAGAATGATACACCTTCTTTACTGTCTCCATTCACAGAGCTCTCCTTGATCACCCTGCACTGGTTCCTCACATCATTTGCTAGTGTTGTGCATATCAAGCTGTTGCTACGAATTTGGGACCTCTTTTTCTACCAGGGCTCCATAGTTCTCTTCCAGGTCACACTGGGCATGCTCAGCATGAAGGTAAGCAACACTCCTCCGCTTTCCCCTCATGGAATGAGTTTTTATATACAGGGACCGCTCTCCCGATTCCCCACCCCCATCTTAGGTATTTGGGGAATCCTTTATGAGAGGCGGTCTGTGTGTGTAAGGAAAGAAAAACAAAAAATGCCATATATCGTTCTTTTGAAATCTGGGTGTGCAGTAGCTCCTTTTGCCACCCGCTGTTGCCTTTGCTGCTTTTTTGTCTTCTGAATAATGCCAGCGAACTAGCGCATAGACTGGGATTGTTGACAATGATCTGTTTCAAGAAACACTTTGAGAAATAACCTCTGCTCTTCTGGTTCTGTGTTGGGCAAATTGATGTGTGGCTGAAATTCAGTGTAGCATTAAGGAATTCCTTTATAGGAAAATAATTGGGTGCAAAGGGAGATTAACGGAAGCATGCATTAATTGTTGTCCTGCATTCACCATGCAAACTTTCATCATGGGAATAGAGTTAGATGCAGATAATGGGGCTGTGAGAATTGCAAGGGTATTCCAGAGCATAACACGCAGAATGCCTTGTTCCTGTTAATGCAGGAAGATGAGTTGATTCAGTCAGAGAACTCGGCCTCCATCTTCAACACACTCTCGGACATCCCCTCTCAAATTGAAGATCCAGATGTGCTCCTGCAGGAAGCCATGCGTGTCGCTGGTTCCCTGACGGACGTGGCAGTGGAGACTCAGAGGTGCAAGCACCTGGCTTACCTCATTGCGGACCAAGGGCAGCTGCTCAATGCAGGGGCTTCTGTCAACTTATCAAAGGTGTGTTTCTAAAGCTCTTGGGAATCACAAGTTAAAAAATATTTCCTTTCTCAGGCTTGGCTTCTGTTGCCTTTGTTGTTCATAGGTAGTGGTAGTGATGTTGAGTCAGTCTTGGATGTATTATTGAAGACGTGCTGCAAGACTTCCCATACAGTATAGCTTTTCTGGTCACCCATACTTCTCTTTTTCTATCCCCCTTGGGCTGGCATGTTGTTTGAGGGAGAGGTTCTTGCTGTTGGCTTTTTGTATCTTTATTTTAGATCTTGTTATTTATGTGGAAATTGTTCCGTTTGGTTGCGTATTCTTTGATGTTTTATTTATTGTTTATGACTACTTTCATTATGTTGCAGTTATGTATTATTTTTGTGTTGTAAGCTGCCTTGAGCATGATTTGAACTGTGGAAAGGTGGCATACAAATAAAAATTTGTACGTATGTATGTATGTATGTATGTATGTTTGATGTACGTGACCCACAAGATCTGTTTTACCCATACTGAGCATAATGTCACTATAGCGTTTTTACTATATTCTCTCTTTAATGAGTCTTGGTCTTCTGTCTCTCTCAGATTGTGCGACGCAGGACGCAGCGCAGGAAGTCTGGCATCACCTCTCTGCTTTTTGGTAAGGAGAAATGCATGAGCATATTATTCTTGCCCTGCACAGGTTGGAACAGTTGAAAGAGCAAACATGGTAAATGTAGAGGGCAAAACATAGTTGGTGTCTGCAAGATTGGCTGTGTGTTGGCACTTCACACTCAACCATATTTTATTTATTTATAGTGTACTGGGATGTGTAATGGAATGAGCCAAATAAATCCTCAAGCTTCCTTCCACCCCACCCCCCACCCCGATGCAGAATAAGTGGCTGAGGGTGGGAAAAGGAGTACAGTGGTATCTCGGGTTACATACGCTTCAGGTTACATACGCTTCAGGTTACAGACTCTGCTAACCCAGAAATAGTGCTTCAGGTTAAGAACTTTGCTTCAGGATAAGAACAGAAATTGTGCTCTGGCAACAGCAGGAGGCCCCATTAGCTAAAGTGGTGCTTCAGGTTAAGAACAGTTTCAGGTTAAGAACGGACCTCCGGAACGAATTAAGTACTTAACCCGAGGTACCACTGTACATGAGTCAGAGGCACATTCAGGTTCATTCCAGCTTGTGCACATTGCGCAAAATTATGATTTAGTGCAAACGTGGCCATAGATTGTCCTTGCACTATTGTACACTGTACTAAGCACTCTGCTTGCCTTCAGGGTAAGTAAAGAGACACTTCTGTCTGCTGCCTAGATTCATCTTTTTAAAAATTAACCTCTTGGGAGTCATGTACAAGCTGTTTATTCTGCTGTACGCAGGAGTGTTCCTCTTCAGTGGCTGTGATGGAACCCCAGGTGAAGCCCGTGCTCTTTGTCCTCTTTAAAGGTCCAGAGAAAGAAAGTAATATGAGACACACAAGTAGTATTTACGAGTAGAGAACTGCCCTCCTTACTTATTGATCACTTCTGAAAGGCTGCACTACTTTTGAGACTATTCACTAATAAAGGTCTGTCCCTGGGCAATCTGCTCTGCAGAAACAAACCTGTTTTTTAATCTGTGTAACTGCCATGGGGTTTATAGGCCTTTAAGTCCCTCACTGAAGTTGCTTTGTAGGGAGCTCAGGGCAGTTAACTTAGTTTTAAGTTTACACTGTAGGTGTGCCCTTATTTTGTTCTAGCTTAAGCACACTCTTAGGTTTTTTTATGTAGCTTTTGCGGAGGCCTGGGAAACTGAACCAGGCTTCAGTCTCTTTTCTGCCAAGAGGCTGGTTATAAAACATATTTATGGGGCTTTGAGATGGGGCATAAGGCACATCTCCAGTTTTTCTCATTTCATGTATTCATGTGGAACACAGATTGGATTTTTTAAAAGAGCTGTTGTAATTAACATCAGTTCAGGAATAGAGCGGCACTAAAAAGTAAAAGGAAAAACACAATTGTTAGGAACTAGGTATGGGTGAAAATAAAGCAGCAAGTATTCCATTGCCCATAACTCCTTGAAACACCCTTATGTAGAATAGTGTGTAGAGTTCTGTTGCCCTATCTTAAAAGAAATATCCTGCAGAAAGGCAACTAAAAGTATAAGACTTTAGGAAAAAATATGACTAGTGGAAGTGGATGTGATTGAGACATGAAATGATGGAAGAAATTCATCCTCTCTTGTTATACTAGAAGGGCAATGGCAATGGTCTTATTTGCTCCTTTGTTTAGACCAAGGATTTCTAACCTGTGGTAGCATGACCAGTGGCTAGGGAGTATGGGCGCTGTAGTCCAAACATCAGCATTGGCCACAGGTTGGCCAACTTTGGATTAGACAATTGAATAGAAGGGAAGTCTGTCTTTTTGCTATGAGAACAAAATGGAAACTCGGTGTATAGAAGCAGTATGTTTCCAAATAGCAGATGCTTCAGATGAAGAGGGGAAAACTAAGAGAATGATGATGATGGTTTACTTCTTATACCCCAGGCATCTGACTGGGTTGCCGCCTTGCTCTGCTTGAGTGATTTCCTTATCCTTCCTTTGTTTCTGCCTTCCTTCCAGGGGAAGATGACATGGAGGCACTGAAGGCCAAGAACATTAAGCAGACGGAGCTGGTTGCAGAGTTGCGCGAGGCCATCCTGCAAGTGGCACGGCATTTTCAGTGTGTGGATCCCAAGAGCTGCAGCATAGTGAGTAGGGGATCTCCCACAAGAAAACCTATGCTTCCTGCTACTGAGATGGTTACCACTGTACCCAATTTACTGAAGGAGGGGCTTGTTGGGTGAGAACTTGCCTCATGAGGGAATATGGGAAGATACAAAACTGGAAGAATGTCCTCATCCCTTGTTAATCTCTGCCTTCTGCTTGGCATGAATTCAGATTACTCTTGTTTGTCCGCCAACCAGGATTTGACTCCTGATTACACCATGGAGAGCCACCAGCGGGACCATGAAAGCTATGTGGCTTGTTGTCGGAACCATCGGCGACGGGCCAAGGCATTGCTGGATTTTGAACGCCATGATGATGATGAACTGGGCTTCCGTAAGAATGATATCATCACGGTACGATGGTCGGGACCAACAGAATGGTAGCATCATGTAGGGGGGTGGAGAAATCAGACATTATATGAATAAGGAACAACAAACAGAGTGAAGTTTGGTTTTTTCTGCAGTATACACTAAAAATAATTGGGGGCAACTTCCACTACGTGGGTATCTCAGCTCAGATTCCATATTTGCTCCCATACATTGCTTGCTGCTCCTCTTTTTCCTCTGTATGATCAATTTCCCTCCTTTCAATTGCTGCAGATCATCTCTCAGAAGGATGAGCACTGTTGGGTGGGAGAACTGAATGGCCTGAGAGGTAAGTGCAAATGGGATTTGTGTGAGGGAGGAATCTTTGTCCACCCCCAAACAATAATGTTAAATCTATTGGGGGGGGCTACCTTCACAGCCTGTGCCACAAATACTGTTTGCTTATATACAGGCTGATACCAAGACTAGATTGCTATCCTGATATTTCCCTGCTCTTTATAGGTTGGTTTCCTGCAAAGTTTGTGGAAGTTCTGGATGAACGGAGCAAAGAGGTAACGTTTCCATATTAAATTTATGGTCCTGCTTCCTACCATTAGTGTCTACTGTTCTCTGGATCCTTGTAAAGGACATGGTGGGGAAGTAGATGCTGAGAAGCAGAGTTTCGGTCTGGGCGAGTGGGAATCACATGCTGCAAAAGTCCATACCTCTTAGTCACCCAATGACAATCTGGGCTACCTGAACACAAAACCATTAAATATAATCTCATTCTGTGCAAGATTTGTGCACTGTATGTTTCAGATTTGGGAAATATGAGATACCGTTATTCCCCTGCCCCAGTGGGAGAGGTAGACCATATAGGGATAAGGTGACATATCCAAGCTCACTTAATAAATCCGTGGCAAAGCCAATAATTTATATTTGGGACGACTGAAGATAAAACCAGATTTGCCAGCAACCAGTTGGGAGGGGCAGTGAAAGGGATAATCTAACAGCTTCATTCATATACTTCTAGCCAGGTGATTGGAGGAGCTTGGTAATGCCAACTGTGAGCTTATTAAACTATTTTGTCATATGGACTTTGCGGTTGCCTAGGCATCCTCCTATGAAATAGCGGGGTGGGCATATGAAACAGCATTCATAAATAGTATGGTAAATATTACAGTATCTACCATATGTGCCTTTCTGTTTGCTGTGGCTTCTCATCCATTAATGGAGGCTGTTCTCTTGTTCCTCTAAGTATTCCATTGCTGGAGATGACTCTGTCACTGAAGGTGTGACGGACTTGGTTCGAGGGACACTCTGCCCAGCCCTCAAAGCCATATTTGAACACGGGCTGAAGAGGCCATCTCTGCTGGGGGGGCCCTGCCACCCCTGGCTCTTCATTGAAGAGGTAAGAGAGGCACTTGGTGTCTGCAGGGTCTTTAGAAATAGTATGGCAAGTACATGACACCTCTGTGCATCTGGCAAGTACAGAGGCTTCTGGGAGAGTGTAGTAATTGCAGGCGGGGGGGGGGGGGGGACGGACCTGCTGGTCTGTCCCAATAAGAGACAGCTGTATCAATAACTGTGCTTGTGTGCTCTTCTCTATCTAGGCTGCTGGGCGAGAAGTGGAGCGTGACTTTGACTCTGTGTATTCTCGTCTTGTGCTCTGCAAGACCTACAGGTAAATGTTTCTCTCATCAGTCTAGTGAATTAGATGTTCCCTGTCCGTCATGTACCCTTCCTGCTGATACTTATTTTTCTTGCAATGTTTTCACATATTACCTTGTCAAACAGATAAACAACTGTTTGACATTTAGAAGACCTAAGGCAGCTCTGCTCAGGGAAGTTCTCCACAGTTGATGTTTTATTGTGTTTTTATTATTTTGTTGGGAGCCACCCAGAGTGACTGAGACAACCCAGTCAGATGGGTGGCATATAAATAATACAATGGTGGTGGTTATAGGCCAGGTTATTGATGTAGGATGGGCTAGCCAGTGGCTGCTGCAGAGATTACTTGCCAAATGAGGCTTTCTTCAGAGGGCTACAAGCTTTTAGTGGTGTAGGCTCCTAGCCACGTGGCCTGTGCTGAAATTTGCAAGGACTACTGAGAATCTTCTTTGAAAGGAACTGTTGCTTCTATCCTGTGTGTGGCACTGGGTAGGGCAAACGTCTGACCCTCGCTTGTTTGGTATCAGCTGGATCTGTTAATTTACTGTTCTAGGTTGGATGAAGATGGGAAAGTGCTAACTCCAGAGGAGCTGCTTTATCGGGTAAGCTGTTCTAGTGTTTTAATTGGGTGTGGTGATGTCATGAAGGTGTCTTTATGACGGGCCAGTCTGTTTTCAGGGTCTAATGATGAGGACCTGTTCCCAGCCCAGAGGGCTGTGTCTTCCAGCAGGTGGCGATCTAGAGTCCTTTCACTCTCATTGCCTCTAAGGCCCAAATGCTTTGGGTAGAATACCTTTTGCATGCAGTTTGAGCTTTTTGGCTCCCAAGAGAGAAAGGCTGCTGAATAAGAATCCATATAACTCCCTTTCCCCCCTTTGCAGGCGGTGCAGTCTGTCAACATGTCCCATGATGCAGTACATGCTCAGATGGATGTGAAGCTTCGTTCTCTTATCTGCATTGGACTGAAGTGAGTCTTCCAGTTCTTTTTCATACAAGGCTGCTTTTGTTAGCAGAGAACAGGAACCTAATGGGTGGCTTAGATTGGGCTTCATCAGCAGGGGCTGTGAGCTGGCAGCCAAAGGTGTGATCTGCTCTGCTGCTTCCGAGCCACAAGGTCTTCCACCTTTTATTTTCCCTGGGTTTCCTTATGCAGTGGCAATGGAACATGTGTGTGTGCTAGTAACTTTCCCTGTGCCTTGTTTTTCAGTGAGCAGGTGCTGCATTTGTGGCTTGAGGTGTTGTGCTCTAGCCTGCAGACCGTGGAGAAATGGTTCCATCTCTGGTCATTCTTGCGCAGTCCTGGCTGGGTGCAGATCAAGTGTGAGCTCAGGTAGGTGGAACCTCCTTTTCCCCACTTTATTTTACTGCCCAACTCCACCTCCTGGTAGCTGCAGCCTTATGTAAGTGAATGAAATCATACTTGGCTATGTCATACAGGGAGAGAGGGTATGCTAATTGCTTTCATTGCCCAATCTTAGCCTCCTTGGGAGGAATAGGTCTTTATGTGCAAGGCTAATGGCAGTACATTGTGATGAGCTCATCAGTCATTATCCTAGCAGAATAGGATTTTTTCCCCCTTGCCATCATACACCACCAAACCTTCTTGGTTGCCACAGCCAACATCTCCAGAAAAATAGAAAATAACCAGTTGTCACAGCTCATATGAAGATGCATCAGCCAGGCTGGCTCATGGAAGAGTAAAATAAGGGCTCATCCACCCTTCTGCTTGCCCCGCCACTTTCCCAATCCCTGTTTGCTGCTGGATTGGGTCAATCTGCAGAAAACGTGATGTTTCATTTCAGTGGCAAATGGGATTTTCCCAGGGGAAACCAGTGGGGCAAGCAGAAGTGTGGACAACTACTAAGAGGAAACTGCTCAGAGTTTCTACATTGAGAAGGCTTTTTGCCTTAGATGATCATGAATGAGAAGAGATAAACACAGGGCAACGGGTACACTTGAGCTTCAGCTGTAGTAGAGCTGAGTAGAAAGCAAACTACAAAGGAGTTTGTGTGCAGCAAACTAGGAGAAAATGTATTGATTACTGAAGTACCCGAGTTTTGTATTTCTTAAGGACAGTTAGACCTGGAAGCATGCTTCTTCTACATCATACAACTTGTCTCCTATGTTCTTACACAGCTGTCAATTGTGCCTGTGGCACTGCCAAGTGCTCTAAGTAAGGATGCTGGGAATCCTCTTTTTAAAATAAAGTATTGTCTCTTAAATAGATGTGGCAGTATATATTTCACATCAGCTGTGTTAATTGTGAGGTGACAGAACAATTCAGGTCTAGATTTTTCTCAAGGGTTTTTTAAAGAGCCACTTAAGCACCCACACCTGTTTTCTTTCTTGCTTCTTCACTTCTTTGAAAATGTCAGATGTCTTGAAGACTTGATTTGTGGCAGTAGACAGATACAATGTTTTGCAATTCTTGTTTATGGAACAAGCACAATTTTTAATTGTAAGAACAGAATGAAGTAAATGTGTCAGAACTTAATGTGGGTTTCAGTTTGATTACTTTGCCTATAGTGTTTGCATAGCCCTCCTTTTAAGCTCTCTTAATATGTTCTGTTGCAGAGTCCTCAGTAAATTTGCATTCAGCCTTTCTCAGGATTGGGAACTCCCTGTAAAAAGAGAGGTAAGCATGTGTCCCTTTAGTCAATCAACAGCCCATGCATCTGCATCAACCCCAGTTTAGGGTTAGACTGTGTTCTCTCTTATATTTGCATAGGGGGCTGAGGTACAGCAGGCTAATCTTTGCCCCAGCCTGGACCGTTTTGTTTTCCGGGATGGTATGGTGGTGGGCCCTGAAACACACACACACAGTACATACATATTAGCGACAGTGGGGAAATGTGAAAAAACCCTTTGCCTTCCTTTTTTAGGAGAAGAAGAAACCACTGAAGGAAGGAGTCCAGGACATGCTTGTGAAGCACCATCTCTTTAGCTGGGACATAGATGGGTGATTCTTTGGCCTCAGTTTGGACTTCTTGGATGACATCAAACCATTGGCATATTCTCCTCCCTCGCAGCCTGTTCCCCCTTCAGTCTGTCCCTCTCACCAACCGTCTTTGCTTGTCAAGAGTTCTCTTGTGGACTGGTATCAGTTTGCTTAACAGGTGGGCAGTAGTATATTGAAGAGAGCAGGGGTTGTGTTGCATTGTTTGAAACTGTGGCTGTCTAGCTTCCCTTTCCCATGGTGTCACTAACTTGATTGTGCAGAGCATGTGCATATTATGGAAGTCATGTACCACTCAGGAGTCTGTGCCCCTTGGATACCAAGCCTGTTCAAGGCCTGCTAGTCTGGGCAAGAGGGAAGACAGTAATGTTAGACAGAAAGTTGTCTAAGTGTGGTGTACAGCAAGAGGGGATTCCCCCAAGGTTAACCAATCTGGCTGTTAAGATTCATTTATGGCAGGGAGAGGAGAGCAACAGATTCCAAGTTCCTCCAAGGCTCACTTTATTCATGATGTTAATTTTCTTACATACGCTAACATGTGAAACACCCCTTATTAGTGTGTGTCTGAAAGAGAAACTGTGATTCATGACTAGTTTTCCCAGGTGCTACAAGTGCAGGAATGGCTGGGCTACTGCCACAAAGTGCCTAAAATGGCTAGCTGGTTTAAAACTGCCTTGGGTAGAGCAGCAGGAGCCTAGCCTTTAATTCTGGCTCTTAGCTGAACAGCATCAGTTCATTTTAGCCTGGAACTTTGTAAAAAAAGAGAGAGATTACCAAAAGATGTAAAATGTATCCAGAAATCTTTGTATATTTTGATGTAGCTTAGCAGGAAATGGATTCAGGACCGAGATGGCTCAGGGAGTCAACTGCAACCTACACTGATGATGATGGTAGAGGCTGCAAGACAGGAGCACAATCACTTGTCATTTTGGTTTCTAAGTAAATTGCACATCTTGTGACTAAGACAGTAATAGGGAAGTAGGACTGCTTTTCAGATGCCTTTAGCCTTATTTCTGTTCTCCTGAGTTATGTGGAAGTATTAGTAGTTGGAAGGAAAAATTGACACTTCTGCGAATGATTCTAGGATTTGAATATTAAGTAAATCAGCCTTGAAATATTGTGTTTCTTATTCAGTGAATAGTACTGTTACAGTCTGGTCAGCTAAAATATACTGACTGTGACCTGGATGAGAATAGATTGCAAGCCCCTTTCCCCATAGCTGCATTCTGTTCTACTACTGGATAATTTGCCACACTTCTTTCAAGGTGCTGTTTTTAGGAAGGAGAAACTGTCACAATGGCGTGAAATGGCTCTTCATCCCTCCACAAATGTTGAATGCCTTTGCTGTCTTTTCACCATGGCACGTATCAGTATCCATTATGCCATGACCAAAGATGAGATGTACAAAGATGTTACAACACAATTTTTTTTTAATAAAATGGATTTTTCAAATAACTGAAAAAATAATTTGATTTATCCATAATATTCATTCCATACCCTTTTCCAGTTGCATGTTCACTCCAGGTCCAATACTATAGCACTGTGTAAGCCTCTTGCGGGTGCTGATAACCCCTTTCATTGATGCATAGTGGAATAAGTGTGCGTGCTAATCAAATACAAGCAGTGGTTATCAGCAGAAGAGTGCGTACATTCAAACCAAAGGAAGACCCTTAGACTCTTGTTTTACTTTGGGGATATAAAAGGAGAATTTAGGGAACTTATTTTATAAGCCATGTGTTTTCAGACACTGGCAAAAAAGCCCATCTTAATACCAGTCACTTTCTCGTTCCACAAAAGAGTAATATTCCTACAATGGGCTTAACCCATAGCACTTTTCTTCATAATTTTACACTAGACATGTTTACCCTTCCAAAACCAGGCAGCTGTTGGGGGATAGCACTTTCAGCACAAACTCACTGCTGCTGCTAAAGCAGCCCTGATCTGGCCAACAAGTACTTTCCAGCCTAAACTCAATAACTGCTCTTAGTCTGAAAACAGGTAAGATGATACTACTGAACCAGATCCTCTCCCCACAATAAGTTGGCTTATTCTGCTTTTCTATACTGTGAACAATCCCAAGTCTAGATCCAACCTTCCCAATCAGTGATAGACTGAGTGACAATATTAGTAGTACGTCTTGAAGAGTATACAAGAGATACGCCACCTTCAGCAGCCATTAATCTAATTTCCAAAACAGTCGTATTTTACTGAATGAAATAAGACTCACGTGCAGTTGGCCATTTCAGGATAATGGCTAATCACATAACTAATATTCTCTTCAATTCCATTCATCATAAAAGGGGGTGTTTAGGATATGTTATGTAGACTTGATAAAATATAAGAGAAACAGAAGGGGCTCCTGGATCCTGTCAAATGACAGGACCCTTCTTCCTTCTGCTTTGGGGTGAAAGGCAGTGCCAGCAGACACATTTAACTACGTATTTTCTATGGGAGGGAAAGAGACTAATAGAAATACAATTTCCTTTTAGTGACATGTGCAATAAGGCTAAAGCTGGTAGTCTAAGGACCAAATCCTCTTTCCCACCAAACCACAGGCTAAAATACCAGCTCCCCAACCGTTTACCACACAGTAGGAGCTAAAGGGAAGTAACTACCCCCTAACCAGGTAGATAACTTCATCTGCTTTCCAAAAACAAAACAAGTTTTATAACGGCTATATACAGAAATTTTACCAGCTATAAATGAAACCAGGTATCAAGAGGCAAGACTGTGGTTTCTAACCATTCTCTTAACCACACAGCAGCAGGGACTATGGCTACAGGAAAGTTCCTCTGTGCAATGAAAGACATGCAACTCCTTAGGCAAGCAGCACCAAAAACACTTGCCTCAGAGAGGAGGTTAGTGCTCATGCTCTCGGAGATCAGCTGAACTCTCCAAACGGAAGTGGAGCCACAACCCTTAACCTACAGCCAAGACCAGACATCCCCATGACACCAACCTCCAGATCAGAGAAAGCTATACTTCATATGCAGGAAAACCCTTGGGATGAGTAGCTGAACTGAAACCCATGAACAGCATAAGCACTAAGAACAGGAGCATAGTGCAGCTCATCTGCTCCAGTGCTTATGTTTCCCAAAGGCCCAAACTTCACAGAGCGCCACCACTTTGAACAAGTAAGTTCTAGCCAACTAGGTTTCATAGGCAGAGTTATTAAGAGGAGGTGGCAGAGCTATTACAGGGGGCTAGGAGTATCATCCCCGATGCAGCTGTCTTGATTCATAACCAACTGAGTACCTGAGACAACAATGTCAGGTGATATACAACAGCTAGGGCATACAGCCGCCTCTTAAGTTTTAGTGGAACAAAGGCTACATGCAGGAATTAGCAAGCCAAAGGAAGATGGCTATTATCTAAGCTGTGGCACATAACTTGGGCTTGGCTTTCTTGCCAGGCAGAAAGCACCTATACTATGGCATTGTTAGGGAAATGCTCTTGGAACAGGATCCTCATCCATATAAGCAGAAACCTCACTAGTCCTGTACTCATCCTCCCACCTCCTCATCTCCAAAGATGGCCAAATTAACTTTTGCCCAGTTAAAAAAAAGCACAGTTGCTTTGTAACAAGGCAGACTGAAGGTCAGGAAGGAAGCCTGGTTTCTCCAGTAAGTTCTTCCAAACTGCTTTTGATTCTTGGCTTCTAACTAAATCCTCAACCCCACCCAGAAGCAGCATTCCATTCTGAAAACCTCCAACAAGTCATACAACCGATACGACCACTGAACATTTGAGGAAAGGACCATGCCTTAGTCCACCAATAGCTATGAGAAGTGTGGTAGCTTGCCTGAGGTTGAATCAGAAGTCATCACTGGTACGTGCCCTTGGCTCTAGCTTCATGAAAGCTGGTCAAAATGCAGGGCTCTTAAGAAAGAGGCGACTTTCACTTAAGAGCCCATCCATGTCCTACAACCCAGCTGTACCGCTCCCCTGAAGTCTGCATGCTCAGAGAGCTATAAGCAAGAATCCCAGTGCAGCTGTAAATCATGTCCATCAAGGAAGTCTGTGGAGAAGAGGCTAGGTGTTGCAGTACTGAGGGGGGTGAGGCTCATCACTGGCCCTCCTGACAGCTCCAACCAATCCATACTGTCCAAGTTAGCCTCTCCCAGGTCCAAGCTTGGTTCCCCAGTAGACTCAGGGGCAAAGTGCAATTCTGATGTGTCCATAGGTGAAGATGGGTGGTCCAGGATAGCTGAACTGCTTAGCATCTCGCTGTAGAGGTCAATTAGGGACAGAGGCTCAGGTCCATCAGGGCCAGCTGTCAGCAAGGGGAGGCCAGTGCTGCTTACCAAGAAGTCTTCCAGCCTGCCTGCTGGGGTGGGATTAATAGAGCTGGAGTGGCTCATGAGCACCTGCAGGGGGAGCTCTGAGGAATGGTGGCTGTTGGACGGAGAAGGGCATCCTGGGGAAATAGTGGCGCCTTTCCTTCCTGGGGAAGATTGCTCCTTGAACTGAGCTGAAATCTCTGAGAGAGAGAAAAAAGCACTTAAATCCATGGATGCTTGCAATATTTTTACTGCTCCTAAACATGGCCACAAGTCTTAGGGCTGTGCAAGTGCTGCACGCACCAACGGCTCAAAGAACCCATGAGCACTGTTGCAGATTAAGCTGCTACATCCTTTTGAAATCTGCTAAGTGGCACAAATGTCTCTTTCAGCACCAAGTGTACACACAAACCTACAAAGGAAATTTGTCCCTTAAACTGGCTTCAAACAAAGGCTCATTAGTGTTCTCTTTCAGATGGCCAGTCTCACTGCTGCAGAAGCCACAGAAGTCCCTAACATAAATACAAATTGTCTACTTACCTCCATGCTCAATTAAGATGTCAAACAGGTCATCCATTTGCTGACTGGAACACCCATTTTCCTGAAAAAGAAGGAACGGGTGCTTATTTAGACATTGCATTCACCAACTATGCAGCAACACTTATCTTCCAATGATCTTCTGGCCAAACTGCACATTCACCAGACTGTTGGTGTCACTTAGCAAAAATGGCACAACCACAGCCTTGGTATGAAGGGTGGACACTTGCAATCTGTGTCCTACCTCAAATAAATGGAAGATGGCTCTAACCCTAGGGAGGCTGTTGCATATTTGATTCCTGAGAATTTCAGGACTGACAAAGTGTGCACTATTTTTGCAAAAGAGCACCAACACCAACATGCTTCTGATTTGTCAACACAAAGGAGCTACTCTCACCTCAAGGGGCTTTGGCTGCTGCTTCACGGCCTCTTCATAACCTGGTGGTTCTTTCATCAACACGGAAGAGGCAGGGAGAGGCAAAGGTGGTGGAGTACCAAAGAAGGATGGGTTCTGCTGCTCAAGATCCATTTGGGGTGGAGATGGAGGAGATGGAGATCCTGGCTGCGAGAGAAGCTGTGAAGAAAGAAGAAGAAAAGCAATGAACAATATTCCCAGATGGGCCATTTGCACGCATCCTCAGCATACAAGCCTCCCTTCTCAGATAATTCACAGTGGAGCCTCTGATGTTACCTTTCCTGCTTCCCTCTTCATAGGCATCATAGCTACTTGCACCACGGTCAAGGGTATACAATGCATGACCTCATCTGAGTCAACATTGACTTGCCTGGCTCAGGAAGTACTGCATTTCTGCAACACAGCAATTTTCCTGCAGGCCAGATCCAAGTCCTACATTTTGCAGAGCGCAAAGTTTCTCATGAAACGTTACCCACCAATCCACCCCTGCTTCAGTTCTGCCGTTATTTGTCGGTTATGGGAGCAGGAGAGGTCAGGTCCCAGTGCCCTGGACAAGCAAGTACATGTATACATTTCCAAATACCACCCCTAAACAAAAACAGAATGTTGGAAGCAGCAGCATTTCAGTAGGACACACATTTCTAGAGGCCTGGCCTATGACATCTATTGTCTCATGTTCCTCAACATATTCATCTGAATTGGAGTGGGGCTTGTTGGCAGGGTACCTTTATGGGCATGCTGGACTGGCCAGTTTTACCACTTGTTTTCATGGGTCCTTTGTGAAAGCCATTCACGAAGAAGGGCTGCAAGTTGGGGGGCGAAGAAAAAGACAAGACTGTTTGAGGCAGCTGCCCCGTGACTATCTGCAGGCCTGGCTTCTGAACCTATGGAGAGGCACAAGGGATAGAAAGCAGAAGGAAAAAGTCAGACTCAGGCTGGTCGAAAGAGAAGTACCACATGCCAAGTGTATTCCCAAAGCACCCAGGCAAAGCTGGGCATAATCCTCAGCAAACAAGAAGAAAAAAGATTCTATGCTAAAAGAAACATTCTAGATGAGAAGCATGGCAATAACTGTCCCTCTGAAGGAGAAGGTACATACCTTGGGAGTATGTCTGGACCCATTACTGTCATTTGAGGCTCAACTGGCATCAGTGGTACTAAGTGTCCTCTATCAGCTTCAACTGGAGGCTCAGCTGTGTCCCTGACTTGTATTGTCTATGCTCTGGTAGCTTCTGGCTGGACTACTGCAGTGCACTGTAAGTGGAGCTGCCTTTGAAGACAGCTTAGAGGTGTCAGGTTATTGACCAAGGTGGGATGGTGTTTGTTCACGACATTTATGTACCATCTTGATCTGTCATGCAGCTCAAAGAGGTGTACATGGTTCTCCTCCCCATTTCATCCTCACAACAACTCTGTGAGGTAGGCTAGGCTAAGAGATGGTGACTGGCCCAAGATCACCCAATGAGCTTCATTATTTTTTATATTATTTATTGAAATTATATACCGCCCTATACACGGAGGTCTCAGGGTGGCTCACAGAACAAAATTCATGGCTGAGTGGGGATTCAAACCCTGTTCTCCCAGGTCCTAGTCCAGCACTCTAATATATAATACCACTTCTGGCACAACTGCGCTGGATACCAATTAGTTTCCAGGCACAACTCAAAGTGTTACTTGCCCTAAAATGCAAAATGTTAGCTGACCACCTGTTTTGTTCCCTACCTTCTTAGTGGGCTCCATTGGCGGTGGCTGCAGAGGCGACTGAGAGCTGCTTACAGGTTGTTGGATAGATGCTTTCACAGGTGGTGAGGACACTCTCTGAGAGAGAAGGATACACAACATTTTAGAGGTTTTTAACACACACCACCCCACACTCAATCTTTAGAGCTAGTTGCTGCAGACACAAATTAAATATGAAATGACATTGACAGAAGTCATGCGCAGGAGTGGAATGGGTGTGGAAGTATTAACTACAGGGTGGCTGGGGAAGCAGGGTCAGTGTCACAGGGAGCATAAAAGCTGGGCTTGTAAACCCAATGAGATTTCTGGGAGCAGGGGCAGGTGCATTTAATCAAGAATCAACAATTATGGTTGCCACTGTCACCACTGGCACGCAGACTTTAGCATGAAGTGGCAACTAAAAGCCCAAACTGCTGATGTTTTCCTTCACTGTCAGACCAGCTCTTCTGCTGATGAACCAGTAATTCTGCCACACACCCATTTTGTTCATGCTCTCACTGACTCTACACCTCAGGAGGGCCCTTCTCCTGTCTTCAACTTCTGCTCACTTTACCAGGCCTCATAAACCCCAGAGATGAAATTAAAGAGCTGCTGCTGTTTGGGGGCCTTTTCTCTCCCCTCACCCCACCGAGATACTTGAGTTTTCTGGGGAAGCTTTAGCTCAGCTCTGACTCACTCCAGCTCTACCCTGGAATAGTGTTTTAATAATATAAACAAAGAACAAAAGAGTTGCTGCGAGGAAAGAAAGTAAAACTGGAAAGGAATTCTGCAGGCAAGATTAGCCTTCTATCCTGGTCTGTTCAGGAACAAATTAGGTCCTGTGTAGAGGTGAGTTCAAAGGACTGAGAACCTGCTCAAGGCAAAGGAGCTGAAAAGATGTGAGAGAAAATACATTTTGAAGAGCCTCTGCACAAGAGCTATGAAAAACCAGGAGTAGTTCCTTTGGTGAGAGAGGCTGTGTTCTTAAATTGTGCAGGCAAGATATTGTGAGTTCGGTTCCAGACCACTGCAATAAATTGAGTATTACAATAAAGCAAGTTACACTTTTTTTTTAGTTTTCCAGTGCACATAAAAGTTAAGTTTACACTATACTGTAGTCCAGCCTGCCTGCAGGGAGGGCCGGAGGGGAAAAACCTGGCTCTAGCCTGTGGGCAGAAGAGGGATGGCAGTGACGGGGGGCTTCCTTGAGGCAACTCAGTAATTGTAATCAGCCAATCAATACATTGATGGTACTCCCAAAGAAAATTCCCAGCCATTCTTTGTAGAGATCATTTTGTGCTGACACGACACTTCCATAATTATAATTATAAGCACAGCTACAGGAATTAAAACTATTCAATTCTAAAGCAATGTGATTTGAGTCTGTTCATTGTTTGAAAGCCCTCCTCTGGTTAGATAGACAGTCTTGATTCAGGAATCATCACTGCATGTATACCTACCCTCAATGGCAAGGGACGGCTCCCCGCTTTTTCCTGAGGTGAGAGGCCCTGCCTCTCAGCATTCTGATTGGTCACGGTGAGAACTATGTGAGTGCCGGTGGAATCTGTGATGAGGGTGGGGGGAGGGGCTCCTTTGATGAGGTTACTGAAGCCTGCACCTTGCTGGCCAATGAAGAAGCTTGAGGTCTGGCTTGGCGGCTCAGTTTCGGCAGCTGGCACCTCTTGCTTCACCATCACTGCTTTCTTTGGCACTGAACTTTCATCTGAGGTGTCCATTTGGCTAGTGGTCTGTGTGGGTTTTGATTGGTCGGTTTGGCAGTTGGGCTGCCCTGAAGATTGGCAACTCAGAAAGCCCTTTTCACTCTTGACACGGGTGCCAAAAGTGAGCGGCTCGGGGACAGTGGCTGTGCCCTCTTCTCCAACAGACATGGCAGGCAGGAGCTGCTGAGACCGCTTTTCTTTCTCCAGCTGCAGCTTCAGCATCTCCACCAGCTGCTGCTTCTGTTTCAACATGCGGGTGAGCTCCTCAATCTGCTTATCTTTCTCCTGCAACATCTGGTCTTTATCCTGGACCTCCATGTCTTGCTGACTGTTGTTGCAGCAGAGCTCTGCCTTTGATGTTGAATTAAAGCTGCAAGTGGTGCCTTTGGAGCTCTCTTCCTTCACCAGAAATTGCACGGGAGATGCTTGCAAGGTAAGCTGAGTCAGGGGAGAGGTCACCATCTCCCCAAAGGCATCCCCACTGGTCGAATTCTCATCCCCGGCACTCATCAGGGAGCGCTCTGAGGGGGTGGGCGACACAGGAGGAGTCGAGCCTGTGCTACCAAACTTCATCACACCATTGCCAGCGACTGTGGCCACAACAACTTCGGCTGAAGTAATGCCAGCGCTGACCAGGGCAGGCCCTGTGCTCAGCCTGGCAGCTGGGAAGGCCACCACCACATCCGCAGCCTTGGGGAGAATTGCTGTATTGGGCTTTGGAGCGGCAGCTGCTCGGCCAGCTGCACCGTTCTGCTCCTGATAAGCCTTGAGCCGCTCAATTAGATCCATCTTGGTGCCTGACACAGGCAGTGCTCTTAGCTTCAACTCTTGCTTCAGCTCTGCCACCTAACATAAAACAGTTTGCAGTCAATCAAAAGCTGTATCGGCTAGAACAATCTCATTTACAACACCTACTTCAATTCGTATGCAGCAATGTATACAGTTCCAAAAGAATCTAAAATACTGTAAGAACAATACAAAATAGTAATTAAAATAACTAGCTCATCTTTTAAAAATTTAAACAACTGAACAGGCCTCAATAGGCATAATCATCCTTCTGGCAGCAATGCTGTATTTAGCACAAAGATGGTGAACCTCTGGCCCTCCAGATGTTGAACTGCAGCTGCCATCATTCATGACTAAGGTGGCCAGTGCTCAGGGTTAACACAAGGAGGAGTTCAATGATATCTTGAGGGCTACAGGTTCTCCATCTTGCATTTACCACTTGCCGCCAGGTCCACAAGTATCAGTCCAAGAGTTTCATCACAAAAGCAGAAAGGCCACTTACTTATTCAACCATCTGGTCTGAATACCAATACTGACCATCAAGTTCAGTGCTAATAGCAGCAACAGCACTTATTTTAACAAATTTATATCCTACCTTTCTAAAAGAAAATATGTGCTCACCCTTTCTTGTAACATTTATACCCCCACTTTCTTCATGAAACACCAAGCTGGCCAATAGATGCTTTGTTTACCTTCATGTCGTCGAGATTAACAGGGAGAGCTCCTGGTTTGCCCACTGGAGTGTTGCTGTTTTGCCGCATCAATCCATTAGAACTGGAAGAAACAGAAGAGGTGCTGCTGACAGCAGTGGAGAGACTACGCATGGGTGGGGCACTACTGCTGCTCTGCTGCTCTCCTGGAGGCCTGAAGGGAGAGGAAAGCGGGAGCTGAACATGGGCAGCGGAACTGATCACAACACTCTGTTCTTCGCCGCTACTACTGGGAAGCCCAATGGACATCCTTATGATCTCTTGAGAAGGTGGTCAATAGTCTGCCCTCAAGATACAGTGCTACACAAATGACCCTTCCCAGCTCCATGGTTGCTTGGAAATTCAATTTTGGCAGCCTCGGCGTGTGCTTGCCAACTGTTATTGACTGCCCTTTTTATTCTAATACAGCAGACATATCAGATATCTTGCTTCATTGCCTATATTCTGCTTGTTATGAAAACAGCCAGATATACTTGCAAAATGAAACAACGGTGTATACTGAATTCACATCAAATGAATACTGGTGATCTGATACTGAGTCAATTCTATGCACAAGCTTCCATTTCAAGTTAGAGGCGATGGACAGGACTTAGAAGAACCTTACAAAGTCATACTGCCAACCACACCTGAAATGCTTATCTAAATACTTTAAACACACTGACACTAAACTCTTGAAGAACTTCACAGCTTCTTGACTGTCCGAAGCACCTCTCCCACATGCACAAAGCAAGCTAGTTCTGAAAGCTGCAAGCACTAACATGTTTGCAATACCTACATAGGCAAGTTACTCTGAGAATGAGGGGACAGTGGATGGTGTACAATTCCCGTTCTTGGGTGGGATTGGTTGGATGGAGAGACAGATGGATACTGCTAACACAGGACCGCCCATGATATTGGGGGGGGGGGGAGAGAAATAATAGCGTGAAGCAACCCATACTTTGGTGGAGCTGGCAGAATGGTTTGATAGTTGTAGTGCTGCTGCTGCTGCTGATTAAGGATCTGAAGCTGCAAGAAAAGCTGTTGTTGCTGCAGGATTTTGGCATAAGATGAATCCATGGGAGGAGCTCCTTTGTCCTGTTTTTGGTCCGGCGGGATGTATTGGTGATATTTCAGCTTCTTGACTTTCGGTTTCGGTTCCTTGGATTTTTTGCTGCGCTGGGGCTTCTCGCATGAGGACTTGGACTGGCTTTGCTATTCAAAGTGAAAACACACACAAGTGAATCAAAGAGCGGGAAGGTAAGAATAAAGAGTGCAAATGCAGAAACAGTTATTAGTATTTGCTGTCGTGTTCCATATGGCTGGTTCAAGCTACTGGCCCTTTCCAGAAAATGTAGAGCTACAAGCCACAGAAGGGGACACACAGTTAGCTTTTGCTGAATTAACTACAAATTGTTCCGGGGGGGGGGGGGGCAGGGGCGGAATACATGCCCATTATGTAACAATACAACAGCAAATGGGAGGCTAAATCCCAACTGCTACATGTGGGATAGGGTAAGGGTGCGTTTATGGACACAGCAGTTGGAAAGGACTTTTCTTTAAAAAGGTTCCCTGCTAGCAGTTTAGCATTACAGAAGAACAAGGCCAACAATTCCCACCCAATCTTAAACATGCCCACATCCCATCAATTTAACCCCTTTATAGAAAGGTACCTTTATAAGGGTTGGGAGTGGTTTGGCAGCAGGAGCAACAACACCATTGGTGAGATTAGGAGGCACTGGAGGCGGCAGGGGTGGCAGGGGAGTTGGTGGCTGCTCAGACAGAAAAGGGGTCTCACTGGAGTCTGCACTGATTTTCAACCGACACACGACCTGCAACAGTAAATCCAAGTATGAGATGCACATGCCCATATCTACACCTTTCCAAGATATGGAAGCAGCTTTATGGAGTCAAAATGTGTCGATTACATGCCACTCCCAGAGGAAAGGCAGACAAATCCCATTTTTGCAGATTTGTTGCTTCTCACTTGCAGCTGCATGCAAAGAAACAGTACTGTGAATGGGCTCAATTCAGAGGAAGAGATACAGCTCAGTAACAGAGCATCTGTTTTGCACGCAGAAGGTCCCAAGTTCGATTCCCTGGCATCTCCCAGGTAGGGCTGGGAATGTCTCTTCTGAAACCACTGCCAGTCAGTCTGGACAATACTGAATGAGATGGACCATTGGTCGGCTTCAGTGTAAGGCAATTTCCTATGCTCCCAGTATCAGCTCCACTGCAGAGCACGGCCAGGGCCTTATTTCTCCCCCAAACAGGATACCCCTTTGGGTTCACATTCAACTATTTTCAGCCCAAAGTAAAGGAATATAGAAGCTTTCGTTAGCATAATTTCAGTATTCAGGTGTTTCTGCTCTAATCCACAAATGACTCCTTTGGAATCCACTCCTTGCAGAGGACTTTTTTGTATCCTCCAGGAAAAGGCACCTTTGTGGCTGGTGCAGGCACCAAGGCACACAAGAGCCAAGGCTATAATAATCTCACCTGAGCGGGGGATGCTGTAGTGGGGGTGGGAAGTGACTCGCAAACTCGAGCTTCCATTGGGGATGGCACAGATCCCTGGGATTCATGGCTAGCTGGCTGTTCTGGAGACAGGGCATCACTGCTGTCCTCGTCAAAGGAGGAGCTGTCTGCTACTTTTGGGTAGTTCACTTGACCTACTGAAAATAATAAATTTTCATTTATTCACTAAACAAATGGAAAGGGGTCAAGGATGATTAGCAGAAGATGGTTCTGGACATCACAAGAAATCTGAGACAGTGAAAAACCAGACAAGCTTTAGACAATTTTTTTAAAAAATCAACGTCACAACCTGAGAAGAAATAGTTAACACCAGGATTAACAAGAATATCATCATCTGCCTCTCTGTAGACAGGTGTAAGGAAAACTGGAGCAAGCTTTGTGTCATATCCTGCCTGAAGGCTGGAATGAACAGTTGAGATTATGAAAGCAAAAAGGAGCACTGGAGATAGATATTTTGGCAGTTGTCTTTTTTTCTTTTTTTTTAAGAGCATTAGAAGGAATAATCTGTGAGGCCTAACTGCTATAGACACTTGTGTTTATTTACGATTTATATCCTTCACAAAAAATATTCCTGTATTTCTTAACAAGATTTTTTTTCTGTGAAAGGAGGTTGGGAGAAGAGAACCAAAAGCCCATTTTTATGGGTAGAACATGAGAAAAAGGAGAGTTATAAGACTGTATGACGGAGGAGAAAGACAATCCAAACCTCTAGAGTTGCTTTATGTCAGGCTTATTTCCGCTACTCCCTAACACTTCCCAGAAGATTAACGTTTTCTCATTCAAAACTATTTCCCTTTTCTTCTCTGAAGGATGCTACAGCAAAATAGTCTACCTAAACTAACGATGAAGAGACCATACAATGGCGATTCTTCTGGCCAGAGGATGGCACTAGCAGACCACACAGCTGTTCATACTTGTTTTTAAGAAGACCAAACCTTCCAGCTTTCTCTTTTTCTCTTCTTACCCCTCTCGCTTACCAAAGCAGGACCACTCAAATGAATGGCTGTAAACAAGTAGATAGGTTTTTAGGAAGAAAAGCAGAATGTGCAAGCTAAGAGAAGACAACCACCCTACAGCAGCTTTTATAGGCATGGAGATCAACTAGTGTTTTTAATACACTGGGGTTCTGCTTCAAGTCTGCCACATGCGCTGGATAAAATGTATACACTGCTTTCCTTGGTCCAGTGGCACAGTGAGAGGTGCTAGCAAACTGCCACAGGACCCAACACATACATGCAGGCCTCCACCTACCCCACCAGCCTTACCAATGAGAGCTTCCTTCAGGCTTGATTCTACAGGCAGAATGTTCTTCTCCACCAATTCCATGGGACCTGGCCGCTGGGCAATCTTCTCATTGAGGTCATCGGCCAGTCTGGCCCGCTTCAACTTCAGCTGCTTGGCCTGAAGGGAAGGTTCAGCAGAGGTCTCTGCTCAGGGGAACAGCAAAAAATATGATCACCTCTCAAGTACATGACCTCGGTAAAAAGTTGGCAGTTCACCGTCTGCGTGGATACATGCCCTCCACTAAGTTCTATTTGTTGGCAGAACACTCCCCTCCATCAAGAGCAAGCTGCATACAATGGAAGTTATGTTTGGTCTGCTCTTTTAGTGTCATGAAATTTATTTATTTTTTTAAGTTAGTAGCTCACAGTAAACTCTCTCTTTTTTTCTCAGAAAGAGCTTGAATTGGCCTGTAAAAACCAGCCTCCATTTATTGCAAGTCTCAAGCCCCCACCAAAAGAAAACTGGGCAAATGATGCACAACGGTCAGTGATGTGTAAACAAAATACCTAAGTAAGTTCTAATAATTCTGTTCCTGTGATTTATATTACCTGTTCTTAATTATGAATTTAACATTTTTGTGACTTGCCCTGGGACCCATTGGTGAAGGGCAGGTAACAATGATGATGATGATGATGACAACAACAAACAAACTGCCCAATCCTGTTCCAACAGCACACTAAACTTCTACTGCCATCCCTTAAAACATTTAGAAATAATTCTCTGGAGAATTTGCTAACCTGCCACCCATCACTCCCCCCCCCCCCCCGGCTAAAGAAAAGGTATCTTAAATGATATGCAGGGGTTGCACCATGCTCATAGATGCAATGGTGTCCTTGAAGTCTTCCCCTGGTGCCTATGATGTATCTGAGGCCCCACCCCTGCCCAAGTCACAAGGTGAGGAGGATGGTTAGCTTTTTCTTCCTTGAGAAGTACATGGGGCTCAAGGAGAAAGCTGGGACCCACAGCACTTGTTCAAAAATCTATAGCAATTCAAGAATACAAACAGTGTGCCTGGAGGACCTTGATAGCAAAGTACTTTGCTCAATGTTAAAGCACTGACCCGCACCAACAATACTGGCCCAACCCGCCAGCCAGGCATCCCCAGCTGAATAAGATTAACATACAAGAGCCATGAATGTAAAGTTGTATCTATAAAGGGTGAAAATTTACAAGAGAAGACTGCACGCCAAGAATCATACCTTCCAGAATGTGCATCCTCACTAACTCTGATCTCTCTGGCCGGGACCGGATCTTCCGTTTCAGGTAGTCCTCTGTCTGCAAATATATATATATGGAAAACAGCATGCTGAACCCAAGTAGGAAGACAGGACTGAAGCAAATAACATACATGATTTTTAACAGGGAAATTATCTTGGATTTTTAAGCATATGATGAGATATAACATTCCCACAGATTTTTACTACCCCTGCCATTGCAACAGGCTAATAACTCCAGAACATTTAAGCAGTATCAGAGAACCTCAAGCAGAATGGGTCACAGAACTTAAAGCACTAAGCGCTTTGAGATTCTTATGTTGTGGTATGTTACATTCTCAGGTTGCTGGGTATAGGGAGAAACACATCTATTGATCAGGAAACTTTGGGAAAGTCAGTTACTTATCTTGAATCCTCAGTCACCTTACAAACTGTATAGCAAATCTGGAGTGATTTTACCCAGGCTCTAATTCTATTAACTTTAAACAAATGTTAAAGGAGAAAGAGAAAGAGAAAGAGAAGATAACAATTCAGCAGCCAGTGCATTCACTTCTCATCCAGCTAACAAGAGGCTCTTTTGGGAATGAACTGAAATACTCCCAAAATGAGACACGGTGCCTGCATTCAGTTTCCTTATTTCTCAAGAATCAACGTTTTCCACTTAGCTTCTGTATTATCAAGCTCTCACCTGGAGAGAAAATCAAGCAAAGTCCAAGGTACCTGAAAGGTGCAGACATGTTTATAATTAAGAGAAACTATCACAGGTGGTGTGCAGAATGGAAACACGCAAGATGCTCAACAGAGAAGCACTTAGAAGAATATGCAAACAGTTTTGAAAATCACAAACGCAGTAACTCTCTTGAAGCTAACTTGTGGCTTACCCTGGCCCGTTCCAAGCTCCTTCTCTGTTCATGAAATGCAGCTGGACTTTTCAGAGCTGTTGGAAAGATAACAATGAAGGAATTACAAGAGTTGGTCTCACACATTTCTAAACATGACCATGCTACTTAAGTGTCACCCAATTCAAAGTACAGGTGTTACAATTAAAGAATACAAGATGCAGTTTCAACATGGTTTTACTGTGTTGGCAACCGCAATAAATCAGAAGCATCAGGGCCAATTTGACAACCGAGTCAGTCAATGCTTGTTAGAGAAATATATGCTTAGGATATATTCATTCTTTATTATATATAATGATTTCAAAACAGGTATCAAACCTCTTAATTCTGTTCTAGCCTTTCATAAAGTCAAGAGTCTAAAAATTTAGCATAATAAAGCCTTGGAGTTCCATTAGCAATAACCTTGGAGATAACAGTTCAAGTCTTAGCCATGTTCTTAGCGACCACATACCAGAAAAAGAGGTAGGGGGGTGTGTGTGTTTTGTTTATGGAGGCTAAGAAGAAAGAAGCAGGGTTAAGACTAGAAGATGTGAGGTGTGACGATCAAGTTGGAATCATGATGCATGCAATCTGGACTTTCGCTACTTACTCTTGGGCTATGTAATGAATATTCCTGTGCATGTGAAGAGGACAATATTGAGACAAACCAGGATTTTGGCAATTGATGTGGGTTGCAATGCAACCTTATGACATTCTGGTTCCTGTGCAATGAGACTTGGTTTTCCATTGTATATAAAGACAGCTCTGTCTCAGTGCCAATTCAGAGAAGGCTACACAGCAAACCACCAAAGAAGAAACACTTTGTCTGCAGGCATCTCCTTCCTGGACATTTTCAGCATATGGACCAGATCTTCTATCAATTTGGGATGGTTCGAATCCATACAATGGAGTAAGCTCCCATTGCTCTGTCCTAGCTTCTGCCAACCTAGCAGTTTGAAAGCATCCCAGTGTGAGTAGATAAATAGGTACTGCTGCGATGGGAAGTTTAATGGCGTTTCTGTGCGCTCTGGTTTCTGCCACGGTGTTCCCCTGCGCCAGAAGCGGTTTAGTCATGCTGGCCACATGACCCAGAAGAGTGCCAAAAACCCCCTAGTAGCCTTTGACTGGCCTTAACCATTCAGGGGTCCTTTACCTTTTTAAACCTTACCTCTGTCATTTTAAATTCACACCCTGGTATGCTGTCAACCTAAGCCAGCTGAGGAAGTAGCCATTTTTACAAATTGCTTAGAGGCACCCTAGGTTTATATAAATCACTTAAATAAATGCAACCCCACACTGTTCCTCACAGAAGGCACATGGACAAGAAAGATTTGATGAAGGGATAATATGACTTCACCAAAGAAGTCTCAGTGTAGCTGAAAATTTCGGCACAAGTACAACTGAGCATGCAAGATGCATGAAGTCTGACATGTCAACACCAACATTACACACAGCCACATACATTAGGATCTGATCATTTACAGCAGGTCCACGTGCAGACAGGAGCAAGGAAGACAGGTCAAGCACACTTGTCTACCAATGCAAAAGTGGTAGAGAATCTAAGGAGTAACATAAAGAATGAACACCTTCCCCGTCTTTTCTCACCACTGAAGAACTGCCAAGAGAGACCCTATTTTAGGACACGGATCAACTGCTGCTGAGCACTGTACAAGCCTTGGAAGAATCCTTTGGCAGGGCTTTTTCTCTGCCAGATTCCAGTAAGCTCACATTGGCTAGGACTAATAGGACTGCTGTCTGCCAACAAATCTTTTCTCAGCACATTGTGGTAGAGTGCTGGTTGCCAGCTGAGTACTTGTAATGTGGAATGGTAGCTTCAGTTGCACAGAATCCCTGGGTCTATTACAGTGAGCAGAAAAATCTGGGACTTAGGTCCTCCAATCTACCACCAGAAGCCATTCAGCTCCAGGTTAGTGGTCATGCTGGAACCAATCACAGAAAATGATACCACACCAATGCTGCCTAAATAATGCATCTGTTAAAGGTGTGGTCCTTAATAGCTGCAATTTCCTAGCATTTTGGAGCTTGAGTGGACATGGGAAGTCTTTAACACAACATGTCAAAGGGTTTTTGTTAATTGAATTCTGTTATTAAGAATTTGGTGTGTGTGTACACACATGGAAGACTAAATAACGTTATGTGGAGCACAGCAGACCTCTAGTAAAAACATTGTCAGCAAATGTAGACACAGGATGCTTTTTACAGCACACACATCTTTGAGAGGCTTCTTAATAGTGCTGTAGCTGTGTAAGGATAGGGTAACTGAGAAAAGCTCCTGAAATAATGCTTTCCACTATGTGCTCCCTCAGTCTCAAAGGTATTCAGAAATACAAGGTATAAGGGTAATTTGGTGGTGGCAACAGCAACCTGTTTAAAGAAAAGTCTGATCACCTACAGTAGAGTAGTAACCAGTGCCAAGACGCCTATGATACCTTTGTGATCCATAGCAAGACAACCAGTAAGAGGAGCTTACCTGCTATTTATCTTGAAGTAGTTAAAGGTAAAGGGACCCCTGACCATTAGGTCCAGTCGTGGCCAACTCTGGGGTTGCGGTGCTCATCTCACTTTATTGGCCGAGGGAGCCGGCATACAGCTTCCAGGTCGTGTGGCCAGCATGACCAAGCCACTTCTGGAGAACCAGAGCAGCGCACGGAAACGCCGTTTACCTTCCTGCTGGAATGGTACCTATTTATCTACTTGCACTCTGACGTGCTTTCGAACTGCTAGGTTGGCAGGAGCAGGGACCGAGCAACGGGAGCTCACCCCGTTGCGGGGATTCGAACCGCCAACCTTCTGATCGGCAAGTCCTAGGCTCTGTGGTTTAACCCACAGCACCACACCCCAACAAAAGTCTTTTTTAGTATTCTGAGTGATGAAATTCTATTGTTTATTATTATTATTATTATTATTATTATTATTATTATTATGAAAAGGAGTAACTAAGAAGCCTGTTATCTTTCAATTGAATCCCCCCAAAGGGAAATTCTCATTCTCACAGGTATTTCTATGAAAAACACTTGGCTTGTGCTTCATCCCAATGCTGGCAGTAATGCAAAGAAAAGAATTCCATTCTTGACCTCTGAAAATGCTGAAGGGAACAAGTCTCTATTTCTCCCACAAGATTCTCTTGGAAGAAACCAAAGATCACTGGTATAGTATGTATTATCAGACTCCATCCAAACTAACCAAACAGTGTACATTTTTCTTGGCTACATAAAAAGTACATAACAAATGGCCCAGAACTGTCAAACAACTCTACCATGTCAGTTAGGAGATCGACCTTTTCTAGCATGGCCTTAATATATTGTGTAGCTATAAGTAGCCAAGTTTATGAACTGCAGTAACCCACACTCTAGAGAAATAGACTGTCATTTTCAGATTTCATTTTTAAAAGACTTCCATCCCTCAGGATTGTGAAAAACATGGAAACATAAAAGAAATCATTGCTGAAAGCCCTAAGACTAATATCAAGATATGGTCCACAAGACAGCCTTTGCAGATCCAGTTCAAAACCCACCATTGTTCCGGGCTTATTCCATTCCACCCTAATTCAATGCTTTGGGGCAGTATTCAACTACTACAGCTCATCATTGCAAGGATTTCTGCTTGTACAACAGAATTTCCCCCTCTCCCACCCAAATCTGCTCCAGAAGGTTGCAGGAACTCATGAAAAAGATATTTTGGTAGGGAAGGTGAAGAGGAGAACATTCCATGTTACAATGCTGAGAGAATGTTTACTTAAACAGTACATTGAACACAACCCTTTATTTCCCAATATGGAGGAGCGAATCTGCCCCAAAATTATCAAAGCTTCATAAAAATAAGAGCAAGGGATATAGTACTGCCAATTAGGGAGAATATACATATTAAATGTGTGCTGTGTATGCACCCAGCTGTTCACTTATTCTAGCCACTATCAAGGAGGAATGGAGCAAGACAGAACCCAGTCCCTCAAGGACTGCAATGTATAAAGAAAGCATTTAAAGAGGTTGCAGAGTCACCTCTGCAAACCCCTAGGTTCCATGTAACAATCTGTATATAGCCAGTCTTAGATGCGTAACTGCACAGGCACCAAGAACCTCACTCACTCCAACCTCTATGCATCAGCAACATGACACAGAAAAGTAGCCATAGATGTGTATTCCTTTCCATACCCTACCTTTGCTATATTTTGAAGATTTCAAAGATCCATAAAGGACATCCATTAAGGTGCTGGCAAGCAAACAGTCTGAAAATTGATTCTAACCCAGAGTAGTTGCCAAACCTAACCATACTATCACACTTATTGATAATCAAGATAATTTAAAACTTACTTGAAAAGGAACAGATTCTAACAGTAGGACTTAAAGTGGGGCCCTTTCAAGTAACACTGGTGCCGCCGCCACCAATGTATCCCTGTTTGATCTGATGAAGTGAGAAGGAGGTACAGTAGTACCTCTGGTTACGTAAACTTCAGGATGCAAAAGAGGCAAACCCGGAAGTATTTGATCAGGTTTTGCCGCACGCATGCGCAGAAGCGGTCCTCAGGTTGCGGAAACCTTGGGATCCGACTGGACCTCCGGAAGAGATCCCATTCGCAACCGGAGGTACCACTGTACTTGGAACAGGACTTTCTCTGAGTATTTCAGTGGTAGGCTCATGGCCCAGGCTGTGTTTTCAGAGGCAGTATGCCTCCAAATATCAGCTGCTGGGAATTGCAAGTGGGGAGAGTACTGTTGCCCTCTGATCCTGACTGTGGTCTTCCCATAGGTTGGCCACTGTGACAACAGGATGCTGAACTAGATGGGCCACTAATCTGCTCCAGCAGGGCTCTTCTGATATTCTATAGGGGGAAAACCCAAGACTTTTAATTACACCTTAATCTAAGCCCAGTGTTAACAGCAGCAATTAAGACTATTCTCATTTAGAAACTGAAACACAACCAGGGCCACTACAGGTAAACCAACTCAGTTCCACTAGCCTTTACAAAGGAAGATGCTGGAAAGATAATCAGAATTATCTGCTCTTTTTAGGAGCTAAATCGGAAGAGATTTCATTCCTCGAGTATTATTATTTTAGCACTAGCTGAGAAACAATTCAAAGCCATGAAGCAAGTTGTATGTTTCTATTATGTTCTCTTTTCTTAAAAGATCCAGGTGTCAGTATATTCAAGTGTTGTTCTAGGTAAAACAACAAGAATGAGAAACACTAACCTCATAAGTTCAATATTTTAAAGGAACTTAATGGTATCACTACTCATGTAGATAAAAGCCCATCTATAGGAGGTTACAACAGTTTACAATGTGTTGCCCTGTAGATGTTGTTGGACTTCAACTCCCATCATCCCTAACCATTGGCCATGCTGGCTGGGGCTGATAGGAATTTTTGTTCAACCTTGGGGTTTCCCCCCCACAAGTGTTTGGGTTCTCCCAAGTCTGCTGAAACCTTCCTCTTGTGCATGGATGATGTCATTTTGTCTACAAAAGGATTGGTAGCCAGAACTGAGATCACTGTAAGTATACAATATGATAATACTGTAAGGTCGCCATAGCCCTGTGGCCCCAGGCGACAGAGAGGGTTTACACTTGATTTATGGTAGGGTAAACGCACATGCTCATAAATCCAAAAATACTCTTACCGCTAAGCAGTTGGGCTGTATCTGAACAACAGACTCAGAACATTGTTTATTTTTTCTAATAGAAAAGCTTTAGCTGCAAAAGAGTTCTTTTTTTCTTGTCATCAAGAGTTTCATTTCGTTTTGCTTTGAGGAATGTACACCATTTCTGAAAGCATGTTTAGCTTTAGTGTCATATGCAAATCTGTCCTCAGACAGCACACTGGATCCCAAACAATCAATGCCTTCCAAGGAGAAAATAAACATAGATCACTTGACTCAGTGCTTTGAAAACAGTTTGCATATACCTGTTTTGCAGCAAAGCATGGGAAATGCATGGGGCGTGGGTGGCACTGTGGGTTAAACCACCGAGCCTAGGGCTTGCCGATCAGAAGGTTGGTGGTTCGAATCCCTGAGACGGGGTGAGCTCCCGTTGCTCTGTCCCTGCTCCTGCCAACCTAGCAGTTCGAAAGCACGTCAAAGTGCAAGTAGATAAATAGGTAAGGTAAACGGCGGGAAGGTAAACGGCGTTTCCGTGCGCTGCTCTGGTTCGCCAGAAGCGGCTTAGTCATGCTGGCCACATGACCTGGAAGCTGTACGCCGGCTCCCTCGGGCAATAAAGCGAGATGAGCGTAGCAACCCCAGAGTCGGTCACGACTGGACCTAATGGTCAGGGGTCCCTTTACCTTTACCTATGGGAAATGCAGCATGGGAAATATTCCTCTGGAGACTCCTTGATGTAGGTGAAGATCTGCACTACAGTGAAACCAATCAAAGAGGCTGTTCATGAGCATGGCACAGGTTTGATGAGTAAGTATTTGCCATAAAATGAACAGAAAATTATATTAAACACTGTAGATATTATAGTTGCCTTTGTCCATGGAGTTTTCTTGGCAGGGATACTGGAGTGACTTGCCGGTTCCTGCTCCAGGTGGATCACATTTGGTCAAAACTCTCTACTATGACCTGTCCATCTTGGGTGGCCCTGCACGGCATAGCTCATAGCTTCTCTGAGTTATTCAAGCCCCTTCGCCATGGCAAGGCAGTGATCCATGAAGATATTATAGTAGCTTGCCAGTATTCCCAGGAAAACAGTGAGACTTGTGCCTTCTCTGTTTTTAAAATTAGGAGCATTAGCTACAATCCAGAGAGTCGGCATAATAAAGGCTTGCGTATACAGTATATCTCATAGCTTCTATTTGTGATGCATGATAAGGGCATGACATTGAAGTAACAACTTCTGAAGCTCTCCCAAATGTGCTTTAGATTTGCAACCTCTGAGTGAGAGAAGAGAGTAGATCAATTGATCTTAATGATGCTTTATAACTTCCCTTCCTTCCTCTGTATCCTTGTTCTTGCAGCACTCTCAGTCATCACAAATATGAAACTAACTCCCTGCAACTGTTGGCACATGCAACCTTGAGGCATGGTGACTGAACCTGGAAGCTCAGTGGATGGAGAAGCTCCCAGGTCTCAATCCCCAATATCTCTAGGTAGGGCTGGGAATGTCTTCTGTTGGAAACACTAGAAAGATGCTGTCAGTTGGTGTAAACAATGCGGACCTAGATGGACCAACGGTCTGACTCCATAGAAGGCAGCTTCCTGTTCCACCAGAGCAAACTTGTATTAAAACAAATGTCTCTCTTTGCCAAAGATCCTGAAGTTCCCTGTATGTGAAGAACACATAGTTCATTAAGTCTGGCATAATTTGTTATGCAGGGTAGCTTTGTAGTTCACATTTAAAGTAAACTACAGTATCTTTCCCATCTAGTTCAAATGGTGAGGAAATGAAGCAGGGCAGAGAAATGTTCCTTTTTAGCAGATTAAAATTATGAGAAAAGGCGAAGCCATTTAGATAGCATTTCCTCATTTTTGCTACTTATTAACTGCTCTTGAAACACACACAGAACTTAGCTGAAAGCATGACCAACTAAATACCAGGAGCCATGGGAACAAATGGATTAGTTTATACATGAAATGTAGATAATACACTTCCAGAAAAAGTTAAAGCTGTTGATAGCTCTGTTTTGTGTTCTGCAAGGATTTGGTTAAAGTGGACTACTGCATTCTGAACATAGCACCACTTTTAAAAAGCTTCATACAACCACAGAACACTAATTCAACTGAATGCTGTATATTGCTGGTTCAGATTGTTCATCTTATTGACCACTATATTGGTCGCAAAAACAAGAAGTCATTTGCAATCATTCTAGCATCATGGACCAGAAAGGCAGCTTCAACTAGACTACAGCAATGTACCATTTACTCTCTCTCTCCAGTATATTTACTCTGAGCTCCCTTGACCTACCAGTCGATAACATCAACTAGTTGTAATTCTCTTTAAAATATGTTTTAAGTACTTGTACAATAGTTTTTCATAGTTATTAACTAATCCCAAAATAGAAACATTCCTTCCTATGTTAGACTTCTTACTAATCCCACAAATCAGAAGGAATTCTATTGAGAAAGCTTAATGATTAAAAGACAAACTGGCTGCATTCAGGCAGAATACTTTTGCTTCCATTTTAGATTGACCGCAGCTTGCCATTTCATTTCAGACCCAACAAACTTACCGGTAATTCTTAATTACAGATCTTAATTACAGTTTCTTAAAACAAGACATCTTCATAGTTTAAGAAGCTGGGTTTTTTTCAACAAACCATAGTTAAGGGTTCAGACATAATGCTGAACTGTGGTTAATCTAACTTAGTAGCTTCTGATCTCTTCCTTGTGGAAGGAGGGGAGAACACATGAGGCCATGGTTTGCCGCAGTTCATCCTCATAATGATATATCATTGTTTGGTTTAGTGTTACATGTGAATTGGGTCAGTGTATCTAGATTTGGACATTGCAACAATCTGTGGTTAATTTAAAAGGAACCAAAAGCTTTCTACACTCTTCATCATGGCTCCTGAGAAGTGGTGAGAACTCACTGCAGCTCATTGCTATAACTCTGAACCATGATTTAGGATCATGTATGAAAGACAAGTCCATTACTTCTGCAATACCCCAAGCTGGTAACTTGAAGAAATATTGTCATTTGATGCCAGGGACAAATGTGAGTAAAGTTAAAAGATAGGTAATCTTTATAGTCTTTTCAAATTCTTGTTGACAGGGTTCCATCAATGTCATTCCTACACTGATCACAAAGGGGCACTACAGAGCAGCACAAGGAGTCAAGGATGGGGTTCCTGCAGCAATGCCCTCTCCACCGTACTTGTCTCACAACAGGGAGAGAGAGGCAGAGGTCTATGTAAAGCACTAACCACAAGACCACTGTGCTTGCAAGGCTATATTTTCACAATCAATTTCTGTGGATTTCCTTCCTGCTTGGTGGTTTGGAAGTGTTGACAGTATCCAACAACCTGCAAAATGCATAATGGAAGGAACAGGGCAGATGTCTCCTGTGGTTTCACCACATAATTTTATTAAACATGCTCTACAATATGGACATTTCTGTCTTGGAAGATAACTGCACTTGAAGCATGTCGGGAGACTAGTAGTCTTTTTTTAGCCTTATATATAAAACTGTTGTGGAGGCCACTACACCTAATGTCTTTTGTATAGGAGGCGGTGCTAGTTGTGAACACACAATTCAAGTACAGTACAATTCTAGTGATGGTTCTTCTCTGTATGGGTTCTGGGCATCTTTCTCTCAACACTTAGGTAAGCTTCACAATTAGGGCATCAAGGTAAAACATAGTGCATGAAGTGGTAACAAGGGCAGGGGTGGGGAACTGAATCCAGCCAGCAGGCCAGATTCATATCCCTCCACCCTTGTGCGCCATGTAACAGGTGGGCAAGACCACACACCACTCAATTCCCTAACATCACAATAGTACCAGGTGACCCATGTGGTACACAACATTTTGAAACACTGCAAAGTCTTTCCAGATGGCGCCTGCATACAAACCCCTTTTTCAAGTATAGGCACATGCCTAGTGTCATTTTCTATGCGGCCCTTCATCAGAGAGGATCACAAGGCATTTTACAATATAAAAACACAAAAATACATAAAAAGCCAAAGACTGTTTAATTAGCCAAAGGCCTAATTAATATGATGGCAAGTGGATATGCCTTGATCATATCAGCCTTGCGGGCCAAATGATAAGGCCTGGAAAGCCTAACTGGGCCTTAGGGACAGACATTTCCCACTCCTGAGCTAGAGTTTAAAAGCAAAATATATCAAGACAATGTTCCCACTGGACAAAATTCTGGTATCTTCTTTACTCTACATTTAAAAGCATGAATTAGCTAATAATGGTGTTGCAAAGTTTCTGTTTTGTAGCCTATATACTATACTATTTTTTATTCCTCAAAAAACAACCCCAAACCCTACTCAATGTGAGTTCTCAGCTAATTCTCACAACAAGCCTGTGAAGTAGGGTTGGGCTAAGAGACAGTGACTAGTTCAGTAAGCTACATGGCTGAATGGGGATTTGAACCCAGATTGGCCTGGTCTCATTAACTACTACATGACACTAGTTCTCGACCAAATTCATGTGAAAATTTCAAAATATGAAAGTAGGATGCCCAACAGTACCTAATATTCCTCGCTCAGCCTCCCTTTTTGCTGTCATTTGGAGAAGCTAGAAAACAGCTGTACCCTCTCGCACTTGTTCACATTCAAATTTCAGTGCAAATAAGAGCTCTTTTCCACTTGCCAGAAGGCTCAAGGGAAAGGCTGATCTTCTTTCACTTCCTTTCAAGTCAGAGATTGTGAAGGAGTAGGGAAAGACTCCTATGGTTCCTCATTGTTCCCAAAATACCACAAAGGATAAGAATCCTGCCTTTCCCTCAAGCTCTCTTCAAGTATCAGAAGACTCAAGGGAAAGGCAAGGTCTACTCTAGTTTGACCAGGTGTTTGGATAATAAAAGTGTGGGAGAGGCCCCTCCCATTTCTTACTTTTTCCATAATGCAGCACAAATTAGAGAAACCCTTGTCTCTCCCACAAGCCTCCTTGTGCATGCCAGATAACTTAGAGGAGGAGATTGGCAGCAAGCACCAGCAGAAATTGGCCAGTAAACCTCAATGCAGATACAACTAACATAAAAATCTGTCGTACACTGATCAATCTACTCAGTATCTGTCTACAATTAGAGGGGGGGGGGAGAATCAGAACCAAGGGACCACTGTAATCCCCCTGACCTCTCTAGTCAATCCTTGAGACTCACCCTAGGACTCATCTCTTACCAGCCCAGTAGACACCTCTGATTTTCATGTAGCTGGAATGTAGAATGTCATGCTGTACAAATGGGAAAGTCCCAATTTTGCCCATGAAAACAGTGCAGCCCTTGGGCTGAAAAGGGTTTCCCATCCTTGAACTACAATGGCTGGTGGCAGAGGCTCTCCAGCATTTCAGACATAGCTTTTTCCAAGCCCTACATGGAGATATTGGGAATTAAGCCTGGGATGCCTGCATATATAACACGTGCCACTGAGCTATGGTCTTATCCTTGATATTCTAGTTGAGTTGTGTGTGACAAATACAGTTTGTCAGGTTACAGACGCTTTAGGTTACAGACTCCGCTAACCCAGAAATTGTACCTTGGGTTAAGAACTTTGCTTCAGGATGAGAACAGAAATCACGCCGCCACAGTGCGGCGGCAGCAGGAGACTCTATTAGCTAAAGTGGTACCTCAGGTTAAGAACAGTTTCAGGTTAAGAACAGACCCTCAGAACGAATTAAGAGGTACCACTGTATGCTGGCCTTCAAGAAATGAAAAGGTTAACTTCATCTAAAAATGGTGCTTTTAAGTTAGCTGCTTGAGATAGCCACAATGCATTAGGAAATGCTGAACTGTAGAGTATATGCAGGTTTACTAGCTCCCAGTCTGACAAAGCCCATCACGTTTTACAAGTTTACTCAGGGCAAAATAATATTTCACTATTAGCATACCAAGAAAGTTAATGAAGGCACACAATGTGGTTTTAATTCCACTAGTTTAAAAAGTATAAGAAGTAAAAGTACAGCCAACAGCTTGCATTATTCTAAAAGGAGATGGGTTGTTTTGAATGGGTATTTAAGCAAGCTTAAGTGTACTTGAGAAAAATAAATGTAAAAGCTTCCTATTTTTTTCTGCTCCAACCTCAAATGCAGATCTGTTTTGGAACAAACTGCTCTGACCTCAAATCTGTTCTAGGAAGAATGCCCAAAAATGCAAAGATAGGATCCATTTAAGTGAGTAAAATGGGACCTATCAGGTCCTTGACTGCAATCCCTCTCCTCCCTAGGCATTTCACAAGTTGAGTAAGTTCATAACTGAACTATATATCTAGAATATGCAGCCCTCAGCCTTGCCTTATACATACTGAACTGTTTAAATTAAGGAAGTTTAACAAAATACTCATATAATCTGAATGAATGGGATTGGAGGACACAACAAGCAGAAGCGTCTGGCCTTTTGTGGTTTCTCTAATTTGCAACACTGCCAAGTTAAAATGAACAACTTCTAGAATCTCTCTGAATTGCACACTGGCATTATGGTCAGCTCATACTATTAATAACGCAAGATACCAGACCTCATAATGTAAATTCAGTCCTCTTCCTTCTCACTCTGGTGATTAAAACCTTTATTTTTGTTTATCATGTGCTTGTTTTATGTAAACAATTTTTGGAGGAGAAACCCAGAAGGATGGCTTCCCTCAAAAGCAAGGTCAAGGAGTGTCATTATAACATACCTGAATATACTTACACTGAACGTGCACAGAGGCAAGGATGGAGGACAATTTATGCATTTCTACTCTTATGGCAGCCACTATTCTATACTAGGACCGGCAAAGGTGCCTTGATTCTAAATTTCCATTAAGATTAGCAATAGTCAATCTCTACGGTTTTATCCTACCAAGATGCAGAATCAGGGCTGAACTATGCAAACATGGGCTAGTTCAGTTCTCCAATGCTTTCATTAGAACAAAGTATGTATGCATAAAAAGGTAAAGGGACCCCTGACCATTAGGTCCAATCGTGGCCAACTCTGGGGTTGCGGCGCTCATCTCGCTTTATTGGCCGAGAGAGCTGGCGTACAGCTTCTGGGTCATGTGGCCAGCATGACTAAGCCGCTTCTGGTGAACCAGAACAGCGCACGGAAATGCCGTTTACCTTCCCACCGGAGCGGTACCTATTTATCTACTAGCACTTCATGCTTTCAAACTGCTAGGTTGGCAGGAGCAGGGACTGAGCAACAGGAGCTCACCCCATCATGGGGATTCAAACCGCCGACCTTCTGATCAGCAAGTCCTAGGCTCTGTGGTTTAGACCACAGCACCACCCGCGTCCCATGTATGCATATATTTAAGCTATTTATATACCACTTAATCACTGAAGTTTCTAATCTGGTTTCACTCTGGAACATAACGGGAGGTATGGGGTAAAACCTGACCCTCATCCCTGTCACTGGAATCACTGTGACACTGGAACAAGCCAGGCCTCCATCTCAACTATCTCCTTGTGCCCCTATACTTTATCCCAAAATTGTTTCCAAAAATAAAGCACTGCACCGGGGGCCTAAACCAACCTGCCAACCATAACAACAGGAGGACTGGCCTCCATTAACAAGGCCCTCTGTATACAGAGATGCACAGCACCCTACAGCCCCTTCCTCTACATGCATACCTTATTATCAGAGTGATGGGCATTTATCTAATAATAGATTAAAAGTACAATATGAAGTGTTTTATAGTTTGAAGCACAGCATTCTACACAGAATGCTTACTCTGTGTATCTACGACAATGATTGGGAAAATGTACACACACCCCTAAAGAAAAATTATGGGGAATGATGGGAGTAGTAGTCCAACATCTGGAGGGCCACAAGGCCCCCATTCCTGATCTATGCTACAGGTAAACCCTGGCAGCCAAGAGACCTGTGCCTGATAAAGTGTAGTCAATAAACAAAAAGAATGCAAATAAGTAGGACTGAAATAAGAACTAACTAATGAACCCAAGTAGTCAATCAAAGTTTTTAATCAACCTCCACTCAACCATAAAGCTCACTGCGTGACTGTGAGCCAGTTACACTTTCCCAGCTTATCCTACCTCAAAGGGTTGTGGTGAAGATAAATTTATGTACGTTGCTTTGAGCTCACTGAAGGAACGGTGGGATAAAATATAATTATTTTGAATGGATATGGCACTTCATTGATCTAGCAATGACTACATATCATAGGAAGGGATGACAAGGGTTGTGTGGACTCCTGGCAGAGATCTAAAGCCAAGGTTTTGCTTGCTGTCATCAAGGTGGAAGGCACTGGTGATACTGCTGCCTGCTCCTCCAGTCAAAAGCCTAGCCAACCAGTGGGGAAGACCGGGTTGGGGATGGGAGGCAGAAAAGGATGGGTACTGGGTTCCTAGAAGCCCCTCTTGCTGCTTCTCACTGAAGCACAATAGTCTGGGGAAGGGCAGGCAGGCTGTGGGTCCCCAACAGCTCCACCCACTGCTAGAAAGGGAAATCCCCAGCACTTTGGAGTTGCTTCCTCACAGACATGGCCTGGGTCACCTTCATCTCTCAAATTTCAATATACAAAAAATAGCTGCACACTGACATTTAAAATGAAAATTAGATACATCTTATTAAAACACTATGAACTGAAACCTACTTCTTTTCTTCCACATCCCCTCTCTTCCATTTAACCCCCCCCCCATGCAACAATATAATTCTTTGGTCTAGAACAAATATTTCTTCTGATCTATCCAATGTATCAGAGTTGTATGTGTTTTCCTTTCTGTTTAAAAAAAAAGTCCTAGAGAGTATGCCTGAACATTTAAAAGTGTCCATTAACATTTTAAATCAGAATTTCATGTGCAAGCTTAACTTACCAATAAATAAAGTAAAACTGATGGTTAATTGACTGGAAGTGTTTTAAAATTGAATGGCAGGCCCACAAATGAGACATGAGGATGGCAGTGAAGAAAAGAAAAGGTGAGCTAACCCTAGTTTTGCAATAATACATTTTCAACTAATGGTATTTGTTTTATTTGCTATCAATGTATCCTTGACAAGTTTTTTAGACTCTCTCTGCACTAGAGGAATAACATTCACTAATCTGCTTGCCAAATATGTCTGTTTATACTGAAAAGATCAAGTTTTATATTAGTTTTCTGCCTATAATACACCTATTCAAAACACCTGATTGCTCTTAAATTTGTTTACATCTAGTGCCATTGCCAACAAAGCAAGCCAGCATGCATACAGAATCCAGACTCCTGCCTATTGGAACTACAGAGGCAGCAACGGAAATAGCCCAATTAGCTGCTGTAACACTTCAAAAGTATCCAAAAACTTCTCAAATCCATTATAAAGAAAGTCACTTGGAAAACAGTCATTCAACATGCAATTGTTGCTGCACATTTTACTACGGTTGTCAATACTGAAATTAAAGATGCTGAACAGGTCAGCATGAGGCACTGGGGAGTCGGTTAGAGCACCCTTTACACCGGGGTTCTGTTTGAAACCACTTTGCTCACAAAAGGCACAAACAAAGCAGAGAATCATGGAACAATTTTTTAGAATTTGAGAAATTTTATAAACATGCCAACTAAAATCATATGTCTGAACATGAAGAACAGAAACCAAAAGTGAACGGAATAATTTACTAGTATCGAGATACAGGAAAATATATGTGCAAGAAAGGGCCCTCCAAACTCCTCTTTATTTGCTTTTCAGCTTTTAGAGAGCCAGGAACTTCCCCCAGAAACAACTGTGTACTTCCAACTAATCAACAGACAAAAATGTTTATAGGCCAGCTTCACATAAAGTCCCAGTTGTTATTGCAACAGCTAGGACTTGCAAAATAAAATGTTGATATATCTGGATGCTGCTTATAACAAGAACAAAGAAAATCCTTCTAACCCAAAATGAGTCGTCTAGTACTCTTGTAGCAAAACAGCAACATGACATTGGTACGCTGAGCCGATGCTTGCACAATTCTTAGCAGAGCCAACACCTTTGTAAAGGCTTCAAGGCAAATACACTACAGAGCATGCAAAAATAATTCAACTGCTTTTCTACCAGCCCTCATGTTACTTCTCCTGATGCATTTGTCTATTTGATCATAACTTTTCATACACTAAAAAGTTATTTTCAAAGCGTTCCTTAGCCCTGCATATATTTGTTTCATCATTGACTTGAGCCACACCTAATGAACAAGCTATTGCAGCACTTGTCACCATGCAACAAAACCTGCTGTCTAAAGGTTACAGTGAAATTCTAAACAGTAGCAAATGCAGAAAAAATCTTTGTTGCATGAACATTTTATAGCCGGGGTACTACTAAGCATGTGTGCAGCCACACTCCCAGCTCAATGGCAGAAAGCATGCTAAGAAAATGACTACCATGCACCCAGTTTTTCACATGTTTCTAGCATGGCAACATCTTCCCGTAAGTCCTTCTTTATCAAGTAATACAGCCACATCTTACTCTGTGCAGCAAGCAACTTCCAGAAAATAGATGCTAGGGTACCAGTCCTAGAAATTAAAAATGGCACAAGGCTCCACACACCGTACATGGGGACTGAAGTGGAATGGATCTTGGAAGGGCAGATGTTTCAAAGCTCTCTCTCATCTCAAAAAAAGACATTGTGTATTCAAAGAGAAAGAAGAAGTTTAAACAAGTTATACTTACGAGGCATGATCCCTTGGCTAACCAGCTCCTCGCGTGTTCGCCGCTGCTGGAGCTTCAACTGTAGCACTGCAATGAGGCAGACAAAGAATTAAGTGTGGAACAGGTTACTGTGACATGCCACAATGCAGAGCATATTTTTCTCTTCATTTTCTTTTCTTTTAGCTCCAGAACATTAGTGTGTAGGAGAGAAGCCCTGTCATCCCCACCCAATTCTTAACTCTTGCAATTGCAGAAGTGGCCTCAAGCAGCAAGGTTTCCGTATTCTGCTGTAGACAGCGGGGAGAGGAAGTTACAATGCATTTTAGCAGGTTGATAAAAAAATCCACAGAGTATGAAAACAGGGCCTGTTGCTCAACAACTCCTGCAGCACCACAGTCCTTTGCAAATAATGAAAGCATAAAAACACGGGGACCACACAAACAGACTCTGATCCAGTAAAATGCAGAAATTCACATTTACCGAAGTTTTCATTCATGTACACCTAAATTTATCACTAACAACTATACTGTCAGTTGCATGGCTTGTCCCTATTTCTTACAACCAACAGGTTGTACCAACACTGTTTCCAAAAAGTGAGATTCCAAGAAAAAATCCTTTTAAGGATTTGAAGAGTTCACCGTAAACCATCTACAAGTTTATACTGAAGGGCACATAACATGGATCAGTTTCTTCTGAATCTGAATGTACTTTTAATTATCCTCACAATCCATAGAGTTAGTGATACAAGGTATATTTTATGTACTCTCTCAATGTATGCTTACAAATCATAGTGTGGTATTAAAATATACTAGAAATTGTGAGAACAAAACAGAAATAAATTCTGAGTAGCATATCTGCAGGAAAAGGTATTATTTTATGTGTATCTTTAGACATTTTTCTATGCAGAAATAGGGACGATAATGAAGCTGAGTATACCCATAGCTATGCATACATGCATATCATATATGCAAATCATGTTGCAATTATGTGCTTATAGAAGGTGCTGATACAAGTTAGCTGCCCCATTTAACTGAAAAATTATTCTTGATCTGGTCCTCCACACTGTGTTAAGAGGCACCAACTAAAGCTGTTTGGGCTGTTAGGGTTTGAAATTAGCAGGGCACCAGGAACATTTTGCACCTAAAGATTCTCCATTTGTGAGCACCTCAAAAAGTCTGGGTGCCATTTTTTGCGCCTGGCTGACACTCAAGGATTAGTGAAACGTATGTGCTTTGAAGCCTCAAAGTATACGTTAAGAATAGACAATATGTTAAGGAGTTTAACAATAAATAGTGTTTTGAAAACACCAAATTAAACATGTAAAATGTTTAAAGTGTGATATTAACAATGTGTCACTTATGTGAATTGCACATTAATTCATGCTTATCAAAATAATAAATAAAAAGTGTTGAGACCCTCCACACACACACCCAGTGGCGACTACATTCTTTTGGCGCCCACAACCCAGGTCCCAGAAGCTATTTGGCTCCTAGTTTTTGTATCCCAGTTTCTAACACTGGTTATGGTAATATAAAACCCAACTTTTGTGTGGCCTTTTTATGATTGTGCAAGTTTTGATTTCCTAAAGATTGAAATAAGTGGAAGATAGAACTTTTTTTAAAGTGCTTTCATAAGTACAAGGCAATCATTTGTTAACTATTCAAGTGACACCAGTATTACACAAGTAAACTTAAAGTAATTCTGCAAGATGACAACATACAAGCATGTCTGTATCATATCCTGAGCGCCAAAGTTTGCAAAAAAGTTACAATATAAACTGGGATCAAGTCTCTTTAGAAGAAATATAGATCAAACAACTTTGAACATCATAGACACATTCAGAAATAATTTCCAGAGAGGCAGGTTGTTTTAGTGTGTTGCAGAAAAAACAAAAGAATCTTGTGGTTCTATAAAGATTAACACATTTATTATGGCATTAGCTTGTCTGGACTAGTCTCCAAGTATATATCTTTGAGGTATTAAGTACACATTTCTATATAGCCTTCAATTCAGAAAAGCATTAAAAACAATCTTACTGCCAGAACAGTGCAGCAATCAAGTGAAGCCACTGAAGGGTGGGTCAAATTAGTACTGCATGAACCGTTTGAATCGGAAGTGAAAACACCCATTGTAACCAGATGAAAGTATACGAGAGGAACTTAAGGTATGCTGAAAGTAGTTACTCAAGAAGCCTGCTAGAACGTAATGCTGAAAGGCTGCTGTCAAGTAGCATACGCTTTTATGCTGAAGAGAATGTAACAACTCATCTAAAATCGTTAAAGCTGCTACGAGTCTATTGCTAGCTTTCCAAAATCCACTTTCTTTTAAAACATTGTTTTAAAATATTTGCATTGTTGAAGTTTATAAACACTGCCCCAACTCAAAATTCTGTTTGTGCTCTGATATGTGCGTAAACTGGTATGGGACTACCAGTTCCTGCTACTTTAAGCTTCTAGGTAACAATCCATCTTGCATCCGGCCCACATCCCCACTTCCCACTCTTTCCCCAATCGCCTGCATCACCACCAGGCCACACAAGAGTTTATATCCTGCGCTGAGTGCTTTTGCATCTGATAGCAGGTCTGAACCATTTCCCTTCCACATCCTTTTCGGCAGCTAACTGAAAGCGTTTCTAAACTAAACCTATAACCCCCGCCCCCACATGGAACTCTCTATGTTTGATTAAAGTAGGCAGTGTCACTTCAGGATTGCGGGGTGAACCTCAGAGTGAACCCTCTGGCCACCACTGCAGTGGGCAACCCCAGCTCCTCTCTCCTGCTCTAAGGAAGTGTCAGTGGGCCTCTCCACAAATGACAGCAGAGAGGATGAGGAGGTGGCAGCCAAGGCAAATGCAGAGGAGGATGAAGGAGCAGCAGCAGCACAGAGCGAGAAGTGAGCCTCAGCATATCTTTCTGCAGGGCCTGCAAGACAGAGTTGTTCCACCAGGCCTTTGGTCAGGGCGCAGCCTGACTCCCTCCTCTGGCAACCTGCACAGAATTTTGCTTAATGGTTGCCATTAATTTGATTTTAATTAATTTTTATAATGAAATGTTTTTAGAATGTTGGATTATTTGATTGTTTGATTATTTGATTGTTGTTAGCCGCCTTGAGCCCGGCTTCGGCTGGGGAGGGCGGGATATAAATAAAATTTATTATTATTGTTGTTGTTGTTGTTGTTGTTATTGTTATTATATTAAATTAAGTAGGCACTGCCCTTTGGTGATCAAATTCTATTAAGACTACCCATTCTGTTTATACATTGTGCAATTGTGATCATTTTGTTTTGTAAATTTGCAACATTTAAAATATAATAAATAAATGCAACATTATTTCACCTCAAGAGGTAGCTGGGGCTTGTCAAGCTGGGAAGGCAGCCCGTCTCAGAGAAGAAAAACTGATCCTAAACCTCCACTGTTTTTCAGGAGAAGAAAAAGCTAAGGAGGAAACCCTACACAAATCCAGACTGGAGTCCCTAAGACAATTGGATGGTGCCTTATATGCTTCCTTATCGCAACTCCTGCAGCCAAGCTGGTGCCAAACATATTGCTCTGCTTTCCTTTGGACCACCATCAGCGAGGGCGGGGTCTTGTTGTCTGGGCAGCCCAGGACCTCCATACACACTGCCCAGGCTTGCACCCTAAGGTGGTCACTTGGTGCTGCTAACACAATGGTTTGACTTCACCCCCAGAGGCACACTCCATTATTTCTCAAGACAGATGGATGCTAACATCAATTTCAATTCAGCACTAACTGCTAAGATACCAATGCAAATAAGCCATTTAAAGAGCTCAAAACCACCCTCCCATCCCCAATTAATCTGAACTTTATTTGAAAAGGTTATATTCCTTTCTTGCTATGGTGACTCTGACAGCTAGCAACCAACTCTCATGAAATGTTCATATTCCCTTCTGAATCATGAGTGCTCCCAAAACATACTCAGCATAGAAGGTATTTGGTTCCAAGTGTGAGACCATTAAGAAATAAAAATTAAGGAGCTTACAGTGAAATTGCTGAAAGCTCAAAGTGCTAACCAGCTTTTAAATGGATTCATGAAATATCATTTGCCAGGTCCAAAAAGAGTAGAATGCAGAAGAGACCGAGAGTTATGCACTACAACAACAACAACAACAACAACTTATTTATATGTCACTCATCTGACTACCCCAGCCACTCTGGGCAGCTTCCAACAAAAAACAGTAAAAACACAATACAACATCACACATTAAAAACTTCCCTGAATGCCAATGCTTTCTTGTAGCAAACATATGAGCTTCGATCTTAGATTGGAGGTGCTTGCGAGCTTATTTAGAGCAGGCTTTTGCCTTGTACATGAAACATGATGCCATTCTAGAGAATAATACTTTAATCCACTGAAGGCTGAGGGGGAATGTGAACTGTCTATGCACTTTGGCAGATTATATAGTTCATAAACATTTAAGTGAAGCAGATTGTACACACCACCTAAAGAGTCATGGCTGTGTATTCCATCAGCTGGAAGAAGATCAGCAATAATTTGTATTACAGTATACCAACTGGAATAAGGGGAAAGAACTTGCATTCATTTCAGTTTTACAGTGTATATTGCTCCTATGATGTGTATGAACTCTTGAAGAGCTCATCAATCTTAAGCATTGGACAAAACTTATAGAAAACTGTTTGCTTTACTACATCTCACACTCCATTCCTGTTTTTACTTGAGTGCAGGAACTACTGCTGCTGCAAAATGCCAGGAGTTTCTTTTCAGCTTCCTTGGCAACTACAGTAAGGAACAGGAGAACTTGCTGATTTACTCTGTAATATCTTTAGGAGACACTCGGGGCAAGACACCCTATTTATATTCATGTCAAGGGATTATACCAATGCAAAAATGCTGAGAAAAAACGAACTACTTCCCTTTGGGCTATAAAGGGGTGGCTTACAAAAGCAGATATGAAATGTAGAAAACAGAATCAGTTCCTTTAACTGCATTTTACTCAGTTCCAGTTGGTGGAAGGAAATCTTCTCCACCTCAAACCACAGTGATTTAATATTTGCATTTCCAAGCTCCCAGAAATCTTCCTGAGAAACAAAACAGTTTTTACTTCTGAAAGATTGCTAAGACAGCTGCCAGTAAGCAGACCAGGCATCTGTTCACATTCTTACAGTGCTGCTGAATACAACCACAGTCCCTTGCAAATAGACAAGAGACACACACTTCAAAAGCATCAAGGAAAACAGATGCACTTCAACAGCCTTCATACCAGATCCCTCTCCCCAATAACTTTTAGAATTTGAGAAATATCTCAAATATATTTTCATCCATTTTCAACAGCCTATTTTGCTCTTTCCCTTGAAGCCGATCTAGTGATAAGGGACTCTTTTACTAAAGGTAAAACAAAAAAGATTCTAAAGAGGAGAACCTGTGAGAAAGTTCCCTAAAGCTCAAGTTTTTGATGCTTATTATGTAGTCAAAGCTATACTATCCACAAAAAAGAGGGGGATATCATCAAACTTGAGTGGAAGTGCAAAAATACAAAAAAGGTATTCTATTTTTTAAAAATGTAGGTCCCACTTGCCTTATTCTATCTCCAAAGAAAATTATTCCCTTTGATAAGGGAAAGGAATTCCAACACTCAAGTCATTAGTGTGACTAATGAGTTATATGATCTTGTTGACTGTGTGTCATACTGAGTTTTAAAATGATAGATGAGGAATTATCAAGCTTTCTACCCTCTAGGCAAAACCTGAGATGGCTGGAAATTCCTGAGGTTCATCATCACAGAACGGAAGAAGACTTTGGTACAATCAGCTGGCTGTTACTGACATCATGCTATCTAATCCATCTCTGGATATTGCTAAATTCTTTGCCATGGTATTTTCCTTGTAGCAAGGAGTTCTATAGCTCAGCTTTCCTTAAGCTCAGTACAGACATCTGCTCTGGAGATAAGGTACAACCTCTACATTTGGGGCAAAGTTTGCCGATCCAAAGTCTGATTCAGAGTAGGAAAATGTTTTTTCTTTTGTTTTCCCCCCTTCCCATCCCTACGTGCATCTCAAAGTATTTTACCCATCTCCTACAATTTCTTCTCCCATTCTCCTTTCAGACTCAACTTGTACCGTAACCCTACCCCCCAAAAATTACCTGTTTGTTTCATCCAGTGGCACTGAGACCCACTGGCTGATCCTGGTCAACTGTTTCAGAAACACTGTTCTGGGTAATCTGTAGATTCTTCAGAACTTTATTTAGCACTGTGGCCTAGGATATTTGTTTATGCCAAGGGTAGGGAACCTTTTCCATTCAGAGGGCCATATTATGGCAAACATTCCAAGGGCCATGAGCCAGTGGTGGGCATGGCCACACACAAACATCAGTCTCCATCCTGGCCAGAAAGAGTTGTTTTCTCAGTTCAATGACATGTTCCAGCAAAGTAAAATCACTAGAGGAGGGTGCGGAGAAGGACCAATGAGGGTGTTTGGCCAGGGCAGAGTCCCAAGGGCCAGGTCAAGAGGGATGCATTTGGCCCCTGGACCCAAGATTCCATACACCTGATCTATACTGCTAATATGGTTAAATTCTGAACTAAGACTAGAAGTTCAGATTCAAATGCCCACTCGATCATGAAGCCCATAGTGGGCCAGCTGCTCTCTCTAAGCCCAACATACCTCACACAATTGTTGTGAGGGAAAAAGTGGAGAGGGAAAAGAAGACCTTGCATGCCACCTTCAGCTCCTTGGGGAAAAGGCAGAATATAAATGTAAAACATGTAAGTTGGTTTTAGCTAAATGTACACTTCCCCAAAATAAATAATACCTTTGTCTTGAAGAGATGCTTTGATCTATTTGAACTGACACTAATTAGTATAGCAAGAACACACTCAGTAGTTCAGCAACTTCAAGAGACATACAATTCCTTTTGTTTTAATTTTGCAAGCCACCCAGAGGACACTGTCCTGGGGGTGGCCTAGAAATCTTTTTAAATACATTAATATTTTTCTGCTGATCATTTGCATTTGATGTTGCTGCAATAACAATACAACAAAGCTTGAGGAAGTTAATAAAGCTATTGTGAATGAAATAGAAATCTTACTTTTATACAAGGTTAGGCTTCAAGGTATCACTCTGAGCAGCAACTGTGAATCCTTAATTTGGGATTGCACACTTCTCAAATCATCAAGTCAAAGCTCAATGGTGTGCCTGCACCACATCATGTGATCAATTATGGGGGCGAGACTTACCTGCCCCTCCCTATTTTATTCAAGTTAGCTGACTGGAATGAAAAAAAGCCCTTATAATGAAATCTTTTCTATTTTGACCTCTCCATCTGAAATGAATGCAATATTGCCAATATAAACACACACACACACACACACACACGCCTTGAACATCCCCATTAATACTGGGCCACTGCACTGTAATCATGGACAAGCATCCAAAAACATTCTCAGACACATTAATTGTCCTCTTGGTATGGAAGCAATAAAAGTGTTTAAAGCACAATGGGCTATAATCAATGTTAGTCATATTCCTGAGTAGGCCTAATGATATTAATGGACAATACCTAAGTTAGTCTATAATTTTAAATGGGTCTACTAAGAGAAGACAACTCCATGTGGGTTCTTTTTGGCTGCCAAATTTCTAAATCTATAAATTCAATGACCATTTTAGAAAACAAACTTAGATTGCAGTATGCAAAGCAAGTGTGCCTTAGACCAGTGTTTCCCAACCTTGGTCCTCCAGCTGTTTGCGAACTACAATTCCCATCATCCCTGACCACTGGTCTTGCTAGCTGAGGATTATGGGAGTTGTAGTCCAAAAACAGCTGGAGGCCCAAGGTTGGGAAATGCTGCCTTAGACAGTTGTCACTAGGTCTAAGGCAGGCATGGCCAAACTTGGCCCTCCAGCTGTTTTGGGACTACAACTCCCATCATCCCTAGCTAACAGGACCAGTGTTCAGGGATGATGGGAATTATAGTCCCAAAACAGCTGGAGGGCCAGGTTTGGCCATGCCTGGTCTAAGGTAACAGCTGTGGCTCATAGGAGCAGTCTGGTAAACTAGGAGAGTAAACATGTCAAATGTATCCAAAAAGTCTGAACAGAAAGCAGCTGCTTCAGGTATCTATACTCTTCCAAACTTCCTTATCACCTAATTTCATGTAACATTCTAAGTCTACTATTCAGAGGGAGCCTTTCTTCCTGTAATTCCACATCCAGCCCTTATGTGTTCATTAGTTTCAGTTTTCCTGTCTGAATATTTGGTATATTTATGCAGTATGCTTTTAAACTGTGTCATAATGACCCTCATTTATAAAAGCTGAAATGTGCCATCGTTACTAAGGACAAGGCAGACAACAAGAAAAGAAAACCACCTGATTAGTGCATGGTGCTTACTAGCTGAATGTATGTTCAAGATGAGCACACAGTGGCAGTGCCTTTCAGTCTGGCAGGGACCAGTAACTTGGGACTATACACTACAGAACAATAGAGTTACTTTCCTCTGAAAATCAAAATATTAGAGAAATTCTGAACAAAGCCCTTATACCTAGACATAATGCAGCAGTAACAATTTGAAGTATGATATGCATCATAGCACAAATGGACCACTATGAAATTAGCTCAGTGCTTGGGACTGGCCCTAACAGTGCAGTAGAGGTTAGCAAATTATCCTAATTAATCAGAACCCATAAAGAAGAAGAAAAGGGTTCATTCAAGTTGTGGCCTCCACTATACATGGTAGCGATAACTGAATAATTATTTGCTTAGCTTCATCAGACAACACTTTCCCATTAAACCAAAATCTGAAATTTTGGTTTGAAATGAGTTTCCATTTCGGGTTGGAGGGCAAGCACTAACCATTGTTTGCCATTTCAGCTGTCACAGAAAGACTAGAATGCTGACAAAGTTCACAAACAAAAAGGCTTGCAATAGAGGTATTACAGTATGCAAGAGAACTAGACTAAATCCTAACCACTAATATAGAATTCCACATGGCAGAAACCTAGCTAGTGGGTGAGTCAGCTTCAAATAAAAAAAGGTAAGCTTAACTTTTAGATCAAACTCAATGTACGTAGATTTCAGTTTATGTTAAATGAATTACACTTCACAGGTTAAAAAAAGGACCCAGTTGAAAGTTTCAGCCTTCAGTGCGAAGGATATCCCCAACAGCAGGCATGTCCAACCGGTCGATCGCAGGGGGGGGGTGTCCCTGGTCGATCGCCATAGTGTTCCAAAACACATACACACAACAAACTTCTGGCAATGAGAATGGGTAGATCACAGCCAGTCTTTTTATAGTGTGAGCAGATCGCAGTCTCTTGGGAGTTGGACATGCCTGCCCTAGAAGGAATACTAATAGTGGCTGGTTTGATAACTGGGGGCATGCATAGCTGGGTGTGTGATGGGTGTGCAGACTGCCTTGTTCGCCCGACACAAAAATTGTGGGTGCTGCACATTGTCTAGATAGCCTGATAGTTTGTGGGAGGAGTTAGTGGCTGTGACACCAATGAAGTGAGGAAATGTAAACATGAGGTCCTGGAAGTGAAATTTAGGCTGCTAGGTAGGATGCTGAAAGCAAGGACCTTCTGTTTTCTCTGAAATGCTACCCATTCCAAGTGTAAGGCCAGCAAGACAGGCAGGCACAGGATGAGAGTCAGAAGGGGCACATTATAGCAGTACAGAGAGGCTAAAGCATGATAGGCTAAAACACAAACACCAAACACATCTGAATAGAGACACTATATGGAAGTGTTAATGCTAGAAGTCTCTGAGCCAAGGTGGGCAAGCTGGAGTGCTTGGTCTTAGAGCATAGACAGAGTAGCAGTAACTGCTACAGTGCAGTGCAATGCGTTTCCACAGAGCTCACAGCATCTGCCTTTGCAAATACATTACACAAGCACAGCTGGTATAATGGGATTGCAAGTTAAAACAAGCAAGTCAAATGGCGTTCAGCTGGACCATACTGGGCTTGAATAAATTCCAGAGTATATGCCTTGTCTGGGAGCTATCCAGAATTGGAATGTAAGCTCTGGCAGGAATCCCACCCCATAAGGTCAGTCTTTCATGCTGATTCTTCAAAAACTTGACTGTAAGCTGCACTTCCATTTGCAATATCTCTTTTTCAGCTTCCTCTCCCCCCCACCCCTCGAGCCTTGCATTAACAAGAGAAGGTTACTGGCTCAAGCCTGTTTCCGTGTGAATACTTTACTTTGTCAAAAGTATCCCAACTGCCTGCTATGGCTGAACCCTGCCTTTTGTCATGTCCAGCATCCTTCTGAGTATCCTAGAATTTTGGAACACTACACAGAAAGCAAATGACCCCATCAACAAATATTCAAAAAACATACCTGCTTTTACTTCCTTCAAGAACCAGTCACAACCTGATACCACACTTCTGCTACATATTTGTTCTCTGCATCTTGAACACAAATTCCAGCTCCCATTTCTGTTGTGGTCTTTTTCCAAATCTTCTGCTTGCATCCCATGGGGCTGGTAACTCACTGATTGCCTTGGCTGGCAATGTTTTGAATTTACCTACATGTCTCCGACAGATCCTGGCAATGTATACTTGCTTTATAGAAAGGATTCTGGACTTACATGTTTCCAAAAGAAGCAGCTTCACCAAACAGTAAGCATCTTTACACCCCTTTGTGTGGGAGTTGGGGGAAGGAAAAGATGCACTTACCCAACAGATTTGAATGACAGTTTCAAATGACAGTTTCGCTTTGGGGAACAGTTAAGAGAGATAATTGGCAAAAATGTAAGCAGGCAGCCTTTTATCAGGTGGGTTCAGATTATAAACTTAAGGTGTTGGTTGGTTCCAATCCATAAATCACATGGTGCCTAAGGAACAACTTGCACCTTAATATCAGCAAGACAAAGGAGATGGTGTTGGACTTTCGGAGGAAGAGAGGAGAACTAGCCCCGCTGTACATCGGGCAGGGCTGTGTGGAGAGAGTCTCTTCCTTTAAATTCCTAGGAGTTTATTTCAGTGAAGACCTTACTTGAAAAATAAATACAACCCAGGTGGTTAAGAAAGCCCAACGGAGACTCCATCTCCTCAGAGTATTGCAAAAGAATGATGTCAATCAACATTTGATGATCTCCTTCTACCGGTCAACAATAGAAAGTGTCCTTTCATACTGCATCACGGTGTGGTATGCTGGCTTGACATCAACTGATAGGAAGTGCCTACAGAAGGTGGTGAATACAGCACAAGATATTATGGGCTGTCCCGTGAATCTGCTGGATGAAATAGCGGAAGAATATGGTATTCTCCAGATGTTGTTGGAATTTCTCTTCTGTCGATCCCAGCCAGCACAGCCAATGGTCAGGGACCATGGGAGTTTTAGTCCATCAACAACTGGAGGGCACTTCATTGGTTACACCTGCCCATAAATTCACCTTCAGCCTTTCCATATAATGGCATGCTAGACTTCATTACAGACACCTTCATTATTTCTGCTAACAGGAACCCTTCTGCTGACTGCCTCAATTTCCTCACATCTCCTTCCCTGCCCCAATACTGTCTGTTCTTCAAACAAATCTCCTACAATCCCCCTGCTTACAATAATATTCATTTCTTGGATGTCTCATACCTTAATTCCCCCTGCCCAAATACCTGTTCAAGAACATGGATCAAATATTGATACTGCACTACATGAATATTCATAACCAATTTATATCCTTTTTCTGCCCCTCATAAGCACTCTGTACCACAACTACATGTGCTACCGAGACACTGAGGCCTGCTGAAGACTAAAGTCTCCCACATTTGCTGTAAAAACCAATTAAATTTCTAACAGAATGATTCATACCCTTGCTTACAAGAGACCTTCATAAAATGGAACAAGCAGCAGCTTCCAAGAGAAGCTGAAACACATTCAAGTAAGTAACACTACCAGCACAAACTAATTCATTGGAAAGAGCTATGTTATACTGGAAGACCATAAGAGATTCAATATGCAAACCATTAAGAACGGTCACAGGAAAATAGGAAAATAGAAAGAGCTTACGAACCTTCCCGCAGGCTGTGGTAAGAATCCTGACTCAAGCTTACATTCTTTTGTTCCTTTGACACAATCTCTGCAAATGGCACAATCCCACCATAAGCAGGCTGGAGGGTTTTGGTTTTGTCCAACATGCTGAAGAAAATCCCAAGACCAAAATGTCTCTCAGGCCTCTGGAGAGCTGTATAATCCTCAGGAAGGGACTCGTCAGAATAGGTTGCACAAAGACGTTCCTGTAGCCTTACTCTCAGATACCAGCCAGTTTCATTAACACTGGATTCAAAAAGAAAAAGGCCTTCCCTCCCCCAAGAAGGGGTGTATGTACATGCACATTGTAAGGAGCTAGGGAGTACTGAGCCTCACTCACGGCTGTGCACATTGACAGATGGATGGATTCCTTCATGAAGCTGCTTGCAGCAACAGCTAACCTCATTCACCCAAAATAGTAAAGCAGTTGGTTTCTCTACTCAGACCTCAAACATTTGTCAGGCAAGCATCATCATGTAATTTAGTTCCTGCCCTCTCCTCCTCATCTCCACCACTGAAGCTTAACTGCTGTGTTCACAAAGATTTTTTTTTTGGGGGGGGGGGGAATCTCTGGATCAGTAGGCACTGAGGCATCCATTTAACCAATACTCAATTAGAGTATACCCAGAAAAGGTGCTGATTAACACAAGAGAGAATTCTCTGTGCATTAAAGACCAAAATACAGTCATACCTCAGGTTGAAGTAGCTTCAGGATAAGTATTTTCGGGTTGCGCGCTGCGGCGACCCGGAAGTAACGGAGCGCATTACTTCTGGGTTCCGCTGCTCACACATGCGCAGATGGTCAAAATTACATCACACGCATGCGCAGAAGTGGCGAATCGCGACCCGCGCAGACGCGGGTTGCGTTCGCTTCTGGATGTGAACGGGGCTCCAGAATGGATCCCGTTCGCATCCAGAGGTACCACTGTAACTGTATCACAAGGAGTGGTTTAGTTTAACCTGTCTGCTCCATTTCTGAAATGTCAGAATAAGGGCAAGACCTTATTCTGGTTTTCAATGGTTAACAACTGTTAAATACTACATTACAGTGGAGCATTGTGTCAGAAAAACATTAAGAGAATGCATCTCCATTTTATAAAAGACTATCATGAACTTCCAACTGCTTGCTACCATTCACTGCAGAACTAGAACTTGCAATAATCAAGGAGAAAAGATTTTTCAACTCTTAGCACTTCTTGATCAATTTGATACTGCTTTCCTCAAACAGGCGAGTATGTCCCGCCTAGGAACATTGAAGGCTTTTTTATACAGAGTCAGACACTGGTTCATCTAGTTCTTTCTCTACACTGGTTAGCAGAAGGTATCCAGGGTTTCAGACAGGAATCTCTACCTGGTTATGCTAGGGCTTGAACCTAGCCTTTTTGCATGCAAAGCAAGTATTCTGCCATTGAGCCACAGCCCTTCCCTTCCCTCTTGCCACAGCTAGTGAAATCTGGCGCAAGTTGAAAGAGAGCCATAGGGTCAGTTAGGCTAATTCTTGCTCTAATACTAGATACCCTAGATCTAAAGGACATATAATAATGCATCTTCTTGTCTTGAAAATATTCAAGGAAGATCCCTTCTCTTGGTTAGGTCTGATACAAAAACATTTCAATTTCTTTACAAAGAAATGTTGCAACGAATAATTATTGCCTTATAGGGCAAAAACAGCTTAATATTTAAAATATTTCACAGATAAAAACATTACAACATGCAGTCCCACAGGAAAGAAAACTGGAATAGCACGCCTAGTCCTACTCCCTGTAGTGAAAGAATTGCACAATTTTCATCCTAGGAATTAAGAGGTCTCTTGGATGTTATTGCTGAGCAAGGACAAAGCTTCAAAAATCTAGAATGAAGTCCACAGAGAAATTCAAGACTTCTCCAAATGATTGCACCCAGATTACTATGGAACACAAAAGGGAATGTAAATTCAAAGGCTTCACTCTAAATCTACCTTTACAAAGATTACATATTTTAGAACAATTTGGTACACAGACTACCTAAACAAAGGGTGTTCCCAAGAAGTCACTTTGTGGCGACAATTACTTTCAGAGCGATTGAGCAAAACTTCCAAGTATGCAGCACATTGTACATGCTGCCCAGAGCATAGAGCTTATCCTTCCAGGCAACTGGCTGCAGCTGCTCAAGCAGCTCAGGAGTTTCCTAGCCATGATGGACAGAGAAACTTCAGTTGCAGTTTCTCTCAAGCACAGGGAGTCAGCCAGCCTGGGAATCTGGATCCCTGCCCAGCTGCTGAAAGGCCCCAAGGCAGTCCCTGCCCCCACAGTGGACCTGCATACACACAGGATATACTGCCACCCTCACTTTTGACAGAGTTTTAAAATAACATGAACTGTAGATGCAGCAGGAATAGCCGCTGCATGCTGGAAAACCTATCAGATGACGTCAAAGCACATTCTGAGCTCTTTCCACACCTCCAGACCTCCCCACTTCCTTTTCCATATCAGTCTCTCATTACCTCACAAATCCGAGGGCACTGCACTTTAAATATTTCAACTGCCAAACTGTACTCTAAGCACCAAGAACCAGATTACCATTCCCTTTCAACAAATATGAAAACGCATCCAAGATTTAGCTCTGCCTCTGTGGCAAAGTACATCTACTACATTTTTATGTTCCAAATGTGTGTGCCAAGGCAACAAAACCCTTAGCAGATATAAAGACACAAACGTAATTTGAATGCTTCATTTACACAGAAGCAGAGACTACCCTCTTGCCTCCCCGGAGCCTCAATTGACTTATTTCTATAGATGCCCAATACACACTCTGAACTATGCCAACGGTCTTGATTTAGCTATAAATTCAATACCCTCAAGAGAGGGGCTAAAAGGCCAGTTCAAAATTAGGCCCCACGTGGTGGTGCTGAAAAACCATTTCGGTATTGTAGCACAGGCCTTGTAGCATTTGAACTCTGTGGCTATGTGGCAGCCTGTCCATATGGAAACTGTATGTGGCAGTTCTATGAATTCCCAACAGTTGTTATCACCTGGAGAGTCACGTGGTTTTTAAAAAAATGATTTCAAAGTTACAGCTGCAGCAGCCATGCAGATGCCACATTTGGGGAGGAGGGGAAAACATATCAGCCTTCACATGAATCGACCCTAGCATTAGGGAGACGGTAAACGACTAAACAATAACAAATCTCCTGTTTAAAAATATATCACAAAACATGGAGTAAAGAGCTCTACCAATTTCAAAAGGAAATTTGTCCTCCCTCCCAAATTGCAGTAGAACACGGACAGGCGACCCTTTGGGGATCAAGTGCTACATTCCTGTAGTAGAAAGCAGTCTGGGACTGCATACTAGCAGCAGGTGGAGCTGGACTCAAAGTGTGTGCGCTTTCTCTCTCTCTCTCTCTCTCTCTCACACACACACACACACACACACACACTCCCTCCATAATCAAGACCACCCAGCACCCTCTCATTACCTTGTTCCCATCTGGCCTCCACTGAGCCCCAAACCTGCCCAGCCCTGTTTCTTCCATCCTGCCACTGAAAAGGAGGGAGATGGTTTCCTGCTAACATCAATGGGCTTTGGGCTTACAAATTCCCTTCCTTCTATTTCACATGTCAAAAGATGACCAAAACTTTGGCTTTGAATTTAAACCAACCATAGTTTTCTGTGACATCAATTTAAGAAACTGAAATTTGTTTAAACTACGGTTAATGGGAACAGTCCAGGTATCAAACTGTGGTTTCCATTCTTGTAGAAACAAACCACCATTTCTGAGTTTGGTTTGTTTAAAATTAAAAGCAGCAACTTTAGATAGCTTCCTCCTGTATGCAAAACTGGAGAAGGAGCACACAAGCTCCTTGCAGACTTGTTCATGTAGTGGGAAACCATGGATTTTCTTTACATCTGAACCAGGCCAGCAGATTCATCTAAGAAAGCCATAATGACCCAGACTGGGCAGGAACTGAACCACAAATTGTACCAGAAATTGTTACCCACACATAGTGATGCTCTTTATGAAAGCATCATAAAGAAAATAAGCTTGACAAAAGAGAATTCCAGCATCAGACTCCATCTTTACTGAATTTACTGCTTTCAGGAAAGTTATAAAAGGTGGCAGTTGCATACAATAAATGTTTAAAACTAGTGGGCCAGTTTTAAGGATTTTGTGAAGTACCAACATTTTCTGGAGTACCACCAACATTTCACAGGCCTACAACATGGAACAAAGTAAACTTTTTTTGCCTCTGTCACTCAATGTCAATAGAAATTTCATCCAGCTAAGCTCCTGTTGATACAAGGACCTTAAAGAGCAGCCAAAGGATGAGGCATCTACAGATCACTGTGACAAGTTTAGTTTGTACTGTTCTACACTGATGAAATCATTCAAATATGATTCATCTTGAAAACTACGATTACTACTGCAGCCACACCAGAGGTATTAGAAGCAGCCAACTGTCATAGCAACTTGGATCAATTTAGTATTGTTTCCCTCAAGGATGTGGAAATAGTATTTGGGATTGTGAAGGATACTGTATGTTCTTTCAGATCCATGCCCATTACAACTTAAAAAGTAAGAGTGAGCTGCACAGAACTTCAGTTAAAGCTAACTTTGCTTTGTTGAATGAGAGAAGTTATTTACTGGGACGAGATAAGGCACTACTGTGCTCTAGTTGGACTTTCAGACACGCTACTGAGAAGGCTGCCATATAGATAAAGAACATCTTCAGTGTTCAAGCCAATACCCAATATCTTAAACTGCTTTACTTTATACAACATTTTAAGTTGCACATCTTCCTCTACAGAATGTTCTATATCCTCCTTCGCTGTATTTCCCTTTTCTTCAAGAATGTTCTTCACCGCATAGTTCCGTAATCTTCAGCTTGATTCTCCTTTGGGTATTACCCACAAGTTTCCTAATTTTATATACCAATACACTTTCTCATTATGTATAGTGCCTTCTGCGGGAGCTCACTCCTTTGTGTGGATTCGAACCACCGACTTTCCGATTAGCAAACCCAAGAGGCTCAGTGGTTTAGACCACAGCACCACCCACACTCTGTCCCAGCTTCTGCCAACCTAGCTGTTCAAAAGCATACTAGTGCAAGTAGAAAAATAGGTACCACTCTGGCAGGAAGGTAAACGGCATTTCCGTGTGCTCTGGCACTCATCAAAGTGTCCTGTTGCTCCAGAAGCAATTTAGTCATGCTGGCCACATGACCCGGAAAGCTTTCTGTGGACAAACGCTGGCTCCCTCGGCCTGAAAAATTAGATGAGCACCACGCCCCATAGTTGCCTTTGACTGGACTTAACCGTCCAGGGGTCCTTTACCATTACCTTACCTAGTGACTTCTGCATCTACTAGAGAAGCAGCTCAAGCTACTTGAATTTGAAAGAGATGACAAAACACGGATAACCAATATTGAGCAAATTCTTCCCTTAGTAGTAGCACTCTTCTTCAAATTAATTTTATGTTCCATGTGTAAATGTCTCTAAGTTGTTAGCCTTCACAATCTTAACCATTTGGGCAACAGAGACCCCCACACAACATGCAGTGATCTGTCCACATCACCAGTATCTATCTTCTTCTACTATGACATCACTGCAGTGGTACAAAACCAGGCTGAAGCCAGGTCTGTGTGCTAAAAAGGCTTGGTAGCTAGTTTTATTTGGTCTGTCACATTTTTACATCCTCCCACCAGTTACCTCACAGCTCAGTTGGAGTTACACAACGGATATTATTATTTTTATTTACTGAATTTGTTAGTCGCTTCATCTTGCCCAGGGCAACCCAAAACAAAACCGACAAAAAGTCCCACATAGAAACATTAAAACCAAGAGGGGGGAAAACATCCTGGCCACTTCTAAAAGGTCTTGTCAGAGAGGGAAGTTTTTGCCCGGCACCTAAAGATTTATAATGCTAGGTGAGCTTCCTTGGAGAGAGCATTCCACAAATGGGAGCCACCACAGAAAAGGCTCCTCATGTTGCCACCCTCCAGACTTCTCATGGATACATGAACATGTTAAATAAGGGGTCCAAGAAAGCACAAAATAAAAAGACTGCCACTTCCCTACACATCTCTCCCACCTCCCTTAAAACATCCTCCCGAATCCATAGTCTTATCAATAGTCTTCTCACATAACCTGCAGCTGCCCCAACAGGTGGTAAAAATGCCAAGATTCCCACTGAGGCCCTTTCATATTCTAACTAAAGGGTAAGCAGGCCAGCTTGACTAAGGAATGCTTTTAGACTGACTTGATTTCTAGCTTCACTACAAGGCCAAAAAGTCAAATGTTTCTCAGTGACGCAGGCTCCTTCTCCAAGAATCCCAAAGATTCTTCCAAGACTCTAAATCAAAGCATGAGGAAAACAAAAGTCACTACAAAAGATGGGGAGGAGTTTTACAGTGTTTCAGCTAGCAAATATCTGTGCGTGAGAGTTAAAGTTTTAAAGGGAAGGAGTGTAAAAAGCTTAAACGCAACATTTTAACTAAGAAATAAGCTTCTGCGGGAACAGCAAGGAGGGGGTTATTTAGGGCAAACCATTTTCCATTTAAGTGAAACACAATGCACTCGTTTTAACTTTAGGCCTCCGATGGATGAACAGTTGTGTTGCATGAAGACAGTCCTAGATTCAATCCTGGCATCTCTAAGCAGGGTTGGGAATATGCTCTGTCAAACCCTGGAGAGCCACTCCCAGTGAATGCAGACAAAACTTCAGCTAGATGGACCAAAGGTCTGACTCAGTATAAAGGCATCTGCCCATGTTTCTTTTTCTAAACAGATGCTGCATTTTATGAAATGGTGATTATGCTGAAGCCAAGCAACCCTGAATGGCAACAAAGGTAAGGATTCCATTGGCTATCTAAATATCACTGGATATATTAGACATGGGGAACCTGCAGTCCCCAGATCAAATCAGACCCGTCAGGGGCCATTTTCTTTCAGTCAAGTCCACGTGTCCCAAACTTTTAATGTTGGTGACACACTTTTTAGATATAAATCATTTCATGACACAGTAATTCAGTTTTACTAGCAAACTGGAAGTTAAACTAACACCTTTCCAGCCTTGGGAGGAGCACAGGGAGCGTTCGCACAACATACTTACACACTGTCGCGACACAGAGTTTGGAAAGCTGTGCCATACATGATGTCATATGACATCAGGGATGAGGCAAGTAACATCAAAGCTCCTAAAGAACCACTGGAGCTCACTTCTTTTAAAATTTCAGGTCAAATGCAAGCCTCACTGGAATTGGTTCCACATGGAGAATTGCATTCACCAGGAATCTTTGAAGCCATGGCATGAATTCAAGCAAGGGTTGCAAAGGAATAAAGAATTGAGAGCCTAAAGAGAAAGCAATTGCTTAGCCTACTATGATCCCACCGGAGAGATAAGAGAAATGCTCCTTGAGCAGGCAGAGGCTTATCTCATCACAGAACTAAGATCAGAGAAAAGTCTCTGCCTGCAGTCTTTTAACGAGTAAGCAGAGGTTTATTGCTGATCTTAAGATGTTAGTGCTGTGGTGCTTAGTGCCAAGACTGAAAATAAGAGATCAGTTGTCTGTTATCTTAGCACTTAGCTCAGAGATCTCCATGTCCAATGAAATTTAAAGTCAGGTGACTTAACAGGTGAGCATGGCTGGTCTAAATTCAATTGTCTGCCTGGTTCCCCACCCATGGACTCAAGCGCTAAGGACATTTGAGTTCAAGTCTATACTCGGCCTTCGGCAAGTCACTGTCAGCTTTTTAAAAATGAGGTTTATTTGGGTATAAATGGGCTAAACCCGAGTACAATCTACTAAACTCCTTTGACAAAACACGGGATATAGCCAAGTTTAATGTTAGTAAACAATCAAATTTGTTTGTGCAAACATGGATTTCTAGACACTTTAGCTGAGATTTGTTCCAGGCATATCCTAAAAAGCAATACAAACCTTACTATGGAAAAGACACACAGTACATTTGGCACAAATGACACTTTTAATAAAATAACATTAGAACAGCAGAGGGTGCTGTAGATCCAAGAGATTTGTGTCAATGTAGCACCAGAAGTGTCAGGTAAGGCTATTCCTGACAAACTGATGGTTGGATACTCTGTAAGGAGAGTTGCTACAGGGCAGAACTATAACCATCTCTTGGAAACTGGAAAAGTCAACCTAGTAGCTACCTCTGCTTTCAACAAATGGCTATTGTGAGACAAAACTGAGGGCTTGTGTGCTACCGGGTTAAATCAAAGTTATTAAGCCTGATGATGACCTATTAATGACTGATGCCGAAGGAGAAAGCTCTGACAAACCTATAGAGCCTTAGTCCCAGGTGGGAATCCTAAAGCTGCTTTTTTATTAAAAAGGTCAAAGATAAAATACTTCCCTTGATATTTTGAGCTTTTGGAAACAAAGCATTCTCAATTATTTTTATTGTACTGAAATAATTTATGAGTCTCCTCCTTTTCATTCATGATCCTGTGTAAGGTTAAGGAGCAGACTTACAAGGAAGCAACACCTCACACAGGAAATGTAAAAATAAATAAATCCTGAAAATGGTAGGTTAACCAGTGGCTGCAAATGGCTTGTGAAACAACTGGCTGCAAAAACTGTAAAGCAGGAGATGGGAACCTCAGGCTCTAGGCTCTTTCTATTTAGCTCCTACAGCACTTTCCCCACCCTCCTGGAGTGTTTTTGCCTAGTTGGGCTGTATTACTGAACTGTGATAATGGGCAATATCCAACTAAGTTATACTGAGAATAGACCTTCTGATTTATTTTACAAAATCATTTTTCCTATCAGAATTTCTCCATCTTAGTTAGAGCCACTACACAGTAATAAAAGCCTAACATACTCCTGCATTATACTGAACTTGAAAAGAAGATGGGCAAAGTCAAACATTTTAGTGCCACCGATGCTAAACAGTGTTTGAAGGCTGTAGAGAAAATCTGCTCATATTGCACCCTGTTTTCCCTCTCCGAAGAAAATACAAAGGATGATAAAGGTTTGATGTAGATGACTCTCTCACACCGATACGGCACTCTAATATTCCTAAAAATAAATCTGATAGGCAATGGATGGAAATCTAATAAAGTTGTCAAAAACATAAATTTCACTGTTCAAGTACACTGTGTCCTGTGAAAATATCAGGCATTCAGTCAATAAGGACAGTTACTATGCATTACAATAGCTCCAGATTCTTCCAAGAACATTTGGCAACATAAATGCTTACTAAGTAAAAGACACAAAAATATATGTGAAAGGGTAATTAAGATTGACCTTTATTTTAAAAAGCTCTACTTTAAGGCTTTCTAAAAGAGTTCAGGGTAGTTTTGATCTGGGGATCTTCCACTTTGTCCAGTTAAGGTGGTATATACCTTAAGAGCAAAATGCAAAGCCACACCCACAAAACAACTGGTGGCATGGTCGTCTACAGAAAATTAAGTTGTTATTATTAGTGTGCTATTCATTATTCTTGACAACCTGTTTCCTTTTAGACAGTTTTTTATCTCTTGGGGGTGAAGTAGAATGGAATACAAGCTTGCACATGTTCAAGTAACATATCCTCAAAAGTGCATCTAAGTGCCAAGAGAATTGCCTCCTACACATCAACTCACTAGATGGCTTCCAGCAAGCCTTGCTTCTCAGCCACATACACAACTAGGCACAACTAGGCAAATGGAAGGGTGGGAAAACTCTACCCGTGTGGGGAGGAGGAAAGTTAATCACCCCTCAAGGTACCACACTTAAGAACATAAAGAAGCCCTGCTGCATCAGACCAAAAGCTCACTTAATCCAGCGTCCTGTTCTCACAGTGGCCAACCAGATACAAGTGGGAATTCCACAAGCAGGACTTCAGTGCAAAAGCATTCACCTTCTACTTGTTCATTCCCAGCAACTGGTATACAGAAGCATAGCGCCTCGAACAGTGAAGGCAGAACATAGTCATTAAGGCTAATAACTATTAATAGACATCCTTCATGAAAACTGGCCCTGGCTATGTTTTGTCAATGTGCATTTATTTCCCTTAACTGCCAGTAGTAATAATAATAATAATAATACCCCACCCATCTGGCTGGGCTTCCCCAGCCACTCTGGGTGGCTTCCAACAAAATTCTAAAATACAGTAATCCATCAAACATTAAAAGCTTCCCTAAACAGTAAATACTTCCAATCAGCATGCTCACTTCCCACCATAACTGCCTACTTTCAGTCTCTCCAATAAAGAATTTGAGAGGGGCCAGCCCCCCCACCAAATTGATGGGCATTACCATTCAAATGCTCTGCATGTGCTGCATCTTGTAATCAATTATGGAGGGTGGGGCTTACCTCCCCCCCCCCAAAAAAATATTTTATTCAAGTTGGCACCCCTGCTGACAGTACAGAGTACAGTGGTACCTCGGGTTACATATGCTTCAGGTTACATACGCTTCAGGTTACAGACTCCGCTAACCCAGAAATAGTGCTTCAGGTTAAGAACTTTGCTTCAGGATGAGAACAGAAATTGTGCTCCGGCGGCGCGGCAGCAGCAGGAGGCCCCATTAGCTAAAGTGGTGCTTCAGGTTAAGAACAGTTTCAGGTTAAGAATGGACCTCCGGAACGAATTAAGCACTTAACCCGAGGTACCACTGTACTCTATTCCAAACTTAAAAATGGAAAGTGTAATGCTCGTGGTCAACAAAAGTGGTTTAAAGACTCTCTCAAGGCAAATCTAAAATAAGGTCGGAAACACTAGGAAACACTGGCCTGCAGTCGCTCCAGAGAACAGCCTTTACCAAAGGTGTTGCGGACTTTGAAGACACTCAAACTCAGGACGAAAGGGAGAAAACATGCTAAGAGGAAGGCACGTTTGGCAAACCCTCACTGTGATCAACTCCCACCCGGAAACCTATGTCCCCACTGACTGTGGAAGGACGTGTGGATCCAGAACTGGCCTCCACAGTCACTTACAGACTCACTGTTAAGACCGTGTTCAGGGAAGACAATCTTACTCTGCTACAAGTGATTGCCAAAGAAGAATAGGTGGGTAGCCCTGACCACTTGTCAAAGTGGCCCATGGGGTGTGGGAAACATCAGAATCCGGCCTGCCAGCCCGATCCAGTTCCCCACACCTGTTTTAAGCCATAACTCAAATTGTGATTTTATGCCTATATAAACGCACACACTTCTTTTTTTAAGCAGCAGTGGCCTCATAAGCTACAATGGATGTTGAGTGTGCATCCCACACATCCTATTTTAGAATGCCATGGAAATCCCTCTTCACTATCAGCATTTGCTTTAATCTAAGACAGCTGGAACTGGTTTATGACATCAGCCAAACAGAGTTTGAAAGACAAATCTTAAGTAGTTCTTTTTCTGGGAACCAAGATACTTTAAAAAATAGATGCATCCCAAACACTGGACATGCTGGGAATGTTTTGAAGGGGGAAAACCTCAATTCCAGTTTATCTGCAGAGGAAGCTGTAAACTAGGACAGCACACTCACAAAATGAAAGGAAGTGAACTTAAGAAAAATATGCGTGTGTGTGTAGAAGAATCTATTTAAATAACTGGAACTAGTTTCTTTAAAATAGAAAAAAGGAACCTGACACATATGATCACATGCAACAAGGTTTACGGATACTTATCTACTCATATAAACCAAACACTGACAGAGCTACAGCACTCAAGTTGTTTTTAGTAAAGGCTTTTTTAAAAAAAGCAAGTAGCTTTCAGCAAATATTTAATGCCAAATAATTTCATAAATTGTGTTTCATACACCATCCTATAATAGTGTGCATTAGACTTTAGTGCATTTCCAGTGGAAATGGTTGAGAGGAGGGCCAGATTCAAAAATTACTTTATATTCTTTTTAAAAATCACTAGTGTTACAGAATTTAAACATACATAGCTTCAAACTATAACTGTATGGCTCTCTTCAGGTTAATGAACCCTGATCAGACACTTGATTGCAAGCAGGAATTAAGCCAGTTTCCTGGCTCAGGTTGGCCTAGTTAACACATCAAGCTAAGCCAAATTGTGCCTTATTACAATGTGTTAGCATGTGGTCATTTGAGAAGGGGATCACAGCCCCTTCATTCCATCATTCTGTTAAGCTGTCATTGCTTGGTGTGTCCAACAAACTGCAATTCATTGTTTACTTCTCTCCAGACTAACCACAAGCCATATCCAATGTTGGTTCTTGGTTTACAGTTTTTGGTTATTCTGGAGTGAGCTAAACCATGAGGATAGGTTTGGACAACATGTTCAGACAAGCCACGGCTTAGTTTGGGATTGCCAGTGCACCCTCCAGTACATCCTGTGGCACATACAAAAGGTCTTGTTAAAAAATCCTTTAAAAATCGACAATGAATGACAGACTCTTTGCTATTCCTGCTCCAATCCCTCTCCTACATGCCCCAACAGGAGCCATCAATCCCAACACAGATCATCACAGTATATCACTCTCTAAAAATTGTCCTTTTGTTCCAAATTTCACTTCCTGTGTTTTAATACTGATCCATAAATGTCTAGAAAGACTAGCCTGGCTGCAGACCCTAACAACTTTTTAGAAAGAACGAAGTAAAGAAAGCAATTCCCCACCCTACCCAGAGCAACTGGGACTTTTATAGTATTCCCACTCTCATCTTTTTTTAAAAAAAGAATGTAGGAATTGTCCAGTTTGCAAGGGATAACAGCTTTCTTAAGGAGTTATCTGAACAAAATATTCCACTAGCACAGAGAGTTGATTCTCTGGACCTCTTGTAAACAAGAGAATACTGCATTGCCATTAGACAACACATTAGACAATCCCTAACTTTAAGAGGACATGCACTCAATTTCCACTGCAAGTGTTTTTACATGAGGAAGGTACTGTATATGTACATCCTTACTTTGTAAAGGTATCAAATCTCTTCATTTCACACAGTTTAATCATATGAGAGTGGATCTTTACAAGAATTTTTACTAACCATGCTGTCATACAATGAAGATAAGCGGAATTTGAAACGTAAGCAAAAAAACAATTTTTGTAGAAGTAAAATTCTATAAAAAGCAGAAGCAAATTCCCAAAGATTAGTCCAAGTGCTCCCCGAAGAATTCCTCAAAAGTTAAAACCTGTAGCCTGCATGCTCACAGCCAGTAATCAGGAGAGAAGTCTTTCCCAGTCAAATTTACTTCATTAAAAAACCTAAGGTTTGGCAGCTATTTGCTTGAAATTCAGAGAAGTGATCTCATTGTTCAAACATTTGAATTTATGGGGGAGGAAATCTCCAAGTTGAAATACATACAACCTTTTTTATTTTTTTTAAAAAACCACCTCTGCATTCTGTTCCACTCCCCAGATCCTGGTACTGCTTGCACATTAACATTATTTAACTAAAGGGAAGTTACCTGATTGAACTGCCATTAATATAGTTTCTGGTTCCAGCAGAATCATACCAAATCCTTTTCTCAAGGGAAACTATCCATGAAATGAAAATACAGGAAAGATTGCAGATTCAGACTCATCCGAGACTTTCTTTCTAAAAGCAAATCCTTATAGACTGTCACTAAGAAATGATATTTTTCTGTGCATTTCCAAGGTTATCCACTCTACCGGTAAAAGGAAAATCAAGCTACAGAAACTCCAAAAGATCCGAGCCGCAGCAAGCAAGGATCCCTTCAGAACTCCCTTCTGTGAACAGCTTCCTTGCACAATCCCTCTTGTTTGAGAAAGGAAGAGGAGGTTGCATGTGAACTCTTAAATTCCCCAGAGGACTATACCAATGAGGGAGTTCTCTTCCAGGAATTAGTACACCCACATGACCCTCTAAACTGAGACATTCACATAGCTTGAAAATTGCAGCCCACAAGAAGTATAATAACTCTGACACATGTTGCATCCAACAATATTTACAGATGAGACAATCAGGCTGAGAAATGTAGTAATGGATTTCACTCCCATTTTACCTGGTCATTATTTCTTGTCTCCAGGATGAAATTTATTTTAAGTTTATTACAACAGCTAATTTAAACATTTAGTATAAAATAAATGTATTAAGGCAACTGTCTCCCCCCCCCCCCATAGTTCTCCTAGACAAAGCAAGTTATGAACTTAGTAGGTTATAGTATAATACTAACTTTTTAAATGTGCTTTCTTTCTGGAGGAATTTATATCTCATGAATTTAATTTCTTGAAACCATGGATTGCTTTTTTAAAACGACACAAAAACCAAAGAGACATTTGAAACATTTCTAGCATTATGAATGCGTCTCAGAATATTCTGTGCTGTGCACAGCACTTAAAAGAATGCTCTATACTTTTTCAAATAGTGTAGTTGTGATTACTCGATTGCTTTTGTTCCAAGATTCCCCCTCCTCAAACTGACTCTAATATGGACTGTTACTCTTTGCTAAAGTTAAATACAGAAATAATTCTAGCATAAATGTAATTCTAAAGCTATTACTACCTTCAGAATTGGGGGGCACTAACCAGAACAAACCAAAGAGATCCTGGAATAAATTTGCTATCACACAAGCGACTGCTGCACATTGATACACAGTATCTTGAAAAGGAATTATTGACACTGCACTTAACTATTTATATCACATTTTTAGTTTGTTGCACATTTCATAACATTTGTATTCACCCTTATACAAATCTAACTTGCAAGCTGATATTACACCCATTTTAAATATAACAAATTGAGGCCAAGAGGTTGCAACTGGATCAAAAGCTGGCACAAGCACAGAAGCACAGAGGCCAAGTTTCTCAGATACAAGGTTGAGTGCACCGGGACCAAAATAAGAGCCTCTTAATGGGTCTTCTTCTACACAGAGTGTGTATATTGTCATGGGAGAGCATGAAGCAAGTGTATTTTAACATAAATATAGATATCCGGAAGATACCTTATATTATTGTAGTATCACTTAATGAATCTAAAAGTCAATTAGGCATCAGTCAGATGAAGTATTATTTATTAAAAATTTGACCACTTAAAAATCTCTACAAAGTTTACATTAAAAATAAAAATAAAACATTCAACAAATTTTCCTTTGAAACAAGATCAACAGAAAATGCAACTGTATTTCACAAATAACGCTGAGCAGTGCACACAAAAAAAGAGTATTATGCCATTACTGTCTTCCTCTCATGAATTATTCAAAGCGGGCATTCCACGTTGGTCATGGAATGATGAGCAGGAGCTTCTCAGATCTTAAAAGATTGGCTTTGGCTGCACCAGGGAGAGGCAGTCTGCTAGGCTATCCTTTCTCATGGTGGAAACCAAACAAATGCTACCACAGAAGAGCTGCATTTCCTTTCAGTTCTGAAATCAACATGCTCCAGTTGCCCATTTGTTTATTCAAATATACAAATTAAATTTTGCTCAAGTTCTTATGCTTCTATGTACCAGTGCTTTTTTTCTGGGGGTACGCATACACCTAAACCTTTTGTGAATCTAAGTTTGGCCTCATTGAGGGGTAGTATTTCAATATGCATAGGAAAATGAGAGAACCCCTAAACATTTTTAAAGAAAAAAAGCACAGTATATACCTCCGGATAGACCTCCAAAACTTTGTCAAATGTATTCATTGTCATTCTACCAGCACATTGTTTCATTTGCATAATGTGTCTGGGAAAGGCTGCATGGGCACAAAAAATGCAGGGCAAAGCTATGATCTAATTTCCTTTGGTCTGAACTGAAATGAGAGAGAAAAAACTTGATTTAGATCTGTTGACTTTTGGTGGTGCTGTGGCACAATTATCTGATGATTCAAGCTGAATCAAGGCAACTTCATTATTTGTCAGGCTTCCACAAAGATCCTTGTGGGTTTTTCCAGCATTAAATGCATACTGTTCACATCTGCAAGCAACATTCATGGATCTCTTGAAAACGAATAGCCTGGGGATCAAAGGCTGAAAAAACTATTAGGTATACTAAACACTGACCCTGCACTAGCTATGACAAGTTCCAGTTCCAGAACAGTATGTCCAGAATTTCACAGCATGTTTGAAAGAGCCCCAAACATTGTATAGCTGAGTGGAAACTCTCCATTACCTGAGGCATTAAGTTCATTTCATGAAGTGTCTCAAGACTGAAATTCCGTACATTCCCAACAGCTGAGTTTCTCCAGAATGGGCTCCTTTTCTACACAGTGAAAAGTCCTAAGCTATGCATGTCAATGCAGATTAACAAGCTACTGCAAGTTCTACCCAGTCTCTTCTGATCAGTTATGTGACTAACAATGCACAATCTGGAGAGCCGAACAGCCAGGAATGTGAAAGAACCAACACAGACCCAGACTGATACTTTATGGCCTCAGGACATATGAAAGATTACAACTTCTGTTGACTAAGGCAATACAAGTGATGAAGCACAGGGAAATGGTGATGTGATCATTTGATTGCAAGTGAAAGCCAAAATTACGAAATAAAAAAATAGCATACAAGAATTATTTTTGAGAGCTGCATGAAAACATATTGCTACCAGGAAGCAAAACGGTTAAGGCTGCAGTTCAAACCAAGTCTACCTGAATTCAGCTGGATTAAAGCTCATTCATAGATGGCTTTCGACTTTGGTCCTGCCAAGTTATATAAATCAGAACTATTCTTTTATGTGTTAGAGAGGCTGCAAGGACAAAGGCACCTTATATCACTTATGGTGGACTTGTCCTAAGGTGGAAGGTTATTGGGCATTGATTTTTACACATATTAAATTGTACAACAATCCTTAACAGGTGACCCTCTGCTTGCTTTCCTTGCTAATGATCCCTTGCATAGAATTTGTCTTTTTCAAAGCTACTGCATACAGGTTTGACATCTTCATTGAGCTATACAGTACTGACATTCCTGGAGCACAGCTTTCTTTTAGTAACCAAATATATTTTTGCCAATTTTATCTGTAACACAGAGCTTTAAAATTATATGGTGTTTATTCTCGTTAACATATTGTATGTTTCCAGTCTTGAGGTATTGAACTTACAGCAATATATGATCATACTAGGTAACTAAGAAAATGGAGTTCATACATATTTGTGGAGCCAAGATTGTTCTTCAATTTGCAGAACTACCAGGCACATCAACATTACAAGGAGAACCACATTACAGACAAATGCAAATGTAATCATTTCAGACTTTGAGGTTGAAATGTATGCATTTCCTAGTAAAAGATTGTGTAAATACATTTTTTCTATAAAAACGTGTGCAATGTAAGGCACACTGAGGGTTAACCTCCTGGGAGGCTACTCAGCACATTAAGTAAACTCAATTCTGACTCAGCAGACTGTGTCTGGAGTTGAGAACAGAAGAATCCTTCAGAAGAATCCTTAACAACAATAACAGTTAACTTTTTCTGCCCCTTGTAATGACTACCTCATGCCACTGCTAGCATATCCTTTCCATTGCCCAGCATAAGAATTAGTCATACATTCAGCACCAGGTTTACTCCAGAGCCAATTTGATAAGGCTAGGAGTGTTTAAACAATGAACCGCAGCCCACTTACACTGCACTATCAGAGTTACAACTATGGTCAAAATGAGGAGGAAATGATCACACCTAGACAGCAAACATTCATGGCTAAACCTGTGTATGACGTGGCAAATTAAACATTTACCTGTACCTATGCTACTTTGCACATTCCGGTTTAAGAATTCAATAGGGAATTGTAATATAAAAGCACTAATTATGCTAATTATATATTCCTAAATCTGTAAAGCCAAATGCTTTTTTTAAAAGTAGTATTACAGACAGCAGCTTTCATGCTAACTTTATAACTACATTTTATTTTTATCATACATCCCAAAATTACCTGTTGTACAACTGAAGATGAAGACAGATGTAAACTTCGGATATATTATCAGGTCAGTTTTCCCCAAACCAATAATGGCACAGGTGGGCAAACTACAGCCCTCAGGAGCTCTATGTGGCCCATAAAATTCATTTCTAAAGTTACTGCAAAATTGCTCCAGATACTAGGTTTCTAAAGATGTGCTTGTGAGATCACCTTCTGGGGTGGACCAACCCAATGGATCCCACCCTTGCAGGGGGAGTCAGCCAAGCCAAATCTCACCAGATCATGATCCATTTATGAAAACCATGTGACACTCACCCCCTTCAAACACTTGTTTACTTCCAATCTATTCTGTAGCAAAAACCAGATCTGCAAATACGCTGAGCCCATGATGTATTCAGACAGCCCACTCTATTCTAATGGAAAAGAAGTCCTGAGCCAGACTAGACAAGGCTGACCCAAGCTGGACATTCAAGTCCACCAGAACCCATTGTTCTTGTTCTCCAATACTACACCAAGACTGCCTCTACCAACTGAGAAAGGGAGGCAGCTGGGCAGCAAGTGGGTAAACACCCACAAGATCCCTATTTGTCTCTCTGACCCAACACCAGATACAAACCCTCACATCTGGCTGAGGTGGGTTGGTTCCTCTGTGAGGGAGAGGAATGGAATCCCTTGTCCCCAAACCCTTGAACCTATGCTGTTGCTGCACTGAGTACCAAGACAGGCAAGTAGAGCATGCCCACCCAAGACTGACCCCAGGTCAGTCACCTCCTCCACAATCATATTATGGTTGAGAAGTGTTTGATTTAGACTGACCAGATGTTCAGCAGCAGCAGCAAGTGAGAAGGCAAGTTGACATGGCTACTCAAGATCTGCTGACTGAATGGCAGCCCAGAGAGGGAAACAGCATGCAAATGATTCTTAGCTTTTCTCTAGGGATAACATGGTCCAGCCCTCACACTAAATAACCCTAATAATATTTGGCTTTTCTATAGCGCTTTGAATACTCCACCACGGCAACAACCCTGCCTTCGCAATAACAAAGCTCAGTGTTAGTAGATCAGCTCTGTAGGTACTAATGGCACTGGGTTTTATATCCCCATCAGATATGGATCTCTAATTACACAACTGCACATCAAAACTACTTGGAGAACTGCCACCATATGCAATTTTATGTTCCTTGGAGGTGAACTATGGAAAGCATTCCCAGTCAGGTTACTTCCAATCCCAATCAACTGCAGCTTGCAGAAAACTGCTGAGTGTAATACATATTACTAGTTTAAGAACTACCCTCTACTGCCCATTGAATAATTTATACAATTTATAGGCAAATTTGACTGTGATTCTTTTGCAGTGGTAAGAATTTAAGCTGCACCACTTCCAAAACCTGTACAAAAACAGCCTGCTTCAATATTTGTAAGACTGTCAGGGACGAAGCACAAAGCATGAACTGTTACTGTTCCACTTACCATTCTTCCTCTCACTTAGTGGAGGAAGGTTAGGGTTCCGGCCAGGATGGAGACCTAGGGTCAGCTCAGGCTGCAGGGACAGCTCCTGCAGCTCATTGGCAACAGCTTCACTCTGGGGGCTTGGTGCCGCCGAAAGAGACACCAACACTGCTTCATCTTCATTCTCGCCGGCCCCTCCTCCGTCCAGCCCATTTGCAGCAGCGACGGAAGGGGGCAGGCACAGCACTCCGGAGAAATCCACTTTGGCTTTCGTGATGGCAACCTGAAGACAGAACATATAAGAGTTGAACAATGGCATATATATATATTATTCTACCTTCCAAGAAGTAGGCCTCTTCTCTAGCTGTAGCTCTTCTGCAGGGTCCCCCACATTGTTTCAAGTTCAAAATAAATAGGCACAAACAATCTGCATACAAAACCTATGAGCATCTACAGCTCAAAGCAGCTAGAAATGTCTTCCTTCTTCCATTTCATACCTCAGAAAAGTCACATTCATAAGAGTAATCTGGATACATTAACTTTATTTAAAGGTGTAATATAATCAAATAAGCCTATATACACAACAAAAGAGGAAACAAGCTACTATTAACAACTAGGAACTGAATGAACTGCTGAGTTTGGCTCTGGAAAGGCTCAGCATATCCTGAAACAAGCTAATTTTGCCCTGCCCAAACTCCACGGCAAATTGCAAAATCCTTATAGAAAACTTTCAAGAGCTCAGAATAGCCTTCAGGCATGCATTACAAGACCTAGTGTAGCTGTGCTGGGCCTCTTCTTACAAACACAGCAGTCTCTGATGTACCGCAGGATCAATGACAATGTTGACCAACTGAGCACTAAAATTGCAAAGCAAGTCCCATCATAGCAGCCCTTATAGCTTAGGTTATTTCTAGACTGGAACCAGACTCCACCAGCACTGGACAAGTGCTAGGTGACTGGGGTGGATTTTGGTACTATTCTTACTGGTTATCAATTTTATTATTCTAATTTATTAGTTTAATAGAGCTAATAAATTCCCTCAAAAAGCACCAGGAAACAGCCTGCACAAGACCAGGAAACAGCCCACTCTGGTCCTCTTCCCCCACGCCCACCAATTTACAAGATTAATGCTATTTCAGTGCTTTCTCATACGTTATCACAATACTTCCTTTATGCCCATTTATCAGCTTGTATGGTCCCACAGCGAGGTGTATGAGCAGGCAGTTCTTACTCGCATGTACTGGTCGGGTAGAAAGTCCCTTCCCTGCCTTGTTCATTGTTTCCTCCATCTCAGAGTTTGTACTAATGGCTCGTAGGTCTTTGCCAGACTGAGCTTACTGCACTTTTGACTGCATGAGGGGAAAAGACAAATACAGAGATTTTCTTTCCTCTTTCTCTTGGAGCTGGGAGCAAAAGGGAAATGAGTGGAATGAGAGTTGAAGACTAACTAATTTGGGGCTGAATCTGGGTGGGAATGAACTTGGAGAAAATTGATCTGGGGTGTTATGCATTACTGGCTATGATATTCAGTACCCATTACCCCTCTGTTCTTCATTTCAGATGTCCTCACACTTAGCAGCAATGCTTATAAGGCTATGGGGACACAGAGCAAGCCTATAATCACATGGCATGTTCTGTAATTTTCTATAAAGCTGAACTCTACAAGTGTGTTTCTTACATTTTAAATACATTTCTAACAGGGACTATGCATGAAGAGTAATAACACTCCTGTGATTACTTGTCAGTAATAACTCCAGCTAATTTCAAGGTTTTATCTACAGGAATTAAAAAAGCATCCACCCACAATGATGCCTTGAAACAGTGGAAAAACTAAGGCTGTCAACTGATGAAAAGAATTTTTATTCATTAATCAGTTTATACATTATAAAAATTAGAATATGGATATTCTTTGGAAACAATGAATCATAACATAGCTTGAATTAAGTTGTAAGATATCACTCATCTTTTGGGAGGGGATATATTTGATATTGTTTTGCTCAGTCAACGTAATAGGGACATGCTAGAACAAAAAAAAAGCCTTTAAAATGTTGAATTCATAGCCCCCCATTTAAAACTGGATCACTGATTAAGGTTTGTGACCCCCATATAAACTGCATAACACTTTACAAGTCTGAGGATGCAGTTGCATTATAAAGCATACTGTCATTCTCCACATATCCCCAGCAATCAAGGTTTCTGTTGTTAGCAAATTATTTTAAGACAGAAAGGTGGGGAAGTAATTCCATTAGCAAACTTGCTATGGATGTTTCTCTCTATTCTTCGTTCCTTTAAGTCAGTTTCTATTTAGGAGTGGTTACCAGGGTAATGGCAATTTCCTACTCATTTAAGAATTGCTAAGCAACCTGCATCAACTAGCAGCAGCAGGTGGCATGCAGAAGTAGGCTATTTTGGGAAGCAGTAACTACTTTTCTTGCATTTAAAAAAAGCCATCTGTTACATGTCTCTGGCAACTGTGATCAGGAGGCCAAAAGAAAATCTAAAGTAATCTTTAGGCAGAGTGGTGTTAAGTGGATCAAGTTTTAAGCTAAACAGAGAAGGAAGAAGCAGTGGTGTTATAGCTGAGGACAACATTCTTTCTAGACAATCCTAATTCAGAAAAGTAGGAAACTGCACCATGTTGTTGATAGTCTACTAATAAGCAGAAAACAATCACCTAAAACTGGGTATTTACCCAGAAATATCAGTGCTCCAATCAGTTCTTCAGAGGTTCAGGCACAAGTCTTTCCCTATCCCTGTTACTAATGACACTACACTTGGAAATTCTTAGGATTAAATCTAGGAACAAAATACATTAAAAAATATGCACTGCCTAGAGCCATGGCAAGTCTTTCAGATAACTGAAAAATAAGGCCAGGAAAGTCCAATCAACATAGTTTTCTTTTATTCATTCATTCATTCATTCATTCAATTCCATCTATCCTGCCCTTACTCCCAAAGGAACCCAGATGCATACTATAGACTGTGATCTGCATATTTAGGGAAGTTCTATTTTATAGAGGGACATCCACCCTGCTACCTGCTATGCTCTTTCTTGGATCTTCTCTATGCAGACAACTACCTGAGTGTGGTCTTTTGAATGATTCTCCAAGCAAGGAACTAAAGTGTGCACTCATTTTCAGTGTACAAAGTGAATGGTATAAGAAGCCACTGCTTTCCCTATTATCCTGTCCCTCCCCAGCAGTGCAAGGAGGGAAACAGTACATCCAGTACTTCTACTGACAGTGCTGAAAAATCAATGGTACAAGCACCTGTTTCACAAGGAGCTTCTGCATCCCTATGGTTCTTTCCTTGTCAGATTAGATTAGAAATGCCACAGGGACAATGACTTGTCATTCCCCAACCAAGAGCAAACAGCACCAGTCTTAAGGCAAATTCATACCAACTATATTTAAGCACACTAATGTTTTATGTGGTTATGAAATGAAGTCATCTAACATATCTCCATCATATACACAGCACAAACAAAAAATGGGTTCCATACAACATAACTGAACAGTTCACAGAATTACTTGATTACAGCTACTTTACACCTATTTTGCCTTGTGGAAAGCTGTACATGCACTGGATTTCCTGCATGGAAGGGCTAAATTTTGATTGTAGAACATAGAAACCTGCCAAACGCAACTGGGAAGGCTTCAAGGAAGTTGAGGTAAGTCCCAGTCTACAGAAAATTCAGCGCCTGTTCAGTCTTTAGGTACACACGGATACATAAAAATATGTATTTTAACTTAACAAGGCTTTCCTAGAAACTCTGGTTTAGTCTAACCACAGGTCCAGAGGATGGCACTATCTAGTCAATCAAGTGCCAACAATGCACTCAAATATTGCTAATATTAAAGTTGTATAGCATACTAGCATAGCTACTGTAGATTGTATGACTGGTAATAATTATACTGTTGCTCTTTAAAGTGCACAGTCCAGTAACAGAAGCAGAAAGAAAATTTTTGTGTCTCTAAGTAATGCCTCCTTTATAGCATATTCAGTAAGTTAGGGGAGAGATAGCACAGAAATGTGGACACCTTGAAACTCCTTTTTCCGAGTTGCACAAATTTCCACTCCCAAGCTCTAAAAGCATGTGATCACAGAAATAATGTTAAGTGGAAATTGCAACACTGATGTTATTTTATCAGTCCTTTAGCTTCTGTTTGTTGTAAGAAGCAACAGATGTTAACTATATATCCATTGATTGAGGAAGTATTCTGCAGGCCCTTGATTGAGAAAGACCAAAACAAGTTTTGCAATCCATGTAGACAGAGGAGCAAGTGTGATAAGGATTTGACAGATGGCATGCTGATACAGGAAGGGGGTCTGCAACACTGGACCTTGCCTCTTCATTATTTTCAAAAGGAATAAATAAACAATATGCAATGATCACCTGAAATATCATTGCTGTAATATGAAAGGATGAAGTAATAAAACAAGTTGTGCCCCTGCAAGAAAATCTGAAAAGGCTGTGATCCTATAAACACTTAAGCTTCATTTAAATGACTCGGATTTGGGTTCACCTGCACATATTAACAGTATTTATGTCAGCCTACTGTACCAAGTATGTGGACACATACCCAGGAGGGAGGAAATGCATTTATAACTGGAAGCACATTTCCAGATACCATTCCACTAAAAAGCACTGGTTCCCACAATGGCCAGCCAGATCTCTACAGGAAACCCAAATGCAGGACATAATGACAATGGCCCTCTACAGATGGATCACATGGGTGTGGCTTCAGTGAGAAGTCCATGCAGCCACAGCAATTAGAGCTTCCAAAATTACCAGTGGTGCTTTTTTCCTTAAGCCCAATATAAAATGCTTTTTCTATACCCAGTCCAACCAAATCATAGGTCAGCATTTAGCAAATGATGTTCAGGCATCACTTGCTCAGCACTGATCCACACCCTTCAGGAGCACAGCCGGCACAAAGCTCTTTGACTCACCACTGTATTTCAACAGGAAGTCTATTAACCTGTCATACTCAACCATCTAAAACTCTCCAACCTGCACACAGACTTGGATCTATGAATGAGTATTTTTAAAACATTTAAGGTTGTTCCTCCCCAAATTGTGGTAATTTGTTTATTAAGCAAAGGGGGGGGGGAGAGACTTTAAAAAGATTTCCCAAGCTCTTAACAATCAACTCTTTCAGAATCTTGCTTAGCTTATCAACCCTCCCCTCCACAAAAAATTATTCTTCTCCATACATCCTACTCCTCTTAAACTGCCATCTGTAGAAACACAGATGTTTTGTCATCTCCATAGGCAAGCTCACACTTTGTGCAGAAATGTTTGCTGACTCATGCTTTGCCATATACACATATAAAGTGTTAGGGACAAACGGGCATCTAACATTTTAACATGGAGCAGACGTGCACCAGGAAGCCATTTCTAATCAAGTACTTACTGCAGGTCCCAATGGGGTGATTTATTTAGAGCAGGGTTAGGGGACCCCTGGCTGACAGGTCAAATTGGGACCCATGCTGAACCACAAGCTACAGATTTCCCAAACCTCACTCATCTGCCTTTCACCTGATATTATATGTGACATCAGGTGTGGCGCAGAGATGCAGGGGGTTTGGCTACGCAACAGTTCCCTAAGGGGAACTTGATCACATATCCAATCCCTGAAGAAAGCAGCTTTGCCAACACTTTACTTGGCACTATGAAGCACTTCCCACATGCCAGCTGGCTGTAAGGCATTTGGGAAGCACTTCGCTTAAAAGCTTTGCAAGACTTGTGCTCAGAGTTTCCCTAGTACTGAAGATAAGGCTTCCAAAGCTCCTTGCACTGAGGTTCCCGAGTGCCTGCCAACTAGGTCACTGTTGGGTGCCTGGAAAGTGCTGCACAAACGACTTTGACAGGTGAGTTGGCCTGCCCACCTGTTTAAGTTGGCCTGTGGGCTATAAAGATTCCCCACCCCGATCTACAGCTTAATGTGAACCTTTGGGCAGGTGGATGATTATGAGAACATGGAGCCCCTGAACTTGAGTTTTCTGGATTATCAGCATCAGTGCCTTTGTCAGGTGAGGCAAGCATGTCTGTGATTCTTTCAAATCATGAGAGGTAGCAACTTTACAAACATATCAGTGATGTGGGATGAAGAATTTTCCACAGCTATGTTTTTCCATGGACCCAAGTACATTTCTAAAGATCTGGGGAAGTATTAGTTTGAACACTATAATTAATTATGCAAAAAAAACTAAGGCACAAAGAAATTTTCCAAAAAAATGTTTTCCTTAAAAAACTTTCTGATTCAAAATTTTCCAGGAAGTTCACATTGCCCATGAAAACCATGGGTTCTGAAATAGCTACCAGATTTTGTGTTTGGTATAAAAATACACAATAGTAATTAATTTTTTACACACAGATCCAAAAAACTAGTATCAATAAGGTTCCCCTCAACCCCTCTCAACTATAATATGTCAAAGCCAATCTCCTTTGCAGGAGGGCACGGTTGCAGGCTGGCCTCACACTTTCCCGCACTTAGTGGTGGCGTGTCAAGTCCCCCGCATCATCAGGGAGTCGCGGCCCGTGTCACGCCCACAGCCAGCCAATCCAAGCTGGGAGCTCTTCCTTCTGCTTCCTGCTTCAGCGGATCTCCCACCCTTTCTTCTTGCATTCGACAACTTAACCTTGCTATGGACCTTGGTTGGTCGCCTGTTGAAGGGGCCTGGTAGGAATTTTTCCACTTGGCAGATTGGCACCAGCCACTTGGTTTTCACCTACCTCATAGCAAATTGTCACAACTTTGTAAGGTTTTGTGGTTAGGCATTGGAAAAGCTTGGTTGATGGGAGGAGAAGTTGTGGCCATCACCTGCCCCTCTCCCCTTTAAGGGTATTCCGTTAAAAGAATCCAGGGGTCGTGGTTCCTGTCCAAAGCCCAGGGAGAGGCTAGGGCCACGGTACGACCACTCCGGTGACCCTGAGGGGAGATCCGAGTTGATGTACATCAACAGTGCTCCCCCTACTGGTGGTTAACCCTTGTGAGACTCCCTGCATGGCAGGCAGGAGCCAGATATAGTCGGTTTGGGTCCAATGCCTAAGCCAATACCATTCACATTCTGTAACCAATAATGTTGTGGCCTTTATTAGCCCATTAACCTAAAAGACTGGTGTCCACGTGTCTTATTCATCAAATGGGGTGGGGGGTACAGGGCCTTGGCATGCAATTAATTTTAAAAGGAAGCAATGCAACTGGAAGATTACAAACCTTATAGTTCCCACAAATCAATCCAGTTCTGTTCCATGCCAGGCGCTCCAATCACTACAAAAGAAACAGAAATCACACAAATCAAATCTCTTCTACAAGACTTAAGCCATGTTACCTACAGATAAAAAACAAAACAGCTCCCATCTTGTTGCCACCAAATTTAAGTTGCTTGGCATCCCCTCTAAAGCAATGTCAGGATTCAGACAGTATTTGAAGGCTACATTCAGATGACACCTCCTCTACCTGTGGTTTGGAGAATCACGAACAATACTCCTCCCTTCACAAGCACAACTTAATAAATTATTTCTTGGTTTAATCCAGTCCTGGTTTGTTTGCATATGCGGATCAAATCCCAGTTGAGACAATTTGTGATTCTTTTAACATCTTACTGGTTAATTTTGAGTGTACAATGTATACAGAAACAGTCTTTATTTACAAATAAAGTTTTTGTAAATTACAAAGTCTTTATTTACAAATACAGTAAATGATGCAGCATACTAAATGCAGCCTAAGCAAGTCTTAAGTGACACAAAGCAGCAACAGTTTTAGATGGGAGTATATACTTGAATATGTCTATGCAATAATGGGACTATCAGATTATCAGATTCTGCTAAGTGGCTACTGCAGCAACATATGGAGTAGTGCACAAATTTAGAATAGCAGTGCACTCTCCACATGCCTTATGCATGAGGAATTACAGTGGTACCTCGGGTTACATACGCTTCAGGTTACAGACACTTCAGGTTACAGACTCCGCTAACCCAGAAATAGTGCTTCAGGTTAAGAACTTTGCTTCAGGATGAAAACAGAAATCGTGCTCCAGCGGCGCAGCGGCAATGGGAGGCCCCATTAGCTAAAGTGGTGCTTCAGGTTAAGAACAGTTTCAGGTTAAGTACGGACCTCCGAAACGAATTAAGTACTTAACCTGAGGTACCACTGTACAATACAAGCCGCTTCATCTGAAAAAAGTATTACCAAAGAGAACTATATCTAAATTTCCTTAACCCTAGACATATCCCACTTTGAACATACCAATAGTGCACCAAATATAGATCATGAGCCAAGCCAGTCATACTCAGGAGTAGATTTGTTTAAATGAATGGACCTTAGTAACGTAGGTATATTAATTTCAATCTACTCTGAGTAAAAGGTAAAGGGACCCCTGACTATTAGGTCCAGCCACGGACGACTCTGGGGTTGCAGCACTCATCTCGCTTTACTGGCAGTGGGAGCCGGCGTACAGCTTCTGGGTCATGTGGCCAGCATGACTAAGCCACTTCTAGCGAACCAGAGCAGCACACGGAAACGCCATTTACCTTGCCGCCGGAGCAGTACCTATTTATCTACTTGCACTTTGATGTGCTTTCGAACTGCTAGGTTGGCAGGAGAAGGGCCCAAGAAACGGGAGCTCACCCCATCACGGGGATTCGAAACACCGACCTTCTTTTTAATTTTTTTTAATTTTTCAATTTCTGTACCGCTTTATATTTTTAATAAAAACCTCAAAGTTGTGTATAGCGTATTAAATCAATAAAACAATGGCAGGACGATGTTCCTCTGACCTCTTGAGGAGCTTCTTCAGTAGGGCTGGTGAGTCTGGGCCTCGCCCCCTAGCCCAGGTGGAAAGGTTGTAAATATACAACCCCATATTTATCCTGTTAGCATTTATCTTTTCCAACCTCCATCATGTGGCAGCATTGGTACTCAGGTGACAGCCCAGGTTTTCATGAAAAATAAGGGTATAAACTACTGTAAAGTTGGTAGAACCTGATGGTAATCACCACCAGAACATTTCAGTTTGAAATTTTCATTACATTAATTTGTGTATGCAAAAGAATGCTTTAATCTTTGAAGAGCAAGAGCTCTCAACTGGAAGAAGCTGCCAGGGACATAATAATAGACTAAGTTTTACTTGCTTCTACAAGTGTGCCTTAGCTACAAATCACAAGAATGATATATTTAATGTGATTTTTGCTTCTGCATCTTCATATTCTAGAGCCAGAACTGAACAAACGAGAAACCACATTAAAAGAAAAAAGTATTTAAAGAATAGGTCTAACATTGAATTTTAATGCACACAACTGGATGTGGTCCCTGTACTTTGGTAACATTTTACCACATTTTAGCCTAAATGCCAGTAGCAATCTAAAATGACATGCTTTTTGAGCACCATTCCTTCCTGCCTCTTAACACAACTTAGTTTCTTTCAATAGCTCTAAGCAGTCACAAAAGGTGAAATAGAATCAAAGAATCGTAGAGCTGGAAGGGAGCCTGAGGATCATCTAGTTCAACCCCAATGCAATGCAGGAATATGCAGCTGCCCATTACGAAGATTGTGCCTGCACTATGCTCTACCCAACTGAGCTATCCAACTTCTCACAATCTTCCAGACAAGGGTGTGCAATGTACTGCCTCAACCATCAGATTTAATTGACTTCCCTACTGCCAAAGATCACTCAGTCAACTACCATGGAAGTTCCCAGGAATATCCAGAAAGGTGAGGGGTTATGACTACACTACGCACAACCACTTCCTTTATGCCTGTTGGGTAGTCCCACAACAGATAATTAGCAAGCCAGTTTGCCAAGAGGTGGACGTTAAAGGCCTCATGAGAAGATATGCTAAAGCACTTCTTTCCCAATACCTGCTTCTTTTCTGGCATAGACATCTATGCAGTAATACTTAGTAAGTCAATGGCATGCTGCAGCTTTAAAAATCTAGCTTGGGACTCTAACAGAAGGCAATGTAGGAGACACTTTACTGCAGTGAAGGCTTAGCCATTAGTCTTAGCTGCTAAGATAGCCCTTCTGTAAAGCATTTACCGGTATATAACAGCTCCTTTTCCTTAACTCTTTTCTCCAAAATATGAGGGTCTTGAAATATTGTAAATAGAAATGAGAAATAAAAAAAGAAAAGGTAAAGCCCTTTAGACCACTTGGGCACACAATGGAAATGAGTAACAACTTAAGTTCCAAATTCCAACAGATCCCAACATATTTTCTGCCTCACCCCAGCTTACATGATTAGTCAATAAACATATGTAAGAAAGCAATTTTTAATCATCTCATGTATTTTATTTTTCTTAATAGTGCCATGTTATGTCCACAGCTCAACTACACAGCTGGTAACAGAACCACTATGAAGTTTTCCCCCACCTCTTTTCCAGCTGTGTGGTATGACTGTACTGTAATAAAATAACTTTCACAAGTCCCCTTCCCCCGAGAAAATAACGTCAACTGTAAGAGATGCAGAAGTCTTGTCTTGCTCATAAACTTATAATTCAGTGGAAAAGTTTATACACCATTGTTTACATGTTCCAGCTAAGCTGTTGGTATTCTAGCAATTACAATGGGTTATCTGCCTTTGCTAGTGGTGACTCAGAGTTTAGTAGTTGAACAACATGGAAATTCTCCAACTGGCATTAAGAAAGAGCCTCTGATCTGAATGCCACAACAGGGGTTTGATTTTCATATCCCTCTTTCTCCCACCAGTTACATATTTAAAAGCTCAAGTAGCTCTCCCTACAACCATCAAGAGTCTAGGATCCTTCATCTAAACTTAACAATCCCAAGTTTCTAATTATGATTTCTGTTGTCTATGTGGAAGGAAGGAAGAGTCCCTCCCTCTATTCCCCATTATGAAAACCACAAAGCAAAGTTATGAATTCCTGTACAGCAAGAATAATGAACCTCTAGTCCATAAGGCCTCCCTTTCCATCTCAAGGTCTCTGCTCTTGACCCCACCCCTACACTCCCACACTTTTTTAAAAAGCCTGTCACATGGTAGGAACAGCTGGAAAGGAGTTAGCTTTCCCCTCCTAGTTAGGCAAGACACACACAGCAAGTAGGACTTTTTGAAAGCTTCCAGGCACCCAAGTACTGTGGCACCCAAATCTTTAAATGCAGTCATAATCTGTAGACAATGGCAGAATAGACCAAGGAAGAAATGCTTGGCAGCCCTTTTCAAAGCTCAGCAACTCAACATCTCCACCCTGCACAGTCTCCAACTTTAAACTTTGAAGAGGTTTTGTCTGTTTGGGAATAAGAAAATGGGAATACTTCTGACAGCGACAAGGTAATGGAGATGCAAGGTAAAGTAAAAAGCAAATGAAATGTCATCAGATCAAATTCCCTACTTGATTTCTAAACAGCAAATTCAATCAGAAAATAAAATGCCTGTAACTTCTACAATGGCAAGAAAGAAGGTTCTGAGAAAGCAAAGGCTAAAAAGCAAGCAAGCAAAGGCTATCCCACTAACAAAAACAAATTTAAAATGTGCATGTTGGAATGGAGTTCACTGTTGCTACCATAGTTTCTCAAATTACCTGAATCCAAAATGTACATGTGAACTTGAAGGAAGGTTCCTAAGAAAGGTAAGTTTCAGCTGCTCTGTGTAAAACACTAACTGCTGACCCAACTTTCACATGTTTAATTAGAATTCCAAAATTAAGAAGGCCAGAGGCAGAAAATGAAAGCTGCCTTCTCTATAATTAAAGAATGTCACCAAAGTAGTCACACTGCAAAAACATACTGAGGCGATAGCAGACATCTACCTACCTTCAAAATAAAATGACAAAAGCAAGCATAGCCCAGCAGTTTCAGCTAGTCCTTGGTAGCGCTGCAAAGTCCTAATGAAGGTGTGCACTGCCCAAAGCTGCACTGAAGTATATACTCTTTTCAGCGTTGCAACTCTTAATTTTAATCACTCCTGTCCAACCATCTGCTATAGGACATAACTGGAATTTTATTTTATTTTTAAAAAAGAATGAAGAATCCTAAACTATTACAACCAAGAAATGTTAGTACACAACAAGCATAGGTTACTAAAGTAACAATAAGCAGAATAAAACCGCAATGGAAGTGCGACAGATAGAAGCCCAAAAGACTCCTCTTTCTACTCATTAGCTTCACAATGCAGCTCAGTTAGCTTCTTATATCACATTAAAGACCTTTCATTTAGACCTCAAAAATAAAGTTATTAAAACACTTTGCATCTGGGCGTTCTGACAGAGCTTAGATTTTTAAAGCACTTGAAATGCCCACTTTAAACATTTCTCACATCACAAACCCCTCTTTAAAGGGTGCACTTTCTTTGAAACGCTATCATGCACACTGAGTGGGCCACTCTGTTGTAAGTGAGTGGCATGTGTGCAAAGGGCTGGATTATTATCATCATTTATTAACTATGTATACTGCCCTTCAGGGCGATTCACAGCATAAAAATACAATATAAAAACACAAAAGACATAATAATAATAACACAAACAAAAATGAAACAAAATATAACCCCTCTCCCATAAAGACATTTAAAACCATATAGGATGTCAGTCTGCCAAAGCCCTGGTTGAAGAGGAATGCTTTGCTTTTTGCCTGGCACCTAAAGGTGTATAATGGAGGTGCCAGCTGTACCTCCCTGAGAAAAGCATTCTACAAATGGGGAGCCACTGCAGAAAAGGCCCATTCCTGTGTTGCGACCCTCCAGACCTCTCGTGGAAGAGGCACACAAAGAAGGGCCTCACATGATTACCGCAGGGTCCTGGTAGGTTCATTTGGAGAGAGGTAGTTCTTGAGTTATTTGTGGTCCTGAGCCATTTAAGGCTTTATAGGTCAAAACCAGCACTTTCAATTGGGCCCAGAAACTTATTGGCAGCCAGTGCAGTTGGGATTTCATAACCTTCAGATGTTTTAAACCCTTATGAAATATTCAACATTTTCTATCCATATCAGGGATCTCTAGCATACATTACTGTTTCTAGTGGCTATTCAAGAACCAATAGCTAGAAACCTTATTTCCAAGTTAAAGTTATCTGTGAAAATTATATCCTTGCTTCAATATTTTTTAAACTTAGGTCAACTCTATCCCAACTGCAATTTGTTTCGTATGTTGTTAGTAAGGGAACCCCCTTTAACCTAATCTCACAAGAGACTCCCTTTTCCTATAAGAATGGCTTTTACACTGAATCAAGTTCCCATAATATATCTTCCTTGTTACTGGGTAATCAGAGACTAGCAAATTACTCCAATGTATCATATATTACCATGAGTAATCTCTCCCATTACTGAAAACACCCCAGAACCATGGTTACAAAGAATACAAATGCCTCATTAGTGGCAAATAACTACAGATATCTTGTCACTATCCAGTATTCAATCGTCTTCCTTTTTCCACTAATGGATTTATGACAGACACAGCAAAGCAGACAGGTGTTTTTTTCTTGATTAGCAGCTATTAAAACTAATGAAATTAATGAAATTAATGTTTGCATTACTCCAAACCAGGTAAGATCAACAAAACACAATATGAAGCAGCTTTTTAAAAAAACAGAAAAGTGCCACTGGGCAAGGCAAACCAGAATAGTTGGGAAGGCTTAAGGAAGAGAGGTAACACAATTATACTTACAACAGGTCCAAAGCTCATGTAATAAAAGTCTCAAGTGGCACAACATATTTCGGAATTCCTTTGTGAAAGGGAATTTTAATCTCAAGTCATTCTCCCTTATATTCCTGCTGTAACTCCACAAAAGCTTAACTATACTGTATCCAGTTTCAAATTTGTCATAATACCACAAAATTAACAGGAAAACAAGCTATTTACAAGCATCAAGCAAATTCGTAGACCTCTAAAACTATTATATTTAAATTTAAGAACTGATATTCACTACAAGGTTAAAATTGCAAGTTCCAATATACTAGTTAAAACTATTTGCCTTTTTCTAAAATTGTGTCACAAAGATGGTCCTCAAACTATCAATTTTATTTTTCCATAAAGTGCTTATAAAAAGAATTCCACAAAATTTCAAATATTCATACACAGTAAGAATTCATACACATCATTTTGCAAGATTTGTGTCATTTTGTTTAACTAGACACTATTGTATGTCATACCTGAATTATCTTTATTAAATGTATTTCAAGACAACAATCTGGATTTGCATAATAAAAAATTAATATGTAATTTATTACAAGCGGCATGACGCAACATAAGCAGACACTGGAAAGACCTTTCTAGCACAATGGTAGACAACTGGTACAAAATAGTTTGGAAAACAGCCTTCCTTGAGAGATTAATAAGTAAACTATGGTTGACATGTGGACAGATCAAGAAAGATGGCTTTACCCTCATGTGATTTAATTTCATAACATATGTCAGTATTCCAGAAAATGAACAATCCCCTCCATCAGCATTTGGTTCAATCTGGTTGATCTAAACGTTAATTTAAGCATAATTATCTCTACTTTGAACTCCCATGTTCATCAATATATGGTACATTGTTTCAATGGAAACATAAATAGGAAAAATGACTATTACTCATACTTCATCTAAGCACTACCACAAAGATTCCTGATTAGGCATTTAGCTATGTGATGCTGAATGTTATCGGTTAACTCTGTTCTATCATGTTTCCCCTTTGTTTTTGTTTAGACCAATTCACGAGCCAAGAACTTACACCTGGACCATTAATAATGACCATATATTGTAGATATTACTGCAAATTGAGAAGACTTGGTCTGTTTATTTGTATCATTTATTATTCCTATGATCCTTGTATAAAACCCAATAAAAAGTTATTTAAAACAAAAACCAAACTAGACACTATTATCCTCTCTATTCCTAAAGACATGAAGTTTGGAAGATGAGTTCATTGCTGAGTAGTCTCCTGAAGTTATACTAATTTGCCCATTCCAAAGTTAGGCCCACAGTAAAATGAATTTAACAAGGATTCTTTCTTGTCTCCAGTACTTGAGGAGCAAGCAAGAGGAAACATATTAGAAGTTATACTGCTATTTAAAATCAACACAGCTTTCAGTACCACAAATGTGCAATGCAATCCTAGGTATGTCTACTCAGAAGTTATACTGAGCTGAAGTGCTTTATTCCTAGGTAAGGCTGCAACCCAAAACAGTGAGTTAAAATATAAAGACAGTTTCAACTTATATATACAGCAAAACTAAGAACAAAGGCTGAATTCATCCCTATATTTTCATGTGATTTCTAAAGAGTGGAGACAAGGAAGAAGCAAAGAACTGATGGGATTAAAAGCCTAGGCAGGAAGACACAGCAAAGGACAGATAGCTGTTTGCATACTGACCCCTATGACCAAGTCCTTGTGCATGCAGAATGCTGTACTCACCAATATCAAATTCTGTATCATTCTTACATCTTGTGCACAAACACATAAACACTATGGGACGAATTCAACATTGTGCTAAAACAACTGTTTTGGCAGGGAAGCATTTGGGTTTGCCAGACCAAACCAAAGGATCCCCAACCGCCCCAGAGCCAATTTTGAGGAAGTGGACGGAGGAGAAAGGAAAAAGACCCATTGCACGCAGTAGTCCTTGTGCAGGGCTTCCACTGACTGGACTTAGTTGAATCCCGACCACTATGCTCTGGAATTGGCTGGTGTGTCCAGAGTATCCCTTTACTTAATTTCCCCATCCTCTTCCAATCTGCATGCTATTTCTATTTTAGTTAAAAACACATGTAAAAACAATATATTCAGATGTAGAATGTCTCACTGAAATTCAAGCAATCTGGTTTTAGCAGAATGATGAATTGAAAGAAACTGTAATCTTCAACAGTCATGAAATGCCTATAGGACCTCACCAACACAAAGGAATTAAAGTTTCACTTAAAGTAAATTACAAAAATAGAGAAAAGGGAAATTAAAACAATCAGTAATATCCTTCTGCATTTCTTCATAAGAAGTCTGAATATTCAGGTTAAAAAATATGTTCATGTCTGAGGCTCAATTTGATAAAGGTTTACAAAACTACTAACAGCAAGGAGAAGCAAATAAAAATTCTCAGTACATTTCAGCCAAGAGAACTTAAAGACAACAAACTTGTGGCACGTGATGAGAAAATCCTTCACATAATGTAAAAAAAATTATGGATTTCTTTGTCACAGGTTGTTGTGATGGCCACAAGCAGACACAGATTTTTAAAACAATTCATCAAATTCAAAAAGGACAGTTTTTTACAGCAGCCAATGGTGGGCCAAGCAACAAAGGGCATTATCGCTACCATGCTTCACTTGAGAGTTCTGTGCATATCTGGACTTCACTGGTCTTTCCAAATTCCCAGCTATACGTAGGGCTATAAGTTCAGTGATAGAGCATCTGCCTCACATGCAGGTTCAATTCCCAGCTTCTCCAGGAAGGGCTGTGAAAAGCTCCTGTCAGAAACCCTGGAAAGCTCAGTCAGTGTAATCAATACTGAGCTAGATGACTAAAGGTCTGACTCAGTACAGTGGTACCTCAGGTTAAGTACTTAATTCGTTCTGGCCGCCGGAGCACGATTTCTGTTCTCATCCTGAAGCAAAGCTCTTAACTCAAGGTAATATTTCTGGGTTAGCGGAGTCTGTAACCTGAAGCGTATGTAACCTGAAGCGTATGTAACCCGAGGTACCACTGTATAAGGCAATTTACTAGATTCCTAGCACTACTATTAGTATTCAACATACTGCTAGCATAGCATGTGCTTACAATCTACCACCACCTTAGCTTCCATTCCTCACTTTAAACTATCATACATTGTATTAACTATTCTACCAACATGAAGGATTTCTTTACGTGTCCCAATAGACCAAAAACCTGATGATTCATAAGGATAGATGTAAGAACTATACACTTCAAACTCAACTAAGAATGAAACTCCAAGTTATTCAGCTTTCATAATGACAATAGATGGGCAGTGCCAACTTCCAATAAGCAATATCCCTCAAAAAAATCATTCTGCACTTCCTAGGCACCCACTTTAATTAGCAGAGCAAGTTTTTGCTAAACATATTTCTGTCATGTATGAAGTCAGCTATCCACAGAAAGCAGGAAACAGGCCTCGAAGCAATATCATCAGTGAATTTTTATTTATTACACCAGTTCTATGCTACGTAATACATAAAAAACATATCTATGAAGTATACAGAAAACTGAAACAAACACTAAATATTACAAAAAAAGTTAACATATAAAAATATTACACTAATACAAATAAGCCGCCTCTCCACTCACAGTTCTTTCTGCAGCCTCTGCCCTATCTTCTCCAGCTGCTTCACTGTCCCATGATCAGGGCTTGCTTTTATGGGCAGGCACCAAAGTGGATGGAGCTTCTTCAGGCTGCCCACACACCTGTGTTCCATTAAGCCACTGTTGCTCAAACTTGGGTCCCCAGCTGTAGTTGAACTACAACTCCCATAATCCAAAGCTAGCAGGACCAGTGGGGAGGGATGATGTGAGGTGTAGTTCAACAACCGTTAGGGACCCAAGTTTGAGAAACACTACATTAAGCAATTAGGTGCACTCTCCACACCCAGCACCAGGTGCAATATGCTTGGTGAGTTTCCCAGGGTATCCCAATGATAGAAAAAGGGCACCCTGCTGATCACAGTTTTTTCTACTTCAGAGCATATTTTGTACCTAGAAGTTATTCATCCTTATACTCTATCTGTATACAATGACACCAAAACTGACATTCATTGGTTTTATATTGCATTTTTGTCTTAATTATATTGTTTGTTTCATACTGCACACCATTTAGAGCAATTTTTAAAATACTGTATCAAGCTTGATATTAAAATCAATATTTATACACATACCAACTATTTTTCTACACACCTGAAATATCAATCTTCACATTCTTTTCTGTGTGCCTTAAATAGAGATGCAAAATATGGAGTGCAGTGGAAATTTTGATGTAATTATTTCATCTTTGGATTAAAAATGCCTACCAAATCTTGCATGCTCATGCATTTTCTGCCCACCTATACTCATGTACTGTACTTTTCATTGCACCAAGTTACACAATCCCATGCCATAATTTCATAACTACCATTTTCCCATACTATACTCCTCAAAGCTGGTGAACTGCACTCTTGAGATACTACCCTGGGAAACAAAAAGGGAGGCTCCTGCTCAAGACCTTCACTAGGTCAACAAGTATGCAAATCCCTTGCTACAGAATTAGCTAGGGCAATAAAGACTTACTAACACAGGACTGATCTGACAAGTCACTCCAGTGTTTGAAAACAAGAAGTGTACAAGAAAACTTATGCCATAATAAACGTTTTCAGCCTAAGGGCCACAATGCCTTGCAGGCAACCTTCTAGATCTCGCCTACTAGACACGGCAACACCAGAGGGGGAAAAGTGGGCAAAGCAACAGATGCAATGCTTACATTTGTACATTCAAGCCACACATAAACCAGATTTTTCTCAACATTCAAACACACACCCCTCTTCATCCAGGCAAACAAGAAGCATTACTACAGTTCAAGAACAAATTCTTGCCAAGCAAAAGCACTCAAGGAAGGCAAATGGCTGATAAGAGGTGTGGCTTGGGCAGAGCCCCAAGGACTGGCTAGAGAGGCCTAAAAGGATGCATTTGGAAACCACCCCAGGGCCTGAGGTTCCCTACCCCTGCCTTAAGGTATCATAAGCCTGCTTTTATTGCAACCAGTGAATACGCTCACTCTTCTGCAAGTTGCTACCATGTGATGTCCAGATGCTTTCAAAGTGGGAAACCCAAGAGGAGTCCCATGTCTTTATGCTGTTAAAGAGGATGCATCTTTAACTATGGATGAACTATAAGTGCCAGTGTGATTCTATTCACAAGCTCAGATCGTTGGATGTTAAGCAGCAGGGAAAGTACTAGCAAAGGATATTCTTGCTGGCCTCCAGCCCACAATGAGCCAGCCGCATTCAACCACCCTCCAGCACAGGATTCTGGGAAGCATCAAATGATAATTCATCCTGAATCTATATGCTCAACGCAGATTCCTACATGTGCCAGTGGGTGGGTGTGATCAGCTCAGCCCATATTCTCAAAACAGTCTTCCACACAGATTGCAGATTACGATTCTGAAACTGAATCAGGGACAATCTTGCATTCTTGAAATTACATAGAGAAGATCCAGTACATTTACATTTCCTTTGCAATTAAAATTTTCTCGGAGGAAAAGAGTCTCAAAGACAAAAAAAAAACAACCCCAAAAATTTTTTGGTGGTGGTGGTGATGATCCTGGAGGTTTATTCTTGTCGTCCAATAAAAACCCAATAGTTGAAAACAGTGGAAAGGGAGGGATGATAAATCCGTTCGGCAAACGGTGAAATGACACAGCGGAGGGGGGCGTTACGGGGAAAAGCAGAAGCCTGGCTGGCGGCTGATGGAGAAAAAGGATACCTTCGGTGGCTCTTCTAGGGGAATTATTTGGGGGCCGGGGAGGCGGAACATTCGCCGTTTTACTCACGAGCGCATAGCAAAGGGGCGGGAGGGCCACGCCAGAGTCACGTACCCGAAGGAAAGGCCCGGTCGTGGGAAGGGGGCGCTGCAAAGGAGAACGGCGTGGGGCGACGGGGGGGGGGGCTGCGTGGTTCGTGTGGGACGGGAGAAGGAGGGCGCGGTTCTCCCGCCAGCCTCCGCCGTGGGGCAAAGGAGGAGCGTGAGGCGAGCCAAGGCCAGGCTCTCCCAGCAACCGGGGCAGCCCCGCTTCGTGCTTCCCAGAGGGGCGGTTCCCTGCCCCATACATGGAGGGACATTCCCCCCCTCAGCGGGCGGGCGGGGCGAGGAGCTGCCGGCACGCTCCCTCCCGAAGCCCCGCTTGCACTCACCTGGTCACGACTCCATCCCAGCTGCCCGCACTTGGCCGCCTTCCCCTTCCGCAGCCTCCCACAGAAAACTTCCCCGAGCGCGCAAAAAAAAAGAACCCCGGCCCTCACCACCGCCGGCTCAGCTCCTCTCAGCCGCGGAAGCTCCCGCCCACCAGAACGCAGAGCTACGGGACGAGCAGGCGGCGCGACCAATCCGAAGGCGCGGAGGCGACTGAATGACGCCAGCGCCCGTCAACGAGTGTCGAGTAACTCCGGGTGCTAACGGGCGAGAGGCGGGGTGGGGAAAGGGGCAGGCGGGGCAGAGAAAGGTGACTGAAGAAGGAAGCAGCCAATTAGAGGATAGGAATTATGTCATCGGCAGAAGGTGAGGCTGGCGTGCTCGAGCGCCGCGGAGGAGCCGCGAGGAAGGAGGGGGAGGAGCCCTTAAAGGGACAGTGCGCCAGCCTAGGCACGTAGCGGGCTGCTGCTCCTTTGCAGAGGCTTAAAATATCTGCCCCCCCACCCCCACATAGGCCCGCCTGTCTCTGACCGTTAATAAATAAATCTTTCACAGGAGCATCCGAAGCACGTTGCTGAAAAGACAGAAATAAAGCATTCCCACGCACATTTACTTAGGAAGGAGCCCCTATTAAACTCAGGGGACTTCCTTCCAAATAAACATGCAAATCGTATATTTAAACACGAATTAACTTGCCAGTAAAAGGTTTGGAGGGGGGAAAAACCGGAAGCATTTTTAAAAACAAGTTCTATCAAGCATGCAAAATTTCTGAAACTTCTACCGCTGCTCAGTAGTAGGGCAGGTGCTTTCGCAGGTAAAAGGCCACAGGGTTCCATCCCTGCCTGACACCTCCAGATAGGGTTGGGGCAAACTTGATCCAGGAATGCCAAAAGGACTGAACAAGGTGGGGCCGAACTGACTCGATGTAAGACAGCTTCCCATGTTGAGGAGGAATCTAGCAAAAGGAACAGTTTCTACAGCTGCAAAGAAAACGTTTTGTGTGTGTTTTAAGTGCAATATACAATGTGACACTAGATGGAAATGGTGAGCCTTATGGAAAATTCAATGTATTTTTAAAAAACTTTTTTTTAAAGGTATTTTCAGAACAGATTTTATGTGTGTGTATCTACAACCAGATTAATTTTCCACCAGCTAAAGAGACAGTTTGCTTTTTGTGGACTATGTATTTCCCAACTCCTAGAAGAAACTACCTAATTTGGCTTTGGGGTTTTTTAACCTACTAGTACATCACCTAAAACTGATATTCAGCTTTGCTAATATAAAAAATATCTATGTTGTTGTTTACTTCTGCTCTGACCTGGAATTTAAGGCCAATCTGAGTAACTACAGGACTTTCATCCCCCCTGTTGCACTTACAAAATCCAACTCTACTGATGACTTAAAACATTTGAATTTTATTTTAATGCTGACATAACATCTCCTACCATACCTTGAGGTAGCATGCTAACTTAAGGGGTGCAGATCAGGTTAGGTTAGGAGGAGCAGTTGGTGGCTCTTGCCACCTCCAATATCTGCTGCCTACATCAAATGCAGGGGCAGACCTGGCTACAGCATTAAGCCAATATGTTCTTGCTTCACCTTCTTCCTAAACTCTGGCTGTATGTAACATCCAGCCTGATGTTCAGAAAAACTCAAAAGCTTGCTCACTATTTTGTGGTACCTTGGTTAGTCCAAATAAATGTATTGCATAACTGTAGACTGCCAAAGGCAGCTTGTTCACAACCACAGCCCCTCTATTCCCCAATACTAATACTACTTCAACTATCTAGCATCGGAGATTACTAAATAAAATTAGGGTGAATTCAGGACAGCCTATTGCTAAAAATACAAGCATTCATGTTAAGGGGCTGTAGAAACAGAGGTGCTGCCTGCTGTTTTCTCTCAGTTTGTAGTTCCAAAACAAATTATACTTCAAGGAATATGGTTCTCCAAGTGGTCTTCTTCCTGCTTTTCCAAATGGCTGAGGCCCCTTGTACAGTATAAAGAAATTTTACAGTGGAATGAAGGACATCTTTAGAAGAGGGTCGATTAGTTTTGATGCTTTCCCTAAGTGTCACATGCTTGATCTGTCTCCCACATTTTGTAATTATTAAGGCATTTTGTTTAAGCTTTAGATACATACACCACATATTGTTGATCAATGGTACTAGAATGCTTCAGTGATATTCTGCTGTTCAATATGTATATTATTTGGTTCCCTAGTTTCCTCTTGTGTAGACCAGATACTTACTCCATGCTTTATTTGCTTCTCCCGGTCTTAGGAGGTCTTCAACATTTTCTCTTTTTTTGACTCACTAATGCTACATAAAGCACAGATTAACACCCTTGTGCTCTATTTTTACCAATCCAAAATAACCACAATCCTGCAATACTGTAATGTTTTCTCAATCACTGCCTAGTGCATAAGATTCCTTTTAATTCCCCAATCATTTGAAAGAATGGAAAAGTTCCCCACTTAACAATACTTAAACACCTTTCTGTTTAAGGCCAACAGAGGTTAAATAGTGTAAGGAATAACATGGTTTCCGTTAAATTATTCTAAGTATGCAGCCTAAGACCTACTTTGAACACTTCCATTTAAAAATACCTAAGACTGCACATAGCATAATGTATTTCCTGGCATCCTACGACCTCTAGTGGCTGTACCAGATAATAGCATTTCTATGTTAAACTACTGTATACAGATCACTGGAACAAGTTACAGCAGTGGGAAATTGTTTTTAGATATGACTATAATTAACACCATTTGAATATTAAACTCTTTGCAGTTTTATTGTGCCAGAATCTGGTGTGTGTTTACAATAGACTATGAACATAACAAAAATTTCCAACTGCATTTAACGCAGAACGAATCTAGTGGCATAACTAGTTTATTGTAACACAGCTAATCTTATTGGAATTGACACTAATTTAAATAGCAAGTTTCTGATCTTACTAATAAATATACTAGTTTTCAGAAGCTTTAAAGCGCAATTAAAAACTCATTCTTGCCTCCCTCGTGACGCTGCCCATGGTCCCAACACAATTAGCATCTGTGCATCTATTCTGGTACCTGGAGAGCACCTTGAGAACAACCAACTCTGCTGGATGCAGAGCCAGCTGAAATGTGAAAGATACTCTTCACACAACTTTTGCCTTATTGAAATCAATTGCAAAGTGCCATTATGCAGTTGAAAAACTGGGTGTCTGAAACCACTGTAACTCTATTAGCCAGTTATAGGTAGATTGTGTCTGTCAGTACCAACTGAGATGCGGAGGATGAACAATGGATTTCTCAAAAATGTTGCAGTAAGTTAAGTTGTAAGAAATAAAGACCAAGTCTGTGACCTGACAGTTATCACTTAAACTTTTCACGCCTTTGTTCAATTATGAATGGTCAACTTGAAGCTGACAAGGACTCGAAATCAACACAAAGCATAATAGGGTTATAAATAACAGGAAATATGTTTGTGGAAAGTTATGGCAGACAAGGGGATAATGCAAAAAAAGACCTATTACTCTTTAAGTGTTTTTGCTGGTATCAGCTAGGCTAGGGTTTCAAAACAGGAAAGTACGCAATAAGATTTCTCTGGACTCATGGTACCTCATGGTATGGAATGTCGCTCAGCTGGAAAAACTGGTGAACCAAGTCCACACACACAAAAGGACAAATGGACTCATGTAATGTAGCAAAGTTTTATTACTTACCTCAGCAAGGAAGATCCAGAGAAATGGTCTGCACAGATGCAGGGACAGATTTGGAAAGATGAGCTTGGTTGATGCAAGATATGTAATGAATCTGTAGTTAATAGCTTTCTGATGTGTGTTATGCAGGCCACAAGTTGGCTGAAATAAGTGGCCCAAATCTGAATTGAGCGGCTACCTACTTTTTAATATAAATTTGTTTAAATAAAATAAAATGAAAGATAGATGTAGGTACTGGGTAGGATTAGGGAACATAATCTGTTTGAGGAGAAAGGGATTACCGTAATAGCAAAAGGTATTTGCCCCCCTTAATTGCATTGCCACGTCTTTAGATCACTTCTGCCAAGCAAAACACCCACACAGTTTGAAGTTCTCACAGTTCAACCCAACATAACCAAAGACAAAAGGGTGTCATCATAAGCAGAAAGCTGGGATGAAGAAAGCATATGCAGATCAAACCATACCAAATAATGCAATCAATTGAGCCACATCACAGGCCAAATGAAACACACATATATGTTCAGTACATTATTATAAAATACATTATTACAAAATAAAGCATTTACATATAGCATCTGTCCCATTTTATTGCTGAAGAATACAGAGACAGGGTGAGATAACTGACTCTCACACACAAAAGTTGGTCTGCCCATTGCAGGCGTTCATAAACTGTAGCAATCTGGGCATGTGTTTATAGCACAAGGTAATGGCTTTGGCTGGTTAGTTAAGTAGAGTGATTTTGAATATCCAAATAAGTTGTTCTGTGCCATAGGACAAGTGGGTGGGCCCTTCACTCGCTCCACTTACTTAGCTGGTACATAGGAGAACAATAACCAGATGTGAAAGGTTGGAAGTGGCTGAAAGAGACACATGTCTTGCCTGGTGCTGAGCATAAGCTGGACTTCAGGGCTTCTCTGGAAACATAAAGAGGTAGCAGAGTCTATGGTGTTTTTTTTAATGCTGTGAGCTCCCTCATTCTCAGATTGTATACTGGGAAAGTGTTTGGAACTCCTGGGATCTCTCACTGCTCAGAGACTGGGGTAGCACGCAACACAGGTGTAAGAAGTGGGATTTGGGTTTATTAGAGGAGGAACTTGAGTGAGGTGTGCTTGAGTTAGGACAGATGGAGGAACAGCAGCACTCCAAAACAGATGAAGCTGATGTTCCAGCAGCGGAGGCAGCAGTTTGATGAAAAATGGAGCAGCAGACCCAATGGTCCAAAAAGGAATGGCAGCAGCTGCTGGCAGAAATACCAAAAAGCACTACTGCATACTTTCCAGTTTTGCACTGCTTTGAATGCAACAAAAGACTGCCAAATTACAAGCTACAATAATATGGTTGGCGCTTGGTTTTTGTTCTGTCCAACTTTTCTCCTTCAAAATTCAGTTGCAGTTTTAATTCTGTGTCATATTTACACTTATTAAGAAACAAAGCAAATTTCAGCCTAACAGTATACCATTGTTTGTCATGGAAGAATAAAGCATTGGCTCATGCGTTCCATTAACCTCTTCAGCAGCTTTCACTTTACATCTGAACCTTAAATTGTGGTGAAACTTAACTATGGTCTGTTAAAACACATCAGCTTCACTATTCTGCGGCATGAAGTTAGCTTATTTCAAACAAACAACTATTGAGATTGTTTATTGGGGTGGTTTGTTGGCTTCAGATGAAACCAGTTGCAGTTAGCGAAAAATGGAAGTAAATGTTGCTGCTCTCCTCGTGGCTCCACCTGCAAGAGAGGGAGGGGGAAGTGTGAAAGCCCAAGGCTGAACTGTTCCTGTGTTATCAGGAAGCTTGAACCAGCTCACATAGTAATAATAATACCGAGTTGAAGCTGTCATTTCCAAGATGGCCTTTCTGGTGGGTTGGAGGTAAGAAAGGGATACTCCACTCTATTTGATACTGACAGAAACTAGGTTTTAGCCAATGATTCAGATTTTCAGAACCTCAGGTAAAGCATTTTTGAGACTCATGAAAACAGAGTACTAGAATATGAATAAGATGGTTTTGCAGTCTTCAGATTACTACTTGTATAAACTCCCAATTTTCCATTTCAGATCGAATATGTTACAGTGCAGAAGAGAATATAAGGGACTTTTCAATTTCTTAAACTTAAGGAATCTGAATCTGATAAGACCAGTTCTAGCAGGAAACTGATAGACTTTCATCACTGGTGTATACTGAGCATGTGGAACAACTGCCCCATGGGCCAGAATTGGCCTGCAAGGACCTTCTGTTTGCCCTGAAAGACACCATATTTGCTGCTGGAATTGGTGGTGGCAGCACTGGTGAAAGAAGTGGCTCCACTGCTAAACAAAACGAACAATGCAGATGTGGGGTGATAATAGTAATGGCAGTGGAGAGTCTCGCAGAGTCCTCCACTCCCAATTTTGTGAGTGTTCAGGAATCTCTGAGTACTTCAAGGGTACTCAGAGAACAACTGAGGAGCACTGGTCAACACCTGAAACAAGGTTCCTCTCACAACTTGAAAAATATAATCTTGGGAAATGAGCCATTTGCATAGGCCACTGAACACTCCTAATGCCCCATTGGGAAATGTGAGAGGCAATGAGGAAGGTGCTCTTCTAGTGATTCTCCTGGTGAAGTGCAAATGTGACCCTCTGGCCAAAAAGGTTACCAATTCTTGATATATATTAATAATTTTTACCACAATGGATGAGACATTGGGATACTAAACAAAGTTGAGCTTAAAGCAATGTATTTGCATAGACCTTAGTCTACTGTAGGCAGAAGACTCTACAGGACAGTTCTTTTAGGTCAACTGTGCAAATTAAAAGAAAGCTTATACTAAAAGAATAGTTATTTAATGAAGTCTTTTAATGGGCCAATAATCGATGAGGTTATACAATATCAAACCCGTGAAAAACATTGACAGCAAATGGAGAGTGAATTATACACACTGAGTAACTAAAGCTCTCCAATGAGTTTAGTAGACTTCTTTTTCTCAATAGTGAAATTTTATTTTCCAGTTTGCTTCCTAATCAAAATAGCTGCAGAGAAAGATGGTCAAGCCACCATACAGTGACCGAGAGTGCAGAGTTCCAGATTACTCTTCCAGCTTCCCCTTCAGGTACATTCTGAAGCTTTGAGAGCAAGAACACAGCAGAAGAGTCCTGTAGCCTTTGAGAGGAAGCTTCCATGGCACCCAGTTGTGTCCCAGCTTGTGTCTTTCTTTCCCCGAGTTTAATGTGTTGTGGAGGCCCAGACTTCAGTTCCTAAGTGAACGTTTTAATCCCATGACTGTGAAAGTAGCAGCAGTAATTTTTTCATAGACCAGGAACATCAGTGCAGCAGTGAGGACTGTTTGGAGCAGCTTTGCTTCAAGGCCTTTGTAGAGACCTACTAATCCAAAACGCCTATCAAGAAAACATATTTAGCATATGGTAAGAAAGTACTTTCCAAATGTAGGGAAAATGGCATACAATGTCTTCTTCTTTCTGCGGGACATCATGTCTGTTCTTGCCTCCACCACCAACTATTAAAGCTACCTAGGATTGAAACGTTCTTCCTCCAGGTGCTACTGCTCCTTTTTTCAAAAAGAGTGCCAGCAGGGGGAGCATGATTTTCAGGAGAAAAGTGTCCGACAGAAGAATGCTTAACCCTTCTCTCATCTGCTGCTTTCCCCCAAATCTCAAACTACTGGTAAGTGAAAAGCCTGTTTATTTTTTTAAATTATTTATGTACTATCTGTTCTCAAAGCTTCTAGGGTGTTTTATATACCAGTATAATACATTTTATATACCAATATAATACAGTATCAGGTGAGCCTTTCTGTTGAAGGAATTCCACCAACAGGGGGCCACCAATGAGAAGCTCTATCTGTACCTCAGATGGTGGGGGTGCCTGGAAAACAGTCTCCAAAATTACCTCTGCTCCAGAGGGGTGGGTGAACCTCCCAAACAAATTTAGCGGGCCTGCGGGGGGGGAGGGTAGGCCTGCTATGCAACTGGAAATCACTCTGCTCGTACAAGGATTTTCCTAGCACTACAATGAATACCCATCAACTTCATTTCATCATAAGGCTGCTCCAAGTTACATTGTAGTTTTATCATTATAAGCTGCCTAACATGCCTGTTGAGTGCAAATGCAGAGTAGGGAAAAATAGATAAATTAAGTGGTAAACTTAGCAGTGACTATTATATTTGGAAAAAAAATGACCTGGCTTCCTTAATATTTCCCTCACACTAGATCAAAAAGTCTTCATAAAGAGGATTTAGGGCAGATTATCAGGATGTTGATACAGTAGAGGACAATATTAAGATATATATGGATAAAATAAAGACAAAGCTTACTTTATTCTCTGTCGAAGAAGGTAGATAACATTCTTAAGGCTGCCTAGTCTCCTGTTTTCTGGGTTCAGGTGGTGACGTCCAAACTGAAAAGGAGTCAAAATGAATCAATGAGCAACTTTTCCTGCTTTATTTTCTCCTAATTTCTATTTACTATGCCTGATCTCAAATCAGTGATCCATCCCTATATTCAAATCGTTCTCCCATATCCAATTGTTCAGTGCTAAAGAATACATTTCTTGCTCAGGTCAGAGCAGCTTGCAGTCTCCCCTCACCCTAAAATATGTTAAATATTGACCAAACAAAGCCATACCCATCAAAATTATGCATTTTCATTATGGCTGGAGTGGTAGAAGTGGTATAATAAAGATGTCCTCTAAGCAAAAGAATATGGGGTTGTCAGACTCTTCCCACAGCTTAACAACATACAATGTCTATGCAGAGAGCCAACTGGGAAATCTAGCCTAAGTGCTAAGTATGTATTCTAAGAAGTAGGAAAAGTTGCCCAGAGCATCCAATATGGAGAGCATATGCTATGCAGTTGGAACACAAGACACTAAAACAGTTACTCATTTCCCCTGAAAGAAATATACTTTCGTTGACAATCAGAAGTGTAACCTCACATTTGCCGCAGTTTCTTGCCCATTCAGTTAGAGTGATTATGATTTAAGGAGCTTTCTAGACTTAGTTAAGAGAAGGTGTGCTCTTCAACCACAGCAACAAGTTAAGATGGAATAGATGTTTGTCAATTTGAGTTCTGGAATACTGGCCAAAGGCAACTGTATAAAGAAACAGTAAAATGAAAGTGATCTGTTGCAATGGATACCCACCCGTAAGATGGACTGTACTGTCTGCATAGGGTAAGTGAGGGTAGTAGCGATCGCTTTGGCTATTGCTCCAATAACAAATGCATCTAGCGAAGAAAGCTGTAAGTGTAAATAAAGAAAAGGTTATATGACTGCAGAAAGAAATCTATCAATATAGGAATTTAACAAAGTGAATAAAGGAAAAGGTTTCATAGGACCAACGTTTAAAGTCAGAGTTTAACTGAATTCTTTGCAGGCCTTGGAATCTCACCTGTAGTTGCCTCCTCAGAATCTTCCTCTTAAGCCCTTCATAGAACATGAACTGTATGGCAGGATTGAATACCAGTAGCAGCGAAGGAAAGGTACCATTCCACAAAGCTGAGATTCCTTCATCTCTTATTATCTGATGAAAGGCATCTAAGGGGAAGGATAAAGAAGCAGCAGGAATCTTTTAAGAATATTTAAGATACAGGAATCTTAAATATTCAACAACAGTTTGCGTGCAGAGTAAGAAACAAATTGCATATTTTGCCTATCAATTTATAATCCAGGGATGAGGAATATTTTTCTTTTCTTTTCTATTGGTCTCATTAATGTACGGGGGGGGGGGGAATCCATCAGGACCAAGATCTGACTATGACAAGGTCCTTTTGGACAGTTTCTTCCCTGCCTTCCTTCCTCTGGGCTTCCCAAAAACCTACCTATCTCCCTTCCTCTCGGCTTCTCCTCTCTTCCCCCACAGACCCTGCCAAAGCTTCACCATCTAGTGCCTGCAACAGTTATCCAATTGTTACCTCTCTCTTCCCACTCTTCTCACACACGTATGTACAAGAAGGTAACACAGCTTGTCCTTTGGCAAAACCACCTGAAGAAAACACACATACACAGTCCATGCGCATTTAAATGCACTGCCTGCCTGGAGAGCCAAGAGTAGGTTCACTTCAAAAAAACTGTTTATATTTTGTTGTTTTTTACAACTATCTTGGTACGAAAAGCAAAGGATGTCCGATATAGTAAAGCAACTAAATATATCAAGCCACATGCACTGGAATTGGCAGTGCTATGCACACTTACTTGGGTAAGTTCTGTTTTAATTAATTGTGACTTACATCAGAGTAAACATGGTATTCTCTCTTCCCAATCACTTTCTGTACCAGAAGCTTGCAGCTGAACCCAATCTTGCACCCTAAGCTATGTCATTTCACATATTCTGCTCATTCTCTTAATCCATCCCAGTCCCCAAGATGTTGCTCTAATGTATTCTCACACAGTTATGGGGACTACCGTATTTTTCGCCCTATAGGACGCACTTTTTCCCCTCCAAAAATGAAGGGGAAATGTGTGTGCGTCCTATGGGGCGAATGCAGGCTTTCGCTGAAGCCTGGAGAGCGAGAGGCGTCAGTGCGCACCGGCCTCTCTCGCTATCCAGGCTTCAGGAAGCTATCCGCAAGCCTTGGGAGCCCGGCGGGAGTGCCCGCCGGGCTCTCAAGGCTTGCAGGCAGCAGCCTGCAGCCCGAAGCACAGGGCGCACTGCGGAGCACGCCCCGTGCTTCGGGCAGATGTCCCCAAGCCTTGCGCGCCCGGCGGGAGGTCCCGCTGGGCTTGCAAGGCTTGCGGGCGGCAGCCTGTTCTGGGGGCTGGGGTCGGGGGAAGCTCGGGCTTCCCCCGACCCCCGCCCCGTGCCTGGGGGGGGGGGAATATTTCCCCCCCTTTATTTCCCCTCCCAAAATCTAGGTGCATCCTATAGGGCGAAAAATACGGTAAGTGAAATGATAAGATACTAGGGTGAGCATTTTTATCACACGCAGCAATCACTTAGTTCACCCAGGACATGTTTTGTAATGGAACGTGTTTTGTAATGTAATCATGGCAACGATACCTTCAAAAACTCTGGGCAGAACAACAGGTAATCTAGGAGTCCTGATTCCAATACTGATTGGCAGTTTTCCCACCAATAAAATACCACCAAGAAACCTCCCTCCCATTTCTAAGCTGTTTTGCAATTTAAACTATCAGGGCTGTATCCTGATTGTCCAGTTAGCACAAGGCCTTCTGCCTGTGCTAAAGGAAAGTCCACTCCCTGTCCTCTCCCCACACTCCTCCCCAAATCTTCTCCAGAGAGTTGGGGGAAACCCCAGGACTTATTTGGGGGCCTTTGACTGCATACACAGAGAAGATGAAGTCATTGTGCTACTGGGATCACATTGTTGGAAACCAACCCCATTTCATTAAAAAAAAAAGATGACTATTAAATGGATTAATATTTATGTGGCACTTTCTGATTTCATTTTTAAAAGGGGAGAGACTGGATTGAGCATAGGAGAACAGAAAAGAGTGATGGCTGAGTCAGTGTTGGATATGCTGGCACACATGTTTAATTTCAGTTACAGTTAGACTCATCCCATCTCAGAGTAATACACTATAAACTTTCTTACTGTTATATGTCTTTCCTGATAGATCACTGTTTTAAAAGGGCTTGTATCTATAAACTGAACAGCAAGAGCTGCCCATAGCATCCATTTTGTAAATGAAAGCCTTCAGTCCACAAATCTACTAAAAAGTACCAATGCAAACTAACAGAAATGACAACAAATGCCTACCTGCAACGCCTTTGTAGTTAGTCGGCACAATGTCTTCATTTCTGAATTTGGCCCCCTGGAGTTTCAGACGTGTATTCACTACCCAGAGTGGAGTAGTCAACAATACATTCACAATACCTAAGACAACACAAACAAAAAGTTGAGTAAAAAGAGCCCTAACATTTTAAAAAGCAGGTTTAATCTTCATGTACAAAAATGATCCAATGTACAAAATAATTAAGATATATAGAAAAATACAATGCCCCCCACCCCCCCAAAAAACCCCAGAAGACACACATTCTGAAATCTTATACTGAGGATTTTGCTCTAATTTCTGCACCATACTAATAGCTGGCAGAATGCCTTGTGAGGAAACACACAAATTGCTTAAGCAAGCAGGAAAAGCAAGTTTATTTTCATAACAGGTACACACCTTAGTGCTCACAAATAACTTCCCTGGATTGACGCAAGCCTCCCACATTCATCTAGGTCATGGAATCATGTACTTCTTAATGAAGATCAGAAATGCCGAATTATTTTTTAAAAGTAATGCTTCAAGAGGCTGTGCGTCAAGTTTAGATTTTACCTATGTTTTTCTATCCACTACAAGTTGCATGCATTTGAGTAATATAAATTATAATAATAAGGTAGCATAGGTAGCATAAAAAGTGCATGCATGGAATGTAATAAATTGGTTCAACCCCTTAAAATCTTAGCAGATTTGTAGCACAACTGATAGGATTCTATTACCTGCAACCACCCCAAGAATCAAGTCTTTTCCTGTGGTTGAATGATGTCCTTTGACCCAAACAGCTTTTAAACTGTTAAATGTATAAAAATAGACGAAGTTGGAACAACAAAGGCTGGAGATGACAGGAAACCACCCTCGATATGGTGCCAGGCTAAGGAACAAGCAATAAAAGCAAAAAGTAACTATCATGCAATCACCAAATAAGCAAGAAATAAAGCAACAGCATCTGCAGCCTAATCCAGAACCTGGGAAGTCATAGTGTTTGCCTACAAAATAAAATAAGTATTTATAAGCAGGTACAACAAAGTATATTTTAACAATCGGAATCCTACACAAACTTACTTGGGAATAACTTTAAATGAATTCAGAATATACTTCTGAATAAATGTGCAAATAACTAGAGACGTTTTACTGATGGACAGGATGGGAAGAAACAACAGTACCAGTGTCCCAAGGTTCCCTAGCAGAAATAGTTCCTTGTCATATTATGCATGTTTGTTAAACTGACAGTTACTACAACTGTTGCTTATAATAATTAAGAAAATTATTCAGTTCACACTGAGGGCCTTAAAGATGCCTGCATGTGTCCAGAAGCATCTGGCTGGTTGGGGGAACTGGTTCTGACAGGTGTTTCAGCCCTTTCCAAAGGATGGAACGGTATTGCAGAAGTATTTCATGCAATGGGAATAGTCGATCCCTTGTTTTTACAGTGTTTTGAATTACAATACAAATATGACATCAACTTGCTTGTACTGTACTTTCTAAGTAATTCCCATTTTTCAACCAGTCATTTTTATTAGGTCACAAAAGGACAAGGATTGGACTCCCTCCTCCCACTTCCAAATTACACTCTGTGGCACCAAGTTTCTAATTAGTATTTGAAAGGACTGGTTTTCAAAAGCATGCCCTTGGTTTCTACACGTTTTATGTGCAACAAGAGTTACAGAGGCTATAGAAAGGCCTGATATTAATCACTGGACTCTCCCCTTTCTAATGAAGGAGTTTGCCTTAAGATGACCCAAAAAGACTTAAGCCTTTGTGACTAAAAAAGATTGCACTCTGTTTTTTTAAAGCTTCGTTGCAAAGGAGCTCATACATTTTAGTGTGAAACTCAATACCCCTCAAATATTGGGCAAATTAAGAAACTACAATATGTGAAGTAGAGGGACAAAGACATGATGAATGCTCAACATTTGTGAATATTCACATACTGCTTGTTACAAGGTTCTATACTTACATGCCCTCTTCTTTTATTATCTCCAAGAGAACTTTGTGTGTTCTTTTAGATTTGCGTTTTTCATCAACTGGAAAACAATAAGACATTATACGCAAAGGGTAAACATAACATATATTTGAATATTAGGGCAATACATTGATTAGTGCAAGCAGAACATCACAAAATAGTGTGCAAACTTTTGAGTTCCTCAGAACTTCGTATCAGCTGATTGGCACTGAAAGTGCATCTTCAAAGGAGGTTGTTGCAATAATAATCCATAATCCACTGACTGGCAATTACAGTAACCTCCTTGGAACTTTGACAGTGATGTCACCTGACATCATTATGCTCCCACCCACCCATCAAAAGATGGCATGTATGGGGTGGGGAAGATCCAACTGTTCATCACTGGGTTAGATAGTCAATAGAGTACATGCGAGAGGGGCAAAAAAAGTTGGTTGTTGGTGAAGTCAAGGAGGATGCATCTGGCCAGTCTCAAGACGCTTTGAAGGTGCAGTCTGAAACCTGCAGAGAACAGTCACCGATGGAAGTGAAAGCTCTGAAAAAGCTCAATATGGAGGTCAAATGGCCGAAATATTGGGAAATTTTGGAACAAGATGGAGATAGATTGAAACTGCAGAGTTTTGAAAAACTAAAAAACAAAGTGCGAGACTGGCTTCATTATTATCAGATAATGAAGGCATACAATTTGGACAAGAAAATTGGCTTCCAGGTGGAAAAATCAAAATTAGAAACAGAATTGTTAGAACCCAAAACTAAGATTGTGTCAAAGATGTATAACTTGCTGTTGAAATGGAATACTCAGGATGAAACGGTGAAATCTGCTATGATTAAATGGGCACAAGACGTTGGACATAATATAATGATGGCTGACTGGGAACAGTTGTGGACCACAGGTATGAAGTTTACGGCATGTAATGCCCTAAGAGAGAATATTATGAAAATGATATACAGGTGGTACATAACCCCAGTCAAGCTTGCAAAAATCTACCATTTGCCCGATAACAAATGTTGGAAATGTAAAGAAACTGAAGGTACATTCTTTCACCTTTGGTGGACGTGCCCAAGGATTAAGGTTTTCTGGGAGATGATTTATAATGAATTAAAAAAGGTATTTAAATATACCTTCTTGAAGAAACCAGAGGCCTTTCTCCTGGGCATAGTCGGCCAATCAGTGTTAAAGAAGGACAGAACTTTCTTTATGTATGCTACAACAGCAGCAAGAATACTTATTGCAAAGCATTGGAAGACACAAGATCTACCCACACTGGAGGAATGGCAGATGAAAATGATGGACTATATGGAATTGGCGGAAATGACTGGTAGAATCCGAGACCAGGGAGAAGAGTCGGTGGAAGAAGATTGGAAGAAATTTAAAGACTACTTACAGAAATATTGTAAAATTAATGAATGTTAGAATGATGACGGATTGAAGTTAAGCGGTTTCTAGCGGTAATGGTATAAAAAAATATGGAAAAATTGGTTTTTAATATGTAAAAATTTAATGTTATACTATATCAAGATTAAAGATCAGGATTAAAAAGGAGGGAAAGGAATTGCTGGACTAACATATTGAATTGGAATACAAAGGAGGGAGGTATGAGGAGGTCCAGGAAACAAGTAAATGTAAAAGAAGTGATGAAAAGATGGAATTGTTTTTAACTGTTTTTTCTTTTTTGTATTTTGTATTTTGTATTTTTCCTTTTTATTGTTAATTTTCTTATTAATGTGATATTTTTCTTTTGAAATCTTAATAAATATTATTTAAAAAAAAAAAAGAAACCTGCAGAGAACCTATCAGAGCTTCATCTGACTATCTGGTTTCTCATCCTACACATCATTTCAAGACTGACCAGACATAGATTCTATAAGCCAACTTCGTTAGCTCCCTCCACTCTACTTTTACTATCTAGCCTGGTTAAAAGTTCTGAAGAAATATTCCACACTATTATTGTTGACCTAATGAAGGCATTGTCCGAATATGGATTTTGACATTTTCTTATGGGCCCAGATGAATATCTTTATTTCTTAGATTACTTAGTACATCTTTGCTTACCTTGAAGTCTTAGTCTAGCTGTATCCAGGGGGAAAAACACAGTCATTGCAGTCATGCTACCCTAAAAAGTTTAAAAATAAAGTTAACTTTACTGTACCACATGGGGTTTTTTTACAAATCTGTAATAAAGCTAGAACAATGATTAACAAATATCTGCACAAACAAGCCTTGAAGTATTTCTGTATTTGAATGAACTTCTTGTTAAAAATGCAGGTTTTTGCAAGATAAACAGTTGAAGTCTTTAAAAATTGACAAGGAAAAGAAAATTCCATTTGATAACTATGAGTTTTACTTTCACTTTGAATTACAATTCTCATCATCCCTGACCACTGGTCATGCTGGCCTGGAGTTGAATGGAGCCCAAAACATCTGGAGGGCACAGCCAGCTTTCCCCTGCACTTGGTTCTAAAAGTAGCCTTAATGCAGGCAAGTGGGAACCATTTGTAAATGTGTTTTCTTTATTTGTTTAGGTTAGGCTCCATATGCATGTTATGGCACTCCCAAGTTATATTCTTCAAAAATTCAGATCCTTCTCATGTGGAAAGGACTTAGGGGCAGCCCCACCCCCAACTAAACAACAACAATTTGCATTTAACACATATCTAAGCAGCAGCTGTTTGGAGCAGAAAGTACCCTAATTTCTTTATGAATTATCAAGACTTCTCAGAAATGGTTAGGGAAGGGCTTGAAATTTGTGTTTTAAATCCTATAAAGTCTTTAAAGAAATTAAAATGTTGCTCTGAAAGCCTCGTCAGTGGGCAAATAAAACAGCTCAACTTCACTCCAATTGCTGCTCCACCTTTACAAGTCTGAACAATGTATTAGTGGGATGGGTAGATGAAGACTAGTAATGATTGACTGCACCTTCAACAAGTTACACAAACTAATTGATCCTCTCAGTACTAAGGCTGCAGGCATCAATGTAAAAGTATTAAGCTGTATATTGAGGACAAGTCGTCCCACAAAGTTTATTATTTACAAATGTATCCTAACCCAGTGATAACAGAATGTTATGGACAAAGTACAGGGGGGAAATCTGCTCAGTTCCAAGAACTACAGTATCTGGTTTTCAATAAAGACTCTGGTGTCTGCTAGAATCCTGAGGATCACATTTCTCAAAGAATGTATAGCCTTTGTGGCTGTGAAGATAATTTCAAGACAAGTAGCAATTTCTGCGAGAGACTTTTTAATCGGTTAAGTAGGAAGCAGCATGCAGGAATAAATTGCCAGTTCTCACAATGGAAAGATGTAAGAAATGGCGTAGCCAGGATTTATTGGGGGGGGGGAAGGTTTTACGTTGGGGACAGGATTCAAAATTAGCAGGGTGCCAGGTGCATTTTGCGCCTAAAGAGTTTCCATTTGTGAGCACCTCAAAAAGTCTAGGTGCCATTTTTTGTGCCTGGCTTACACTCAAGGATTACTGAAATGTATGTGTTTTGAAGCCACGAAGTATATGTTAAGGATAGACAATACAGTGGTACCTCGCAAGACGAATGCCTCACAAGACAAAAAACTCGCTAGACGAAAGGGTTTTTTGTTTTTTGAGCTGCTTCGCAAGACGATTTTCCCTATGGGCTTGCTTCGCAAGACGGAAACGTCTTGCAAGTTTGTTTCCTTTTTCTTAACACCGTTAATACAGTTGCGGCTTGACTTTGAGGAGCAACTCATAGAACGCAGTGTGGTAGCCTTTTTTGAGGTTTTTAAAGACTTTGGTGATCTTTGAAGCTTTTCCTAAACTTTCCCGACACCGTGCTTCGCAAGACGAAAAAAATCGCAAGACGACAAAACTCGCGGAACGAATTCATTTCGTCTTGCGAGGCACCACTGTATGTTAAGGCGTTTAACAAAAGTAGAGTGCTTTGAAAACTGAAGCTTGGTACCAATATTTTTCTTGTAAACACAAAATTAAACATGTTAAAAATGTGATATTAACAATGTGTCACTAATGTGAACTCTGTATTAGTTCATGCTTATGAAAATAATAAAAAGTGTGGGCAACCCCCTCCCCCCAAAATGGTGACTAGACATTCTGTTTTGGTGCCCTTAACCCAGGTCCCAAGAGCCATTTGGCTCCTAGCTTTTCTATCCCAGCTTCTAACACTGGTTGGGGAGCAGATCCAAGTTATCTGTGATGCAATTAGTCAGTTGGTTAAGTATTCTTATTTACTTACTTAATTGGGGAGGCCAGCTGCCCCCCTGCCATGCCCATGTCCCTCTTGCATGTGTATTGGGACCATTGCTTTATAACTTGTTTATATTTATGAATCTGTGATTTTTGTATCTCATCCATCCTCCCCAAAAAGAGCACAGGACAGGAAACATAAAACAGTATGCCTAGAAGCTAGATAGAGCCTGCTGTTGAGTGAGCCAACAATGCTGACCAAGGGGCTATCAGGCTGGGAGTGGGGGGATATTTACATCTACCCCCAGCTTAAGCTCTAAGCACCCTTCACTGAGAAGGTGACCTTGCATTGAGAGATGTGAGGGAGCGCAACCCTGCTCTTTTTTATTGGGCTTGGTGGCTTGCAACACCATTAATGACGGTATTCTTTTGAAGTGGCTCAAGAAGGTGGGGGCTGGGGCACTGTACTTCAGTGATTCTGCCTCTGTCTCCAGGCTATTTGCAGAAAGCAGTTGTGGGGGAATAACTTATGGAAGCTTTGTTGTGGTGTGCCCCAGGATCACATCTTTCCCCCCATTCTATTTAACATTTATATGAACTGTCTTCAATAGTTTTGGAGTGAAGTGTTACCCATATGCAGATGACACCCAGTTCTATCTCCTTGTTAACTCTGAATCAGTAGAGGTGGCCAAGGTACTAGATGGGTGTTTGAGGGCAGTGATGGGCGGAATGTGGGCCAACAAATCAAAACTGACTCCAGAAAAAACAGAGGTGTTATGTGTTTCAATTCTTAAGTCCAGGAGGTGAAAAGATGACCTGCTCTTGACAGGGTTGCACTCCTATGGAAGGAGGTTTGTAACCTGGGGGTACTCTTGGATTGTCACTTGAGAGCCAGGTGGCTAGGTATGTCTACTTCCAGCTCCATCTTGTTTGCCAGCTATGGTCCTTTTTAACAGAGAGCACTTGGTCATGGCACTCCATACTCTGGCAACTTCCGCATGTGATTACTGGAATGCACTCTATGTGGGGCAGTTTTTGGCAAATGTTAAAGGCACACCTTTTTACCTTGGGCTTTGTTACCAGAGGTGTATGTTTTCAGGAACCAACCTATTATTGCGACAATATGGATAGATACAAAACACAGACTATGAAATAACATGTAGCTGGAAATGTGGACAATAAGACCCATGGAGGGGATGAGGGGAAGTTGTGAGATTCAGAGAATCTCATTTTATGGATATGTATTTGTAAAAAATTTTCATTTGTTTTATCTGTTTTTAATATTGAATTTTAAATTGTTGTAACCTGCCCTGCTCTTGTATGAGAGATCTGTGCAGTTGACCTGAGTCAGGTTTGCCGGCTGCATCCAACAGCACTCCAGCCTCAAAGTCACTAGTATCAAAGAAAATATTTACCATTTGGACAGTTGTGGAACAAGAAAAAGCAGGGAAGATAGAAAAAAAAGATAATCCTGGCATCCCAATACAGCACAGAGTGATTGGGTATAAGCAACCTATTTCTAGGTTACTACAAATATCGATCCTGTAGGAACATAAAGGACAATTCCCCAACCCTTTTACACTTTCTGAACACTGTCCCTCTTTGATTTTGCTTCGGCAGCTCAACAGCAAGTTTGGACATTTGATTGTCCCCAGGCAAGTATTTTAATCCCAAGCAGAAAACCCTGGCAGGCGAGTATAGGCAATCAAAGTGATAGCTTAACAACAGAACGTGCACCCGATAGGACAGTTCACCTGTAGCATCCTATTCCAGGGGCGAGGAGAATTACCCCATAACCACACCGTAACACTAACGATCATAGCAATACACACACCCCAAAAACCGTGAGGGAGACGAATACAGAAGCGGTAAAATCCTCCCCATTCTCATTTAGCACCGACGACGACTATACTAACTGGGGCCACGCAAAATCATACAGTGGCCGTTTGTATTCACTCGGAGCGGCATGGACTAGTTGAGAGGCACCCGCTAAAAAAGAAATTAGTGCGAGTGCGGGGGGGGGGATCTCTGCCCCGAATACTCATCCCCAGGCGACCAGGTGCAGTTTAGCACCTAGGCTAGTATTGCGCGAGAGGCGAGTGAGCCCAGCAGCCCCCGAAGCCCAGCCGTGGAACCCCCACTAACGCACCACCTCCGCTGCAGTAGTCAAACTCACCACAGCCCCCGCCACAGCGTGGACCAAGCTCTCGTAAGAGAACACCACGGCCATGGCTGAACCTCCGGCGCCGCGGGAGCCAAGGAAGCGCTGGCCAAGGAAGAGCGGGCGTCTCCGTCACCGCCCCGCTCCATGACACTCGGCGTCACGTGGCTCCAGCGCCGCCGCGACGTTGTTTCTGCCAGCTCCGCACCTATCAGGAGGCGGCTCTAATACCTCGGCGCAGGTGGGAGGGCTCGCCCGGCAGGAGGAGCGCTATTCGCCGGCTGCCGTCCTCCTCCCCGCCCCCGCAAGGCAGAAAGGGGCGTGTCCTCTTTACTCCCGGCTCAGGCGCGCGGGTTTCGGCTGACGGGGGTTACAGCCGTTTCGGTTGGCTGAAAAGGGTTCTTCTGTCAACGGCTGGCGCGCAATGAGTGAGGGGGAGGGGAATACGTGAGGTGGGCAGAGCAGCTCGAAGCAGGCTGGTTTGCGGAGGGACAGGCGCAGCCGCGTCAAAAGGGTGTACAGTGGTACCTCGGGTTACATACGCTTCAGGTTACGGACTCCGTTAACCCAGAAATAGTGCTTCAGGTTAAGAACTTTGCTTCAGAAATCGTACTCCGGCGGCGCGGCAGCAGCAGGAGGTCCCATTAGCTAAAGTGGTGCTTCAGGTTAAGAACAGTTTCAGGTTAAGTACGGACCTCCGGAGCGAATTAAGTACTTAACCTGAGGTACCACTGTACAGCGAGGGCAGGCAGTAAAACTTTGCCCGGCAAGTCCTGTCAGGCCTGCAGGAGAGAGTGAGCACCCGCAGAAAAGAAGCCTTGGCAGGGAAAGGCAAAAACCGAGGGCGCTGCAGTTTGGCCTTTATCTATTTTAAACTTCTGCGAGATGGCCTTGGGTGTGGCTGCTCGGCCGCTTCGATTGGCACACCTACAAGTGCCACACAATACCCGATCTGCATTTGTAGGAACAAGTGGGGAAAGTTGCGCTCAAGCGTCCCATGCTTTCAGGCTTCCCATGAGCCACTTATGTGAAAACTGGACATTGGACCAGGTGGGCCTTTGGGCTCATTCAGCAGGCTCTTGTATTCTGATTTGCCTTAGATTTCCCCTCATCGACAGGATTCTAGACTGCTTCTAGACTGGTGAGATTGTAACTGCTGAGATAACTTAAAAAGAAGCTGCAGCATGAGAAGAATCTTTATTTGCATCAGCTACTAGCCATAGCACTAAAGGGATGACTCACGCCCTGGCCAGCACTTCTTTAATCTCCTACCTTCGGGCAGGAGATACAGAAGTATAGTCAGACGCACTAACAGGTTAAAGAACAGTTTTTATCTGTGGGCTGCTGAATGTGAAAAAAGTGGTGTAATTGACTTCCGACAAGCACACAGAGTGCAAACAAGACTGAGTGTATGGGGGGGCGGGCTCGTTTGATTTCACTGCACACAGGTAGTGTGGTGACGATAAAGGTTTGTTGTTGTTGTTGTTGTTATTACTGAAGATAGAGGTAAAAACTTAACTATAGAAAATACATTTTGGGGGGTTTACATCTTATTCTAATTGCCTCCGCTAAAAACATTGCAGTTTTTGCTGTCACCTGATCATCTTGATCTGCTAAAAGAAAAGACACAGTAGCAATGGTTGAGCAACCCAGCATGGACAACAATAGAGGGGTAATAACCCCTCCAACTTAAAACCTGGAATAGCTTCCCATGAATTTGTTTTAAGGCATATATGAGCACCACTTATGCAATAATTAACAAAAAAGATTATTCAAAACCAGTCTTTATTGTTTTTAAAGGCAACTAGAAGTATTTTCAGAACTAATTCTTAAGCAAAAATGGATTCATATTTTTTCATTCAATGAGATTATTATTGTATGAAGAAGGAAAAAACTTTCTGGAGTTTATTTTTAGAAGTGAGTTCCTAAATCTGTTCAGATTTAAACAAACAGAAAGCATACATCACTTATGGGTTCAGACAAAATTACAAGAGCACAGAACAGGAAACATTCAAAAGCCCTAGAAGAGACCAAGACGTAATTATAACAAGGTTTCCAACATTAAGAGCGGGAATCAAAATTTTAGTAGAGAGAAAATAACAGATTTAATTGTATTAGTTATCAATGAACATTTCAGCAAAGTGTCCAATGAATACACATGCTGTAATTATACTGAAGATTTGCCATTCCAACAAAGATCTTCCTTCTCTTCCTTTCAACTGAAGCTCCACAAGTATCAATGTGATAGTATGACAAACAACCCCCCCCCCACGCCCTATAAAAATCAGTATTTGATACTCTAACTAGCTGCAAAAGATGTGTAAGGTTCTGGCAAAAGATATGTAAGTTCATTAGAGCTTCCATGAAATGAGAATCCAGAACTTCACCAATCTTAAGATCTATGCTGTATATATTCATTCTGAATTATTTAAAGAATGAATACAACCAATTTGTTTTCCTCCTACAATATTAGGAAATTAAACCAAGAATAATGTTCAATAGTTACAGAAAGGCTCCTACCTTTTGAAGTTATTCAGCTGACTAATGTTAATAAAAACATTTGCCCCCTACACAACTTGACAGAGCCAATTAACAAGTTAATTGGCTCAACATTGATTGTATAAGTAGTCCAGCCTCAACAGCATTTGTACCAACATATTAAAAGCCTAACCCACTGCTGCAGGGATCTGATCTGTGAAAAATCTGATTGCAACTATTTAAGTCACCCTTGTGAATATATAAAAAAGAATATTAATTGTGTATTATTTCTTCCAGTTAAAATAAAAAATACTGATCCTCACTTATGTTAGAACTTAAGAATTGTTACAAGCTCTCACAAAGAAGTTCAGTTACTGGGAAGCAGAAACCCAACACTATTACTTAAAAAAAACACTAAAAAAAAAACACACGCCCCTCTGAAAATAGCCCCCCCACCCAATACATTTTGGTACAATCTACTGGAAGATTACAATTAATAAAAATTTAAAAGAAACTGCACTACTGTTGAGTAAGACAAACTCCTGGGCAAAGGTGCTGAGAGGGGGAAATGTATTTTTTTGAAATAAAACCTGAATACAATCAAAGTGACTGCCATTTCTGAAGCACGGAGGGAGGAGGAAAAGGGATTCTACCCAGAGCACCCGAATTCTCTTCTGAGAATTATAGGTACAATGGTTTGTGTTATTGCAACATCCCCCACCTCTTGCAATGGAAGGGGATTTTAGGGTTGATTTCCAAATTTGGCTGATAGTTTGCCAATGAGATTCATGACTTTGGGGTTATTCTGGTACTTTGACATGTTTGCTGGGTTCTGTGCAACATCCTGGAAAGCTGCCATGACTTCTGGATCCTGTAAAACAAAAAGAGGGGAAATGGCTTGTACTGTTGTATGAAATTAAGTGGGCTTTCATATCCATGTTAAGGCCACAATACAATATAAAATCAACTATATGCTAGTTGTTGTTGGCATCCATCTGTCTTGAGAGACAATGGAGTGCATCTCTGGGGGTGAAGTCAAACCTCTGTGTTGGCAGCACTGAAGTGACCTCACCGGGATGCAAACCTCGGCAGTATATATGGAGGTCCTGGGCTGTCCAGATGACAAGACCCCCATCGGCCTTGAGAACAATTATATAATTATATATAATTGTTTTTAAAATATATAAAATTAATATAAAAATATATAAAAACAATTATATAAAAATTAATATAAAATATATAAAAACAATTATATAAAAATTGTATTCATAGGCTGTTTAGCCACATCAAGTGGTATTTCTTGCAGTTAAGATTCCTCTTGTTAAGAGGTGTCATTTGTTACAAAGGCCACATGTTACCCTGAGGGCATTTTCAAAGCAGAATAAAAATGACTGAAAATAAATGAATGTTGGAATAATCAACTATTTGGGGGAAGGTCCTTAGAGAACAAGCACAACTCATATGAAGAATCAGGGCTCCATAAATCTCTCAATCATCATTATTTTACTTGTTCTATGTTCTCACCTGCATGGCTGCAAGAACTTCAGGGTCACTGAGAATTTCATTGAGACCAGGCATGCCCCCCATTCCAGGCATGCCACCAGGCATACCGCCAGGCATGCCACCAGGAAAATTACCTGAAAATGTAAAGCATAGACTTGGAGCAGGGATCAACAATCTTTCTGGACCAGAGGCCACATTTTGAGAAAGTGTTATGGATGCTAGTCACAAAATGGCTACCATAGGGTGTGTGGCATAATGCAAAATGGTTGTCATGAGGGGTGTGGCATAACAAAAAAATTAGAGTGAGTACAGTCATTGCTGCTTTCTCCCCAAGCCCCTGGACAATCTCATGCTTGCCATGGGAAGTCAGCTATGTCCTGCTAGATCTGATTGCACACTATACTGAATACCCATGCACAAACCAGTGATGTTGCTGTCTAGTAATGGGGAGCATTCCGCAGTTCAAGGAAAAATATACAAAGTGGTCACACACACTTTTATGCATGTGCATGCACAGAGCACCCAAATAGACCACATATACACATAAATCTCTCTCATACACACATATGCCACGTACTCCCACTCAAACACAACTCTCTCTCCCTCTCTCTCTGTCCAAGTGCACCCATTTTTCTTTCTGAGACCACACATTCGTACTTCCTGCCCTCCCACCCTTACAGACTGCACCACATACATACCTCTGCTTCCTTCTCTGTCACACATACCTCTTCTCCATCTCCAAAGTGCATCTTAATCACACACACAGATGGAGCCCCTACATGGGGTGAACAAGCAACAAGTGCCTGCTGCCAGTTCCACATAGCTGGTGGGCAACAAGCAAACAGGATGGGCCATCCCTGCCACTTCCTAACCCGCCGCTCAAACATCCTGCCAAACCAACCAGAATGCAAGGAAGCAGCCTTTCCAGCTGAAGCAACTGCTCTGCCATTAAAAATCCTCTACAGCCCGCCTCCCCCCCGCCCCAATATCAAGGGAAACCAACCCAGCTCTCACAGGCAGCATGATGCCTGCAGGTGCCAATGAAGGCCTTTGGGGGCTCCATGGCACCTGTGGGTACAAACCCTGCAGCAAAGCATATCCTGCTTTCACATGTGTGATACATCCTTACATATTACTGTTCTTTGGAAGCCTCCTATAGCCAGGAGAGCAAGGGAACTAAAACTTTTCTTGAACAAAGGTCAAGACTTTATCCTGTGTTCCAATACCCACTCCTATACCCACTTAATCTTCTGGGTCCAAATATGGTTGCTTTCAGCTGGAGGTTACCTGTGAAATAGTTATGCTACCTCAAGGCTTTGTCTTATCATAAACAGAGGAATGTATTATCATGGCCTCTTTAGCAAATTGTATGTGAAGGATTACTGCAGCACAGCAAGTTGTACATACTCTATACGATCTTACCAATAAAGCAAAACACAAGAGAGGAGGCTGTATGGGCAAGCAATTCTGCAGTGTACATGATTTCTAAGATTTGCTATTAGCAAGTTTGTTTATCTACCACCCTTCATTAGATTTGGTTCCAGGGCGGTTCATAAAATTAAAGGATTAAGAAACAACCACATAAAAAACAACCCACAGTTTAAACACAGCAAGCAGTTAAGACCGTAAAATGCCTAAAATACAAAAAGAATAAAAAGAGGTTCTCTGGTCCCTAAAAGCAGTGAGGTGAGCCTTTCTGGGAATGTGTCTACAGATGGCTGCCATATGCTTACAGATGGCATGCCATGTCCAGAAAGGCTTTCTCTTTGGTTGCAAAGGAGTGAGAGTGTGGGGGGGCAGGATGATATGGGTGAGGCTCTTCAGGTCTCAATAACATCTCCCTCTTTTCCAGCCCCCAAGTCACTTTCATGGTCTCCTAGGCCACTACAGTGAGTGTTTGTTTCTATGAGTAGTTATGTGTTCCCTTCACATACAGATATTCCCTTCCAACAGCCAAACAAATTTCCCTCTTGCTTAGAAAAACCAAACTTACATAAGTAAAACTTTTCTTTTGCCCCAGTAGCAAGTTAAACAAAATGCGAAGACCCAGATCCATTAAGTTACCATCTCTGTTGCTATTCATGCTTTGAAATGAACACATACCTGGGAAGCCACCTGGGAAGCCACTAAATGGAGGTCCTCCCGTTTGTCGTCGAGCCTCTTCCTCCTGCAATCAATAAATCATGAGAAAACTTCACATGCTCTCCAACTAATCAAGCTTAGATATAGAAAGCTGAGAAGGCTATTACAACTGGATCCAAAGCCTACTATATAGACCCTACATGCTCTTAGGTTCTGCACTACTGCTTCACTCCAGGATAATACTGAATTTCTAGGCCCCTGGAAGAGTGAGTTTTGAAAAGAAAATAGTTGTGATATTTATTTTAATGCTCAAGTTTGTTGCTGCTCCCTCAGTGTTTATAGCACTGGGCTTCAAACTACAGGTAACTCGCATCTTACGCAGCAGGGGTTATGTTCTTGGCCATTGCACATATAAGCAGCGCAAAGCCATAACGACCCCTAGAAAACTGTAAAAATAAATAAATCACTGCACTCATCAGTGGGTGACAAATAAGGCTCTTAGTCTTCCTCCTCCTCTTCCTTGCTAAATGATGCTTTAGGGGATGATATGAGGACATGGGGGGTTGCCAGATAGCCAGAAGAAGTGCTTGGCTGTGGTTCAGATCTAGGGGTGGATTGCATGAGCACAATTGCCACTATTGTCTCTTGAATGCATCAAACATTTCCTTGCATGGTCTCAGTGTCTGTAATCCCACAGATGATCTTGAGGCTGAGTTCCATGAGGGGGTCAAACTCTGCAATCAGATCATTTGTGTGCTTTATGACTTGGAAGAGTTGAGAAAATTTCTGCAGGTTCCAACTTGCTCTCCATCCTCATCCTCACATTCTAAACTTGATCTGACCAGTTTCTCTCTAGCTATTCAGCAGTCAATACCTGTTGGCCCTCAAGTAGTTCTTCTACTTCTTCCTGGATGAGGCCAACAAAGCCATCACCACCTACTTGCCTAGCCATCTGCACAATGCCCTCCACCTCAGTGACCGTGCTTGAAAATCTCTTGAAATCATGCACACATTCCTTCCACAAGTTCCACCAGCATGCATTCACTGTTTCAGGCTTGACTGCATCCACAATGGGTGACGCAATGGGTAACGCTGAAGGACATCCAGCATACCGTGGAATCAAGAGCTGGATCAGCATCCATTGCATTGATAATCCAGGTGATGAGCTTTGTGTGAGTAGTCTTGGAGCAGTGGATCACACCTTGATGCAGAGGCTAGATGAGGGATGTCCTATGCAGGGGGGCGGGGGCGGGAGGGCGGGCTACCTTGCTGTGTGTGAAGCAGAGTCCTTCAATGCCCATAAGCATTATCACTTTAAACCACAGTTGTTTCTCTCTGAGGAACTGTCTCACCTCTGGAAAGAAGCAGTTATGGAGGCAGTCTAGAAATGATGATGTCACCCAGGCCTTTTCATTGAATTACCAAAATTACCAAAATACAGGAAGTATTCTTCTCCTTGCCTTTTGCACAGGGGTTTTGAGACCTGTACAGCAAGCATGGCTTTATTAAGTGTCCAGCTGCATAGCTACAGAGCAGCACAGCTACTCTATCCTTTCCAGCTTTGAAGCCAGGGGTTTGCTTTTCAGCCTTGGCAATGCAAGTCTGCTCAGGTATTTTCTTCCAGAGAAGTCCTGTCTCGTCTAAAGTGAAGACTTGCTCTGGAAGACAGGACTTGTCCAGCAGCTACTTTGATTGTGCAGGGTATGTTTTCACAGTCTCTTTGTCTGCAGATGAAGCCTGCCTTATTGCCTGGACATTCTTCAGGTTGAAACAGACCTTAAAGCTCTTAAGGCAACCTGAGCTGGCTTTAAATCCCTTGCTGATTCCCAACTGTAGTGGAAAGTTTACTGTGGCCACAGAGGCTGAGAGATTTGTGGCACAAGAAGCTGCCATCCATAGCAACATGTTTCTGGTTCTTGTCTTCCAGCCACAAGTTCAGTGCCTTCTTTGTCTTCACCAAAGGCTGGTCACCTTTGCAGCCAGGGATGCACTTACTGCCACTCCTCCATGGACCTCATTTTCATGCACCTTGATGGCATGGATGCTGTACTCATTCCGGCCATATTTGTGTGCCACAGCACACACAGACATGCCAGCTCTCAAGCAGCTCAGCACAGCCAACTTCTTTTCCAGTGTGGGAACCATCCTTCACTTATTCTTTCGTTTCTCAGCAGCTGATGATAATGAGGATGTCTTGTGTTTTGCGGCCATTCTGCAGCTCTAACCACCTCATCCACAATCCTCCAAGTCTCCTCCAATGTCTCTCCAAGCCCCTCCACAAGTCCTTCAGACCTCTTCCAACCACCTCTTCCAAACTCCTGTGATGTCTCTCCAACCTCCTTCAATCTCCCTCTCTAACTGCTTCTTCCACACTCCAACCTCCACCAATGTCTCTCCAAACTTCTCCACAAGTCTCTTTGGTCTCCATCAATCAGCCACTCTAACTCTCTGCTACCTCCTCTGCCTTCTCTTCACACTCTGCACTCTTCAACCACACTCAAACACTTTCACAAAGACTACCAGGATCTTTTGCAGTTTTTTCCTGCTCAGCCACCCCTTTCCACCCCTTGCATCACATTTTCATGGTATTTTAAAAAAAAAATTAAAAAGAAAATTGGTGATGTGCATAAAGCCGTGATCATGTTAAGTACAGTGGTACCCCGCAAGACGAACGCCTCGCAAGACGGAAAACCCGCTAGACGAAAGGGTTTTCCGTTTTGGAGGCGCTCGCAAACGAATTTCCCTATGGGCTTGCTTCGCAAGACGACAGCCCATAGGGAAATCTCAGGGACAGCGGGGAAGCGCAGCGCGCCTTCCCCACTGTCCTCGGACCTCCTCCGAAGCCTGGCGGCGGGGCGGGGACACCTCCTCCCGCCGCCGCCGGGCTCGGAAGGCTCCTCCGAGCCGGGCGGGGGAGGGAACACCTGCCGCCGCCGCCCGGCTTCGGAACGGTGCTCCGGGCCGGGCGGGGGAGGGAACACCTGCCGCCGCCGCCCGGCTTCGGAACGGTGCTCCGGGCCGGGCGGGGGAGGGAAGACCTCCGCCTCTGCCCGGCTTCGGAACGGTGCCCGAGCCGGGCGGGGGAGGGAACACCTCCCCGCCGCCCGGCTCGGAACGGTGCTCCGAGCCGGGCGGGGAGGGAAGACCTCCGCCGCCGCCCGGCTTCGGAACGGTGCTCCGAGCCGGGCGGGGGAGGGAAGACCTTCTGAAGGCGGGCGGGGGCGAAAGTCTTTGCTCCCCTGCCTGCCTGTCCCGGAGGGCTTTTGAAGGCGGGGAGCAAAGACTCGCCCGCCCGCCTTCAGAAGAGGTCCAGGACCTCTTCTGAAGGCTGGCGGGGGCAAAAGTCTTTGTCCCCCTGCCTGCCTTCCCAGGGGCTTTAATTGCCCGGACAGCGGAGAAGTCCTCCGCTGTCCCGGGGTGATTTTAAAATGCCGCCCGCCAGCATTTTAAGATCGCCCGGACAGCGGAGAAGTCCTCCGCTGTCCCGGGGTTTTTTAAAATGCTGGGGTGGGAAGAAAAGCCCTTGCCCCCCCCCCCCCGCCATCCGTAGAGGTCCGGGGACAGACAGTCCCCGGACCGGGTCTGAAGGCGGTTTCCCTCGGAACGCCTTAATTGATTTTCAATGCATTCCTATGGGAAACCGTGCATCGCAAGACGAAAAACTCGCAAGACGAAGAGACTTGCGGAACGAATTAATTTCGTCTTGCGAGGCACCACTGTACGTATAATAAGTGTAAGATGTGAGTTACCTGTACAAAAAATAGTTATCATTTTGAAGTTCTCTGCAACTAAATACAGACTCAGTTAAAGACAGACATTCTAAAATATAGGTTAGCATTTGAAACTGTAGAAGTGCCCCTTTTTTAGCCTATTTCCATGCACATTTTTGGATAGAGTTATGCTGGGTTATTTTCCTGTTGTACATGCTTTATTAAGCTCTCACCCTTTGAGCTCTCTCATGTTCCTCTCGAGCTTTCTTTACTCTTTCCATCCTTTCCCTGATTTCTTTTTCTTCACGCTTTCGTTCATATTTTCTTCTGTGTTCCGCAATCTTCTGAGCCTGAAGCACAGAGGGTGGGTATTGGTCATATGAATCCAGAGCATCTTTAAAATACAATCTTAGCACTTTACCTAGTTCAACTAGTTTTAATTGTTTTGGTACTCTGCCAATTCTTTTCTAGTACTGAAAATTAGATATTTAAGACACATACCTTCTCTTCAACATGCAACTTAAGATTCAATATGTTGCTGGGTCCCACAGGATATGAAGTCAGTATTTCACAAGAGGGCAAAACTTGCAGCCTGAAGCTGCTGATGGTATGAGTGAACATAGTGAAAACAATTATCCAGGCTTTAAAAGTCTGGAAACCTATCTAGGAGTTTATACTACAACTCATGTGTAAAAATATTTTGAGAGGATTGCTTATAGTGTTCTGGCCAAGCCAAGCTAAAGGATGAAGACTGCCACTTAAAAAGTCTTAATCAATAATGGAGTGTCTTAACATTTTTCAGCCTCAGGGCCACATTGGGTTAGGATCCTCTCCTAACCCAGCATTGTGGTGGAAAGAATTGACCAACCTTCCTCTTTCTGCAGTGCTTGACCCCTTAGCAATAGAACCATGTTAACTGGTGAACAGGCACTCCTGTGGATGGAGGAGATAAGTCAATTTTCCCAAAGGGTGGTAGGTCACCAGAAATGGCTTGGCAGGCCAAGGCTAGCCTGCAAATTTGCCACCCTTGATCTAGACAACATAGCATATTTAGAAGCCAGAAATGCTAAAACCAATGTTCAAAATGTAAAATACCAGGGAGTATACTACACACTTGGCATACAAAACTTTAGGCTCTAGGGATATCACATTTTGGGTCAGTGGTATCAACAAGGCTTCTCAAAACATGATGTACAGTGGTGCCTCGCAAGACGAAATTAATTTGTTCCGCGAGTTTTGTCGTCTTGCGATTTTTTTCGTCTTGCGAAGCACGGTGTCGGGAAAGTTTTGGAAAAGCTTCAAAAATCACCAAAGTCTTCAAAAACCTCAAAAAAGGCTACCACACCACGTTCTATGAGTTGCTCCTCGAAGTCAAGTCGCAACTGTATTAACGGTGTTAAGAAAAGGAAACAAACTTGCAAGACGTTTCCGTCTTGCGAAGCAAGCCCATAGGGAAAATCGTCTTGCGAAGCAGCTCAAAAAACCCTTTCGTCCAGCGAGTTTTTTGTCTTGCGAGGCATTCGTCTTGCGAGGTACCACTGTATTGAAAAAAACATGCCTTCAGTTGTCATCAGTATTTGGCAGCAAAAGCTCCTAGTATCCATAACACTGCTACTTAAAGAAGCCATTACACTATTTTTCATAGGTTTCAGCTTCCAGATGCTTCTCCAGATATTATAAAGGACGCCTTTCTGCATCTTTTATCAAAAACTTTAAAGAGACTTTCAGTAGTAGGCTCCCAACTAGGTCAAGTCTCAACTATAGCCTAGTCAGCAGAGAATGAGACTCTTAATCTCAGGATCATGGGTTCAAGCCTGACTTTGGGCAAATGAGTCCTGCATTGAAGGCGGTTGGACTAGATGACCCTTGTGCTTCTAACTCTACAATTCTAGGATTCTAAGTCTGCCCTGGCTCAGCAGTGCTAGAAACTGGGATAGAAAAGCTAGGAGCCAAATTTTGGCAACACGCTTTAGTTATTATTTTGATACACATGAACTAATACACAAATCACATAAGTGACACATTGTTAATATCACATTTTAACAGAAATTGTTAATACATGTTTCATTTGGTGCTTACAACAAAAATATTGGTACACCACACCCTACTCTTTACTGTTAAACTCCTTATTAACATTTTGGCTATCCCTGACATATACTTTGAGGCTTCAAAGCATATACATTTCAGAAATCCTTGAGTATCAGCCAGGCACAAAAAATGGCACCTAAACCTTTTGAGCTTTTTACAAATGGAGAATCTTTGGGCGTGAAATGCGCCTGGCACCCTGCTAATTTCAATCCCTGTGGCTGAGACTAGCCTATCTTACTTGGTCCTCTGGCTTGTGAAATTATACTGTTTCAATTAGTTGTTCATGTTTTTATTATCATTCTCTGTGCTGCAGTTTCAATGAGTGGGAGGAGGGAACTGCCCTAAGGCGTCTTCACAGGAGTTGGTCCTGCCCACCTAGCAACAACAGGCATTTCCTAAACATCCCCACTCCTCTTCATGTGGCAAACAATAAAGCAATAGACATGGAGACTGTAACAATGAGTATGGACAGAGCAGAGGCGTTTCCTACAACTCTGAAATGCCTTCTCTTCTTTTCATCCATAAAAGCCATGGAAAAGGGGAGACATATGCCAGTCTTTAGGAGTTGTCAATGAAGTAAAAAGAGTATGTGGAAGACTTAGGCTTGTTGAATCAAATTTTCATTCTATCTGTGGGAAATAATACAGTGGAGAGAGCAGCTCCAGATACACATTGGCAGGGAGAGGAAGCAGAAGCCAGGCTGTCACATCAAAGCTTCAGAAATGTTCAATTATACACATGATTATGAGATATCAAAATTTATGACCTACTTGATGGGTCTTCCTTTTGTACAAGGTTAAGATTTATCCCTTGCTAATGTCAATCCTAAACTTACAGTAGTAAGGTCAAACATTTGGCCCTATGGACACTGCTGAACTAAGACTTCCTTCACCCCTAGCAAGAATGGCCAATGGTCAGGAAGATTGGAGTTTCGTTCAAGATCTGGAGGGCCAAAGGTCTCCACATATGATATACAGAATGCCAGACCAGATGAAACAGTACAGTTAAACAATTATTCAAAAATATTCTTTGAATATAAAGGCCTGCTTGCAAAAACAAGGAGTGATTCTCTAGAGACAAGGCTGAAGTTAATAATTTTTTGAACTGTTTGTAATCACAGCTGACAGCACTCCCATGCGGCAATGCTGCAAATCAGTAAAAAAAAAACCATGCGTTCTAGCCAATGCAATGATCTTGGATGATCCACATTTTATGCAGCAGATGTATCTACAGTTTTCCCACTGCTCCTTTCCCACAAATATTGGGAACACATGCCCATATCATACACACACATTTCCCCTTCAGATGTTATAGGAGCTTACTCACAGACATGCAGTGGACACATGGCAAACTTGTCTACTTCCAGCAATCGTCTGGAAGTTTGAGGATGGAATCACAGCATCCTTAGTTTTGAACTATGAGGCCATGCATAATTCCGACACCAGTTTCTGAAATAAGTTCTGCCTAACACCACAGAAGACAAACCATAAACAAGGCAATAAATTATTGATGTCCCAAGGTACAGCCTGAAGGCACGTGAGGCCACCACTCTGTTCAAGCTAAGGAGCTCTGGGGAATCACATATACACTGTGTTCGGTTCCACAAAAAAAGAAAGCCAGGATAGAAAATGTAAGAAAATAAATATGTATTCCTGTTGTCACTCACTCTGGGCTGCACTTCCTTCAGCATGGCACTAGCATCTTCATCATAATCCAGTTTACAGGCTAATGCCAGGTCATGTGCAGACTCCTCCCAGTGACCCAACAGCCTGGCAATGACAAGATGCAAGACATTTTAAAATCAGATTTAACCCATGGCATAAAATGGGGGTGGGCATCCTTTAGTCCAACAACTTCTGAAGACCACAACTCCCACCATCCCTGAACACTGATCATGCTGGCTGGGGATTATGGGGGCTTTGAGTCCAAAAACATCCAGAGGGCCGCATGTTCGTCATTCTTGGGCTAAAAGAAAACCCATAGATATGCACAGCTTGAAAACCACACAGAAACTTTCCATTTCATTATTATGGTACTTGTATTTTTTCGAATCCAAACCGTCCCTTAATTTCAAGTTTTACATTTATAGTGGTAACAGAACAGTACAAAAATGTGCACTTATATATGGTTAATATTATCTTACCTGCCCTTCACAATAAGGTATTGGGGCAGATTGCAACAATTTAGTTATAAAACCAGACACTCACGAGTTGAATCAATTTAATAAAAAATACCAGCTACGCAACTGGATTATGTTTAACAGCAAACCAGACTGGAAAATTTGTATTTTCATTAATCAGAGTAGTACAGTGTAAAGAGAGGTTAGTTTATTTACCTGTGGGCTTTCCCTCGCCATTTGTAAGGCTGTGCTGAATCAGGGTTAATCTGAATGGCTCTATCACAATCTCTGATGGCAGCATTTGGCTTCTGCATTTTCACAAAGACACTGTTGACAACAAGAAAATCAAATATGTTTAAGGAACTATCAGCTGCACATTTTTGGGTACTCAGAATGGAGTCTAGAGATGCTACAAGTTACATGACAGTCATGCTGCCTAATCATATTTTTTCCCCTTCTACTTCCCCAAAAACTGCAAGCTGCTTCAGTAATTTGGATACATCCTCTTCTAACACGTATGTTGCGCTTTTAATGCTCATTTAAAAAATTTCAATAATAATGTGGTTTAATGGCTTATATATTTTTCTTTTTCTAAGATTGGTATTAATGGCATCAATCACCTATTGCTTCAATTTTTATCTGACAGTGACTTCTATGAAGCAACATTAAGCAGAATCTCAACCTCCAACTTAATTTAGCTAAGTCCTTCAATAAATACACATACTTACTCTGTCTTACTCAAGACAAAAATCAAAATTAGGAATATGACATCTAAATTATGTCCAAGTGTGCTAAGAAAAATAAAAATGCTTGCTTTTTCATAATGTCATTCTGTAATCTGATTTTATGTATACAGGTATGGTAACATTAAGGACAAGGGAAAGAGAAGAGGTATATGGGAAGGAGAACATGGAACAGGGTCATAAGAAAACACAGCCATGAGCACATAGCAATTTAGAAAACTGACATTTACACTTATTATTCCACAACCACAAACAGGACTTTTCAGGTGAATAACAGCACCTCAAAATATCAAAGACTGTATGTTGGCTTGCACAGGAGCTTATCAAAATAGATTTAACCAAGAGGCACAAAAGGCATAACAGTTTTTTTGCAGCCAGGTCAAGGCATATTGTCACATTTTGTACAATATGTACATTTTACTAACAATTCATTTAGCAAGAGAATTCTGGAGTTAATTAGTCTAGACTAAGCTGTGTTTGGGTATATGTAGTTTGGCATCCTCTAATGCACTTGTTTTCAAATTTAAAGTCTCACCTGGCTCGTTTGGCATACAAGATAGCCAGTTGTGGATTCAACTTGATGGCTTCTGTGAACAAATCAATGGCTTTCTGAAGTTCACCTGGAAATATAAATAAGGCTTCAGTTGTACCCCCAAAGAAGACATCTACATGATATGTTGTTGTTGTTTAGTCGTTTAGTTGTGTCCGACTCTTCGTGACCCCATGGACCAGAGCACGCCAGGCACTTCTGTCTTCTACATGATATACTTGTCTTAATTAGGAGTACTGGACATATGGAATAAAGGGAATGGTACATAGTGCCATCAGTCTTGTCTCATTGGCAAGTTGCAGACATCCTCTTTTGGGACAAGGCACTCAAGTGGATTGCAGCTGCGCAACCACAGATATTCGTAGGGTTTTCTGGACAAATTTAACTTTGTTCCAAGTCCTGTTTTGTTGTAGAAACCGCATTGATCACCCTTTGTGATAACCAGTGCCAAGAGAAGAGAAATACAACCCTTTTGATACCCCTAGTATTCTCAGCATCTTTTGATACCGTCAACTGTGGTATCCCCATGGAATGACTATGTGAAATGTATATGGATTGCATTTAGGCAACGGAGCCCAACAACATGCCCTTCCTCCCTTGCCTCTTGGGGGGGGGGGAGAGTGGGGGGAGAGAAAAATAGTCTGTGAGAGTGAGGCAGACACACACACACCTTGGTAGGACCTGCAGGGGAGGGGAGCCTGATGAGTGAGAGGCAATTTGCCTGGCCCTCCAGAGTTTTTTTACCTGCAGGTCAGTGGCCCATAACATAAAGAAGATTTCTCTTTAACCTTGCTTTAAAGGCTTTTACAGTTTGAAACACTGGTCCCTTAAGGACTACTTCTTCTCTGTCAATCTACATGGGAGCTGAGATCTTCCCATGCAGGTTGACGGAGAAGCCTTTCTCAGAGTTTCACCACCATGAGCAATCAAGTGGTAGGCAATGCTTCTGACATCCTGGTTACTGAATTCCTCTCCCCAGAAAGTTTGTCTAGTCTGCAGGTCCGCAAACCTTTTCAGCAGGGGGCCGGTCCACCGTCCCTCAGACCTTATGTGGGGCCAGACTATATTTTGAAGGGGGGGAAATGAACAAATTCCTATGCCCCACAAATAACCCAGAGATGCATTTTAAATAAAAGCACACATTCTACTCATGTAAAAACACCAGGCAGGCCTCACAAATAACCCAGAGATGCATTTTAAATAAAAGGACACATTCTACTCATGTAAAAACACGCTGATTCCCGGACCGTCCGCGGGTGGAATTTAGAAGGCAATTGGACCGGATCCGGTCCCCGGGCCTTAGTTTGCCTACCCATAGTCTAGTGGCTATAACATCATATTTTAGGTATCAAGACAAGATGCTTAGTCTCAAGCATTTTAAATAAAATTATTCTTTTTCTGGATCAAATGGGAAATGAAATTATTTTAAAGACAGGCATTCACTGCACTATCTGAATCGAAGTTATGGTGAATTTGGAACAACCCACCCTAAAAAATAGAAGTATACTAGACTACATATTTTGTTTACCTCTAAAAAGCTTGTCAGGCAATTAATTTTCCTTATAAAGAACTCACCTTCACCTAGTGCATTAATAGCTTCCATCTTTTTTTCATTCGCCTGGTCCATCATCTCTTCCGTTACCTAAAGGAGAGAGAAACAAAGTGACTCAAATTCACACAAAGTATTTGGAAAGCATTCTTAATTCTAGAAATTTTAAAAGGTCTAGAGCAGGGGTAGGCAACCTAAGGCCCAATAGCCTGTGGACGGTCCAGGAATCATGTAAAGAGTAGATTGTATCCTTTTATTTAATATGCATTTCTGGGTTATTTGTGGGGCCTGCCTGGTGTGTGCTTTTATTTAAAATGCATCTCTGGGTTTTTTGTGGGCATAGGAATTCGTTCATTCCCCCCCCCCCATATAGTCCAGCCCACCACATGGTCTGAGGGACGGTGGATCGGCCCACGGCTGAAAAAGGTGGTTGACCCCTGGTCTAGAGTATCAATATACAACTCAACTGAATCTCAGCAGAGGGATATGTGTTTCAAAACTACTTAAAGCCAATTAGAAAAATATCTATCAACAATAAATTTCTTCTTTTTAAAAAGCCACACAGACTATGAAGATTAGTTGAAATTGTCTTAACTTTTTATTTATTTTTCCATCCTTTAGATCAGTGACTATTTAGTTATGGTAGAACACATCTGGTGCACTGGCAGTCTGCTGGTCTGATCCAGCTCAGCAAGCTCTTCCTGCTAGCCCACTAGCTCCTTGTCTCCATTTCGCAAGCAACAGGACTGCTTTATTTCTTCTGCCTGGCGTATTGCACATGTATGTGATACAGAAGTGTATGTGCAGCCATGAGATGGCCAGATCCACCTTTGTTTTGGCCACAACAATCTTTCTAAGATATCAGTTATTTTTCTTAACATTAAAAGGGTAATTTGAAATCCACGTTCTGCATTGGTTTCCTATATATTAGTACAGATTGTATCATGGTGGATTTGTTTAGATAGCTCTTAAATATTGTAAAGAAATTTTCATGCTGTGCAATCCAGAAATGTTGATTGATTGATCGAAAAAGCTACATGAGGTTTTACAAAGAGAGACGGTTCCAATCTCAATTAAGCTTATTACCTCAAGACTTTCATCTCCCATTTCTTGAGGTTCATCACTGTCTGGTTCAATCACTCCTTCATTATCAATTTCTGCAAACAAAATCACCACTAATTAGAAGAATCCTAGTTATTCCACATAAGAGGCTAAATAGGAAAAATGAAGCCAAAACATTGCATCTACAACATGGAAACCATGCAATATAGTACTGAATAACTCACCCACATCACTTTCTTCACTCTCAGGTTCTGATGGCTTTGGTGGTTCCTCGGGCTTCTTTTCTTCTGCTTTCGCCTAATGAAAAGGATATCAAATTACTGGCATGCTCATTTAAAGCTTTGCTTAGGGTGGTATTGTAGGATGTTCAGACAATTCTAGAATAAATCATTTTCAGGGACTGAATTGGAGAACTGTTGCACTGTTTTTCCAGCTGGAAAGTTTAAAATTTAAAAAGTGAATATCTCAAAAATGTAATTATTATATTTTGGTTATTTAACTTCTGCTTGCTACAAACTACTGGAAAATCCAGACTTTCTACTGTTTTACAATTCATCTGGGAAGATCTGGAAACATATATAAGTAACACTGAAACATAGGGCAAGGGGCCCCATCAGAAAAGCAGCATATCTGACCAATGAAGTATTTGTTAGCAGAGTCTGATTATCACCGACAGCAATCATCAGCACCACTACTGCTAGTTGTCAGGATTCAAAGAACTATGCAACCTAACTACACACCCAAGGGAACTTTAGACTTCTGCTTTCCAAAGAGCAGAAGCCTTTGCCACATGACAAACCACTTCGGAAGGCATAAAGACTTTTAAAAAGCCGACAAACATAATGGGGTGACTTCCTGTTTGGGGGATAGTGGAGGGAGGAGAAAATGCATCATCTCTAGCTACCTCCCAAAAAAGTAATGTGTATGACATGTGCAAGCTCTCCTGCTCTTACCCTTTCCTCCACGTTGGCTGACCCACGACTAGGGCTGGGCGATATCTGGTTTTCAACATCGTAATATATCAGCAGCTAAATATCGTGATATACTGATTTATCACAGTGTCTGAAATGTATCTCAGCTGCTGACAGAGATTTATATAGTGCTTTTGTCCATAAATTGTTCAATTTATCTTCTTCAATGTTCATATCCCTGTTTAATTCCCAGATTCCCAGATTTTGTTGTGGGTAAAATTGGTTCTCAACAAGGGTTTCGTATAAAAGGGAAATTAATCATTATACTATATCTTCCCAAATGATTTTTCTGCATAGGCTAATGGCCCTTTATGTACTCAAAAAATGATTATAATGGAATCAACAAAGGATGTAGTATCCAACATGCATCTTTAGGTATGCACAAAGAAAGCCTGAGTAATTACTAATGATCTTGTTGACACATGAAGGAGAGACACACACTTGTGTCCAGGGCAGATGTCTATCAGCTCCATCCGGTAAGCCAGCCTAGACCCTACCTGCCTGCATTATGTCTTGCCAGAGCGGTACATGCTCTGGTTATCTCCCACTTGGACTACAGGCAACTCCCCATTTGTGATTTAGAATCATAGAATCATAGAGTTGGAAGAGACCACAAGGGCCATCGAGTCCAACCCCCCTCTTTATAAGACAGCATCCATACTATTGCACAAAGTTGAGATGCAGGTCAATTTTTTTAGATCAAATTGCACCCTACATTAGGAATGGTATGTACAAACATAAAAGCCATAATCCTAACAAGCGCCTCTCTCTTACCTCATGTGTTCCTTCCGCAGCTCCTTCTGCAGCTCCTTCCTGAGAAGTGTTGCATGGAGCTGGTGGTATTTTACCTCCCATACTGTTCAAAAAAAGAAAAAGATTGGTGAGATACAGAGTTTGACAACATTTGGTTTAAGATAAATGAAAAGTATAAACCACTAAGTAACAGTTAGCAATGAATATTTATTCATGACTAAAGAATAACTGAACAGAAATTCTATTACCTTAAAATTAGTCCCATTTGCTTTTCTGAATTGCTACTCAGAATGCTTCAGCACAATTTTATGTTATTAGGGTAGAACAACTGAAACCCCTTTAAGCATAGCAATGTCAATTAACTAGCATTTGCTGCCTTTTAATCCAGGAAATTTGGAAAGAAAGAAAAAGCTGTGGAAGGTTAAGCATTTCTAGATTTAACTTGTACTTTCACATGCCGCAGTATGATTCCACAACACTAAGGAAATTACCCTGAAGAAAACACTCCATTTTTACCCATACTTTCAAGTCAGAACTGTGATATGTACAAAGGTTACGAGCAATAACACTAGAAAAAACATATCTGTAAAGAGGTGGAATGTAGATTATCCCCAGCAACTTTCCTAGAGCAAGGGGTGCAGGTGCTCAGCTTGTTCTACATTGTTCTGTACCTCTGATTCCCAAAGCATGTGCTTTGAACAACTGATTTCCCTAAAACTGGTTGATCCAACACATGACTTGAGGGCTACAAGGAGCCCAGGGCTGGGAAGGGCTCAAATTTTGGCCTCCCCCCACAGCACAACAATGCAGGGTGTGGCCTGCGGGTTCCGTGTCAAGTACTCTTGCAGCCCACTTGGTCTGAAAGGTTGGACCTCCCTGCCCTAGAATGTACAGCAAAAGGTGGTGGTGGAAATCACACTTCCTGTTTCAATAAATTAATGGTGCACTTTCCAGAAACATTTACAGTATCTGTGAAACACTTCTGAGATGAAAGGAGCATCTCTGACACACTCCTCTAGGAATAATATTAAATGTTAAATCTAACTGAAATAAAATTAACCCAGAAGAGTAACCACCAAATAAGAACTACTAATATTCTCTGGCCACCCTATTTGATTTACAGTTTCACTGCTCACTTTGTTAGGAAGACTTTACCATTCAAAAACTAACTGATACTTTTATATAGCCCAATCGTAGTATGAGTTAGGCATACCTGAGTCCACTGATTACAATGCATGCAAAGCCTCCTAATGCTACAAGACTGTGTTATTAAACAACTATTTGATTCAAAATAAAAACCATTTCACACACAAAGAGATTTCAAATGAACAAGCTCTACCACTCCAGCAGAAAACCTGAAATCTTACTACCCACTAGATAGAGCTACAGGTTACCTTAGAGTAAACACAGCCATGTTTGTTTCTACACTCCTCCACAGCATAGCTCTTTCAGCCACAACTCTTTCTACACGCCTCCCTCCACAGCATGAAATGCAAGCTTTCGCACTGTCATGGAACAATACTTTAAGGTCTGTAGCCAAAGCTAGACTGCTTTTCTTCACAGAATCATCAACATTATTACTTGAGGGGATTTTCCTGGGCTATGAAACAGGACTCCATAATGGTTTTTAATTCATTTAGCTAGAATGTGGTTGGCTGCATAAATGGCACTCTTGGCAATGTAACACTGATTGCTTTCAAGCAGGATCTGAAATCATGGAGGGGATATTAGAGAACCATCTGGAAAATTTTAACAGCCAATTTTACTATTGTACAGATTTCAATAAGTAATCCAGTTAAATGTTTTTAACCATGCTTACAACAATATGAAAGCAGCTCTATCTACCTTAGTTTTACATAAATTGAATACTAAATCTAGAAACAGTTACATATTGCTATGAGTTGGTGGGGAGAAAGTAGGCTCTATATTAGATCCTTCTAATCTAACCCCTGGATCTAGCAGGTGTTAAAATATAAGCCAGGCTAGCTTCCTGAGTTGAGGTGAAAGTCTGGGTGATGAGGCATTAAGAGAAGGGGTTCTGTGTGAGAAGGCAAACGGCTGGGGGGGGTGCCCCTCCCCCAGCTCTGTTAATTAAAAGGACAAAGCTGGAGTTTAGAGCTGAGTTGCAATGATGTGACCTAGAAGTAAAGCTGCAAGCTGGTGAGAGAGTCAGAGCAAGGTTTGATTTCTGTTTGAATCCCCTCCATTGTAGGTTCAGGTTGCATATATGTGTAAACAAACCATATATCATAAAAACATATTTAAAAATTGTCCAGTAGCACCTTAGAGACCAACTACGTTTGTTCTTGGTATAAGCTTTTGTGTGCATGCACACTTCTTCAGATGCATGCACATGAAAGCTTACACCAAGAACAAATTTAGTTGGTCTCTAAGGTGCTACTGGACAATTTTTTAATTTTTTTTATATGTTTCGACTGTCAGACCAACACAGCTACCTACCTGAATCATATATCATAAATACACTGAAGTATCAGCTGTGCTTCACTCCAGAAGGAAACAAAACCCTGGGCAAGCTCTTGGAACCCCTGGAATCCCACCCTGCTCCAAGATTGGAGTGGCATGCAACAATATATTTGCACAATCCAAGGTGCATTGTGGCTTGTGTTACACACACTTCCACAGAAAGTCGTTTGATAAATACAGTCTTTTTTTCTAAAAGATGAAATAACAATCCTAAGCAACTCAGTTTCAGGCTACTCCAAAATGCATGCTTTTTTCAACAAAAAAGGAACTTCCAGGTGGAAAGGAAAGCATAGGCAAAAATGTGCTTGGCATGTAGATTATGATGTTTGTTTTTCACTAAATGTGCTCTGGTGCAGTAACTGGGGACAATATTCCAGCATTAAAATACATATAAGAAAGTGCAACATCTGAGTAATCATCATAATGATCTGAAAGCTTTCTCTTATCCTTTCCTCAGGCACGAAACAACGTTTTCTGGGCAGCAGAAATGTTGGTACACCGAGGGGATTAAAGAGCACATGTTAATTGTAACAGCCTGAAACCCTTTCCTTGCCGAGAAAGGGGGGGAGTGGAGTAACTGGACGTGAGAAGAACAGGTTTCCAATGACACGGCTAGGCCTTCCGTCCAGAGATCCGGCCATCCGTCCCTCGAACAGCCTCGGATTCCAGGGAAAGGATTGAATACTCAAACCAAAGCAGGCACCTTTCGCAAGGCAAATAAATTATTCTAATGAATTCCCCATCTTCCCAGCCCCATACAAGTCCCTGCAACTCCTCCAGCTCCGCGCTTTTCAAGCCCGACTTCTCTCTTATTATCGAGGCCTGATCCAGGGTTCGCCGCCCACCAAACACCCCCCTCCCGCAAAAACCCAGCAGCCCCCCCCCCAGCCCTACCGTCCGAAAACTGAGACACTTTCATCACCTGAAAACGGGGGTGAGGGGGAGAGAGAGAGGAAGAAACGGGGATACAGAGGACCCCACTCTACCCCCACCTCCACCTTCTCCAGCGCCGCCCCATGAGGGGCTCTCCCCCCCCCCGACTTACCCCTCCACCCAGTCGCGGAAGAAGCGCAGGTCGTCGCTGTGCAGGATGGCCGGGTTCTCCTTGCAGAGTTTGACGAAGGCCCGCAGCTCGCTCACCTTCCGCAGGTCCATGGCTCGCCCGCTTCCCTCCCGCGCGTCCCCCTCGCTGCTGCTACTGCGGTGGTTGCCGCCGCTTGAGCTTCCCTCCAAGCGGAGTAACGAAAGTTCCCAGCCTCCCTCTTCCCTCCCCTCCCGCTCGCTCGGGGGCCCCGCTGCCTGTCACGCGCAATTCAGTTCAGCGCCACGCGCACGCGCTCCCCGCCCCTCCTGCCCCGCCCCCCTGTCAGCTTTTCGCTCGCGGCTGCCGCTCCCGCTGGCCGCCTTCCCCCTTTGCCCACGCCCGAGAGGCTCCTCCCACTGTGCCCTCGCGACCCACCCGCCGTGGCCCTTCGAGCGACGCTCGCGCGGGGCGGACCGGAATTTTCCAGAAATGAAACCCGAGTCGCCCACGGTGTTTGCCTCTTTCCGTTGTCCCCGCCCGCCCCCGCCATTCCCACATGGAGAACAACACCGAGTTATTTCACACGCCAGAGGGCAATAACTGAACTTAAACGGGCTCTCTGCGCGCGAGTATGGGTCTCCCCGTGTTTGTTTTTACATGCAGGCGTTTTACTTAGTCGCCAAAGTAAAAATTTTCCTAGGAAGGAAGGAAGTGGGACGCAATCTCCGGTCGAAATGGGCGTAATGACGCCATCAAACTTCGACTCAAAGCGGAGAAGGTCCTCTCAACGTGCCTGTGGTCTATTTGAGCTTAGTTTAGGCTGGCATGCTAGGGAGTGGGGACTTGGGAAAGAGAGGAAGAGGGACGCCGGTTTCCCCTCAGAGATCGCCCTGTAGTGGTGGGTGCTGTCCTTGCAGGTTCAGCCATGGTGTTGTTCCTAGCACAGAGACTTATGCAGCCTGTAAGGGGCATGTGCAGCTTTTCAGGTCAGAGACTTTCTTTCCTTCTAAAGATGAGCTTCCTTCGTTCTGGGGAGGGTGGAAGTTCCTTATGCTAGGCACTCGGTTCCACTGTGTGTGCACTTTAGTTTCCACTATGGACAACGGAAACCAGTTTATGTAACTGGGTTATTAATCCAGTTAAAATATATTTCTATGATGAGACACAAAATCTTCAGAAGGTCATATTAGGTTAATCGGAAGACTTCATATAAAGACAAAAGACAAAGGTTCTCGGATGTTTAGGGTCGCTAAAACTTCATCAACTTCTGAATTCAGAACTGAGGTCATAAAAAAAGAGCATGGTTTTCAGACAATGCAATTCATTAAAATCTCAAGATAGGACCAAAATATTATGTAGTAGAAATTCTCATTTAATTTGAAATTCGTTACCTTAATTCATTTCTGGCCATGAATTAGCTGAGTTATATACTCATTTAAGTCTCATTGTTCTCAGTTGGAGAAATTATGTGTTTTAACTCTTCCACACAGAGATTAGTGGACTTGTGTTTTCAAGCATGGCTGGATTTTAGTTTTATGTCTTTTGTGTAGTTTGTGAAACTACCTGGTATAGTTTCTCTTGTACTTGCATTTGTTCAAACCTCTTTATTTTGGCCCTTCCATTTGTACATTTCTGATATATTTTTGTGCAATTCTATAAAAGCAAATAAAAATATCCATTGTTTCAAAGTCTTTTGTTTATCTTACTAATTTTGAATTGTTGAATTGGAAAAAAAATAATAAGGTTAAGCTTCCTTGTCAACCTTTGAAACAATCTGTTACACGGTACAGATTAAAAGGACATACATTAAAGGTTTTTAACTGAGAAAGTGAATGCTAAAGATAATCTAGTTCTTTTATATTTTTCATACTATACTGTATGTCACCTTCCAAAATGTGTAAAAAATGAAGATTTATATGATAGGAAAACCTGTATGATCACACTGAGTTTTCTTTAAAAGGAAAATTAAATTTATTTTTAAAAACTTGTTATGCTTGAATTGCTAGTTTATGGTGTAAAATAGAGAATCCAAACTCTCTGGGTAGCTGGATTCTATGCAGTACAAGGTACACTTAACTTTATTGACATCAGCAGGCTTAGGCATGCCCAACTCTGCATAAGATCAGGCTGCAATCCTCTGCAAACACTTATGTGAGCGTTAAGTTCCATTGAATTCAGTGGGACTTCTGAGAATGCAATGACTGGATTGGGTCTTAAGTTTGTTGACCTGAGCACCCTTTCCAGGAAGAAAGTTCTACGGAGCTCAGTAGTATTTGCACCTGGGGATGCTGCTGCAAAATGCAAGCGGTGAGGGAGGTTGTATTCATCTGCATGTTTACTAATGGTAGACCCTTTAAATTCTGTTGGATTTATTTCTACATGAAAATGTGGGCAGCCTATTCATACAGTACTTATATTGGAATATGTCCTATTGAGTTTCTGAGTAAACATGCAAAGTATAAAGCTGAAAAGTTGCATTCCTGAGCAGATTTATGAGGGGTAATAATTGGGTAATTCTTTCTAGTAGACAGTCATCACTCTAGTTTCCATTAACTTCAGTGAGTATGTAGTCCAATCTCATGCATATTTACTCGGAAACACCTATTGTGTGCAACTGGGCTTGCTCTTAAGGAAGTGTGTATAGGAGACCCTGAACCTACGCAGGGACTGGGTTCTAAAGCTGCAGCCCTTTGCAGAGTTTGGCATCCCCAACCCAACTTAATTCAATGGTTTTTATGCACAGGATTTCAACCTCAGCTACTACTGGTTTTCTCTAGATTGTATTCTTGGTCTGTAATGATGTCTATTAGCAATTTTTATGTACCCACCTAGTTGCCCACTCTTGTGAATGTTAGCAGTTTATTCAAACGTAGTATTTTGGCACTTGAATGAAATACTTTGATACCCGCCCCCCTCAAATAAGTCTGATTCTCAATATTTTCAGTATATTCCAAGTGCATATGAATAAAATCTATATTGATAAGAGTGCATTAATAATTGGGCAGATGGTAAAATGTTTTCGTGTCATGTAGTACTCCCTACTCAGTTTCAAGGAAGAGAAACATAAGCATTACAAGGTCTACCAGGACAGAGGAGAGTTAGGACTGTGTCCTTACAAAACAAATACTGCTAAAAATACTGTGTTGCACAGGAAGAGATAAAAGGAATACCAGAATGTAACTTGCAGTACAGTCACATTCACACACACACACACACACACTTTAATCTCATTGTATGGTTTTGAAAGGATGGTTAGTAGTTAATAGAAGCATCACTGCAATATCTTAGCTATATTGTAGAACAGGTGTGGGGAACCTGTGCCCTCCCTAGAAGTCATTGGATTGCAGCTCCCAGCATCCTTGATCATGGACCATACAGACTTGGGCTGATGGTAGCTGGAGAGCACCAATGTTTGGATAATCACAGGTTTCCTACCCCTCTAGTAGAAGAGTATCAGTTAACCTTACCCTGGTAAAAGGAGGGTAAGCTCCATGGCTAAGGTGTTTGCAGCCTTTGAGATGGAAATAAATACTGAGGACAGACAAACAAAAATCTTAAAAGTGATGTCCTTTCTGAAAGTTAAAGAGAATTTGTGCAATTCTGTTCTGTCACATTTGTAAGTAAATTGAAGATTTAAATCTTTTTGAATCTGCCATCCATAGCTACTTTTTGGAGTAAGTACATGTGAATTCAGTGGGGCTTACATCTGAGTAGACATTTATAGGCTTGCACTGCAGGTTATTCCATGTGGATTTGCCTTAGAAGAAAGGTGAAAAGAACAGTTCTTAAGAATGGCAAGCGTGTGACTTGACTGTATTACACCTAGAAAGGTCTTTCAGCTTAACACAATGCAGCTGTTTTCTTTTAGACTGCAAGTTCTGTTTCTTTCGGAATTTGTCCATCCAGCCTGTTGAGCAAAGGAAGATTCCAAACCGGTACCTCGGTCAACCTAGCCCTTTCACACATCCACATCTTCTGAAACCAGGTAAGGATCATTTCAGTACAGTCCTAAGCATATTTACTCAGAGGTAAGAAACACTGTATTCAGTGGGACTTACTCCCTGCCATGTTTGCATAGGATAGCATCCACGGACACTAGTTTCTAAGCTGTGTCATTAGATTCTTTTTATTTTGCATGAAGAGGAGGAAAATTGTACATCCTTAGTGGAATTCACCTTCAGAAAGTATTTCCTAAAATTCCAAAGAGGTATCATCCCTGTGTATGCATTTCTCAATCAGTTCAGACTCATTGCTTAAAATAATAGAGCATCCCAATATGAGATAAAACTTGAGATAAATACAGCAAAAATTTTAAGTATAGAACAGTGAAATGGGAGAATGGAAAGTGTACATGTGTGAGCAAAGGCAATATGTAAACCAAGCAGGTATGGTAAACAAATATTTCCATGACAGCAGCAGCAGAAAAAAAATTCCACATACAGTGGTACCTCGGGTTACAGACGCTTCAGGTTACAGACTCTGCTAACCCAGAAATAGTACCTCGGGTTAAGAACTTTGCTTCAGGATGAGAACAGAAATTGAGCAGCAGCAGGAGGCCCCATTAGCTAAAGTGCTACCTCAGGTTAACAACGGACCTCCGGAATGAATTCAGTTCTTAACCCAAGGTACCACTGTAGTTCTTATGATTGACAGAACTTACTTCCTTCCCTAAGAACTTTTCTGAACACCAGTTCCATATTTTCCTACCTTCAGAGTTGCTGCAAGTGGGCAGAATGTCAGGTCCTTCCTTATCATAGCACCGAAAATCTGGAATACCTTCCCATGGCAGTCTGGGCCCATATTTATGAGTCTTCAAGTGGACAGGGAAGACAGTTTTGTTTCCAATAGGCCTTTAGGTCATTTTACTGATGTGCTTCTGACAGAAGAGTGGGATAAAAAAGTTTGTAAATAAAAAAAACCTCTCTGCTTGATTGACATTTGTAAATTAGGCCTGGGACCGTCATTTAATTGTACAGTCATACCTTGGAAGTCAAACAGAATCCATTCTGGAAGTCCATTCAACTTCCAAACATTCAAAAACCAAAGTGCGGCTTTGGAAGCTGTGGGAGCCCCAGCGGACATTTGGCTTCCAAAAATCGTTCAAAAACCGGAACACTCACTTCCAGGTTTCGATCGTTGGGGAGCCGATTTATTCGGGAGCCAAGGCATTCGAGGTCCAAGGTACGACTGTATAGCTAGCAATCAGTGTTCCAGAAAAGGAATCATTCACCCACACTTGAAACTCATTGTTATTCAACCATGCTTTCTTCCAAAAGTGACAATCCTTTTCCTTTATCTCAAACACCTTTATTTTCCATTTGTATTCTATGATTTGCCTCTCTCTCCAAACATGTATCCTGTTGTCATGCATGTTTGAGTCCCACTGAGTTCAATCAAATTAGTATCGGAATGCACTGTGTGGTTATTTGTGTATTATTTTATACCCTGCCTTTCTACTAGTAAGTTAAAATTACATTACTATGGGCTGGTTCACATGTCATTTTAAGTACAGTGGTGCCTCGCAAGACAAAATTAATTCGTTCCGCGAGTTTTTTCGTCTTGCGGTTTTTTTCGTCTTGCGAAGCACGGTGTCGGAAAAGTTTTGGAAAAGCTTCAAAAATCACCAAAGTCTTCAAAAACCTCAAAAAAGGCTACCACACCGCGTGCTATGAGTTGCTCCTCAAAGTCAAGTCGCAACTGTATTAACGGTTTTAAGAAAAAGGAAACAAACTTGCAAGACGTTTCCGTCTTGCGAAGCAAGCCCATAGGGAAAATCGTCTCGCGAAGCAACTCAAAAAACCAAAAACCCTTTCGTTTTGTGAGTTTTCCGTCTTGCGAGGCATTCGTCTTGCGAGGTACCACTGTATGGTTTAAAGGTGAACATATTCTTGCATGTGACTAAAATAACATCCAGCTTATTCTCTTCTGCACTCTTGCTGCTGCTGCTACACTGCCAGAATCTAAGCTATACTTTGGCTTTGCATTGTGTCTGAACCCAGGCTCATGCTATATATGGAAAGAGACAAACCATAAATCTAGGTTCAGACATGATGTGAAGCCAAAGCAGGGCTTAGCTCCAAGCAGCATGGCAGTGGCCATGGTGAGGAAGGAGCGAAGCGTCCACATTTATGGTCCCATATTTAGCACGTTGCAAGTATACTAAAGCTTAATTGTGGTTTCAGGTGGTCTGCAAACTAGGACAAAATATTACTGGATTACTATAAAACTGAACCCTTGTTCTTCCATTCCAACATAAGAGAGGCCCTAATGGAACATGTAGTCCAGCAATATGCTTCCCAGTGTCCAAATGTTTCTAGGAAGCCTCCAAACACAACATGAAGAAAACAACCCTTCCCTACTGTATTCCTGCAGCAACTGGAATTCACTGGCATGTTGTCTCTAAGTGTACTTTTCAGTCTGCACTGTACTTTCTTCATTATGGGTTTGATCCAGTGGAGGCACCTGTTAGTGGAAGTGGGAGGCATAATTTTCACCAGTTCTACCTCTTGCCTGCACTACCTCCCATGCTATTCTGGGGGGGTCCTTCAGCAGAGGTGCAGAGTCTGGAATGAGCAGAGGTTGCCTCCACCCCCTTTCATTAGCAGGTGTTGGGAGTGACCTTTCTAGGAGTAGAATGCCACTCATGGGATCATTAGAGGCAACCCAGATTATTGTAAAGGAAAACATTCTGAATGCAAGGTAGCCATATGAAACAGGTAGCATAAACATCTAGGCAAAGACCTTTGGCTTGAGAACCTCATATAACTGCTTGCAGCATTAGTCTCCTATCATTTTCACTGGGACTTCCTTTCATGTAAGCTTGCTTAGAGATTGTAGCCTAAGGGTGCAGTTCTCACATAAAACGTCCCACTTAACTTCATTAACATGTACGAGTGCAGGATTGTGGTCATAGATTATGCCAAGAGTGTACCTCATTTGCAATCAGCAGCTCTTGTTTCTTCAGTCCAGTTGTGTTAAAAAGACTCTGTACTTTGCATTCTTTGCAGATAAAATGTGGTTGACAGATTAAATCTGCAGTTCCGAGAAAGAGAATTTTTCCTTGGAGCTATTAGGTACATAGCTTATAATACTAAAAATAGTCCGATGATTGTTCACTGTTAAAAGCTTGATAAGTTTTGGAGAAATTTTCACTGGGCAATCTAATATCTCTTCTGACTTCACCTTAAAGGTTGCACCCAGCACTACCATTGCCTGTTCAATATCCAGAAGCTGAAAAAGTGTAGTATTTCAATTGGGTTAAAGTGTACCTATTTTCTTCCTCCATCATCACCTATTCTCCAATCTAAAAATTAATATCCTTATGTTAGTTTGTGGAATGCCTTGAGAATTAATGTTAGTTAATTTCAAATGGAGCTTTTCTTTCTTACACATGACTGTGAAATACGCTGAGAATGTGTACACATTGGAGCAGGGCACGGGTAACCAACCTGTAGCCCTCCAGATGTTGCTGGACTGTAATTCCCATCACCCCAGCCATTGGTTATTCTGGCTGATGCTGATGGGAGCTGGAGTCCAGCAAGTTTCCCACCTTGGAGTAGGGAAAAGAATAGTGATGAGGAGAAAAGAGGGTATGAGGTGGAAAGGAGAGTCAATTGAGAGGAGCAATGACATGCTAGAGGAGGAAAATTTGCTGCTTAGCAGCATAGCGCAGGAAATTAACAGAATGAAGAAGTGTTTTTGAAACAAGAATAGCTATTTTGATTTCTGTTCACAGGAGAAGTAACACCGGGGTTGTCGCAAGTGGAGTATGCTCTCCGTAGGCACAAGTTGATGGCTCAGATACACAAAGAGGTGCCAGGCATGGACCACACAGTGATTCTGCTATCCAATCCCACCTACTACATGAGCAATGATATTCCATACACCTTCCACCAGGACACTAACTTCCTGTATTTGTGCGGGTTCCAGGAGCCTGACAGCATCTTGGTGCTACAGACTGTGCCTGGCAAACCTTTGCCATCCCACAAAGCTCTGTTGTTTGTCCCACGGCGGGATCCAAGCAGGGAGCTATGGGATGGACCGCGGTCTGGTACAGACGGGGCAGTGGCTCTCACGGGCGTGGATGAAGCATATACCATAGAAGAGTTTAGGCACCTGGTGGCTAAATTGAAAGGTAAGAAGAAGAAGAAACATATAGGAGATGTGGATTGGTAGGAGTTTCGGCAGGGTGTACAAAGCCTTTGGGCAGGTTGCTCACAGGTGGAGAGCATAGTGGAAACATGCAAAGGAATTTTGTGCTCCCAGCTACCTGGTTGTAATTCCCCACCCCCCACCCCTTTAAAAATATTTGAGAAAAGTTACATAATCAACATTTTAGATTCTCCTGTGGCTGTTGGATGGCCTGTGGCTCAGGAATCTTTACTAATATAGTAGAAAAATCACAGAAGTCTTCAGTACTGTGGCAAACATTTGCATTGTCCCTTCAGGATCCCTTTATTTGAATAATGACTATTAGGGAAGAATAATGTGTCCACTTGACAGGCTTACTTCTTTCTGACATATATCATCCAAAGGCCTGGTTTTCCATAAGATTAGATGACATATTTACATTGAGGAAAGTGGATATCCTATTTACACAGACAATTTTCTGCTGTGAAATATCTATAATTGTATCCTGCATTTTAGATCCTACATTGACCCAGGGGGGCGGGGCGGGTGTGATGACCTCCAAGGTACCTTCCAACTCTATGATTTTCTCAGCTTATAATTAGCTGGAAGCCTCATACCCAGCATTGCTTGGGAATTTTAAGTATTAAAATCAGTGCAGGTTAGAAAGGTTCAGTCTTCAAACAGAGATGAAAACCTGCTGTTTGATCTCAGAAACCATCATGTAAAACTTGGTTAAGGTACCTTAAGTGTTGTCCTCAGATGCATGGAGAACAGGCAAACTTTCCAAAATAGATAATAGATATAAGTATACAATGTTGTTTCTAAGTGGATGGTACATTAGAATAGAAAGAATAGTTTCAACAATACAGTAGTTCTTGCCAATTCCTTTCAGGCAGATTTTCAAAGTACTGATTTCCCCCAAGATATATATGGCTAATTAAACTAACGTGTTTATATTCTGTTTCACAGATGAATCTAGTATGGTTTGGTATGATTTTGCTAAACCTGTGCATCCACAACTCCATTCTGATTACTTGCTACACCTGGCAGAAGTCAAAGCTAGAAGCAAGAATCGTATCCGAGCAATCAGGCACTTAGTGCAAAACCTACGACTGGTTAAATCTGCGGCAGAGATTGAGAGAATGAAGATTGCTGGCAAGGTGACATCACAGGTACGGGACAAGGCAGTTGTGCCTAACAGGATGTTAACAGAAAATCTGGCATGGTGCAGAAACACTTTTCAAAGGGGAGATGAGATGTGGACAAACTTGGGTTGCTTCTGGTTGGATGGTTCTGGGGACTGTTCTTTTATAAGTGGGTAATCCCAAGGAAAATACATTCTTCAATTTTATGGGAAGGCATTTGTAGACTAAGCTTTCCAATACGGCAAGACCTTTATTGGCTAACACAACAATTAATTTCATACAAAGTAATTCAACAAAACACCAATCAGGTGGGAACCAAATGTACTTGATCTTCTTCGTTATTACTTAGTTTCACAATCTGAGCCAATTCCATCTTGGGTTATTTATCTAGTGACATCCCGTGGTTGGTCTTAGAATGCAGTGTTTTGAAATAAACTTTGAGGGGCATTTTTAAGAAGCAGAACTGGTTTTTGCAAATCCATAATGATCCATTATGGAAATGATTTCTGATGTTGTGGAATAAGATCAATCTCAAATTAAATTTGAAAACATGCGCTTTGACTATAGATTTTTATAACAATATATTTAATGATAGTAATTCCTGGTTCGCCTTTTCCAAATGGGACTATTACTAAGAATAAAAAAGAGCCTTTCGGGATCAGACCAAAAGCCCATCTATTCTAGCACCCTGTTCGCACAGTTGCTAGTCAGGTGCCTATAGGAAGCATTCAAACAGGACATCAATGCAACAGTCCTCCCACTTTTGTTTACCTAGCAACTAGTATTCAGAGGCATGGCACCTCAAACACTGCAGGTGGTACACAGCCAGCACAGCTATCAGCAGTTGGTCGTGTTATTCTCCATGAATTCTTTTAACCCCTTTTAAAGCTATCCAAATTGATGTTCATAATTATGTATTGTAGTGGTGGATTCCATTTCTCTGTCCAGAATCTTCCAACATTCAGATTTCTTCTCTAGAACAGGGTTTACCAACCTATGGGCTGGCACCCACAAGTGGGTACCAAAGCCTGTGAAAGTGGATCAGGGGCTTTATAAGTAAATCCGACACGATTATTGCTCTTAATCTTACAACTTTTTGTTTCGTTGGCATATACTGTGTTGCTGTGTTGACACTTGTTACCATTGCTTTAGATAAGCTTTGCAACTTTATTTACTCATTAAGGACATTATTTTATTGCATTGTAAAAGAAAACGATGGTTTGATGTCAAGTGACTGAGGATACGGGCTTAATTCGGGCATCACATTAAGCCATGATTACGGAAGATTAATGAAGGTTAAGCATGATTTTTCAAGTAAAGAATCACTACTTTAGATTAGATAGCAGATCAGTATCAGAAACCATGGCTTGTGCTAACTGTGGCTTGGTTTGAATTGAATTGAGTAGTTATGGCTCTGCTTCCAGAGGCTGCTGTACCATAAAGCCAGAAGTGACGGGTCTGGACAGATTGCCTTGAGATCTGTATTGGAGCATGCAATGTGTTTTTCTCCCATGTTTAGCTACCTTGTTTAACTGGGTGTTAGATGTGGGGGACATACCTGACTAATGGTGGTTTTCCCAAAGCCACGAAGAGATCCCAAGCGTTTGGAATCTTGCCACTGTATTTCCCTCCTCAACCAGGATTAGAGTGTATTTACAGCAGTCCTGGCAGATATACATCCAGACCCAGGTGGGTTTTAAACCACAGACGCAAACTAACAACTGTTTGAGAAACTGAAAGATGCTGTACATAATTGACTCGGCTTTGTTTCAGACTTCCATGAACAAACCTCTGTCAGCTTTTGAGGGTAATGACAGAAACAGGGGTATGGTTTTGAAAATGTATACAATCCTAACACAAATATTTCCCTCTTTTGCGGTGCAAAAGCCAGCATGGGAAATGGGTGTGGGGAATTGGGGTCAGGTCATTGTCATAAAATGTGGCATGTGAAGTCTCTTACCCACAGTCTCTGCTGATATTTAGGACAACTTTCTTAAGCTCATACATTGGTGGTTTTATGTACCAGTTCAAGTGGCCATATTCAGAGTAGTGGTAATGCACTGTGTTGGCTGTGAAATGCTGTGAAAGAGGCAGTTATTGGCACCTCTGGTGGACCTGTCCAGCAGTAAAAGCCTTCTGGGAATAGCTGTTGAGATGAATGTCATCACAGGCCATAGATTGCTTTTGGGTCCTAAGTTATGCTTATTCTATATTTGACTTTTTGACAGGCGTTTGTGGAGACAATGTTTGCAAGCAAATCTCCAGTGGATGAAGCATTTCTGTATGCTAAGGTATGTGCTTTGTAGTATCCTAGAAAGCATCATAATTCTTCATGCAGTTGGGATGGATTGATTGATTGATTGAATTTGTATACTGCCCTTCATAAGACCTCAGGGTGGTTCACAAGATAAAAATACAAGATAAAAGCACAGATAAATAGAACAAAAACAAAACAATAACATCCCCCTCTTAGTATTGCATTGACCTCTTAGGCAGCAGTTCTATGCACACATACTTCATAGGGGACACGGCTGGTGCTGTGGTCTAAATCACTGAGCCTCTTGGGCTTGCCAATCAGAAGGTTGGTGGTTCAAATCTATGTGACAGGGTGAGCTCCTGTTACTCTATCCCAGCTTCTGCCAACCTAGCAGTTCAAAAGCATGCCAGTATGAGTAAATAGTTACCACTGCATTGGGAAGGTAAGCGGCATTTCTGTGCACTCTGGTTTCCGTCTTGGTGTTCTGTTGTGCCAAAAGCAGTTTAGTCATGCTGGCCACATGACCCGGAAAGCAGTCTGCGGACAAACGTATGCTCCCTCGGCCTGAAGCAAGATGAGTGCCTCACCCCTTTGACTGGACTTAACTGTCCAGGGGTCCTTTACCTTTACCTTACCATACCTTATACTTCAGAATAAGTCCTATTGGCCTCGCTAAGACTTGCTTATGAGTAGACATGTGGAGGATTGCACTGTTAGTTTTCCTTCTAAGACAACAATGGGAGCTTAATATAGGCCTTTTCTCTGCCACAACTCATTATGCATCTTTCCCTAAACTTACTTCCTTTCAAAACTATAACAGACATGGGAGTGAGGCTTCAGAGAAGTTTAGGAAAAACCTGACAAACCTTAAGAGGTGTTTACAATTTTGCATTTGTTAGTCAAAAAAAATATTTTTATTTCATATGCACTCTCATATGAGGGTTTTATACCTTCATATCCAAGAATGTGTATTTCTTTCACACAAGCATAATGACTTGAATAGTTCTATATTGTGCATTGTACAGACCTACAAGTCTTTCTTCCCTGCATAAGAAATGAATTGGCTAGGATATGGATTGAGCCTGCCACAGAGAATGTGCTTAATGGAATTAGAAGTGCCTCCTGGTTTTCCACATTTCTTTCAAACATTTCATCCAGTGAGCCCAAATCAGAAGCATCAAGGAGATAAATACAACAAATGGGAGAATTGTCTGAGGCAAAGGGAGTTGTGTAAATCTGTAATTGATTTAGCCACTTAAAAACTACCAGTGAATTCAAGCCCAACATTGTATCCTCTACACCTCATTGGTTTGTTGTCCGATGCACAGGCAGAAAAGGGCTCGGATGTGCACTGTGCAATCCTGAGCTAGAATTAATGGGTTTTCTTATTTCCAACTTAATTATTCCAGTTTGAATTTGAGTGCCGGGCTCGTGGTGCTGATATTTTGGCTTATCCTCCTGTGGTTGCAGGTGGCAACAGATCCAACACCTTGCATTATGTGAAAAACAACCAGCTCATCAAGGTAACCAAATGGATTCTGACACTTCTTACTGCAACCTACTGATAACTTCATCTCTCTCAAGCCTTGCTAAACTATTTGGAGAAGTTTTATTCTGACCCATGTTTGCTGTTTTGTGCACCCCTCAGAGTTGTGACCTCTGCTTCCTGGGTGTGTGTCCATGCCATCTCTTACCATAGTTAGCTTAACATAGAGGAGAGGGTGTGGTCAGGAGTATGCCTCAGCAAAGCCTGAGCTATGGAGTGACTCTGCAGTGCTTTTTCCTTGTTAGGTTTGCATATCTGACTTGAATCCGAGAAGCTGTAACATTTATCTTGGGTGTTGTCCTCACAGAGTTCACGTGGACTGGTTCCAAAACTACTGTTGTTTGGCAAATCTTCCCATTAAGATCTTCGGTTTGACAACTGAACCTTCACTGTTCAATGATAGTAATTGCCTTCAGAGGGTGTCTGCACATAACACATTCTGTGTGTGTGTGTGTGTGTGTGTGTGTGTGTGTGTGTGTGTCTGTCTTAGTAAAGGAGGTTTGCATTCTGCAAGCAAAGAAAGGAGTGATGAAATCTCGGAAGTTGCCAAAACAAGATTTATTTGGCCCAATACATTTTGAAATGTGCAGAATGTCAGAAGCACTCCAAACATACCACTGTGTCCTCAGTGAGCAAATAGTGTTTTGGTCAGATAAGCCTTGTTTCATAAGCCAATATTTCATTCCCTGTCTTTTTTCTGTTAATTGTGATTTCTCTCCAATTTTTTTGCCTTCAGCAAGCATCAGTTTTACCTGTCTCCTACTGGAAGCACCCCTTTCCCAAATGCAAATATTTGAAGAGACAGCGGAACTCCTGGTGCCCAACATTCCACCCCATGTGCAGATTGGCTTATTCTGTGTTGGCATGTCTGGTCTCTTTTATGCTTTAAACTTCACGTCTCATGTTTTAACCGTAAGAGGCAAACATGTCAGGTTTTCACACTTTTCAAAAATTGCTACATGCTGAATTTTGATATGGTGGCTGAGTGATTTATTTATGTTGAAGAGTGATTTATAAACAGCTCCATGTATGACAGGAGTGGGGCACCTGTGGCCCAACAAATGTTGCAGGGCTACAACTCTCATCAGCCGGTCCAGTCCATCAGGGGTGATGGCAGCTGTAATGTAGCATCTTCTCGAGAGCTGAAGGTTCCCCATTCCTGCTATATGACCACATGAATACTAAACTTAACCTTTCTTGCTAGTGTGGGAGTAGATTGATTTTGGAGGTACAATTTGAGTCCCCCATTCTGAATGAGAGCTATACAAACATCACCCTTTCAGATTTTTCTAGTAATCGGCATACAGTCATACCTTGGGTTGAAGTAGCTTCAGGTTAAGCATTTTTGGGTTGCGCTCCGCAGCGACCTGGAAGTAACAGAGCACGTTACTTCCAGGTTTCACCACTCGCGCATGCGCAGGTGCTCAAAATGACGTAACGTGCATGTGCGGAAGCGGCAAATCATGACCCGCGTAGACGCGGGTTGCATTCGCTTCAGGATGCGAACGGGGCTCTGGAACAGATCCTGTTCACATCCCGAGGTACCACTGTACCGTGGAAGTGTCCTGCGAATCCAATGTGTCTATACTGTGCTAGAGTCTAGCTACAGCCTAACCCATCCAGATGTTGTTGGACTGCAACTCTCATCATCCACAACCATTGACCTTGCTAGGTGAGGCTGATGGGAGTTGTAGCCCAAAAAGCTTGCAGGGCACCAGGTTAAGGGAAGGCTGTTACATTATTTCCTACTGTGTACCAGTGTCATCGGTTGATTTGTGAAGCGTAGAAGAAAGATGCTGGAGGCAACGAAAATGTGTTTGAAGGCAAAGAGGGTCCTCCAGGGAGCAGAGCCAATTTCCAAGTCAGTGTGGAAATTTCTACCTTAGAGAATGTTTTCAAACAGTCATCTTCTGTATCACCCTTTCTTCAACTCTGGTAATTGACTAGATCCCTATTCGGATGTCATAAGCTTGGAGGGTCCCATGTTTGCTGTAAGTTATTGTGGCTCATATTGCATGAATCAACTCGACTGAATGGTCTGGCTGATGCCATCAACCATCAGGGTTGCTGGCGTAGAAATAATCACACTGTCTGGCCCAATTACACGACTGGTACTTGTATATATTAACTACCATGATGGCAAAGCCTGAAACTCAAGTAGTTTTGCAGCCTGTCCTTGAGGGGCGTGTGATCATTGGCCCATTGAAGAGAGCAGTGAAGAAAGAGCAGGACTAAGACATCTTAAAAAGAGGACTACACAGCCCTGTTCCTGAATGGTTTATTGAGATGCACATTACTAAAGTAAAACCAGCTCTACTCTGTCCCAGGGTATTTCTGCTTACCCTGTATCTAGAGACAGGGACTCCCTCTCGAGAAAGCCAAGCAAAGAACTTCTGGGACATTCTCATACATCTACATCAAACATGATGCTCCTTGTGGGGGGAATAATAAGGGATTATATTTCTGCACACAAAAACTGAACAGATGTAATGCATGTTCTCGTATCTGGATGGTCCCTGCAGAATTCCCCTAACACTGTTTCCCCCTTCTTAGTTTGAATGCAGTGTCACAGAGTCCAGGTCTTGATTATTCAGTCATTTAAGAAAAGTATTTCTTCAGAAGTAGATGTTCTCTTCCTTCCTTTCCTTACAAAGAGACTGGTGAATGGGGCCACATGATGCCTGCCAGTTTCCAAAATTATGATGCTTTTTAACAGGTGACTAATAATTGCTGGGGAAAAGGGAGGCTTTTGACTAAGGAAGGATTTCACTGTTCTGATTACTTGGAGGGAGATTGGGGGGATATAGGAATGATAATGAACAGCTGAAGCGCACAAGCACAGGGAGGCCCTCTTGTCGCAGGGCAGCAGGTGGACTCTTTTTAGAGTAGCATATTACTGGTGAGACTCAGTTCTTAAAACAAGGTCTTTTATCTCCACCGTTCCCTTCTGGAACTTAAGAACACTGATCACAGCTGCCCTGAAATGGATTTCGAGGTTTATCAGAACAACAGAATCTTTTGTACGCATTCCATCCAGTTGAGCTGAACTGTCAGAGAGATCACAATAAGGTTTTAATATGCTTCCAGCATGTTATAAAATTATATCAATCCTATTAAAATACGTTAATGGTGTTTTTTTTTAAAGACTGTGAGTATGATGATTACGTCTGTCCCATTCAAGTCTCTGCAGGCAGGCCTTATACTGCAAGCAGTCTGTGATTTTAATGAGCCCATCAAAATAGGGTGATCATTTACATTTAGAGGGACTTACATAAGGTAGAGAGCATGAAGTCGGCATCTATGATGAAGATTTTAGTTACTTCAGCTAAATCATGGGCAATGCAAAACATTTCAAACATATTCATTTACCTTTAGGACACAAATGGGGAACCTGTGGCCCTGCATGTATGGTTCAACTGTTGCTCCCATAATCTCCAGATAGCATGGCCAATGCTCAAAGATTATGGACATTGTAGTCCAACCACATCTGGAAGGTCACAGGTCTGCATTCCTGCATTACCTGCAGTTGGCTTCATTGGTCATTGGAACAATCTGTAACTGTGCATAAACAGCTTTTCCTCTTTTGTATAGCTAAGAATCGCCCATCTGTCTAATCTATTGGCTGGTAGAATTCTGTGCAACTCAGAATTTTTCTTTAAATCACTGCGCTAGGAGAAGCTGATCTGATTAGAAGTTGCTTATTTTGTATCTCATACTGTCTTGAGCAAACATGGCACCAACTTTTAAAAATTGCTTTGGCCTAACCTAGGCAGACAGGATGTTCAGGAAAGGGCAGGACTACAGCTGGAAAACAGCTTCCAACACCCTGGTCTTCTGTCTGATGAAAAAGTAGTAGTAATTTATCCCACCCAGTATTATGCATAAATTCAGGTTCAAAGAGTTCTCTCTTATTTTCTGCCTCTGGTTGCGTGAATTGCTTTTTCTTCTGCCCCAGGATGGAGAAATGGTATTACTGGATGGGGGATGTGAATACTCTGGTTATGTAAGCGACATCACCCGCACTTGGCCCATCAATGGCAGGTAGGTTCTGTTCCCAGCAGGAGAATACCGCACTGTTTTTGAGGTCATGAGAGAGCTGCAGCTTGCAGCCTCCTGAGCATGCCTGCATCTCATCTGTTGGGGAGTTTTGGAAGGGTGTTGGGGAAATGAATCCAGGTACAATTTCAATAAACCTGTGGTAGCTTTGCTCTGCTGAGCTTCCTGAAAAGTGTCTCTGCTTCACCACTGTCCTTTCTCTAGTTTGTTGTGCTTCAGGGGCTTTTCTCCCCTGTTTATACTTGCATGTTCTTTCTCAGTACACAACGATCAGCCTGCTTCACAAACTGCAGCATGCGGGTAATGGCTTACGGTTGCGGTGATTCAGAACTACCCTACTCATTCAGATATTTTGCATGGTTCTGTTCCACTTCAGAATGCAGCTGGGGCTTCTGTTTGGATAATTGGTTTGTATTCATATTTTGTGCATACTTTGTATGTTCTATCTGGAAAACACAGTAAAAGTTACTTTTAAAAAAGACATATATGGGGCACTCATTCCCCTTCCTGTGTGGAAAGCCAGCATTTTAAGCCTTGTCTTCTCCTTAACATACCACATTTTGATGCGTAGAGAGTATTTGATAAGAGGCGAGTATTCAAACCTGCATTCTGATGTGGAACAGTTTCGTTAGGGTCACCTCACATAATTATTTTGTAGCCTGGACAGGCTTTCCTTCCTGTTCAAATCCTGCTTGAAGTGGTTTGCATTTGTCTCTCATTCTCAGGTTCACCAGTCCCCAAGCAGAATTGTACCAGGCTGTACTAGAAGTCCAGAAGTCCTGCCTGAGGCTGTGTTCTCCAGGCGTGAGCCTAGAGAACATTTACAGTCTCATGCTGACCCTCACTGGACAGAAGCTAAAGGATTTGGGGATCCTACAGAAAAGCACCACTGAGAACCACCTCTTCAAGGTACTTTGAGTAGATAATGATGGAAGGAAGCAATCTGCTGCCTTTCTCCATTTAAAAAAAAAAAAAGCAAACAGGCACTTCAAAACTGGCCATTGCAATTTTGAAGTGCCAACTTCCTGCCAATGTGGGTGTTTCTGGGATTTCTGGTATTGTTGCAGGTCCAGAAAGGATGTGTCTTGTAAAACCAAGGGTTGGTAGCAGTACCTTTCTCATGCAGCAGATGGCAGAACATTCAGCTAAGTCAGGCATGCAATAGTTTAATTCCTGACAAGTGTCAGTTGAGTAGGGTGGGACTGTTCTAACTTGTCTGTGATATCATTAAACAGAACTGCCAGAGGGGGCAGACGAGGAGAGGGAAATGCTTCATTTTGTGGTAGTGGTGAGAGTTACGGGAGGTATGCTCACAGAGGGATTTTGTTCTCATAAAAATAGGAATCCGACCATTCTGGAAGTGTCTATTAACGAGTCACTTTGATTCTGCTTCGCTGGGTAATGCTGCACACAACAGGTGTGTTTTTCTTGCTTTGTTCTTTGATGGACAGATACAAGCACAAATAGTATTTCAGCAGAGGTTATTTCCCTCTTTTGATTGCCACTCCCTGGAATTATTTGAGGGAGATCAGATGTTCACCTCTATAGGAAGCTTTTAAAAAAAGTAAAATTCAATTCCCTTTCTATGATAAGTTGAAAGATGTTGCAAATTAGAGAGACCCTGTTCAAAGTACAAGCCAATCCTGTGACTTGGATCAGGCTGAATATATCCTTTTATAAATGCACACAGAGGATGAGCCATAAGTCAGCTGCATTCACATACTCTCTGGTTCAATCCCTGACATTGCCAGGTAGAAAAGAACCTGGAGAGTCACTGCAGCTCAGTGACAACAATACTGAGCTAGCACTGCTTTCAGTTTATGAAGGTGAGGCTGAGAATTTGATGTATTAAGAACTTCTTGATATTTCTTTTTTGTGGCAGCCAAACGCATTGTAGCTAGACACTGGAGGTACATTAAATTCCTTTGACAAATGGTAAAAACAGATTAGACCTTAGCCTTGATGGAGAAGTTAACAGAAAAATGTAAAGTGCTTAGAATTCAAACCACTAGTGAAGACCTTTATTCCACATGGCATTCTTTTTTATTTACTGTGCAAAACAATTATTGTCAGCCACCTGAGAACATGTTGACTATTGTGGAGGAAGATTTTGGCTTGAGGGGCGGGAATTACAGTATTTTATTTAACACAATTTATATTCCACTTGATTGTAACAAAATCTCTTAAGTGGTGTAAAAGAGATAATAAAAACAAGTAATGAAAGACATTTAAAAACAATGAAATGCAAATGAAAAAGAGATTAAAATGCATCAACATCTACATGTCTGGATTGGCTTGGCAAAACAAAAATGTTCTAAGCTGGTGGCAAATAGAGTACAGTGGTACCTTGGGTTACAGACACTTCAGATTACAGACGCTTCAGGTTACAGACTCCGCTAACCCAGAAATAGTATCTCGGGTTAAGAACTTTGCTTCAGGATGAGAACAGAAATCGCGTGGCAGCAGCGGGAGGCCCCATTAGCTAAAGTTGTACTTCAGGTTAAGAATAGTTTCAGGTTAAGAACGGACCTCCAGAATGAATTAAATTCTTAACCTGAGGTACCACTGTACAGTGAAAGTGCTTGCGTGATATCAATGTGCAGAGAGTTCCAAAGTATACGTGCTACAGTTTGGTTGGAAATCAGACATAGCAACTGTGTGGCAATACTTCTGAATTTGTCCTAGTTTTCTTCTGTGTATACGAAAAAGCAATTAAAATGTACAAAAACAAATAAACCAAAAAAATGCAGAATGCGCTCCCCACATGCAACAAAAACAAACCCTGGGGACAACCTGCTAGAGAAAGGCACTTGTCTGCTCAAGATGGACAGCAGTTGCTTTGTGTCGTCCTATTCCCCTTCACTGGGAGAAGGCAAGTACTAGGAGCAATTCCAACCACTGCCTATGTTGGCTAGTGGTTGGAAGAAGGTGAAGATCCTGATTCTACACATTGCCCAGTTAAAAAGAGCATTTTGTGAATTAGCTGTTGGAAAATCTGAATTACTGTGGTGAGACAGACAAGTGATCCTTTTAGCTGCAGTACTCCTGCCTTCCAGTGGTAGTCAGGGAGATGTTTCAGGGAGCTTCATGAGCACAGTTTAAGTGCACCTAAGAGGTCAGAGAAAAACTGTATCTCAAAATGGAGGTTGCATTTTTGGCTATTGAAGCTGATTCCTACTGATAGGTCTGCAATTTAATGCAAAACATTTGAAGGTCACTGAGCTAGTTGTAGTCACAACAATACGTTCCTTATATTGTTTGTGTTAGAGGCTTCCTTTTTATCTTCAACCAGCTGCCTGTGAATTTGAACGTTGGGACCAAAACATTTTTGTTTTGTGTGAGGCTCAGGAACAAGAAGGCAAATGAGAGGAATCAAATGATGCTAGTTGTACAGAAGCAAGAACTATGAATTAGTTGCATACTTCCCTTTCAATGTATGTTTCCACTCTCAGCACTGAAGAAATGTGTGCATCCCTTCACATTTTGCTTACTTTAGGAACATGTCCTTGTCTTGTAGGCTGTTCGGAAATACTGCCCTCATCATGTAGGACATTATCTGGGAATGGATGTTCACGACACCCCTGATGTATCTCGATCGATCCCCCTCCAGCCAGGCATGGTGATCACCATTGAGCCAGGTAAAAATACACCTCCTCAACAATGCTGGAATAAAGTTTGCAGGACTGTGTGTGCATGTATAGACACTTGTGTATACAAATGCCTACCACTATAAACATACATGTATGTGCATGTCTACCATGGGTTCACAGAATTGCCATTCGGTTGGCATATATGGTATTTTCTCCTAACTTGCCATCCTGAGAGTCCTAGTTCTCACATTTCTAAAGTTCTTACATTTCTAGCTTTTACAGCAACGATGAAAAGCTAGGAGACATGTAGGCAGCATCTGGTAAAACCTAGGACAATAACCTGAGGGCTGAGCAAGACTTGAGCTGCTAGGGGCACTGACACTATACTAAACACAACAACTTATGTTTTTTCCAAAATGCTCTGAGCACATAAAATAGGGTATTATTTCAGTTGAACTTGCAATACTGTAGGTTGGGCCAGGTTAGTTCATTAACATCTGTTAAGGAAAGAGATTCCACAAGCTTTATTCTACTGTGGATGTATCTTAGCTGTGTCTTCTACAAGAAGACAACACTTGATGCACTTAATGAGGAAACCCCCAGAAAAACCTCTGCATTGGTACAGCCCAGAATCATGGTTATATATTTAGGATCACTGTGTAAGTTCAGAGTTGCTACTGACATTTCATATTCACCTGCATGGTAGTGCAACATGTTACTGGTTTTTTTCTAGCAAGAACAATACAAAGCTGTTTTTAGTTTGAAATCATCTTCCATCAGCAACAGAGGTTCAGTTGGTGGGAATGGGGGACAGAGCCTTTTCTGTGGCAGGTCCCATTATAAAATTACCTTCCTTAGCGAAGTTAGACTGGCTCTTCCCTGATGACTGTTAGGCAAGCAGTGGAGACTTTTAATAGTTTTTAATTGGAGGCTGTGGGTTTTAATTCTACCCTTTTTGGTTTTCAATGCTCTGCTTTAATTCTGTTACTGTTTAGTTTTCTGAATTTGGTTTTGTAAACTGCCTTGGCAGCCCTCGTTAATAAAAATACCTTTATTAGAAACCAAGATTACTGACCTAGCTGAATAGCCACAGCATTCTACACTGGTGTGACACTGAATGAGCAGTGGCAGATCTCACCTTGCCTAAAGTGTGGGTCAGGATAGGGCTCACAGGAGCATCTCAAGGCCTATCAATCTTCTCAAGGCAAGCAGCTACTCAAGCCAATGGAGAACTGATTTCAATGTGATCCCTCATTAAAAGGCAAATGTATGAATTGGGGCTAAGAACGGGGAGGTTCTTCCTACTGCATAAACTCTCCATTAGGGGTTCCCAAACTCTGGTCCATGAGCCTGCTTCATTCAAGTGGTCTGCGACATGTCTATAAAAATTCAATAAGAAATCATACAGCACCTTGCCTAGTGAATTGAAATTGCTACAACAAACAGAAAAAACATTAAGTGATCTGCCAAGACGCTTGGCAATTTGCAAGTGGTCTGAGAGGGGGAAAATGTTTGGGGACCACTACTCTACACCTTTTCCTCTGTGATTTAAACAAGTTGCACATAAATTTCAGTGGATTTGGTGGCTAAGTGCTCTTCTTCTTCTGACAGCCTTTTTCATATTTGAAAACTATCAGCAAATCTTTTCTTTTTACACTATACAACTGGTCCACACTGTATAGCAGGCATCTGCAGAGACATGAATAACTAACCAAATAGACTATGTCACCCACCTCCATCTTGTACCAACGAATGCAATATGCAGAATTCTGTGTCCTTGTATTGTACCACTACTGGACAAAGCTATTTCTCACAATCTTCTTGCTTGTTTAGAGTCTTTTCTCAAGTGTGAGCCCACATAGCCCTCCTCAGTCCTGTCATATATTTGTATTAGGGTTGAAGATGAGTGCAATTGCATTTCTTTATTAATACTGGAGAGGACTGGACAGTTGATTCCTTAATCTAAGAAAATGAAGCCTTTACAGATCCATTCTGGAAGTCCGTTCGACTTCCAAACATTCGGAAACCAAAGCGCGGCTTCCGATTGGTTTCTGATTGCACAGGCGTACCAGAAACAATAGCGGAAGCCACACCGGACGTTCAGCTTCCAAAAAACCATTTGGAAATCTGAACACTCACTTCCGGTTTTCGATTGTTCGGGAGCCGGAACGTTTGACTCCCAAGGTGTCTGGGAGCTGAGGTACGACTGTATTCATGTATCCTGCCTTCTAAATTCTGTTAGTTTTTTTGAAATATTAAGTGGCTTATAAATGTTTTAAAATAAATCATTAGTGACATGCTGCATATTTGTGACATAGTTTTTAACCCAGGCCCTTTAGTTTTGGATTGCCACATTTATTTCCAGGCATCTACATCCCCGAGGATGATGTGAGTGCCCCTGAAAGATTTCGCGGCATTGGTATACGCATAGAAGATGATGTTGTAGTGACAGAGAACACACCATTAATCCTGTCTGCAGACTGCCCAAAGGAGATCTATGACATTGAGCAGGTTTGTGACTGCCACCCTTGACTGTCCTTCACTGCCTTTGACACCTTGCTCAGGTACAGATCAAGAAATATGCTCTCCCAAACATTATATAGTCCTTTATAGACTTTATAGTGTATTTATAGGATTTTTAGAGTGGTGCCGCTGGAAAAATGTTACCTGCAGGGAAATGTGTGTAAATATTCTTGGACAGCATGAACAAAGTGGGGAAAATGTAGTTCCATGACAAGTCGTCAACTTTGATGCAAATGTTAAAGCAAATCAGGCACAGAAGCTGGATTTCACATCCCACCATCTGGACTATTTATTGCCCCTGTGCAAATCTTGTTTGTCACTTACAGTGATATATTGAATTGTGGCATGGTTGTTCCTTAGTTTCTCAGATTGGGTTGTGGGGGCAGAGCTGGATTTCGGCTTCTGATGAGACTGTCCTTTGTTTTAATTTCAAAAGCAGGAAAAGAGTGTTCTTTCCTTTTTCTCCCTTGCAAAAGGTGGTCTTCTGAAGGCAGCAGCGCAAATGCTCCAGCTGATGAATAAAAAAACCGAGAGACAAAACCTTAACATTTAAGTAACATTTCTTTCTTTGAAGGCAAAAGAAGAGCTTTAGCTTTAGGAAATGGTGTCAAAGTCATTCTGTGAATAACAACTCACAACCCAATCCTATGAAAATGAGGTGTGCCTAAGAGCATTGATATAGTGAGCTTAAGCAGACCTAACTTTTAGATCAGTCAGTACAAGGCATACAAATGACAGTTTTAGGTGTATAAGCTAGTTTGGTGGGCTTGCATGTAGTTTCATTGAGGAAGCTTGCCGTGGGGTTTGGGTTACTTTTTTCTGTACGTTTTCTGCCTCTTTTTCCTTGGTTCTTTGAAGAGTCATTAGCAAGGACATTCTGGAACAGTTTGTATTTAGGTGTAGATAACCAAGTACATAATATGTGGATTTTGCATTCAGTATCTTAGAACCTAACTTTCCTTCCCTGAAAAGGGCAGAATTCATTCATGTTCACAGAATGAGATTTTCTGACTCCTTCTATTTACAGCCCACTGAATCCTCCAAAAATCTTCTCTTTAGGGTTGTGGGACTATTGGGAATGTTGTGGGTCATGATGCAGAGAGCTGCATTGGGAGTGGGGAATTTGCAGAAATCTCATCACTACCTTTAGAATATAAGCCATGTGTAAGTTTCCTTGGCCAAATACAGAGAGATGGTGACCAGGCAATGATAAATTCTCCACTTCCATATTTTTCCCTGAGAAATGCAGCAATTTAAATGTGACTGCATCATTCTGAACTAATGCAAGGTATCAGTATTTTGTATTTGGGTATTCATACCCAGTGTAAGGCAGGATGCGATCCTTAGATAAATGTGATTTTTTTAAAAGTTGTCTTGCCTGCACAAGATCAAAAAATGAAAACTAATGTGAATGAGATTAAAGCAAAGTTTTGTTTTAGTTAGATCAACAGAAATCTTTTACATTTGAATGTAAAGGAGAAAATGTTACAGAACTATCCAGCAACCAGACTTTGTCTGTAGCACTTTTTGGATCTCTGAATGAGATATTTTATATTTGTAAAGAGTATTATTATAATATATATATTTATATATAATGTACAGAATATTTTATTCTGATGTGAACCAAAAAAAAAATTCTATATCAGTAAAAGGTGTCATTTAAAAACATTGCTTTAAAACTCTGATTATGTGATTTCCAGTCAGAAGGCATTTTGCCCATCAGTGCTCATCTTCTTGTGATAGCACTACTGAAATTGGGACTTTCTAGTTTTCTACCAATAGCAGAAGGTATATCCTTCTTTTTTAAATATTCTAGACTTAAATGAGTATGTACAGCTATGTATTATTTTTTGAAAAGGACAACAGCATCTAAATTTAAGCATTAGGTTTTGTAAAAGAAAGGACTTAGGATGTACAATTTTTAGCTGCTCCTCTGTGAGGCTGCAGCACAGAAGACGCATACAAGAAGGCACACTTCAGGAATCTTATATGCTTCTGTTCCAGCCGGATGCTAGGCTGATCCTCCCTTAGGTAAAGGCAGCTCATGTTCCTTTTGCCATGATGACTTGTTCAACACCTGCCTGCCGACATGTTTACATTTCACTGGTTGCTGTCCACCTGTGGTGGGTGTGGGGCAGGTAGCAGTAAGGGGAAAAGTGAGCTTTACCCTCCTTTGAGAACTGGTGGTATAAAGAACTTGTAAAGAAGGTTGCTTGGCTGATTCTCTTTTTGGCCCTTAGGGCATTAACCAACTGGAGGATGAAGTTGGAAGTGTGTGTCTATACTACAGAACATCAGCAGTTAGGTGTGGGGGGAAATCTTGGCGATAAGGCATTAAGAGGCCCTTTATAAAAAGGATAAATTGGCTGGGCAAAATGTGAGGATATTGCCTAGTAGGGATAAAATAATTTCTACAGAGAAGAAAGATATATCTGGGATCTACATTTTTCCTCTTAGTTCTCTTTGCCCAAAATATTGTATTACTCCTCTTTTGTTGCAAGGCCTTATACACAAGTTACTTTATCTATTGATACACTGACTAGAAAGCTAGACTAAACAGTTTAATTGTATTTGCTGCAGTTTTTACAGAACTGTGGTCAAAAGCTTGAAGTGGTGTTTTCCGTTTGTTGAAGGAAGTATTTAGCAAACTTTAGCCCTCTTATTGGACATTTCATTTACCAGTCTCTATTTCTACTATTGTCATTGTTTTAAAAGCTGTAAGACAGAATACAGATATAAAGTACTTACATTCTATTTTGTATGTAATGTTTGTAGAATGAATACAGCTTTCATGTAACTTAAATACTGTTACTTTTTGTCAAATACTAGCTGAAGTCCTTAGAGTTTAAAAGATACGTGCTACCAAATTAAAAAATGTTGTAATATCATATTGACTTTGTTTCTTCTAAAATGTGACGCAGCAGCACTCAGGTCTTTAGTTATTAATGCATTTACATGCAATTAGTCTTAAGCTACACTTGTGCATTATACTGTAATATTTTAGTTAAGGTGGCCAAATAGAAATGGACAGAGCTCCTGAAACATTCATAGCTGAATGGAAAGAGGTCATTTTAGCAGGTGTAGCTTAGAATCATGAGGTATCTGTAATATTTATTTGGCCTTGCGAACCTTGTTCTTCCACTGGTTCCCTCCCATACCTGGAGTATTAGCCTTATCTTCTATGATAACACTGATACTTTGGCAATCTAAAACTTGATACAAATTAATTATAATCTGGGAAGAGTTTTATTTATTTATTTTAAATCTCCAATTTCCAAATCCCTGAGTATTGTAGGGATTTATTTATTTTAACTATTCAACATTTTAGGCCAGGGCCCCACCAGATGGTTAACATGACCAATTTAAAAACATTCTTGGCTGTTGCAGAAACATTGCATTCTTCTTCCTGTTGTATAAAACTAGATCTACTAAAGTTAGATTTTACAATAATCTTTGCAGGTGTGTTGTGTACCCTAAAACTATGTACATTTTACACATGTTTTTGGTACCTGGAAAACAGCATCTTAAGTGTAAACACATGGCAAAGGAGAGTTCAAAAGCAACTGTAGGAAGGGTTTGTTAGTACAGTCGTACCTTGGAAGTTGAACAGAATCCGTTCCGGAAGTCCGTTCAACTTCCAAAACGTTCGGAAACCAAGGCGTGGCTTCTGATTGGCTGCAAGAAGCTCCTGCAACCAATCGGAAGCCGTGCCGGACATTCAGGTTCCAAAGAACGTTCACAAACCAGAACACTCACTTCTGGGTCTGCTGCGTTCAGGAGCCAAAACGTTTGACTCGCAAGGCATTTGGGATCCAAGCTATGACTACAAGTTAGAATTCAAAATTCTCAACAAGTTTATACTGTACACTAAACAGCTCGCAATTTACAAAGAAAAGAGTTGGAAAAGAGAATATGAGTCTTAAACAATATTCTTAAATGTTTTCTTTATTTCTAGTACAGTGGTACCTCGGGTTAAGTACTTAATTCATTCCGGAGGTCCGTACTTAACCTGAAACTGTTCTTAACCTGAAGCCCCACTTTAGCTTATGGGGCCTCCTGCTGCTGCCGTGCCACCGGAGGACGATTTCTGTTCTCATCCTGAAGCAAAGTCCTTAACCTGAAGCACTATTTCTGGGTTAGCAGAGTCTGTAACCTGAAGCCTATGTAACCTGAAGCATATGTAACCCGAGGTACCACTGTACTGTGGTCCTGTTAGTATCCACCAGGAAGAATGAACATTTTTTGCTGTGGCCAACCAGATTAGCCTGGTTCCCAGATTTGAAAAAGTCTCTGTTTGCTGCATATACGCTCTTGTGGACACCGCTAGTGCAGGGGCAAATAAGATCAACCATGCAGGCCAATCGTATTTATATGTACAGAGATAAATCCCACTCAGTTCAATGGCACTTAATTTCAACTAAGTGTACATCTTATTGTAGCTTTTGGAGCATCAGTGTTAAGTGCGATGGTGGCGTTTTCTTGCACTCCGTTTCTCTTTTCCTGATGGGTTGTTGCCAGGGGCCTAGGCAGGGGCGTAGCGTGGGTTGTCAGGACCCGGGGCAAGGCAAGTAATTTGCACCCCCTAACCCGTGGATTTGCGCCCCCTAACCCATGGATTTGCGCCCCCTAACCCGTGGATTTGCGCCCCCTAACCCTAACCCCCAGATGTTGCGCCCAGTGCGGCCGCCCCCCCTGCACCCCCCACGCTACGCCACTGGGCCTAGGGAACGTCACCTATTGCTCCCCCATATATCAAAAGAAGGAAGGCGCATATGGAGTATAAGAAGTGACTTATAATGCCCTGGTGCAACTTGTTTGAAGTTACCCTAGCTTTCGCAGATATTCCTGGGAGCGGAAGCTGCCCGTGGTGCCCTCACAGCCAAGCCATTTCAGGACTTCACTCAGCGTCAACGCTTTGCCTGGATAGATTGTGCAGAAACGACGATGGTTCAGACGCAAGACCCCTGGAGCTCCGCGGGTCTTTGCTTACAAGTATAAACATGCCCAGGACACATCTGTGTGCGTGCTTCTTCTGCTCTCAAGCGTGGAGCTACTTGGAACCACCACCGTTTGCCTAAAGGGGGGCTTCCTTTCGAGCAGATCTGCTGCTCGGGAGCTTTCGAGCGCGGCTGCTGCCCATAGGATCCGTCGCAGCCCCGATGCTGCAGAGTCGCGCGGGGGGACTCGAGCTGCATCTCCCTGCTAAAGACAAAAGCGGTGGGGTTGTGGGGGGGGGGAGTGTTGTGGGGGTGGCGCTGTACACAATGCCGGAGGCTAATAATGGATTCTCGAGAGATCAGCTACGCCACTGGTTTAGCAAGGATTAGTCATCCTAATTAGGGCTGCGCGGCAGCAGAGCGGGCGGATGGATGGGCAGCGCCAGGAGGGGAGAACGGGGCGCCCGTGGGGAGGCAGCGCAGAAACACCCCCTCACGGGGCGAGAACCGATTAATGTGATTTTGCAGACGCCAGAGACTCTCAGCTCCCCTCACTCGGCCTTGGCGCCGAATTCACGTCGGTTTTGGGGGCCCTCTCTGCTCCTGAGGAGCTGACATTGAGTAATTTGCGGGTATCCCTTTAAGCGAGCCTGCGCTTGGGCCCTTCCCCTCATCTCCTCCTCCTCCCCCCGCCCTTGGGTTGGGCAACTCGGCGATGAGCGAAGGCGAAGACGACGCCAGGCCCTGCATAACGGGCTCCGCCCTGACGAGCGCCTTTAAGAGAGACGGGCGGCACGTGACCAGGCCCCTCCTCTCTCTCCCGCACACACACACACACCTGTTTGTAGGAAGGAGGGAGGAGGAGGAGGGAGGCGGCCACGGAGGGAGGCAGGGTTAAAAAAAAAAAGCCAAAACAACGCAACGCAGAGGAGAAAATGCCGCGCGGCTTCGTTCCCAAGTCCCGCGCAGGCGCGCTGGTAGCATTCTGCCGGGACTGGCTTATCCAAAATGGCTGCTGCGATGGATGTGGACACACCGAGTGGGACCAATAGTGGTGCCGGCAAGAAGCGCTTTGAAGTAAAGAAGGTGAGAGGGCTGTGACGGCCGCCGGGATTCGGGGCCGCGCCAGCGGCGAGAGTATTGGTGGCAGGGGCTAGGCCTCATTCTCGCCGGAGACCGGTTTCTCTCCTTTCGTTTTAACGTACTGTATGGGGGGAAAGGCGTGTGAGGGAGGCCCTGCGAGCGACGAGGGTCGTCTTTGGCCCAAGGGCCGAAAGAGGGTTTGTAACAGAAGAAAGCGAGCGCAGGCAGTAAACAGGTGGGTTGTTGTTATCACCTGGTGGCACAGGGAGGCCTAGTTTCCGTGAACTCTACTCGCATGTCCCATTTGAGAGGGAGTTGTCGTTACTGACACTTCTGTTCTCTTTGACTTGAGCTACATGTAGTGGAGTAAGTCAACCTTGTGGGGAGGGAGGTACGGCGGGATACGCATCTTTATTTTGAAGTTACCAGAGTCATGGAGGAAGTGATGAAAGCGTCAGCAAGCTGGCTCTTCTATAACTCAGTTATAGTTCAGGCCATTGAATAGTTAGCTAGTTCCTAATCTCTTTAGAACTAGTTAATGTAGTTAAAAAGATAATTATAACACTACTGGTTCATAAAAGTGGCAGGAGCAAGTTAAACTTGTCATTATGAAGTGTGGCTTGCTGTCACTTTACCCAGTTTTGAGATCTTCAGTTATCTGAAAGTACTATTCAGGAGGGAAACCCTGTCTCAGTTGTAGGGATTACTGCACACACAAAAAATCCTAGTGATTTTCCTAAAAATTGTTAATACTATAGGTTGAACTATAGTGTTCTTTTTCATGTCTTAATAGCCTTTCACTTGTGGCCCAGGTACAAAAAAGAAAATCACTGTCAATACTCGGCCCTTGCAGGCCATTGATAGTGATTCTCCGACATGCTTGGGTACTTGCTTTGTTTTACTTGCATTCTATGAAAATAACAGGCTGTAATCTAGGCCATGATATTTCCCCATTACAATTCAGCTGCATAAAGTGATTATTTTTTTAAAAAGTCTGTGCATAGAAAACTTAACTACAGCATTGGATGAAGTTCAAAGCCATCTCTCTTAAGCAAACTGACCTGTTTGTGATGAGCTCCTTGGTAGGCTATAAATGTGCATTGGTACTGGGGTTGAATAATTCTATTGCTAATTCTATGGATGAAAAGTTAATATTTGAATCGAAAGGAATGATTGCAAGGAACGGAGAAAGTAATTTCATTCAAAAATTATTGGTATGCATTTCAGATAAATGTCTTTTATTCTTGTAGTGGAATGCAGTTGCACTCTGGGCTTGGGACATCGTGGTTGACAACTGTGCCATTTGCAGAAACCATATTATGGATCTGTGTAAGTACCTGTAGATAGAGGTAGGAGGTAAGCAGTATATGTATGGTCAGGTTCATGGCAAAGTGAAGGGAAGTGATGAAGGAAATAACTTTGCAGCTGTCCCAGTGACTCTTGATGAATTGTGATGTTAGGTTACAGAGATGGAGTTAGGGCAGCAATTACAATTACAACTACATCTGTAATGTAAATTTAAACAAGTTGTACTTGTTTCCTCCTAGGAACCCTATTTATTGTGGTGTCATAGGCTTCAGAACTCTCTTCTTTATCCCCAGACCCTCACTGAACTGAACTTCCTTATGTAGTGGCAAAAACCATGACTTCAGAAAAGAAAATACGGTCATAAAATTAATTTAGCTTCTTAGATCTTATAGAAATACCATTCTGGTATGTTAACTGTTAAGTGGTATAGAAATTCCTATAAATAAATTATTAAATTTTAAATCAAGCTCTTCACCTGTTTGAATGGTCTTTGTATACTACAGTGCTTGATTTGATAACAAGTGGGTTCTGCGTCTAGGACAGGGGTCGGCAAAGTTTGTGGCTTGGGCCGGTTCACAGTCCCACAGATGCTGAGGTGGGCCGGAGTGCGCGCATGCGCAAACACTATTTCCGGCACTCCTTCTGGCATGGAGGAGGCGTGCACAGCTTTCCATTGGCTGCAGGAGCTTCCTGCAGCCAATGGAAAGCCGGCAAGTGTCGCGGAAGGTGGTCCCCGCTCTGCTCCGCGCCGGTTTAATGCAGTGCACGGGAGCCGACTGAGCGGGCAGCGGGGGTCCATGGGCCGGTTAAATTACCCCTATGGGCCGCTTGTGGCCCATGGGCCTTAGTTTGCCAACCCCTGATCTAGGAGAATCCTCTCTGTATCAGACTAAACGTTTCCCATAAACTTGAGAAGCAACCCAACATGGATGCTGATGTGTGAAGTTAGGTGTGTCTATTCACTCCAGTGGGCTCATGCTGCATATGACTAATACTGGATACAACCCTGTGCCTCCAATAATGCTCAACTCAAGAATGTCATTTTAGACCCATCACAGCTAGTGAGGGTGAGAGATTGTGCTTTGCTACCTCACAGTAGCCTAGTGGAGGACAACTTTATTCCCCAACCTGTGCTGAGCTCACAAGCCCATTCCAGTCCCAGCAGTTGTGGAGGAAGGGAATCTGTTCACCCCACTGTGGCGGACAGTGGGAAAACTTATATCACTTGCTGCATACTTAGTTGACTGGCTTTTATAAATTTGTCATTCTGCAGCCATTTCTGTCATGATATAACAAAGATGGAAATTCAAGAGTTTCTCTTAATGGACTTATTTAAATTGAATGTTCTGTTGTAATTTGGATTGGATTGTATGTTTTCAATATTCACTGATGAAGCTGCATATTAATGTGTGCCTCCTTGGAAAGGCTTCAGTCTTGAAAGGTAGCCTAGAAATATTTGAATGAATAAAAAATGTGATACTGAACTTCCCTTGTCAATGTACAGTACCGCTGCCTCCTTTCTGATGTTCTAAAATACCCACATTTGACCGACAACTTACATTGTTTTTCATCTACTAGAGTCACTTGCTATGAATCATGTTAATTCATGTACATAAATCTTGTTCTCACAGGCATAGAATGTCAAGCTAACCAAGCATCAGCTACCTCCGAAGAATGCACTGTTGCATGGGGTGTCTGCAATGTAAGGATTCTATTCTTCAACTGTAACAAAGGCTGACTCTATTCTACTTTCATATCAGTCTAGGAAACTACCTAGAAGTATATTTCATCAAGAAGTAAAGTTTATGGTATCAAAGTCATGGAGACTTTGAGAAAACAAGGGTCAAATGAAATACAAGGCTGAGATGTGAAACAGTGTACAGGGATAGTAGGATAATAAGAATATAAGAATGAAGAGGGCACATGCACCCTGTCCTCCTTAACTGTCTTTGCAGGAAGGTAATTGGCATTGCTTCTCAAACAATTATGACCTGCAAATTGATCAATCATCACAAAATACATAATGGCTTACTTGATCTACTTAGAGTGTATTTTTAATCTTCAGGAACGAGTTCCCACACTTACATAGGCAAAATGGCAGCACCCATACATAAGAGGGAAGTATCAGCCAACTCAGTACAGGAGAACCATGAGGTTTGCAGAAGTACTGGAAATCTTTAGAAGAAGGAACCAGTATAGTCCATTGGAGGACTGGGCATGCTCAATGGGCATGGGATTATGGCTGAAAACATCAGAAAACTAGGTCAGAGGAAGAATGGAATAGAGTCGCTGGAAAGGAGGAGGGAGTAAGGGACAGATATTAAAAGGGTGATGAGAACATTCATTGCCCGGATAGGTAATTTCCTGGTTCACAGATGTCCCAGTATATGGAATTGAGAGCTGCCAGTAGAAATAACTGGTGAAAGCCAAGATTTTAAAGGAACTGGGATTGGGTACAAGTATGTCTACTCCACCACCACCTCCAAAATGCAAAAGGTAACAGCAAAGAGTTCCTGCTCTTTATAACTCAGTTCTTTTTTAGTATGAAACATTTTTAAAAATCCAAAGTCAATGTAGTTCATTGTGCTCATGTTACTGACTGGAATAACAAGGGAAAGTGATTTATAATAGCTCTGAAGTGTAATTCACATTGAATGCTACAGTTCAGTGACTTCCAGCAAGCCTGCAATGGTATCCAGTCATATGGGACTCCTATTGCACATATAGTTTTACCCCCACAATATCCTCACATTACAGGTTAGACGGAATATAGTATTCAGTGGACTTGCTGTATCATACCTCTACTGCAGATCAGAAGGCTGTGCTTAAAGAGGGTAGCTTTCCAAAGCTTTGCAATGTAATCTACTGTTACTATTGCAGGTCAGAAATGAAGCTGCACTGGTTTGAATTCCCAAAGGAAAAGCCTTTTATCTACCAGCTTCCAGCAATGGCCAATCTGTTTAAGTGTTATCAGACCACTTATTTGCATGAAGAAGCCTTATGCTCTTTTGACTTGTATGCAGACTGGTTGCACTTTAAAATTATTTATACTGTATATGAAGTTAGAGCAGGGAATCTTGTCCTTTGATGCTAGTTTTTGATTTTTTCGCCCTCTCCCATGCACAGCACAAGACATTTTATTATGGGGCCCTACTTGTTATAAATTTCACATGGAAGAGGCCCAAATTATGTACATACATTGCAATTTTTTTAAGAACTTCAAAGTTTTTTGCAAGGCCATAATCTCCAAAGCAACTCTTAAAGAATACATAAGGGAACCAGATGCTCAGATACAGATTTCTTTATCATTTTCACTGCTGCTGTTTCAGTTATGAGGAAAGCAAATACTCTCTTTTAAAAGCAGCTTGCCTTGTTGACTCTGAAACCTGAAGCATTGAAAACTGCAAAGAAGGTTCTGTTTGTGCGTGTTCCCATACATATGCTGAAATATCTACTCTAGCTTACAGCAAAGCGGTGGTAAAACGTAAAAAGAATAGAATTAAAAGTAAGTAGATTCATATGATAGAACAAAAACTTGTGACTATGAGGAGAGAAGGGTAGATGTAATGTAGGTTACATTTTGTCTGTTTTCACTGTGAAAGCCTTTCTCAGACGCTTTCTGTTTCCCATCTTTTTTAAAGTCATTATTTGTTGTTGTTTTAAAGCTGCTTTAAGGTAGCCCAAAATTCTGTTGTGTTCAGCAAGCACAAGTTTGTACAGAAAACCAATGTAGTATTTTCCTTTCTGACTAGTTAACATTTATAGATTCCCCTGGTTATTTATATAGCTGTGCTCACTGAAACTGTTTCACATTCTACAATTCTGGATGTTGACTGTCTTCTGCTCTCTGCTGTTATCTCATCATTTCCTAATATAACTTACTAAATTGCAGTGCACCCAGGTTGCAGCATGCTGTTTGAGTAATTTGGGCTTTCTTTTTTCAGCATGCTTTCCACTTCCATTGTATCTCTCGTTGGCTTAAGACTCGGCAGGTGTGTCCATTAGACAATCGAGAATGGGAATTCCAGAAGTAAGTATCTTATGCCTTTTGTTAGCAAGGGGAGTAGAGTTAAGCATCCATGCTATACCCCTTAATTCAAAACAGACATTCTCAATGTAGTTACAGCTCACCTTGAATCTGAAACAGGAACTTCTGCCTCCCACCACTGCATCTGCCTTACAAAGATATAGATGAACAAGTGCAAGTTAGCATAGTTCTTAATATCCCTTTAGACAGCAGAGAAAGGTGGCATTGATTGAAAGCATAGTTTACATCTCATTGCATGAGCAGTTTGGGTTTTCAAATCCATTTAAATAGAGCTTCCCTTCTACCAAGGGATCTGTTCAGTGTTCCCTTTTTTTAAGACACACTGTTGTTGATCAAGTATATTTTAATGGAAAACTTGGCATGTTGAGCACTGATTTGCTATAAAGAACCAAAGAGCAGCATTAAAATACTGGTCTCTGTCTTAAAGTTCTGACTAGGTTAGCTGGACCTATTACTATTTCTGGCCAAAAGCATGTTATATTAGGTGACATGTGCAAGCTCACTGCTTGTAGTAAGAAGCATGTGGAATTTGTGTAATATCAGGAAATTGTCCACTTTGTCTATGTTATAGTTACTTATTTTTTTGCATTACGCAAATACTAAGGTAGGCTTCCCCTATTAAACATTGCCCCCTAAGTACTTTGAGATATGAATTAATAAGACTGAATCATCTCTTCACTCTGCAAAAGTGTCAGGTAAATGTAGTTCTGGAGTAAAGAGTATTTGCTTAGTAGAGCTGTGGTGGCAAACCTATGGCCCTCTAGCAGTTGTACTCCAATTCCCATCAGCTCCAGCCAGTATGACTAATGGTCAAGGATGATGGAAGTTGTAGTCCAGCAATATATGGAAGACCAGAGGTTCCCTAGCCATATGCTAGAGGATTTGTGTAGGTCTGCTACACATATAAATTCTGAGATATGCCCTGTGCTCATACACACACCCCCTGATTATATGTTGGGTCAGTTGCAATAGACAGTTACCAGATGTGATAGGGGTATGGTGTCTGTTTCCTACTGATTCATTGCTTTTTAAATCTGATCACCATCTTTGTAATAGCAGAATAACCAGCCTGTACAGATTAAGTGAACTTAAAGGTGGTATTGGCACATCTCTGGCATGTTATCTAGACTTGATGGTCTCCAGATTTGCAGATAGTGTTCCATAGATTCTACAGCTAGCCAACTTCAGAGTGTATTTAAAAGCTGATTATGCACTGATAACTGCTGCTGAGTTCTAAAACGAGAATAAATTTCTTTCTAGGTATGGGCACTAGTAGGAGAGAGAAGACCACCAAGTTTATTGTTCTGTCTTCAGATAAGCCTTTCATCTTTGCAAGCAGGTTGATGAAGTCTGTGTAACTTAATAGACACCTACCTTGCTTTTTTTTCACCTTAAAATAGTTATTGTGAATAGTAATAAACATGTTTGTCTCCTGTCTGATAATGTTATTCCTTGAGTTTACAAAGTCAAACTAAGAAAGTTCTCATAGTTACTTTCATATTTTGATTTTTTTGAATTTACACATACCTTTATAAGATAGTAAAATTTGCAATGCATTTTGGTAAAAATTTCGTTTGGGACATTCTCTTCAAAAGTAGTTGCCCTTATTGAGAAATTGTCTTGAGAAGTGCCCCTGAAGAAGACTTAACCAAAAAAGGTTGGGGATGTCACTATGTTATACAAATGTTTTATTATTTTGTAAAAAAGCATGTCTATATATCATTTTGAAGCACTGGCGCTGCTTTTGCTTCAGCCAAAAATGACTGCATATAATTCCAGAGGTGGACTGTTCTAATTAAGAAAGTTATCTGAACTTTTGAACCCAGAAAGAAATTTCACTGTAAAGCTACGTGAACGTTGGTTTTTCTTGTGCCTTTTTATTGATTATTTAACAGTGGCAGGGACATAACACTCTTTAGCACAGAAATAAAAGTTTTCTCTTGCATTTTTCAGTCCCGCATTAGCAGGGATATTTCATTACTTCAACTTCCAGTTGAAGATGACAACAAGTAAGGCAGCTTGCCCTTGAGCTCTATGGTCTGCTTTCATTTGGTTTTATTTTGAATAGTTTTAAAGTCAGTTGGCCCAGCTGTCAATGTTAATTGCAACATAAAGGCAAGGAGCATATCTGTTTTATCTGTTTTAATTTTACTTTTACGTGGGCTTAAAAACCATATATTTTAATTGGATGACAGATGCTGGGAGAGAGCAGCTGTTTTGACTCAGCTGATAAGGAAAGACTAGAAGCTCATCTCCACCAAAGGAGACTCTCTGCAGTTTTAACAGTCTTAATACAGTTACCACATGAGCACAGTCCCATAGTATTTCAGATAAATTGTCTGGAACTCCACTGCAAAATTTAGTCCAGAAATCTGTGCTGGACTCTTGTCAGTCAGCAGCTGGAGCAGTGGATTATATGGGTAAAAATTGTAGGAGAGGGAAATAACAGTGACCTTACTGTGGGTGTCTGCTATAGACCTCCATACAGGCCTGAAGACTTGGATGATGCCTTCCTATAGCTGATTGCCAAACATTCAAAAAGGAGACATACAGTAGTCGTGGGAGACTTCAACAACCCTGCTATCTGTTGGAACTCAAATTGCCAAGAATGCAAGGTCAAACAAATTCCTGCATTGCCCCGCTGACAATTTCCTTTCCCATAAGATGGAAGAAGCAACAAAGGGTTCATCTATCTTGCACCTGGTCCTCACCAGCAGGAAGGAACTGATCAACAAAGTGGAATTACTGGTAACCTTGGGTTTCATGATACAGAGGCAAGGGAAAGTTGAGTGTAGTCGGACATGCATTCTTTAAGAAGTCCGATTTTTAAAAGCTTAAGGAACTACTGGGTGAGATCCCATGGTCCTATTCTTCTTCTGAGCATGTTGACAGACTGGAGACCGTACCTCTACTACTACGCCAGTATTTTGTCACAAACACAAATTTCTAGTTAGTGGAGTTTGATTCCAAGCTGAAATACTGAAGGCAAACAGTTTAATCCCTTAGCTCCATAACAATACGGAGAGGTGCACCAAAGTATTGAAAAATACTTTTATTGTGGTCAGACTGTTAATTTTTTTTAAAATATTGCCAGAGGTGGCCAGTCTATAATAGATGCTGCAGGGTTGTGCACAATACTTTTCACTGAGAGATGTTCAAATATCCCCCTGCAGGCAAAACAGTTTGCTGTTCTATAATAAAAGGTTGTGATACAAGCATACAAGTTAGAATCAGAGAATCGTAGAGTTGAAAAGGACCCCGAGGGTCATCTAGTTCCACCCCCTCCACTGCAGGAATATCAAGTAAAACATCCATGACTGGTGGCCATCCAATATATTTGTAACCGTATATACAAAAAACTAGAGGAACATGCAGATACACAGAGGTGCTTAATAAGGTTTGATTCTAAGGGACTTTCAAGTTAACACTTGGGAATTTCAGCAGTAGTGGGCATCAAGCTATATTTATGAATATGCATACTGATACTGGTGTTATTTAGTACATAAGAATATCAAGTCCAGAAGGAAAATGGTTTTAGGTTCACTGCAGGCTGATTAATCAAGAAGGGACAAAAGCCTGTCTTTCCTACACTTCCTGTTCTTCAGGTGCCTGCTCTGTGCAGCACTTTCTTCCCCTACCCACTGGCAATGGCCCGGTTCCAAGGCCTTTGACTGTCTCCATCTTCAGCCAGTTAGGTTGCATGCAATTTTACTGGTTGTTCCTGTAAGTCACAGTGAACTATGAATCATCCACTGAGCAGAGATTTAAATGGTCTTAATTTTCCTTGAACAATTGCATATCTGATCTTAAATTCAACCCTGAAAAACAAATTTACATATTCATTCTGTCACAATGTTAGAAAGCAGTGCTAAGCATACACGCTGCATGAATTGAATAATGAAAATAGGTTGCAAATACAATACAAATGAACTCTTATGAATGGAACTCGGATAAGGAAAGAGAAGAGGGGGGAAATAAAAACACGTAGAGCTACTAAGTGACACAACCTGTCATACCGGTTGCTTTGTACAAAGAGATTATCTGTCATTGATTCACATGCCGGAGTTGTGGAGTGTTACTGTCTTGCCCCTTTTTATTTTCTTCCCTTCTATTCCCCAAATTACAATTTGAGATGAACAACTGGGTGTGAATGAAAATTAAGCATTTAAAAAACAAACAGTAAAGTAACAGTATTCACTCACATTTATATGCTGCTTTTTATTATTAGTTCACAAAGTGGTGTACAATATAAAATTCCAATATAAAAATTAATAAACATGGCATGGATAACCAATTAAAATCAATACAAGCAGCAGAGGATTGTCTTAGGATGCTGCCTTATACTAAGCCAGCCTACTGGTCCAGCGCAGCGCTGGCCACACTGACTGGCAGTGTCTCTCCTGAGTTTCAGATAGAACATTCCCAGCCCTACCAGAAGATGCTTGGGACTGTAGCTGGGACTTTCTCCATGCTAGGTAGGTGCCCTTATCACTGAGCTATGGACAACCAGTCAGCTAAGAGAGCATTTTTTTACCAAATAGGCCTCAAAAGCTAGAAAAAGGAAGAGAACTTGCTTGCTTCCCAAAGGAAACTGATGAGGGGTGACAGTATTCTTGGGGCAACTATTTATTAGTTCTTGTTCCGAGGGGATACTAATCTGGCATTCAGAAAGAATACACTGAATAGGCCCCCTCTTGTAAATCGCAGGTAGCAGCTGGAGAATAAATTCCTGAGCCATTTTCAGTCCCTGACCATGTAGAGCTTTAAAGGTCAGAAATCACACCTTTGAGTTGAACTGTGTTGTAGTCAATTCAGTTATGGTACAAATTGACAGAATATGTTTCTGCTGACTTCTTCCAGTCAAAAAAGTGTAGGCTGACAGTATCTGAAGGTAACAGAAGTCTACATGCTTCAAGGGTGGTCACACAGAGTGCATCAGGTAATCTGGATGTTACCAAGGTATGAATTACAGTGGCTACATCCTTACGTTACAGTAGTGAATGTATGTAATGAACCGAACAAATATTAAGGCAACAAATGCCACAGCTATTTGGGGCTGTATAAGAAACACTGCCCAGAAGTGCCCCAAAACGTATTCTTCTGGAAGAGTACAATCCTACCCAAACAAGATATTCTCCAGCTAACCTGTACTGGGGTTTCTTGTCTAACAGCATAATCTGGACTGACTTTACGTTTATTTCAGACCATCTGTTCCTTCAATGATTCTAGGCACCTGTTCAGAGGTGTCACTGCTTCAGCCAGATCTATGAAAAGGCAAAATAGAGCTGGGTATCATGGCAAGTACTGATTATGATGTACTCCATATTTCCAGACTCCTTGTTGGGCTGAAGATGGTAGTTATATGGGTCATTCAAACATAATGTCAAACCATGCTCTTACAATACAAAACAAAAAGGGTTCTGAACTTGTTCATTCCATATTTCTCACTTCTCTTGTACACAGCAGTTAGTAACTTCTGATCCTTTGTAGCAAGCCATAGTTTGCCTAGGGTTAGACAGACAAAAGCCAGCTACAGTGGTACCTCGGTTTAAGAACAGCCCTGTTTACGAACAATTCGGTTTACAAACTCCGCAAAACCGAAAGTAGTGTCCCGGTTTGCGAACTTTACTTCGGTCTAAGAATGGATGCCGAATAGTGGAAGGGCACCAGTGGTGGGAGGCCTCATTAGGGAAAGCACACCTTGGTTTAAGAATGGTTTCGGTTTAAGAATGGACTTCTGGAAGGGATTAAATTCATAAACTGAGGTACCACTGTATTTTGATTGCTGGGGACAGACAAGTAAGCTGGATGCTATCACTGCTTACTACTGTAAGTGTTTGCCTTTGACCCCCAGAAAATACTCCTATCCAGAGTTAAAGGGGGAGCATAAGGGATCTGGTGCAAGTCTGCTTGATAACTTTTGGCATGACAAGGCTACCCAGACTGGCACATGGTAGAAGGGACTGAAAGGTCTTTAGCCCATTTCTATTACACAAACCTCCTTGGTTGTTAAGATCAGCAGAGGGGGCTCTCTTGGTAATTCTGCCATCCTCAAAAGTGTAGGGAATGGCAATTCAGGAGAGGGATTTCTCAGTGGAACTCCCTTTCCACAGAGGTGCTTCTAGCATCTTTATTTGCTTCAATTCTTTTATCATTGTAATGGTGTTATCCATTTCCATGATTGTATATTCTGTTGTTCTAACGCAGCCTGGGACCTTTTGGTGTTGGTACAGTTGCCAAGAATTTCAAACCACAGTTATTCAGAGCAGTCTTTAGAAGCAAAATCAAAACAGTCTCTTCTGGCACCCTCTACTAAAAATATTCCTGTTGTCTAAGCTTGTATGGGGCAGAGCCTTCTTCAGTAGATTGATGAAATGTCACTAATGCTGCAGTCCTGTATAATAATAATAATAATACCCCCCCACCCAACTGGCTGGATTGCCCCAGCCACTCTGGGCTACTTCCAACAGAATATAAAAACATAATAAAGTGTCACTGATTAAAAACTTCCCAATACAGAGCTGCCTTCAGATGTTTTCTAAAAGTTGTGTAGTTCTTTATTTCCTTGTCATCTGATGGGAGGGCGTTCCACAGGGAAGGCTCCACCACCAAGAAGGCCCTCTGGTTCCCTGTAACTTCACTTCTCACAATGAGGGAACCACCAGAAGACCGTCGGAGGTGGACCTCAGTGTCCGGGCTGAATGATGGGGAAGTAGGTACCATTAAATGGAATGGGACAACTTTTGAGTAAACATGCATAGGATTGTGTTGTTAAGGGAATAGATATACATAGACTAGAAGGATTTTCCTTGTTTGCTTTTTGTTCTACATGCAATGCTAAAATGTCCAAACAATGCAAGAAATGTCTGCATGTGTATCACAGTATTATGTAGATCACAAGTGAATACATAATCCATTTGAATTACTGATGTTGTTGCGGTCCTCAGCTCCCTAGTTCCGAATACAAACCTTGACAATTCATAATGCTTGCCTCCAGTCTCAGGTGAGTATTACAGCCCCATAGTTTTTGTCCAGCTTGGATTGTAATCTGACCCAGAAAAGAATTTATAAGTGCCTCCTCCCCAGCTGCTGCAGTGGCAGCAGGGAGAATCTCATGAGAATTCAGACCCCCTAGCGCTCCCACTGATGTAACTGAAAGTGCAACAGGTTTTTAAAACGTTTGGAATTGGGCTTGAAACAACTGAGCTCTTTTCTGACTTTTAAGGAAAATAGCTCAGTTACCTGAATAAAGTTAGGAAATTAGCCCAGGGAATTTGCCTCTCACTAATTCAAATGAATGCAAGATCCAGTCAGCCAGAATATAAAACATTCTTATCTAGTGGTCTCTGGTGTTTAATAGGTATAGCAAGATCAATAATGCAAATGAACATGTAATGAGAAACAATTATTTTCTGTAGTAAGCTACTCCCACAATTCATTCAGACCACATTCCAAAGGGCAAGATTTGCTAATTCCAATTTGGCATATTTGTATTGGTGTTAAAGTTCTTACCAATTGTCCACAATCTCAAAAGCTCAAAGTACTCAAAAGCAAGGGGGGTAAAACATGGTCATCGTGGCCAGCAGCCACTCATAGCGTTAACTGCCATGGATTTATCTATTCCTCTTTTAAAGCCATCCAAGTTGGTGGTCATCACTATTAGTTGGGCGATCAAATGCCAGAGTTTAACTATGTGCTGTGTGAAGAAGTACTTTATTGTTTCTGTCTTGAATTTTCCAACATTCAACTTCCTGCAGTCTGTATTCTTAGGGTGAATACAGATGACCAGATGTGGGGAAGGTTGCTTGTATTTTAAATGTGTACAGAAATGCAGCAATGTAGGCAATTGTTGCTGTTTGGGGGGGGGTATTCCATGATTTCTGTTGCTCCATTCCACGTTAGACTCTTTTTTACCACAGACTGAATATCTTCATTCTGCCTATCCCTCCATGCACTGCTGCAGAGTTTTACCACTTTCTGGGTGTTTCTTTACAAAAGGAGATTGTTTATTCTGTTCCTACACGCTTAAAAGCTAACATGCTCACAATGATGCTATATGCATTGGTTTCCAAATATGCATGTAATGTTTAATAATAGCATGGCTTTGTTTATTTTTTAATGAACTCTCCCTAGCTCACATATAAATATCCTTTGCAGAAAAAGGATTGAAGGGAGGGGGGAACAGAGAAAAGCAGGGAAAGCAAGCCATTCCTTAACTTGGGTCACAACCACACAATACATTTGAAGCGCTCATAACTGTCATGGAGAATCTTGGGAACTGTAGTTTCTTAAAAGTGCTGGGAAATTAAGATTCTAGCCTATTTACAATGGCATCTGGCAGTTAATGTATTTTTGTAGGATCTATCCCTTCTGTGTTAATCTATACTGTATTGTACTGCTTTTGAATATAATTGTTTTGTTTTTATAATTGTATGTAAGCTGTTTTTACTTATCTGTTTTTAATTGTACAATTGTCTTGCTATAACCCAACCTGGGACGTTACAAGGGCAGGTAAGAAACTTAACAAATAAAACTATCAATTGAGGAAATTTCTACCATATTCAATGTTAGCAGGAATAGCAGGAAGCCAGGAATAGCAGGAAGTCTCACCACAAAGACACCACTCTTTGCCACACAATAATCAATGACTGTAAAATATTGTTTTGTAGTACTATAATGCAGATAACTAAGCAACCATGGGCTAGGATACTCAGCTTACTGCACAGTGGTGGGTTTTCAGTACTGGCTGTGCCATGTTAGAAGGAATCAGGTCCTTGAAAGGGCTCTTAATGACAGTGTGTCTGGGAGTCATTATTTTTTTCATCTACATAAGGTGGTCCAGCCAATGCTCTATTTTTGTTTTAATTTGGTTTTGGTAACTTAGTTATATTGGGGAATGTGAAAACAGAACACTGTCCTTTTTCCCTTTTAAATTAGGAATAGTTCTCAGCTACTCAGTTCACTGTTTGGAGGGTGAGGGTTGCTTCCATAGTAGGTTTGTCAACACTGGAGCAAAATGTGAATTTTCACCTTCCTGTCTCCCCAATAATGTAGGACTGTTCATATGGCTTCCATCCCATCACTGTGTTGCCCTGGACCTTTTCACCTTTAAATGTGAGGTGGGGGGTTGATTCTTCGAAAGTGTGAAGCAGCCAGATGAAAACTCCCACATTTAAAAGAAGGTAAGGTCAAGGCCAATACCGGGAAAAGGAAGATGTCACAGGGACACCTGCACATTAATGATTTGCAGGCGCAAATTGGTATTTTGCTCTGATGTGGACAAGCTCAGTAGTTCTTTAAGAGCAAAATTTGCAAAGCGTGCATTGAAAATTATTTTCTGGACAGGCTGCATGTTATCATCTACTTCTGTGTACAATAATCCTTAATAACGTGATATAGGTAGTGTCTAGAAACCTATTTTAATGCCATCTAACAAATGATAGATATGTAATCTTTTATCGGACTCTTATCGGACTGCACTACTCTATGTATACAAGCCCTAGATTGTGACGCTTTTCTCCCTCTCAGAAAGGCTGGGGAATTTTGCTCTTGAGCTCTAGAAGGCCAGAATTAAATGAATGCGAGCTTGCCTTCTATTTATTTCCAGGTTAATCTCTTCTTGACAAACAAGAAGCCATGGCTGAGGCAGGAGGTGATGTTTCTCGATTGCCAGAGAGAAGGAACACTAGGCGAAAAGGAACAGATCTTGGCATCCACTAACCTGCAATTAACCAGCTCCCTATGGGAGTTGAAGTGGAGCTTCAGGAAAGAATCTGATTGGCCGAGACAGCCATCACCAGTTGTTCCACTGGCTGAGAGTAAAATTGCCTCTAACCTGATTGGCTATCGTCGCAAATGGTAAACTGCATTATCCTTTTCCTTCATGCCTTTCAGGAAGAAGGGGGGGGGGGGAAGGCCCTGACTGAATAACAATCACATCTGCTCCCCCAGCCTAGCCAGAGTAGTCTCTGAAAGCCAGGGCTCCCGGTCATGGCACATGCATGCAGCACTTTGTGGGTGTACATTAATGTAGATAAGAGAGCTGGGCGAGCACAGTCTGAAGCGAGCTTTCTGATTCACTGGCTGACGAAGCCTCGCCCTGGCCTTCAGTGATTACATAAAAAGAAAGGAAGCGGGGGGGAGAGAAAGCTAGTCGATTTCTTAAAGGAGCCCTACCAAATGCTTCCTTCCAAACGCTACACGCTAAGCATTTGCTTTTTCCATTTCCCGATTTTAAATGTACAGGTTTTGCACAAAGCTTCCCCTCTCTTAACCAAGTATCTTGGGCTGTTTTGTCAAAGGTCAGCGAACCTCTCTCTTCCACATTCCCTTGCAACGGGGCAGAAGCAAAGTGACGCCACGGCGGACGCGAAAGTGGAAAGGCTCAGAAAACGAGAGCACATAATGGAGAAAAGGACGACGACCTCTCTGCTACTGGGCCGTTTTGTGAAAGGGGCTACTTATTACGGAGGGATAAACGAGCAGAGGGGGCTGGCCCTCCCGTTACAAAACAAACCAGGTTACTCCGAAAGGCAAGCACGAGAGAGCGCGCAGCCAGTCCGCCCGGAAAGTTGCCTCCTCTGTAGTGGAAGCCTTTTACAATCCCGGAGGATCGGGAGCTGCCTATGGAGGGGGAAATGCACACACGCCCGCTCAGGGCACACCGTCTATTGTTGCTTCACATATGACACGTTTAGCTGAGAGCTGGCAGGGAGCCAGGTTGTAGCATTCAGCCCAGGTGAGCTTTGGGCACGAGAGAAGCCTCGCTTGCCCCCGAGAAGCCTCTCTCTTCGCTGGCACAGGATGCCTCAGCGTTGCGAGAAGCGCGGGGCGGGGTGAGGAGCCAGAGCGGCTCAGACGCAGCTAGCTTTGCTACAAAACAATGTGCTTTTACGGTGCAGTTTTCAAAGACAGTGCCATTTTACTGCCTCGTTATTTCCTACGCTGATTTTTCTCTCATCAACACAAGCTCCAGTGTAGGAGAGGCAGAGTGTGTTCGCGCCCTTCCGTGTGAGAGAGATTTTTTTACATTTTGCTTTAAGAGTAAAAAAATGACTCAGGGCAGCATTCTGAAAGCTTTTGGGTTACTCATGGAGTGGGTCAAAGGCCCAAATGTGTGTGTCAGATACTAATTCTGTCACTGTTCCTCACGTTTCCTAACTGAATCCTGCCATTTAGAACTGTTTCCGGGACTGCCTTAAATAAAGCCCCCATGGTCACCTAGCCACAACACAAAACAACAGAATCCTGTACACGTTTCCTCAGAAAAAAGGAGGGCCAAGGCATTCAGTGGGGCTTATTTGCAGGTTCACGTTCATAAGATCACAGCATTAACACATATGTATCACATATAACAAAAGTGTCGTATTGGGCAGGTGCTTTGGACAACATGCCAAGCATCATTAAAAGAAGGCAAATTTAAAGTTTTTACTTACCTACTAATTAGGATTTTTTATATTTTTGTACTTGGGGGGATTTGAATTTTTTGCCTCGTGTACAAAAATATCTGGCCCTTAAAAACTAACTAGCATGTATTGGCACACGGCTGCACATAAAGCTTGACTTGCTAGATCAGACCAAAGTCCATCTGGCTCAATCAGCAGTGACTGGATAGTCTGTGGGTGCTAAATGATCTTTTTTTGTCATTAGAAGTGCAGGTTAGCTTTCTACTTTTATGCTAGCTGCAACCCTACCTGGACTGCAATGTCCTGGTCTCAGTGATTGATGCCATGATAACCTCCATATTAGACTGCTGTAACATGTTAGACTGTGGAACTGTCTTTGAATATGGCTTGGAAACAACAATTAGTCCAAAATACATTTGTGGTGCTGTTAACTGTGACTGGAGGTTATGACCACATTAAGCCCTTCCTTTGCCAACTGCACTGGCTCCTAGTTCAGCTCCATGCTCAATTCAAAGTTCTGCCTTCAGTCTTTACAGCCCCTCATGGCATGAGACTGGAATATCTGCAGGACCACATGTCCACACATGTGCCTGCTTGTACTATAAGCCAGCGGTTCCCACAGATCATTTGCTTGAGGGTCTTGGAGAAGCCCTTCTTTTTCTGCCTGCTGTGGCAATTGTAATGTGTTGTGCTAGATGCAGTATAATTTTTAATTGCATTTTGATTGCTTCTTTTATTATATTTTATTGAATTACAATTTGAAATCCATAGAATTCAAATTGTGCTTTTCACAGACACGCCACAGACCTCCCAACTGAAGCTCACAGGCTTCATTTGAGATGGTCCTCAGACCACAGTTTGGGAACGCTTGCTCTAAACTCTTTAATTGAGGCCCTTCTGAGCTACCTCCACTACCCAAGGTATGTCAGGTGACAGTGGACTTACTTGGTGTGGCAACCTGAATGCAGAATTCTTGTCCCAGGGCGGCTGGGATTTTCCAGCATGGCTGTCTGAAATAAATTAGCAAATCATAGAAATCATAGAAATAAATTAGCAAATCATAGTATCTGAAGAAGTGTGCATGCACACGAAAGCTCATACCAATAACAAACTTAGTTGGTCTCTAAGGTGCTACCAGAAAGAATTTTTGTATTTTGTCTTGACACAGAATAAGAGTTGGAAGTGACCCAGAGAGTCAAGTAGCCCAACCTCCCTGCAATGCAGGAATATCAACTACTAGATCATGCATGATAGATGGCATCCAAATTTTGCTTAAAAGCCTCCAAGGGAGGACAGTTAACCACCTCTCGTGGGAGTCTTGTTTGATTGTATGTCACTTTGTGTCGCCCTCGGCAAGATAAAGTGGCAGACATATCAAACAAACAGCACTGAAACTTAAAAACCTTTTGCCACCTCATCATAATGATAAATTCCTCACCCTATCAAAAGTTGCTGGCATTCATTCTCACGCAATGTTGAGGTAGCCTTCACCAGCTGTTTTCAACCTCCCCCCAAAAGCTAACTAAAGCAGCACAACTAATAATTCAACCTTGCTCTAATTTTCCAAGGCTTTTTAATCCTCTGTACAGCTTTTATGCCACTTGAGGTTCATTTATATTCTGCTGCCTGCTTTTCTAGTGCTCTTCTATATTGTGGTGTCTTACCAATTTATTTCGAATTTGTTTTCTTGTACTGTTAACATTTGATAAGCTATCCTGGGTACCCACTGAAGGGCAGGGCATTCATTGTGCAAATTAATAAAACTGCTGGTTTTAAAAGTTGTTTTCAAAACAGTAACTGTATTTTATTATGTTTTATATTTCTGATATAAGCTGCTTTGAGTTTCTTTCAGTGGAAAAGCGGTATATGCATTTAATAAATAAAATATAAATTCTTTTAAATAACACTTTTAACCCCTCCATCCCACACTAAAGCTGAAGAGTGGATAATAAATAAATGGGGTTCACGCCAAGGTAAGTGGATGTAGGATTGCAGCCTAACAGTGCAAGAGAAAGAGACAGTGAAAGATCTCCTCTGGGCCATGTTCTCATCCTAGACAACACTAACAGTAAATGTAAGAAGGCTTAGACAACTCTTGACAATTCCAAAACCATCCCAACAGGGGTGCTGACTTGAATAAAATATGGGGGGGCAGGTAACCCCTGCCCTGCATAATCAATCACATGACATGGGGGGCACACACACACACAAATGGGAATTCCCCTCAGCTTTGGGAGGGGGCCCTCAACTATTTTATTGGGGGGGGGATGGAACCTCAGCCCCTAGGAGTTGGTTCCTATGCATCCTAATGAGTTTCTATAAGGGTTCAACCCCACTCAGACCTTGAACCTGGGGGCTGCTCAAAGGAGGACCAGGGGCAGCAAAATCTTCTGGTACCGCCAGAGACCCCGAGGAGCCATTGGCTCAAGACATCCTTGACCCAGGACTGAGGGTCTCCACATCAGTTGCCTGAATTTTTGGTCAGCCCTCAGACGGACACCCACTGCCCCGTAACAGGCAGGGGCGGAACTAGGCTTTATTTCACCCGGGTCAAAGACCCAGTTTGGCATACATTTGAGTACACACACTAACAGGCTGGGAGCCTCAATGCTGCACCTCTGGGGGCTTCACCCGGGGCAACAAACCTGGCTAGCCCCCTTCCCCAGTAACTATGGCACTAATACCAAGTATAAGATCACAGGGGCAGAGGAGAAGGCTAGCCAGGCAACACTTTCAGGGTGACTGGGAAATGCCTGGCTAGCTGCAGGTGAGGCTACTCATGAGGAGGGGAAAGTACATGGCTGAGAGTGAAGAAAGGGTGCAGCCTTGAGCTCCTATCTAAGATCTTGGTCTGTACAGCTTTGCTGCTAAAGGAAGAGCTTCAGGTTTCAGTACAAAGCCTTTCAGAACTGGGAGAAATATGGCCTTTTTCAAATATTTCTCTTCCTCAGAGATTCCATTAAAAATGTGTCTCTGATAGCACAATATTTCACAGAGGATTATTTTTGTCAGGCTAACATTGCAAGGTAGTTTACGTGAACTAGATAGTTACCAGCCAGCAAATGATTGGTTTTTAAAAGAAAAGAGAAAAAAAAATGTCCTGTTCTTTACATACCTAACTGAATAGCAATAATGGAAATATGGAGAATCCGGAATAATGTCTACTTGAAATAGGTGGACCACAAACAGATTGTTAAAGCTGTGCTCAGTTGCCATAGCAACCAGACTTCCAAAGTGATGCAATGAAGAAATGGCATCAAAGAGTATAGCTAAGTGTACATGACAAAGTCAGAAGCAAAGGAGACCAACGGAGTGGAGAGCTCTCCGGGCTGCAGAGAACAAAACTGCATTGCCTGGCTTTGCAAGTTAGGTTGTGTACACGCTACTGGTTACTCCAGCTGGAGTGCGCTCCCACCGCTGGTGTCTGAAGCCACATACAAGTGACGTTAGCTACAACCCCTATGTACCTTGTAGGTTCTTGAGAAATAGTGCTCATTGGTGAGTTTCCCCTCAAACCAGCTTCCATTCAGTTTGAAAGTCTGAAGCATCAGTGAAGCAGAGGTATGTACATTTGAGACAGCCATTGCGCCTGTGCAGATGACAGCTTAATTGAATAGAAGTTCATTGGGAAGCAAACCAGGGAATGCGCATCGGGTAGACATCCCTTCCTGCTGTGTGTAGAAATATACAAAGGTAACTTGAAACAAAGCAAAGGGAGGGGGAGAAACAACCCCTCCATGTTTCAATCCACCAATGTGTACATAGCATTAAATGGCCACAGGTGGGGGAGGAAGTCAGCCTGTCCCAGTGGCAAAGCAGAGGTTAATGGACAGATCACCCAATTAAATGGTGATCACTCTATTTTACAAAAGGGATTTAAGCACATTCCAGAACTTTAGGTTCGTGCAGTTAAAGTGGATTAAAGATCTCTATCAGACCCTCCAAATGTCCTTATTTTCCAGGGATAGTCCCTGATTTACAGAAGCTATCCCGGTTTCTGATCTGATCCTGGAATGTCCCACTTTTCCCTAGGACGCCCCTATTTTTATTGGAGAAATGTTGGAGGGTATGGAGTTACGCAGCCAATGAGCCAAGGAGCTAAGTAACTATACAACCTTTAGAAGACTTCTGAAGGCATCCCTGTATAGGGAAGTTAAAATATATATATATATATTGTTTTTATATGTGTTGGAAGTTGCCCAGTGGCTGGGGCAACCCAGTCAGATGGGTGGGGTATAAGTATGATGATGATGATGATGGATGTCCCTATTTTCATGGGGAAATGTTGGAGGGCATGCTCTATCACCCTAGTGCAATAAATCCACATTAAAAAGAAACAGGCTTTTTGTAGTTAGGGAAGTGAGGGGGAGTGAACAAATACAGGAAGAGGTATAAATACCCCACAAGTAAATCAGGATGAATTATCACAGGGCTGAAGAAATGGGGCCAAAACCCCAGACCCCAGATCTTTGGAAGGCCCAGAGTTTTGGAGACCTGGACTGTGATAAAAAACACTTTACAAAATTAATTTTGATAAATTCAACAGACTATAGTGTGGCTACAATGGCTGTTGCTACATCTCAGCGTACACAAGATACAAACTGTGGAAACATTCAGAAGTATGTATTCTGATAAATTTCATCTTGGCTCTGTTCTGTATTATGTACACCCTCTGTATCCTGTAAGATGTGCAATAATAATTTAATATCCTGGTGATTGACGTGTCCTTCTCTTTTATTTATTACAGCTTAAATAACAGTAATAGTCAAATGCATATTAATAAGCCCAAGTAAATGCTGCAGCTAATACTCTCATTCAAACTTGAAGGAATGCAATTAACAGCAATCAATTGCCCATATCATTGCCACAGTTTATTCCCACCATTCCTGGCCATTGGCATGCTTGCCGGGGCTGATAAAAGTTGTAGTTCAGCAACATCTGAATCGAAGAGGGAAGAAAAGCAAATAAAGGCTTTCAATCACTCTTAACAGCCATACATGGTTAACCGGTGCAATAAACTTGCATGTCAGACAATGGATTTAAACAAGGATATAAATATCTATCTTCTGATTCTATAATTCGACGATTCTGATAAATTCCACTGGGGAACAAACATAGGAGAAGCTGTTTCCCAGGAACTAGGTTGCAGATTTGACTCCTACTGATATGGAAAGCTGTTTCTCCACCATCCACTGACACCACTCCAAAGAGACAAGAAACCTTACAACATACTTGCAATGTTTTGATGCTCAAAGGTTAGGGACAGTGGGCCACTATCACAATTCAATGCAGCCCTGAAATCAAACTTCATTAAGACTCCATGACAACCACCACTTGGTTAGTAATTCAGCCAGGCAGCAATTTGGATCGTACAACCAATGTCTGACTGAGCAACAGGACAGTCTTTCAGATACATTTGCAACATTTTCTAAGATAGGATTTATACTGATCTTTCTGTCTCTACGTATAAAACTGAGAGAAATGTTTAAATAAGCCCACTCTGCTCCACTTTTTAAAAGTTTATTTCATCAATAGAAAAACATTATTCTGGGCCTGCACCCCACACCCAAGATGCAGGTACAGAAGCGATAAATGGCATAGAGTGAGTTTTAAAAGATCACATCGTTATAGGTTATACCGCACGAACTATAGTGTGCCATGGGGTAAACATACCATCATTGAGTGGGCCAATGCCTGGATGATGATGCAGCTCAATGCTCAGGCCGCCTGCTGAGGGTTGGTCTCCTTGCAGGCCCACATCAGTGTGGACTGGTCTGGTGGGCCCTTCCAGCAACCTGGGAGCACTGCAACTCAACAGCCCCTGGAGCTGCTGGGGCCATGGGTGGAATGCAGCACCCCAAGATTTCCGAAGGGGAACTGCCATTGACTCCCCAACAGTTGGCTTGCCCACACACCAATGCGGACAAGTGACACTCTTGCACCCACAAAAGTGGGCTGATCACTTACTCCTGCCTATGCAGGGGCACAAATTGCGGTCCCTTAGCCTAATATATGCATATTTGTAAACACTGTTTGGATGCAGAAGTTCTTCACAAAATTTAAGATAAGTGCCAATTTTGAAGGATGGCTGTTTCAGTAAGTGTGAATTTGATAGAGTTGCTTTTTAATGCAAACCGAATATAATTTCTCCCTCATCCCTGGCTACTAACCTACGCAGTGTGGGATATGGCTTATTCCCGGTGCATTTTCAAGCTTCTGCTTTTTGCTTGTGTATTCCTGGAAATTAATAATGACAAAAGTACACCTGGGAAGGAAAAGCACTTCTTCATATCACTTTGGCCCGAAGGCTTTCCTAGTCTCACCATTCTTGCAGTATGCAAACCCACAACTATGCTGCTCTCCATTTCAGGCTTGGTTGCTCACCAAGGGATTCCTCTTCCCCTGGAACACATGCTTTTGTTTAAATTACATTCTGTAAAACCATATTAATGGCATCTTTCATAAGATAGAAAAGTTGTAACAGAGTTTACATTCTCTGTTCACATAGTACAGTGGAAAGGAAATATCAGAGCAGATTTATGCATTACCATCATAGCTTCTTCACACACCAGTGTTCCAATTCTGTCTGCAGTCCATGATCACATGGAGAAGGTGGATCACAAGGGGAGGTTGTCCCATCAGACCTGGACTTGGGGGCAGAAGTCAAAGGCAGGGCTCTGGTTAGCTGAATGAGTGCAGAAGGGCTGCCAAATGAAACATGACTGACTTTCCACATTTTCTCTTACCATGTAAAGCAAGGTAGAGGAATCTTTTACAACCCAAGGGCCTCATTTCCCTTCTGGCTAACCTTCTAGGGGCCACATGCTAGTGGAGGGAGGGGTCAGAGACAAAGGTGGGCAGAGCCATGCATGCAGATATTACCTTTGTACAGTAGGCTAGCTTCTGCACACACTCAGACACCTTCTCTGTCCTCCATCCAGGAAAGCAGGAGTCATCAGAGTTCAAGGTCAAATGTCAGCCAGGCCCAAAGAAGTTGTGGCCAAGAAGGGAGCACGACCTAGAGAGAGTCCTATGGGTCAAATATAGAAGAGTGGAGTGCTGTATGTGGCCTCTAGACCCGAGGTCCCTCGCTCCTGATCTAAAGAGAACCTGCTGCACATGTAAGACTATTAAGACAGAGACTAAAATTAACCACCTGCAAGCGTCCCTGTTTTCCAGGGACAGTCCTGAATTTACAGAAGCCACCTCAGATTCTGATTTGATTCCGTGATGCCCTGCTTTTCCTTAGGACATCCCTATTTTCACTGGAGAAATGGAGTGTATGGAGTTATCCAACCCTGAGCCATCTGAAGGCAGCCCTGTATAGGGAGGTTTAATGTTTTATTATGTTTTTATATGTTTTGGAAGCAGTCCAGAGAGGCTGGGTCAACCCAGTTACATTGGTGGGATATAAAAAGAAAAGTTGTTGTTGTTGTTGTTGAATAGGATGTCTCTATTTTAATCAGATAAATGTTGGAGGGTATGTAACTGCATCACTGGCAAGTGATAACACCAAACCAGCGCTACAGCACCGGCATAGTTGCATCTAATCTTTCCCCAGTCTACTTGTCCCTCACAATTACTGGACTTAGACATCACTTAGAGGAGTAGAGAGAGAAGCCATAGAGAAGTGACAACTGCCTCTGAAACAACATATAAATCAGCAATTGAATTTCTCTGCATTACAAAGATGTCTGCAAACATGACATGAAGGCTGGCAACATTAACCCTGCCATTTGGGAATCCCTTGCAGACGTCTGCAGTGCCTAGAGACAATCAGGTCGTGTATCCACAGCAGTGACCAAAGAAGGACCACTGGGAGGAGCACAGAGAGAAGCAACGACATGGTGCATCTGCAGCAGCACAACCAGACACTTCTATTTGCTCCAACTGCAACGAAACATGTCTCTCCTGTATTGGCCTCTACAGCCACAGCAGACGCTGTAACTTCCAACGTTTTGTCTTCACCCCCCTCAAAAGTACACTCTTCCAAGACAGATGGATGCCAACCAAGAATCAAATAATGACTGGAAATATGTAGTTAATTGGATGTTCTTCCTGCCTTTATTGTAATCACTTACAGGGTATTTTATGGGTGAATGACTGCACTGTGCAAGTGAAACATTTGGTAATACAATATCATGCTGCAGAGGTTTTGAATTAGAACGTGTACATCATAATCCAGTCCTGTGTTGAATTATGCTTTAAAATGTTATGTGGGCTTTGTGTGTGTGTGTGTGTGTGTGTGTGTGTGTGTTTTATGTATGTATATATATTAGCCAAGAACACTGGCACTTTCAAAGGACTATAAACTCTGAGATGTAGATTCTGTTTTCAGTTATGCAACTAACAGACTTCATTGTATCAAGGAATTTGCTCCTTCATCTTAAAAAGAAAAGAAGATGTGAAATGAGTATCTATTGCACAGTTCCACAGTACAGAGGGTAATTTTTCTCTCTTTTTACTAACAAGTAAATTATTTTATATGCGGGAGGCAGTGGAAGACAGGAGTGCCTGGTGTGCTCTGGTCCATGGGGTCACAAAGAGTCGTACATGACTAAACGACTAAACAACAACAACAAATTATTTTACAAGTTTAAGTAAAACTAACCGTTTGTTTAATGCACACACACACACACATTAGTAATAGTAAGAACTAGTAATTGAAGCTAAGGGGAATTAAGGCCTATTGCTACAGACTAGCAAGTAGAGGCGTAGAATTGTAGAGTTGGAAGGGACCCCAGGATCTTGTGGGAGGGTTACTCCTCCCCTGCAGTCATTCTGGCTGCCACACAACTCAGTCAGTGGCTTCACGGGGTCTCTGGGCTTTAAACTACCACTCTGCGTATTTGAGCTGGCATTGCTCACATGCCCTCTGATTTTACTGATTCTCATCTTTTACTGATTATCGTTCAAACAGGAACAATTTGTTACACAAAGGCAGATGGCTCGTTGCCTTTTTGCTGTTGAAATGGTAACTTACCCACGAAAATGTCAAACTGTCCACTTTTTTTCTATTCAGACCTTCTATCTCTTTATCAAACTGATGCAATGTTTGCTCATCAGTGAGATCTCATCGAACGTGCTTACCTCCCCAAAATCTGTGAGGGAAGAACAAAATTGCTTTAAATATAGGCATGCAGAGGGAACAAAACTGGGGCAAAATAGCAGCAGTTTTTAAAAGGTTTCGCAGCAAAAGCTACATGAGAATTAGTAAGGACCAGGCGATAAAAATAAAGTGCTAAGGGAAAATGATTTTTAATCCTGTTATTTGATACTGTCTGCATAGGAATTAATTGGGCTCTGAGCCTAGGTTAATTATTGACTTCTATCTGTGCAGATACTGAGCAGCCATGAAGATATGGATAATGAGATAAGGAGCAATACAAACTACAGGCAATTGGTAAATCAAAATGACAGCACTACTTGCAGATGCTTCTCCACTTTGGATCAATGTCTGCCATGCAATACCATTGCATTGTTCTCCTGCAAGTCTTGAGGAAAATATGTTAATAACTCCCAGGACCTCAGAACATATGGACAATGTCAATTCCACCTGAATATCCAACAGGAGTAAGGTATAATACAGGTGTGGGAAACCTTTGGCCCACCAGATGTCGCATGGCCAATGATCAGGGGTGATGAGAGTACAAGCCTATGCTTAAGACATGTGCATTTTGGACCTCTTTATATGCATATGAAAACATTCTTGTGAATATTTATGAGACTTGCTGTTTCTCATCCCTCTCCCAGAAGAAGAAGGCCACTTTGCAGAATTTTATCCAAATACTCTCCACATTTCTTTCTTTCTTTCTTTCTTTCTTTCTTTCTTTCTTTCTTTCTTTCTTTCTTTTTTGTGGTGTCCCCCATCCTGGCTCCAAGCAGCACTCCATAACGATCATACAGCAGCAAAACTCTCACAGGCACACAAGGGGAAAACAAACAAGCTGTGCTGCTGCCACTGCTATTGGCGAGGCTCATTCATTGAGAAACTATTGGATAATTTCTTCTCCATCTAGATAAATCTGGTGAAATGGTATACCCTATTTTTTCTGCCTACAAATCAGGTGGATAATTTTGAGAGGGCATTTGGGCACAACTCTGTAATCAACATATCCATGTGTTTTTGCTCCTTAAACTGTTCTATGGTCATATGCTGCATACAAAGTGGATGTGGAGGTTGGAGCTCCACTACTGAATGGGACATAGTTGTGGGCAGCATGAGGGTGCTCCATCCATCCTGGTGCCTGCCCACAAATGAAAGCCCCTTCGTAGAATCATAAGAAAGCAGCTGGAGAAATGGGCAAAAAACGACAGAAAGAACTGTGTGTGGAGGAATGTTATTTTCTCCATCTTTGGAACTCACTGAGAAACTCATCAAAGCTGCCGTAACCTGGGACTAGCTGTGGAGAGGGCAGCTAACTGTTGAATGGGACATAGGCTGAGGAAGCTCCATGCACCTTGGTGCCTGCCCATAAAAAAGTACGTCTAGAGTAAAAGATTAGTGTGATGTCAGCAGTTTTCAGAATCCTTCTTTTTGATATTTTGTGACTGAGTTGTGAGTTTGTTTGTGTCCTGGGTAAGAGCCAGGAGGCTGAGAGTGAAGATAGGTTAGAAAGGTTAGTAATTATTAATTCTACAGTTGTATATGTTATTATGCAATGTTTAAAAAATAATAATGAAAAAATGGTGCCGGTACTCACCATGAAGCTGTTACAGTAAGTGCCATACTTTTAACATTTTTTTAAAAATGTGCCTTTTGAGTACCCCCAGAAAAAAGCACTGTTGCTATGTATTTTTGTAATACTTGTTGCTTTTATCTGTTAAGTGGTATATAAATAGTCTAAATAAAAGTATAAAGAAATTAATTCACTGGCATGACTGCTGATGTGGTACTATGAAGACCACATCCTACTATGGTAGGAGAGGATTTAAATACAGTAAAAAAAGGGCAAGGTGAGGTGAACGGGTTCCTTGAGAGTTTGGTCCGCAGCATATATTTTGTCCATGGGGTGATTCCTGTCTGCACTAAGTTATGTATTTGAGTGTTTATATTATATACAAAGGAAAATTGTGATAATTATGCTATGTGTGAGGAGGGGGAGCTTGAGTAGCACTCCTCTAGTCTTTAACAATAGGCCTGGCTTTCTCTTAACTTCAATTTTATATGTTCTTGCTTGTACGTATAAGTGTACACACACACACAAATGGTAGGTTTTATTTAAACTTATAAAATTAGTAACTAAAATTAGTAAGTCAGATAAATTACCCTCTGTATTGAGGAATTTTAGCACAAATGCTGATCTCACTTTTTTTTTAAGGTTAAGGTACAAATTCCTTAGAACAATATCGGGAAAATGCGAAGCCTCCCATATTAAATACCTTCTGGAGGATAGGTTAAATGATATTACACTGACCGTGGCAAAGTTTCTTTCAGAGGTCGTAAGAAAAAAAGACCATCATGCTCTAGACATAACAAAACGACTACCTCGGTCTCTTTCGCCTGTTGTTTGGTTGTCTTAACTGTATCTTGTTTTGAAACTGTTTTGTGGGTCTATGGACCGCAATAAAGATATGGGGGGGGGAGAGGAAAAAGAACAATGAAGTCTGTAAGTAGCATAACTTAAAAAATAATACAGATCTCAGTTTATACCCCCATTAAAGTGTCAGTTTTCATGGGTAACATACAAAGATACATACATAAAACACATATTTAAGAAGGAACATAACATTTTAAAAGCATAATTCAACACAGGACTAGATTATGATGTATAATCTAATTCAAAATATCTGCAGCAGGATATTGTTCTACCAAATGTTTCTCTCCCACAATGCAGTCGTTAACCCATAAAATATACTGCAAGTAATTATAATAAAATGAATAATTAACAATTAACTACATATTTCCAGTCATTACTTGAGTCTGACATGCCATAGGGTCATACATGTTCAAACTGACTCTACTTTAGTTTTTCAACTTGTTTCTTGACTAGAGAAATCCAATTGCTGTTTTATATTTTGTGTCAGAGGGGCAGCTGTCCCTCCTCTGTGACTTTTTTCTCTACTCCCCTAGCAATGTCTAAGTCCAGCATTTGTGTGGGACAATCTGACTGGGGGAAGGGGAGATGGAGCCATGTCAGTGTTGCAGCACTGGTTTGGTGTTATCCCGTGATGTACCGGTACTTTCTGACTTACCAAGGGGCTGCAATTTGTGCCCCTGTGCAGGCAGGAGTAAATGATCTCTCCCCTTTTGTGGGTGCAGGAGTGACACTTGGCTGCATTGGTGTGTGGGCAGGCCTACTATGTGGAAGCCAATGGCAGTATCTCTTGGGAAATCTCAGGGTGCTGCATTCTGTCCATGGTCCCAGCAGCTGAGGGGGCTGTTGGGTCGCTGTGCTCCCAGGTTGCTGTAAGCAGACCAGTCCACACTGATGTGGGCCGTTAAGGAGACTGACTCACAGCAGATGGTTTGAGCATGGAGCCTTGTCCAGGAATTAGCGCACTGAATGATAGGATCTTTGCCCCGTGCCATACTATCGTTGATGCCCACTAACCAATAAAGGTGTTGTCTTTTCAAAACACATGAGGGACTCTATGGCTTTTTTTTATTGGTTTTGTTTCTGCACCTGCGCCCTGAACACACGAGGGTGGAGAATACTACTGTGTTTTGGTTGGTGAGGGAAACTTTTAAAAAAGTGGAGCAGGGTAGGCTCCTTTAAACATTTTTCTTAGTTTTATACATAGAGGCAGAAAGATCAGTATAAATCCTATCTTAGTAAATTTTGCAAATGTATCTGAATTTGAGACTGTCCTGTTGCTCAGTCAGACATTGGTTGCTGCCTGGCTGGATTACTAACCAAGTGGTGGTTGTCATGGAGTCTTAATGAAGTTTGATTTCAGGGCTGTATTGAATTGTGGTAGCGACACACTGTTCCTAGCTTCTGAGCACCCAAACATTGCAAGGATGTTTCTTGTCTCTTTGGAGTGGTGTCAGTGGATGGTGGAGGCACAGCTTTCCATTAGCAGCAGGAGTCAAATATGCAACTGGGTTCCTGCGAAACAGCTTATCCTATGTCCTTTTCCTGTAGAATTTATCAGAAGGTAGATATGGGAATGGTTTTCCCTTGAAAGATTACACGTCTGTTACACAGCTGCCCAGTTGGTCTGACGTGCAGGTTCACAGGCTTGCAGTCTAATAGACATAACAAAAAATGTGAAGAGGATAAATCTCCCTTTAGCTAGATATCCACTTACGCAGGAATTGCTAAAATGTGGCCTTGAAAGGAACAGAGAAGATTAAGAGCAAAGTTAATGGGGTGCTTGGATGAAGAAGTTTAGCAGGACAGGCATGTCCACAGCATTAAATATCCACATTGAATTTAACTGTATTTTTATTTCTTGTATTTTTAGCACTTCTTTTATTTATTATATTGGATTTTATTTTATTACAAATTATAATACAATAACATACAATATAAGAATTAAAAGAAGCAGTAAAAATACATAAAAAATAAAATAAAACAGCATCTGTTAATTACAATTGCTACAACAAGCAGGAGAGCCATTAAGTGGTCTACCAAGACCCTCAGTAATTTTCAAGTGGTCCATAGTGAGAAACGTTTGGGAACCACTGATATAGATGTTAAAAAACAAGGGAAACAAGAGGGAACCCTGAAGTACAGTACCTAACATGCCAGAAGACATGGGATAGGCAAGCAATCTCCCAGCACCACCTTCTGCGACCAATTTTCCAGATAGGAATGAACCACTGGAGAGTAGTACCACATAGCTATAATCTCTAAATGAACACAATAATACACCAGTCTTTTTATAAAAAAAAATAAATTTCAAGAGATTCTAGAGATTTCACTGGAAGCAGATTGATAGATACTGTTAAGATGATGCTTTAGAAGTATTGGAATAGATCAATGAAGAATAATGGACTGAAGGAGACCTCAAGGCCAAACTGTGGACCAGCAGGATTCTCTGCTCTACATTTGAACCTTCCCAACAAACTTTTGCCTCTTTTTAGATGTAGATTTCACTATTTCCTTCAAGTTGTGACCATTGGCAGGGTTGAGGTCAAACAAGCTGGAAGTCAGCACAGCAAAGCTTAAATGTAGCAGGTTGCAGCAAAAACAGAATTAGTCCCAACCAACTGACAGGCCGAAAAGCTAGATTATCAACCATAATCCACCTAGATTGGGAGCAAGATGCTGTATCTGGGTATATAAATTAGAACTGGGAGGACAGGTAGATAGGCATAAGTGAGGTGGGACATAACTAAGCAAACATGGGTGGCACAGAGGCACTGCTGCAGAGAGAGATGGAGCCTTGGTACCTCTAAACATTTTGGGAGAGTGCAATACTTTGGTGATAGAAGCTGCTCATGATAACATACACAGATTCCCCAAACCCTTCTTCCTAGTATCTACCATTCCATTGCCATTTTACCTTCTGGAGTTTATCCCAGGCCGGGGGGGGGGGGGGACTGCAAGGGAGGCTGAGGAAAAAACACACATTTAGACTGATTCAGTGTAGGGTTATTCAATAAATTCACATATTTTGTTCTGTTGCATGTATAAATTAGATGCATTTCCCTTCTTTTATGTAATGAATTAAAATATTGAATAGCACTAGACCTGGTAAGACAGATTCCGCCCCCCTTGAAGTTTAACAGTGATTAGTTCATAAATTTTACTTGAGGTGTGATGTTCCAGCCTATTCACTACACATCATTTATTATTTTTATTTATTTCATAAGATGTATACACTGCTTGATTGTAAGTAAAAAAAAAACCTCGAACATGAAAACCAAGAAAAAATTACCACCACACTCAAAAAACATTCAAAAGTTAAAATATTGTCGCACGCCACCCCAATCTCTGAGCACTACGAGATTCCAGGGGTTCCAGGCGCTTACCCAGGGTTCGTGTTTCATTTTGGTAGCAAGGCAAAGCAGAGACTATGGTGTCTTTATCATATATTTATACAACCTGAGCATGAGATGGAGGGGTTCACAGCATCGAAACCCCAAGAGGACCTTGCTTCCCCCATTGCCACAGCCTTGGATTCAAACAGAAATCCTGAGGCCCTCCAGACATTGCTGGTACAGCTTCCATTATCCTTGGATATTGGCCATGATAGTGACAACATCTGGAGGGCACTAGTTCCCCATCCCCACCCCAAGCCCAGGTATGGTAGTATTCTTTTACTGTGTCATAACGTACCACTGTTTTCCTGTCTAGTGTGCTAAAGCTTTGTGCAGTTTGGGTGAAGCAGACCAGGTATTATTTTTTTCCTAATGATGAGATCAGTTGAATGCTTCACAGACAGTGGATTACCAAGGGCGCAAATACTTTTTACATACTCTCTGATATCCCGACATTCTTCAGAAGAGCGTAGGACTTTGGCAGGAGATATGTTTTCTCAAATCTTTCTATTTGGTACACCCACAAACACATTTCAGGAACTGCCTATGAAGATGGACATTATTTTTTGCATGCAAAATAATTTGAGGAAGAATGGTTCATTTTCCCCTTATTTAAATTTGTTATGTTTTGTAATGAATTGTTTTAATGGTCTTTTCTGTTATCTTGTGCTTATTGTGAGCTGCTTTGGGCACAGTCCACTGTGGAAAAGCAGCAGATACATGAAACGAAACAGAAAATTTAGGAACTGCAAGCTGTGCTAGGACTAGACTGAAAGGGAGTGATGTGTCAGTATTCTTCCTTGGGTTTGTTTCTGTATCTCCCCTCCTACTGAAGATGATTTCCTGGCTCCTGCTTGTGCTGCTCACACATCTCCATCAAAGTTTGAGAGCAACGTAAGTTAAGCTTCACTGAAAATAGGCTTGAGAGAAATAACTGGGATGGGGAAAGAAGCACAGACCAAAGGAGCAAGAGACAGCAGTGGTGTTCCACAATCCTGCTGTCCTTCGGTGTTCTGTATAGTAGCACATACCCGAGGAGAGACGTACCTTCCTGTCCTTTTCAGCAACTAGGTCCGGGCCACAGTTGCCTGGATTTTACACCCCTTCTATGTCACCATATCCTAAGTAATCTTATGGGTCACTTTCAGTAGTCCAGTCCACTACAAGTGTCATATAAAGACCAATTCACACAAGTGGTGGAATGCTCTGATTTGCTCTGTCCTTTTAACCTTAATAAAACAATTATTGTGATGAACGGACTAACAGAACTGTCTGTCGCCAAGCACAGACCAGAAAACCCTTGGAAAAGTGAACGTAGCAGGCATTCCGTATTACAGTATGTGCGCTGCTCAGGTGAGGCGTTTCCTACAGGCACTTATAACAAACCAAGCTATAAGAAGCAAGCCATGTGCCCAGTGGTCTTGTGAACTGATTGTTCACCTCTCCTACGAAGAGGGAAAGGAAAGAACACGGAACCCTCTCGCTTCTCTACGTTTTACAAAGGAATGAATATGTGAGGAAGGTGCTGCTGTTTCTCCCAGGAGTCTGCAGAGAAAGGCTCATGTGTATACACACAACATACCGAACGACGGAAGGCTCTCCTAGTCTATACATTACTTTACTGTGATCCCCCCCCACCCCATCCCTGCCTTAAGAGAGAATTATGGATTCTTGTACGAAAGAGCGCGGTGGCAAATCACGATAAAAACATAGGCGTAGCGTTATAAACCAGACTCGCGGCATTACAGGGAATGCGTATCAGTCCCCGCACAATGCTACCCCACGTCTTTTCGCGTAATAAAGCCCTCCCCCCGCAGTGAATTTTCCTTCTTTACGAGGAACAGACATGGATGTTGGCAGGAAAACGCAATTGTGCAAGATCGCTTGATAAAAAGACCTCTGCGCCTCCACCTTGAGGCTGTGTGATGATTTTGTTCTCATACTATCACAGGTTACGGTTCATGTCCTATGTCTATATGTGCACGTACACCCTGAGTCGTCGTCGTCCTCATCACATCGGTGTGTGTGTGCCTGCACCGTACATGAGAAGCTAGAAGGCCGGCCAAACCCTGCTCTCTTCCGCCGCCCCCCACCAAACACCCCTCGGCTGTGACTCTGGGCCGCTGTCTTTGCAGCAGCAAAGGAGGGAAGTGAGGATCAGGGCCTGTCTTCCTACGGAGGGCTTCCGATGCGTACTGTGGGCAATGCCAGGTCCAGAGTACACAAGCTCAGCGCCCCCCCCTTCCCCCATTACAATAGGCCTGTCCCAAGCAGCAACCTCGCGGTCTATTTTGGCCGACAGAAAACACAAGTAAAGGCGGAGGGAAGCGGGCGAGCAGCTTCTCCTTCCCCTTTAAGAGGCGGAGGCGAGAGAGTTTGCGGAAGGGATCGCTCCGGGAGCGCAAGGCGAGTGGCTGAGCAAGTCTCGTGACCGCAGCTGACCCCGCCTCGGGTTCTCCCCCTCCTCGGCCCTCCGCGTTCCATTGTGTGTGCGAGCTGCGTGCGTCCCCGCCTCTCCTTTTTCTGACCACGCCCCTTTTTTCTCTTGGCTCATTTCCGGCCGCCGCCGCTCGCTTCCCTCTGAGGAATCGGGAGAGTGAAGAAACAACAGCCGCCATTTTGTTTGTGTGTGAGCGACTGAGGGGAGGGAGCGAACGAGAGGGACCGAGCTGGGCGGGTAGAGCCTGGGAGGTGGAAAAGCAACGACAGAGACCGACAGCCGCTCAGGGCCCCTGGCCGGCCAGACCTGAGGGAACCCGAAACCTCCGTGATACACCCCCTACACCAGCCTCGCAGCCAGTAGGGGAGTACGCACTCCCGGCTTCGGCTAGTGACTCGGGACCCCGGGTGGACCCCACCCACAGCCTCTCCTGGCTACTGAGCCCGTTCGCGGGGTCAGGAGGCCGCCTGGCTCCGGTTTGGAAAGCTGTTTCTTTTCTCTGCGCCCCCCCTTCCCTCTTCCCCAGGTCCTACATGGCGGACATGAGACGGAGCCGCTCCAGAAACGCCTGAGGCATCGCGTCTTCGGTTCCGAGGAGAGTCTTGTCCTCTCCGCAGACCAAGCGCTCGCAACCATCCTTATCCCCCAGGGAGGGGGAAGAGGCAGAGAGAAGGGGGGGAGGGGCCGCCGCCGCCGCCGCTGCTTTCTCCTCCTCCTGCTCTGGGATCGATCCCTCCATCTGACCAGAAGGGGGGCACCCTGCTACAGAGAAAGAAAGGAAGAAAAGGTGGGGGCGCGGGGTGCGAGTCCTGAAGCCCACCCTCTCCAGCCCCCATCCCGGGATCTCTGCTGCCTCCATCGGGACAACAACCCCTCCTCCGCCTCCTTGTTCCTGCACAACAAGATGTGAAGCGGAGACTCCTGGGACTTAGCTTCATCCTCCTCCTCCTTACGGCTCCCCTTTCTGCAGCCATTAGTGACTGGCGAGAAAGGCGCAGGGGGAGTTGGGGACCCTCGGCACTCTCCGTCTGTGACCCCCTTCCCCAGTCCCTTTTTCACTAGCAGTGGGCATTTCTCTCTCCCCCCCCCCTGCATTGCAAGCTGGTTTTTGGAAGGAGAGGGAAGGAACTGCGAGCAGAGGAGAGAGATTCTTTCTCCTTTTTTTCCTCCTCTCCTCCTTCGCCCGCCTCCTTGTGGCGATGAGGAGGAGGAGGACGACGCCGAGGAGGAAGAGGTTGATGGCGGCGGCGAAGAGGCAGCAGGAGGAGGAGAAGACGACGACCCCCCGGAGGATGAAGATGGTGGTGTTGGCGGCGGCGAGGAAGCACCAGCAGCCCCACAGCCGGATTTAATTCGATTTGTAAACCCACCAACCCCGCATATTTGTGTTTGGAGAAGGGTTTGTTCTGTTCTTTTCATCCTTGTTTTTCCCTGTGGGCCGGAGGAAAGACTGCTTCCACACCCTATTTCCCATCTCTGTCCCCCCTTAGTCGCTGCTACCCAGCAGAGATAGATCCCGAGGGGCAGAAAAAGAGGAACTTTGTCCCTTTCTTCTTCAGTTCCTTCTCTTACTGTTGTTCGGTTGATTCCGGATCCAAGAAGAAGGCTGACGACTTTGACGAACCCCATCTTTAATTTGGGCTCTGTTTGTCTAAAAAAGAATTAAAAATGGCCGAGAATGTGGTGGAGTCGGGCCCGCCTTCAGCCAAGAGGCCTAAACTCTCCTCACCGGCGCTCTCTGTCTCTGCAAGCGATGGCACAGGTCAGTCTCTCTTGCTTTTACCTCACTGCATATGGGTCCCTTCCCTTCCTTTCCTCTTAAATGTCCCCATGTTTTGCACAGTCTGTTGTCTAGTACCCTTCTTATACTGTCTATTTTTGCCTTTCTGTGTACCTACTTTTCTCTGCACCTTGCTGCATTAATCACATTGGGTGTTTAATTGCTGCTGCTGCCCTTTCATTGAAGGGGCTATAAGCATGTCTGTGTTACTTGCTTGCCCGTTTCACTGTTCTGCAGCAAATGAAACCTTTGTTAAAAAAACACCAACAATCCTAAACTCTAGTTATAGTGTAAATCATTACACAACTGTTATCTACATTTTTGTGCATGTAGAGTCCTGATTTTTGTAAAATCTTGCTTTTTAAAGATGAGGCATTCAGTCTTGAATTTTTTTTTTTGCTCTGAACAGTATTATGATGGATAGTTTGTTTCCTCCACCATTTCTTTCATAACCACAAAGCGTTCTTAAATGCCAACATTTCTGTTTGGTCAAGAGTCGTAATATTAATTGGCGAATAATGTTTGTATTGACATTTTGTTAAATAGTTCACCTGATTTGCCTTGAGAAACTATGGAGCCACCTTTTTCTTTTGCATCTTCTACTTCCTTGCTTTGAGACCAAAATGTCTGAAATTCCCATATAGTCTCTCTGCGTGTGTGAGGATGAGTACAACTATTCTTAACTCTTCTGTCTGTATTTTAATATGATATTTCTTGAGGTTCGTAAAAGCCAGCTAGTTAGAACTCTAGAACGCCTTAGAAATTATGGATGCAAGTTACAGGTGTTCATTTGGTAACAAACGTTTACTGGTTGTTTTAGAAGTTCAGGGAACTAAATCACTGTAGAATGCAACTGGCTATACAAGTACTGGTATTGCTTTTCTGAAGGTATAGGTATGGGGAGTAAGTAATCAAACAGTGCAGTAGTTCTTAACTTACTTTATTAGAGGAGAGGAGCTCTTCAGCCACATATCTGGGCATTGTGGTTACTGATGGTAGCCAGTTTTGTACATTGAACTTGTTAGCACTACTTCATATATGAAGTCGGGGGGGAAATGGCTGATATTATTTGATGCATAACAAGTTGTTTTCATTTTCTTGTCTTTTAGTTTGAATACTGGTTGGTTTAGCATAATTCAGAAAGCTGTTTTAAGCATTTGGTGCTGAGCAATGTTTTTTCTTGAATCCACTCTCCTTAAGAGCACTGTAGTAAGTTTAGGAACTGGATTTCAAATGAAGCAGCATTAATTACACCATTTATTGGGATATTGCACTTACCTGAAAATCAACAGGTTCCATTGTACTGGTAAGCAGAATTAGAAGCTCTGGCCAAAAAGCAAATACTACATAGGTAATGCAGTATATACTCATTTCTGCATACTGTGCTACAGAGTGGTATTTAGATTCATGTCAGGTCATTCTCTTAGACAGAACGAAGCTATGTAGTTAAATCTTAAAGCCTGCAACCCTATGCACACTGTAAGAGTAGTTTTAATTTTTGAGTGGGCATGCCTGTGCTTAAAAGTCAGTGCAATCTTGCACATATTTACTCAGAAGTAAGTCCTATTTTGAGATTCCTAACCATGTCTACTCAGAAGTCTTATTGAACTAAATGGAGTTTACTCCCAGATTACAGGGGTTAGGATTACAGTGCATATGCTCAAGATTGCATCCTGTATGTAGTTGTGTTCAGTGAATGATTCCTTTGCCTATGAGAATTGCATTACTCTTAATATCCAGTAAGCATATTTTAGTTGTTTTGTTCTTTTATAATACTGGTAAGCTATCGCATATCTTCCTACCTTATTTGAGAAGTATACTAGACAAATCTTAGTGTCTTGTAATGGTTACTTGGTTTGTTTACTAGGCTTGTTACCTCCTTTAAAAAGGTAATTATTGACTAGTAATAAATGATCTATAATGCCTATTTTGATTGAATCCTCAGTGAAATACTAGTCAACTGGAGATGTTAAGTGTAACATTAATTTAGCCGTGTTTGGAGAAATGCTAAGTATATTCAGCATACTGCAACCAGGGCTAGTCAAATTTAATCTCCAGAAGTACTTTATCTAGAGGTTAGATTGTCAGATACATTACTTCATATTTAGAATGTGGAAATATGATAGTTACTCTTACTTTATGTGTTCAAAATATGGACATGCAGAGAAGTAATTTAAAATATACTAACATGTGGTATGGTAGTAAACCTCATTTTGGAAACAAACTAGTGGTCTTCCCCCCTATAATGCTGCGTCACAGTGCTGCATCTTTTTCTAGCTAATAGAAGCCCTAGCTGCCTTATTTCTGTGTTCTTGTTCTGATGCCTTAAAACATAATTAATACAAGTTTAAAAGCATATATAGTTGTAGAATACTTCATATTAATGCTGAAATCATTAGAGTATATGGAGATATTAATGTTGGAGAAAAAAGACTGTTGATAAATAGAAACATTTCTAGATATGTCATTGCCATAAGAATAAAGTTGGCAATTTGTGCAGCTTTTCTGTCTGTATGCTGAACAGCAGTATTATTGCTTAGAATTCCCACATTGCCTGTATTGACTGCTATCAGAACTCCGGAATACGGTGCTTCCCCCTTTCCTCAAACAAATGAGTTTTGCTATAGTATTATTAATAGCTTTCATATTGAGTGGAAGGAGATGTCTTTTCATTATTTGATTATAACAAAGTTGTGTGGTCCTGTATGAGCTCAGCTGAAAACACAGGTTAGAACACAACACAAGCATGTGCTGCATTGAGAGAGAACACAACTACTGTATGCCATATCCATAAAGTAGTGCATTGTGTTATGAAAGCTCTTATTAAACCTACAGTATATCTTTTAATTTAGTTGTGTTTTGTGAAATGAAATACACATTTGAGAATTTTAGTTAGTGTAAACCTATAAGGTTGCATTTCAGTTGTCTTTCTGAAGGTTAGGTATGTAAAGAACTCTTGAGTAAAAATTGGAATATCATCCAGATACATACAGTGCTGATGTTGGGAAATGAGGCAGAAAGTAGGTAATGGACCTGCATTTTAAACCTGCTTCTTCTGTTTGGTATGTGACTGATTTTACAGACTATCATTTTACAGAAACAATTTGTTACTGTCATCTTGGCTACTTTGCAGCAACAGGCAAAACTAAATGTGTGCAGTGTACATTCAGAATAGCTTTGCAGGTACACAGCTATTCAGATTCTATGTCAGGACCCAAATAGGTGCTTTAGGCATACTCAAGGGCTTCGTGGAATTTTTTTACTGCACCTATGTGCTTTTGAACTGTCCCTCAGTTTCAAATCGATTTTGGAATGGAGTAGGATCTCCTTTTTGAAAAACACAGAAACCCCTTACCTTTGAGATGTATTAATTCCAGTATCATAAATCCTTGTCGTTAATCTCATTAGCCTTACTTTTCTGTTTGTGCATTAAACTTCTTGTATGCTTATTTCTCTGTCTGTGTACCTAATTAGAATTATTATTCCGATCTTCAAAATGTATAGCATTATACTCAGTCATGTTCAAAGTTGTGCTTTTCTTCTGACAAATAAGCATACTTTCAAATGACTGAAGTATGATTTGTATTTCATACTTAATTTGGTGTATGTGTGCCTAATTTGGAACAAATCACTTCAATCATGCTTTTGATATCAGTTCAGAGGTTATTGGAAACAGTATATCCCAGCTGCAAAATCCATAAGAATGAGCTGGAAAAGGTAGAACAAAATGGGAAAGTTTAGATGACTGCAAAGTATAAGTTATTTAGTATACGTTTTAGCTTTCTCTGTGAAAGATGGGAATAGAAAGCTACTGTAAACTAATAGTTACTATTGTACCACTGGCAACACACTCACACACACAAATAATGAGCTGTAGTGCATTTACCAACCTTGTGTATAAGGAATAGTTGTTCATCTTTTTCTTTCTCACTCCTTTGGCACCAATGCTGGTAGTTCCCTTCATGTTAGGAGAGTTAAGACTGCAGGTAAAGTGGATAGTGGAGGAGACCAATCTCTGTACTCCTCTTTACTTCTCCTGTTGCTTTCACCACATAGCAGGAATACCTTGCCATTGTCCTTGGGATCAGGAGCACTGGGGAGAGGTGGCAGAGGGTTCTTGTCTTTCTTCATAGCAAGCAGTTGAGCCTAGAGACAATTTCCCCAGTGGTGAATACCTTTGACCTGGGAGCCCAGCAGAAATGGTGGTAATAAGCCATGGAGCTTTAGTTTCGGACTACAGACATTTGGCCATTGGAAATAGAGCAAGTAGTTCTGGCAGAATTATAATATTTTTATAAGCATTTTAATGTCCAATGTTCCTTACTGTTTTCTAATGAAGGGAGTTGAAAAATGTAAGCTAGTTTTATAGAGTGTAGCTCTTGATGTCCTTATTTCAGTGTGCATGCATGTATCACTGGATTTTAGCAATTGTAAGGTAACTATTAAGCAATACAGAAGAATACTAAGTTGCAATCCCTGAAAACTCACATATCGAAGTAAGTGCCAGTGAAATCAGTGGTGCCTTAATGCCAAGTAAATATGATTAAATTGTGCTTCACAACACTATTAAATTGTGGCACCGTAAATAGTGTATCTACTTCCAAATGGTGGAGTCCCAGTGTGTTTCAAACACTTAAGACTGCTTTTTAAAGCTTTTTACATCATTAGTATCATCAGTACTATCATGTCATCCAAACAAAAGCTAAACAGTTTGCAGATGGGTGCAGACTAATTGTTAACAAGTCACTAGAAATAATATGTTTGACAGACTTTCCTAAACCAATCTCATTTATCACTGATCAATACTAATACAAAAGTTTATACTAGACCCTGTAGAAAACATATATTTCTAAGTATGTTGTAGGAATTGGAAGCATTCAATACTCTAGGTGTATAAAATCAAACTAGTAGCTGCATAAATAATCAGAGCGATATGCATTGTAGGTGAAGCATCCCTCCAAATAAAATAAAACACTGAGTTTTGGATCACAATGACAATTCATCTGTAGTATGTGGATGATTGAAGAACAAGCTTCTACTTACTAAGTTATATTTAGTGTTAAAGCATTGGTTTTGCAAGGGGGCAGCAAAATTTACTTAGTTGTGGCACCTGAAAGACTAAAGTTGCAATAGACGCTCAGCACTACATCAGGTGCTGCTGGGCATTGTGATAAATGTTTAAATGGCTCAAACCACCGGGTAAGCTTGTTAGGCAGCCCACCAGAGCTGGTCCTGCTGTAATCCTGAACACATTTGACTGTAAGACATATAATTGCACAGTAAAACCTGTTGTCCCATAGGCTTTTATATATCAGAGCCCACTTTATGAAATGCATGGTATTATCCTTAGTTGTCAGATATGTAGTAGCCCTAGAGATGTAAGAGTAGGACCAGGAGTCTTATCAAATTTCCATGCTGAGTTGAATGTATATGCAAGAAGCTTGCTGATAAGTTAACAATTTCCTGATTAGCTCTTCATTAAGAGCTTAGCAGTCAATTTATAGTTGATGTAAAAAATAAGTTTTTTGGGGGGAATCTAGAAAATACAAGTAACCTCTCATTGCTCTATGATTGGGGAGCTTAAAAAAAAACACTTGAGAGAGAAGCAATAGGCTTCTGCTTTGTTTTGGTGTAACTTCAGAGGAACATACTGAAAAATCATGTCATTTGCATAGGAGATGCTCGAATCTGGGTTCTGTTCATAGATTCTAAATGACCAAAGGCAAAACAGAACTTTCTGAGGTTTTGCTGTTGACATCCATATCTTTCTCCCCTTAAAGAATAATGTGCAGGACTTTGCTTGAACTCATCCCAAGAACATGAGAAGTTATGGGTCATTTGTACTAGTTTCAATTCACCAGGTAATCATAAGCAGTCTTGTACAGCCTTTGAACAAGCCCCTTATAAAAGTAGTTTCAAGGCTACTTTCTCTTAAGGCAGCTGCAGCTACTGCAGGCAACTAGTTAGGGTTTGGTTCATAGCTTTCTCTGAGTCTCAGCCTCTTGTAAAGGGCAGTGTCTTTGGAAGGAGCTGTTATCTCCTGTTGGTAAAGACTTGCATGCATGGACTGTCTGCAGACTAGTCACTTTCTTAATTTACTGGGACTTGATTTGCAAAAAAGGTACTGACTGCAGAGCTCTCTGCACAACAAAGCAGGAGTCATCTGGTATAAAGTACTAGCTCTAACTTAGTTTGGTTAGCACTGAATTGAACATATCCAGTAGATTTAACTTTTAAAGGAATAAACTCATGCTGAGAAGTGTAATGAAAATTTTTGGTTCTGACTTGGCATCTAATCACTTGGAGGCAGGTCCTAGTCACCACCAGTGGCAGTAACTCACTTTGTGATAACTGGTGTTCACTTGGGGCACATTTAGTGTCTCACATGAACTTGCCCTTTTCTGAGCTTCCCTGCTTTCTGAAATGAGGTTGTTGGCGATTAGGGAAAGGGGCATGTTTTATATGTGTGCTACCATGTATATGTGCATTGCAGAACCCAGAAATGACCCGGAAACATCATAAAGATGTCATTAAAAGGGTGAGGTGGAACGGGTTGTTTGCAGGCTTTGTCAATAGGTTTCAGTTATATGCAGCGTGTGCAGTGCCTCAGAATGTAACCCCCGCATAAACAGTGGACTGCCTGTAAAGCAGTCAAAGTTGCAGGATGGTAATGAAACAGGAAAGTGACCCATAGTTATTAGTTGCATTTCATGGCCTTTTGGCGCTACTGTTCACAACTTTTCCTCTCTGGCAATTACGTATAATTGGTATAATTGAGGATAGTGTTTCACGAATCTAATGAAGTAGGCTCTGGTTGTTGGTTGCAACTATGACAGCACTACCATGAAATAATAATAATTTATACCCCACCCATCTGGCTGGACATCCTCAGCCACTCTGGGCGGCTTCCAACAAAATATTAAAATACAGTAACCTATCAAACATTAAAAGCTTCCTTAACAGGGCTGCCTTCAGATGTCTTCTAAAAGTCTGGTAGTTGTTGTTCTCTTTGACATCTGGTGGGAGGACGTTCCACAGGGCGGGTGCCATCACCGAGAAGGCCCTCTGCCTGGTTCCCTGTAATTTGGCTTCTCGCAGTGAGGGAACCGCCAGAAGGCCCTCAGCGCTGGACCTCAGTTTCTGGGTAGAACGATGGGGGTGGAGGCACTCCTTCAGGTATACTGGACCGAGGTCATTTAGGGCCTTAAAGTTCAGCACCAACACTTTGAATTGTGCTTGGAAACATACTGAGAGCCAATGTAGGCCTTTCAAGACTGGTGTTATGCGGTCTCGGTGGCCGCTCCCAGTCACCAGTCTAGCTGCCACATTCTGGATTAGTTGTAGTTTCCGGGTCACCTTCAGAGGTAGCCCTACATAGAGCGCATTGCAGTAGTCCAAGCGAGAGATAACCAGAGCACGCACCACTCTGGCAAGACAGCCTACGGGCAGATAGGGTCTCAGCCTGCGTACCAGATGGAGCTGGTAAACAGCTGTCCTGGACACAGAATTGACCTGTGCCTCCATGGACAGCTGTGAGTCCAAAATGACTCCCAGGCTGTGCACCTGGTCCTTCAGGGGCACAGTTACCCCATTCAGGACCAGGGAGTCTTCCACACCTGCCTGCCTCCTGTCCCCCAAAAACAGTACTTCTGTCTTGTCAGGATTCAACCTCAATCTGTTAGCTGCCATCCATCCTCCAACCGCCTCCAGACAAATACATGATTACAAAAGAAAGAATTATTGCATCCCCAAATGCTTGTGTGGGCTAGATGTAGATTCTGGGTCTGAAAAGATGGACGACTACTAGCTAGTCAACGTATGCTGCAATAGATTTTGTTTCGGTTATTTAGGAACTTTCTGCTATCTTTTACTTTTCTGAAAACCAGCAGTCCTAAAGATTAACTTTTGTCTGTTAAAAAATAGGCTGAATAAAAACAGCCTGAAAGGAAACTTTGGTCCACATTTTGAATTGCTTCTGTGCTTTAACCAGTTTGCCCCATACCATATTTTCTATCAAAAAGGTGACATTTCTTGGAAGAGATGTGTTGGATGGGTTCAGAGGTGGGAAATATTTCCTGAGAGCACTTCAACTTCTTGTTTGTCTAGCTTCTTTGATTTTTCTTTCATATGATTGTGTCCAAAATAGACCTTGGAAGTACTGTGAAACTGCTAAATACTGTATTTGAAGAGAAATGCAGAATTTTAACCCTTCTGCTTTGCTTGGAAACAGAAATCTAAACTGAATATATTTTACTTTGTCATGCAACATAGCACAGGAATGGCTAGAATTTTGAAATGAGGCTCTTTTTGTTGTTTAAGTTCATTTTATTGAAATATAGAATGCTGGAAACAATAGCAAAACTGCAAAAAGTTTATTTTCATGTGATCCTGTGTATTGTATTGCATTGTAACTAATTGGACTTCATTCTGAAAATTAAGCTCCATTGACAACCATAGGAAATCCAAGTAAATATAATTAGGATTGGATTATTCTATCCTCAGTTGCGTAAGCAACAACTAAATATTCTACCCAAATAACAAATCTGAATGATGTGCCAAATATATTTTCAATTTGTCCATTCCCTTATTCCAAGTTCAACCTGCACTCAGATACCTGAGGTGAATATTTCCTGGGAAATACAGTCGTACCTTGGTTTTCGAACAACTTAGTTCTTGAACGTTTTGGCTCCTGAATGCAAACTGTTGTGTTTGTGAACTGTTTTTGGAAGCCAAATGTTTGACGTGGCTTCCGATTGGCTGCAGGAGCTTCCTGCAGCCAATCAGAAGCCTCACTTTGGTTTCTGAATGTTTTGGAAGTTGAACAGACTTCTGGAACAGAACCTTTTAAATTGGCATTAAAACAGCCTGATTTATTCAGTGGTGGCTATCTAGTCTTTTATATATTTTATGTGTTTGGGTTATCAGTGTATTTGGATGACTTTAAACAATAAAATAATACAAATCATATACTTATGCCAATAAAGGCCAAGAACAACAAATAACAGCTAAATTTAGTGTTTAAAGTTAGTTGTTTAAGTTTTAGCTGTTACTGAACTGAAGCCGGATGGAAATAGGGCTGTAGTTTATTTCCAGTATGATGGTTTTTAGTATTGGGAAGCTCATGCTTTCCACCATTTCATGAATGAAAGAAACATCCTAACCAATATGAGAGTGTTTTCTTCAAGTGTGTGTGAAGAGCCAAAGAAAGCTATTCATGTACATCAAGGATGGGGAACTGGATCCAGATGAATCTTTATCTCCTCTGCCCCTGTGGGTCGTTTGCTAGATGGGTGGGATCACCCATCCTTCAGTCACCTGACATCAGTGTCAGGTGACTTGCTTTTGCTATAGTTTGAAATTGAATCTAATGGATTTGGGTGCAGTGCTTTGTGTCAGTGATCAGCTAATCATCTGATGGCTTTGATCACTGGTGCTTGCAAAGTGCTCTGCATGGCGGTTTGCAGGCACTGCGGATAGGCACTGCCTGCACCCCCCTTCCACCACAGCTTGACCTTTACCTGTTCCAAACTTGAGTTCATATACAGCAACTGTGGCTTGACTGAAATGGTCTTGCTAGCCTGGGAGGCTTAACTTTGCCTTGGTTCAGTGGTTCCTCACCACAAGTGTACATTAAAGTAAAGAATGTTGACAACATCATTCATTGTGATTTAAAATTGCATTAATATTTTTGTGAAGAAGCAACACACCTCAGCAGGTTCTGATTATTTGAACCTCCATTAAAAAACAACAACAAAAACCCCAAACCCTCGCTGTTCTTGCCTAGAACTAACGTGTCCCTAAAAGAGGAAACCATAGCACTGGGAACTAATCGTTTTCAAAATAACTGTTGGCATATAATGGCAACCCTGTAAACTGCTGTCCTCAGTGCAGTTCAGTACTCATCTGGCCTCACAGAAACACACATTCTCCATTCTATTAGAGTGCATGTTTGATATGATCAGTTTAAGGTTCAACCTAAAAATTCCCACAGTTTTAAAATCAGTTGTAAGAGGGGGGAAAAACCAAATCAGGTGAACCAAACATTCATATTGCAGTTTCAGAACACCTGGCAAGTAAATGATAGGTTAAGAATATCATAGGACTCCTGGTTAATTGAATACTAATGAAAGTGTTAAATCTCTAGAAAAAGGTATAACCGTTTCTTATTTTCTAATCCACATTTTATGGATTTTTTTGTTTTTGTTTCTATAGTTCTAAACATGCTGAAAATGTACACTTTCCACTCAGAATGCTATGAGAAGGGCAGCCTCTGTCTATTGTAGTAAGAGGTTTTAAAAAGCCCTCATTGCATTGTGTTTTATAATAGAAGTTCGTATTAGCTTTTCTCTTTCTTCACTTCCAAAATAAATCAGTTGTACTTTAGAGTGAGATATACCTTAGAATGCTGCCTTTAAAAAGTTGCATGGCATTGTTGGGTTGCTTGCCTTGCAGTTTCTTTGGGTGTGGCAGATATCATTTGTGTTTTTCTTTATTTCTTCCTTGTTTGCTGAAGGATAGCATAATCCATGCGCTCCATAGTGAGATGTTGCTGCATGTGTGTATGCTGACTCCAAGGACTAGAACCCTTCCGATGTTGTTGAACTACAACTTCCATCAGCCAAGCAAGCATGGCCAATGGCCCAGGATAATGAGAGCTGTAGTTTGGCAACATTTGGAGGGCCCAACATCTGAATGCCACTAGCATTTGCATACTGCTCATAGGGGTTAGCACTTCGTATGGAAAACTCCATCAAGCACGGTCATGTCAAAGCAGGCCACTATGTGGCAAATACGAGCAGTTTGCATTCCTCACAGGTGTTCCTGCTGTCTATGAACTGCCCTCTCAAGAAAGACTTGCACATGGGAGCAGGGAATGTAGATGAGAATGCTAAACTAGATTGGGCCTGGTTTGCAGATAATGCTAAGCCAAATTAACATAGTAAACAATACCATAATCACAGGTGTCGCCACAGATGATCGGGCAAACATTGGCTTGTTTTCCCCCTGCCTCCTTGCCTGCTTTGTTAGAGAAGAGGGACTAGTTTTCTTTCACAGGCAAGATTCCATGAACTGGACACTTGTCCTCTGGAAGGAAGAATAGGACTTTGTATGTGTGTTGGTGGGTTTTGGTCCAAAGGGAAATCATTGAGTTGCTGCTGCTGGCATTACTTCACCTATCTCATCATTTCCAATGTAGCCTGAAGTGTCCCTCCTCCCCTTTTCCTGTTTAAAATTGGGACTTTCTGATATGCTTAGAATATATCCAAGCTGTAAGCCCCACTAAACTTACTGGAGTTTACTTCTGAGTAGACATGTATAGTAATTTAGATAGGAAACCATAGAAGCAGAGAAGCAGAGAAGAAAGAAAATTAACTGGGGGAGGGGAAAAGTATCCATAAAATGGCAGCTTGTGGACAGAATCTTAAGATAAATTTATCTATTATTTATTAAATTTGTATACTGCCCTATACCCACAGGTCTTAGCGCGGTTCGCAGGATAAAAACAGAATATAACACCACAAAATGCATAATCAAAACAAAACAACCCAAGGGTAGTTTTCTATGGTAGTTTTCTTTTAAAATAATTTTAAACGCCCCATGCTCACTCGTGCAGGCATGACTTTAGAATGTTAGCAACAGGCTTTTAAGCTTTGTAAACAGTAGACAATGAGTGAAGTGCGGAAAGCTGGTCGTAATGAGAAATAAACACTGTTTAAATTTTTATCTCCACTCCACAACTCTTCTGTGAAGTCATGGTGGGTCAGAGCAGACAAAGTTCTGTTAAGGAATGCAATTTTATTAATAGTTGCCATAACGCAAGTTGCTTTAAGAAATCTGGAGGTGGAAGAATTGTTTGGGGGGAAAGGACCATGTTACCAGGGAGATCTAGCAGTGACATCATTTATACTCTTACTACTGTCTCTGTACCTTTATGTGGAACAAACAACCACACTTAAACCATAGTCAAAAAATTGTCCTGGTTCACATCTCTAAACTAGAGATGCAGAACTGGATGTGGCTGGCAGGTTGGCTCCTCAATTCTCCCACTTCTCACATGCCAGCTTTGACAGGTAAGTGGGACCAGTTACGGCAAACCCTTTTGAAATCCCATTTGCTGGCAAAGTTTGCATTCATACTGCATCTACACATGGACATTTCTCCTCTGGAGACATCAGGTGTGGTTTGAATCCAAGTAGTTTTGCAGATCTCTTGGGGCTGTCAGTGAGCCCCATTTGCAAAGGAACAATTGGAGCCACATACTTTCCTTATACTAGACATAGCATATGATTTCAGTTGTGGGGCAGATAGACATGGTTAGGAGGAAATGGCGTAGAATCAGGACACACTGGGCCTAATCGGCTCATGGGCCAGAGATTTCTCATCCTTGCTCTAAAACATAGTTAATGTCAGGTGGCCAACCATGGCTTATTTTATTTGAGGAACTGGGTCAAGTTCACACATAATACTAAACCATGAACTAATATGTGTGAACCAGGTAATTCTCTCACAGAAATATGGAATATCTTTTATAGTACATACTTTATTGAAATATCAAATTGCTGAACAGTACAGTATGTTGAACATTTCAATTTCATTTTGTATGAAAGTGCTCCAAAGGTGGAGCAGGTTCTTGCAGGTGCATTTTTAGTGGGTGTCTAGGGCTACTTTCTAGCTTGAGTTGGGTGAAACAGGTTTTGAAACTGAAAGTCCATAGTCAATAAAAAGATGCTGTAATTGCTTAGTTGTAGGCACTATCATTCATTTCCTTTGTTGTGTGTCCAAAATGGTTTTGCATAAATAGATGCACGAAGCCTAACATTTGGCAGTTGAGGTTTGTAGCATTTAAAACCTACTCCCCCCCCCAAAAAAAACCCCACTGATGTTTAAAAGGCTTTTGATCTTTCGATTAAAAAAAAAATCCAAGTATTTTTTCATGATGGAAGGTATGTATGTGTGTGGGCACATCCAGCCACCCTCCATCATGAAAAAATACTTGGATTTTATTTTTTTTTAATCGAAAGATACATGTGTACTTACAGGTGGTGACCATTTTAGGTAAAGGTAAAGGGACTCCTGACAATTAAGTCCAGTTGCGAACAATTCTGGGGTTGTGGCGCTCATCTCGCTTTACAGGCCAAGGGAGCCGGCGTTTGTCCGCAGACAGTTTTTCCCGGTCATGTGGCCAGCATGACTAAGCCGCTTCTGGCGAAACCAGAGTAGCGCACGGAAATGCCGTTTATCTTCCCGCCGGAGCGGTACCTATTTATCTACTTGTACTGCGTGCTTTCGAATTGCTAGGCTGGCAAGAGCTGGGACCGCACAACGGGTGCTCACCCCGTCACGGGGATTCGAACCGCCAACCTTTCGATTGGTAAGCCCAAGTGGCACAGTGGTTTAACCCACAGCGCCACCCGCGTCCTGGTGACCATTTTAGGCATGTCCAAATGACATGTGATCACCAACACGTGGGTCCTTTGGTACCCAGAAGAAGGCAGAACAGAAGCAGTGTGTGCTTGTATGTGCTCTGCTGACATGTATGGGGGGGCCAGGAACAGAACCAAGGTTTCCTGCCTGTATTTCTGTGCTTAAAGCTGTTTTAGGTTTAAGTAGATTGAGCTGATGCAAACTCAATATACTTGTGTGAACGATAGCGTGTTTAAGACCTTTAGTCTAGGCAATTCAGTTGCTGAACGAAAACCAAGAAGGAAGTATTCTTTATAGTGGCACATGAAGAAAACTGGTGTTGCACAGTAAGTTCCTGGTTCATTTCACTTCGGCTGTGAGCTTGCTAGGTGTCTTCATTAGCTACTGTTTTCTTGCCCCCATCTTCAGTATGGTGTAACTACAGACCTACTTTGCAAGGCTATTTGTAAGATTTACCAAATTTATATCTGGAGTGCTTTGAACTCTTGGCATATGGCATGGGTGTGAAACCTCTAGCTTGTGTACATTATTAGACCTAGTGTTTGACCTGCAAGGCTGGCTGCCATAGCCAGCTGCCTGACACCTGAAGTACTGTGTGATGTCGTGGATAGGGTAGGCAAGGACGTGGCTCCAAATGAGCTATTGGAAGCTTAAAGTGGGCTTCCAATTGTTTATTTGCAAGCGGGACATGCTGACAGTGTTGATCAGGTGATGTGCACTGACAGTGAGCCCCACTGGGATTAGCCAAGAAGGCACAGTGCTTTACAAGTGCCGACAATCAACTGATCATTGGTGCTTGAGAAATGTTGTGCCTTGCCTGCAGTGGCTTGATTTCAAACTGCATGGGCAAAAAGGAAAAGGAGCCATGTGATGTCAGATGATTGATAGATGGTCAGCACTGCCCATCTGTCAAAGCAAACCTGCTGAGGGGTTGCAGAATAGGGGAGGTAGGAATCTGGCCTTCCAGCCAGATCCAGTTCTTTCACCACAACCAATAGTTTACAAACACCATGTGACATTATTTTTACAATGAAAGCTTTTAACATGAGTTAGAATTTTGCAGTAGTAAAAGAAATTAAGCTTTGGATATATAAATATGAAGGAATGTGGTATAGTTGATATTTTATTTGATTTGCACAGGAGAGCCCTTGGTTTAAGCCAATGCTAAGCATTGTTCACCTTCGGTCAGTTACTATTGCTCAGCCTGACATATTCTGTAGGGTTGTGGAGGAAAAATGTGAATTTTTTAAAATGATTTTTAATTTCAAGTAACTAAACAAGGAATGCAGAGCTTAGTAGTTATGCAGAAAAGAAAGAAAAATAGAGGCTGATGGTTGTAGTTTTAGATGTCCCAAGAAAAGCGATCAAATGAAAGTGTTTCTTCATAAGGTTCCATGAGTCGATTGTCTTAACAAAGTCAATAAAAGGATAACTTGTCATATAGAAGGTGTGAGTTTTCCTCCCCCACCCCCCAGTCAATATTCCTTTTGTGAAATGGCTAATCTGACCAGAAGCACAATACCTGTGAAATCCAGGCTTCAAAAAGATTGGCATTTAAAGTTTTCCAATTTTTTTTGCAGTCACTAATCTAGCTACAGTTAATAAATGGAGAATCAGGTTTTTATTGGTTATGTTCTTAATCCGAGGAGAAAAATTATTGTAGGGCTGTAGCTATTGTCCCATCATTTGATTCTTTGAAAAACTTTTTCCCGAAAGGGAATAATTTTGGGGCAAAACCACACGTGTGTACTAGAGACAGATAAATTGCATTCCTGCTAGCAAAGGTCAGATATGTTATGATTAATTCTCTATAATCTGGCTGGGCACATCTACTAGTAATGTGCTATCTTTAAAGCATTTTCTCAAGTTCTAATTGAGATTGATCCAAATGGGAGTTTATTACAAATGTGTTCCCAGAATTGTTCCTCTGTTCTCCAAAATCTTTTCCCCATTTTAGTCTTAATGAAGTGAGAAGAAGGGTAGCCAATTGTGTGAGGCTTTTATATAGTTGGAAAAATGTGAAATACTTTTTGAAAAAAACCTGTTTATGCTTCTAGGCTTGCTGCATAGTTAATTAGATAAGAAAAGTGATATTGTGCCAGCATTGAAAAGAGCTAACTTTTATGTGAAATATATTCTCAGTGTTTTAAACCATTTCTTTTCTTTTTTCCTTTCCCTAGATTTTGGATCCCTGTTTGATCTGGAACATGACTTACCAGATGAACTGATCAGCTCCACAGAATTGGGACTTACCAATGGTGGTGACATTAATCAGCTGCAGACTAGTCTTGGTATGGCACAAGATGCTGCTTCAAAACACAAACAGTTGTCTGAACTGTTACGTGCTGGTAGCTCACCAAACCTTAATATGGGAGTTGGTGGGCCAGGTCAGGGCATGGCCAGCCAGCCCCAGCAGAACAATCCAGGAATGGGAATCTTAAACAGTATGGTCAAAAGCCCCATGGCACAGGCAGCATTGACATCTCCAAATTTGGGGATGGGTGCAAGTGGACCAAATCAAGGTCCGTCTACTCAACCCACTGCAGGAATGATGCCAGCAGTGAACAATCCGGTAAATCAGCCTGGAATGGGAATGAATGCAGGAATAAATGCTGGCATGAATCCTGGTATGTTGGCTTCAGGAAATGGACAAGGCATGATGCAGGGGCAAGTTTTGAATGGTTCGATTGGAGCAGGAAGAGGACGTTCCAACATGTCATACTCGAACCCAGGAATGGGTAATGCTGGTAACTTGTTGGCTGAGACATTGCAGCAAGGTTCTCCGCAGATGGGAGGACAGACAGGCTTGAGGGGTCCACAGCCTGGAGCAATGGGCAAGGTAAGTCAAAGTTTTTCTTGTGATCACAAATAAAGTTTTTGAAGTATAATATTTCAAAATACCTGAGCATTTCCAGAAAACAGGCTTGTTCACTGCAATTATGAACGATACCTGGGAATATTTAAGCATATGAATACATGATAAGGAGGCATGTAGCATTATATGAAAAGTTGTATTTCTAAAAAAACCTCATAGTCTTTGTGTCCAGTTACAGTATTGCCATTCAAAATGATGTATTGAGTTTATAGCTTTCAATAGTACCTATGATTGATGTATTGGTTCTTCAATTGAATTTTTTCCCTAGTATTAAAACTACTGGGAAGGCAAATATTGCTATTCTTCAGTGAAACATTGCTATAATTGTGGGTGGGGTGGGAATATATGTGCATGCAATATTTTCCTTGATTTGTTAAGTAGTGGGTAGGTTTATCATAACTGTTACCCATGATTGATAACTTCAACTTCCAGGTGCAGCATTTCTGAGTACAGATGCTGGTGCCAAACAGTGAAGGAGAGTTTGCGTGGTGGTTGTAGATATTTTGTAGTCACTTTTACAAATTGGATGGTAGACCTGTAGGTTTGCTCCAGCAAGACTTCTCATATCTCAGTACTTGGAAAAAACAGTACTGTGAGTGTAATAAGGCACCAAGAACAGTATCTTCACTAATTAGAATGAATAACCTAGCGCTTTGTAAGTGGTGGAGCAGAAAAATGCTGTACATTTCATTACTAATCATGTAGCTTTGGTGTAACCTCTGCATGTAGTTGTTTACTACTTCAGGGGAAAGGATAGGAAACAGCTTTTCTCTTACTTATTTTAGTACAGTGTTTAGATTAAGCATCTAAAATGAGTCCTCAATAGGTACTTGCCTAGCAGGTGCTTATCCTATGGGAAATATGTAGCAAACTGCCAGGTTTCTCTCATTGAGTGGTAGCCAGTGAGAGTTAACACATGATTGTACAGAGCAGCAAATAGAGGACTTGGGTGCTTTATGTAAAATGGGTGAGGAATTATATCTAGCTGGTGGGCTGTACCCTGGTTTCTCCTGCCGATGGTGCGCCATTTTGACAGGTAGGTGAGCCTCTGCCCACCTGGAAATTACTCTATGTCACTGTGATGGCAGTTGACACATTTTTACTTGGTAGTGCTACAAAGGAAATTCTAGTTCATTCAAGCCTGACTTGGAAGTTACCATCAAGCTGCTGATACAGGCCAACTTCATGCTCTACTTTGAGCAGGGATTTAGTGCATTACTGTATGGGGAACTCCATGGTTCAGCTGATCCCAGCAGGGCTGCTGTCACTGCCAAAACCAGCTGATCAGCAGTGATAGCAAGTCTCCCTTGCCAGTGAACAATTGGGAGTGTACTTTAAGGCTCCCAGTAGATCATGACTGCCATTGCACAATCTGCTCCATACCTGATATCACAAGACATCAGTTGTGGGGTAGGTAGGTGTGGTTTTGGGAAAGCAGCCTCACAAGCCAAATTGGGAACACAGTGCTAGGTCTAAGTAGGCCCACAAACCAGAGGGTCCTCATGCCTGGTGATAGATGTAGTCAGAAACATATGAAGGGCACACGTTGGTGAGGATTTCTTTAGTAGAATAGATCTATGCAGTCTTTGCATATAATACCCTTTCACCTGTCTTTTGAAAACTCATTTGCTCTAATGACTAAACAGAACAATGTGTTCAGTCTCCGTAGTGTGGCCCTCACTGGCAGGTTTACTTCTTAGATGCAGACTGGGTTTGCAAGTTGCTTGGCTGATGAGCTTGGTTGATCAGTCAACCTGCTTGCCTTACAGTTCCATCTTTGTGAGCTGTTTAGCTTGTCAAAGAGTGAAGCTTGTAAAGGGGATATAGCAAATTCTGATCTTTGGTTCCTAAGGTCTGCAGAATCTCAGTTGATAGTTCAGACATAAGTCTTGTAAGCAGACTTCAAAGGCAATAACTAGCTCTAAAGTAACAAAGTAGAACAAAGATTTTAAGTTTGGATGTATATAGGTGCAGTGACAAGATAAGAATAACATTTTATTTTTAGAAAGCTTGTTTTTTTATGGGGAGAATGGACTTCACACTGTCAGTAGCGAGGAAATGGAAGTGTGTGACCAAAAAAATAGTACAGTATGGTGTTCTTTGTTTTTGTTTAACTCAGGCAGTGGGAAGGCATGAGAGGCTGGGCTTTAGCAATGAAATGTAACTACTATTGTAGGTGCAGTTGGCTACACACATATTCAAGTGACAAAATATGAATTTCAAATTATCAAAAGTAGTGCCAGATTTTATATTGAGATGAAATCTGGAATTTCAGAAAAATATGTAGCATCACTGCTTAGCATAACTTGAAACAACACCGTCTTATAATATAAAATAAATTTGCCATTGTAAATGTAACACCCCCCTACAAAAATACTTAATGATCCATGTTTTATCAACATGTTTGATTTCTTGTATATTTGGCTGGTCAGTTGAACAGTGTCCTAACCCTGAAAGAGAATGCAAGTGTTTGATTCAGTCTGAGAACTTACTGGAATCTAAATTGAAGAGAAGAGGAATCCTGGCCCCAGATGCAGGGAATTAATCAACATTTTTTGTAGTTGAATTCTTGAAGCAAAAACATTTTTTGCTTGACATGAGAGAGCTTGTTGCTATTGAGGAATGTTTTTGTGACAGGACTGCTACATTACTGTATTTCCATCGCTATTTCTGTGCTTGAGATGGCAGCTTTTTAAAAATAATGTGAATGAGTTGGACACACCCACTGCAGAATGCTTCACTGCCAGTGACTACTGTAGGTACATGTTCACATTTGGAAGTTGGGGAAGTAGAATCACTTCAATTTTGTCTACTAGTGAATGTTTTGGTTTACATGGGAAATGATTTTAGCAAGGTATATGTGAATGAGGTGGACAGTGATGCTTGGAAAAGGGAAGTCTTGCAGTCATTGCTGATTTCGGTGGCATCTTGATAGAAGTTGTGGAAGCACTATCCCAGAAACAGGGTTAACATGTGGAGTAAAGAACAAATATGACAGTGACAAGGCCCTACAATTTGCTAGCCATGCCCTCTCCCTAGCAAGCATCTTTCACCCCACCTCCTCACCTGGTAAGGGGAGCATGCAGGCTTGGGAGCTGCAGCTCAAAGGAAGTGGCATCCAACAACCTTCTTGGCTTCACTGATGTGGTCCAAAGGAAAGGAAAGTTTAGTTGCTGGAAGGAGGTATACAGGGCACCATCCAACCGTCTTAGGGACTCCATTTTGGATTGTGTAGGATTTACTCCTTAGCCTTTTCTTCACCTGAACATGTCCCACAAAGTAGCGGGTATGGATTTTTTTCTCAGGGTTTACTGGTCAGTTCACCTCCTGTTATATGACTCAGGCTGGGAACAGGTTGTGTTCTATCTCTAAGAGCTACTGAAGTAAAGATACATTGTGCCCACCTTCTGATCTCCACTATAATGATAACTCCCATTTAATATTACTACTTTGGGGAAGGGTTGCTATTTATGTATTGCCCTTAAAAATAACTGGTGTATTCTGTGGCTTCCAAGATAAAAACCTGTAACACCTCTTTCAACATGGATTTCCTGGAAAAATTTCCGAGAGTGATCTAGTTTGCCATATTTTCTTGTATTTAATAAACAAAACTAAAATCTTTGAAACTATCAAGCTTGCGTAATAGCTGCGTTTGGCATCTTTTCATTTTTGCTAATGAACTTATAAAACAGAAAAAATTTCATGGAAAAATAAAGCTCTGAAAAGTTTTCTGCTGCACATTGCTGAGAACTCTTGTGCTTTGCATAGACATGAAACACATGAATAGTGGCTCTGGAGTGATACAGTTTCCTTTTCTCAATCTATGGGGCTTGTATGTTTTGTTTCCCAAAGCACCTAGAATTCTAAATTGCAAACATTTTTATTTATTACCTGATTATATCAGGCCCTCAAGGTCTGAGCCAGCAGAAATTCTTACTGGCTCTTTCTTGGTAGCAGTTGTTTAACCTAACCCTGGTTTGGGAAAGGTTTTGAATCTGAGAGCAAAACTGGTATGTTTACCTAAAGATGCTTACAGCCAATAAAAAATCAATATAGATTAACAAAAAGTTGCAAAGCAACAACACTGTCTTTCAAATGGATGCAAATATGTATTTGATCAACACAGTTATAGGTGGCAGTTTAGAATTTGATTTCATATGGTTGTATCCAATAGTAGCCTTGCTGTATTGAAAAGTGTTTCTGCTCTCAAGATAGGGAACATACCTTTCACTGATCCCACTACCTTCTGCAGACCTTAGTGCCATATTTCATAGAAGGGCTGGTCAAATAACTAGATTTAAACTGGCTAAACTTAAAGGTGCAAATATAATCCTCATTAATTTATTGATCACCTCCTTAAAAACCATCTCAAGGTGATGTATAATTAAAACAAGTTATAACACAAAAATAGCAGATTCATTTAACACAAAAACGAAATCAAGAAAAGACAGTTATGATATAGACCAGTTAATGCTGCTGGTAAAACCTGTTGGTACAAACATGTCACTTATTTCAGGAAAGTACAGGTAGAGAGGGTGCCTGTTGTATCTTGACAGGAATTCTATTCCACAGAGTGGGGACAGCCACACACTGCTCCGAGTTACTGCAGAGTGGGCTTCTGAGATCTTTGGAACTTGCAGGAGAAACTTAACTGCAGGCATTTTCAGATAGCCAAATAGCAGTTAGAAAGACAGTGACCCTGCTACCAGATCTAGCTTTGTGACTTGAAGCCCACAAAATGCAGTGCTGCAACCTTTCATCAGCTGAAGAAGCTTCATAATTCTATAATGAGAATTTCAGTTCCTAAAGATTAGTTGGCTTATGTAAACAGATTTTTAGAAAACCATTTCTTTATTACCAAAAGTTCTTAAGAAAAACTGCAGGTGTCAGGCATAATTTGGGGGCATAGCTTTTTTCTTCAGAAAGGCAAATGTTCTTCTAGGATGGTGCCGCCTGTAACATAGGCACAAATAATCTGAACACTGAATGTCTTTCCCTTAAACAGTTTCATTCTATGCAGACGTTTACAGAGCTAAATTTTAATGCACTTTTACTCAAAATGCATTTTTTAGTATTGTGCGTTTTTACTCAAGCAAATCCATTGAACAAAGTAGGACTACTGATAAATGTACATATCATTGCAGGCTTAGTCTGTTGGCTATACCTCACAAGATTGATAAACTCTACTAATATTTCTTTAATAGTCTGACAACTTTAATAATATAATAATACTTAACATGTAAAGATTCAGTTTAATGAGCAATTGGAGTATACTGTCTTCAAATCCTGAAATTTACTTGAGTGGTAATTGGAGAAGCAAAGAAGATTGTTTAACGTGAATTGTAGATATGGTTTTGCTCTGCTTCTGTCAGTTTTAGCAGAAAGGACACTCTTTTTGGCTTGGACACCCCCATTTGGAATGTATGTTCTTAAGCTAGCTGAAGATCCTATTAGACGGAAATCTGAAATGGAGGCTGAGACTCAAGAGTGTATTCAACTGGTTTGGCTGTTGGCAGAGAGCCCAAGTTTCACTTTTTGAGGTGGAGTTGGTACAAGCTGACAACAAGCATGCTTGATCTGTGTTGCTCTCCAACCAGCTGTTGTCGATACCCCACAACCGAGTCTAGAAAAATAAACTGGGAACAGGAGGTTTTTTAGGGGTCTAAAAATGAAAAGTATTTTGTAGCCTACGTATAGCTGAGCTTCATCTTCAAATGAAATACTTGGCTTCTTTTGTATGGCAAAGCAAAATGGCATGGCTGTTGTGCATATCAGGATGAGCATTTTCTTCTACTTTCATGGGGTTGTAATATATAGGTGCTTTATCTGCAGGAAACATTCTTGTCAACAACACTTTGTTGTACTAAGGTTTGATATTTGTGCTTTTATAAAAGCCCTTATCCTGAATTCTAAATACAGTAGGTGGAAAGCAGTGGTGTGAATTTCCATTTTCTAAAATGGATCTAATTTTCCCCAATGCCCAGTTTAAATCAGCTTTACAAATCTGATTATGATAATTGTTGGATTTAGTCTATACTATATATAGCAGTCTCAAAACTCTATACCATATAGCACTGTGTACTATAGATGTGGTATAAATGTTAGTAAATCATATTCAAAGCTTTACTAATTTTTTTTTAATTTGCAACTATTTTAAGACAATTTAGTGTTATGCACTTTGCTTAAATTTAATGGGGGGGGGAGGAAGCACTGAAAATTGTTAACATATGCTAATTTTATCAAGCCCAAACAGCTGTACATGAGAGAGAGAGAATGAACTGTGTTCATTTACGTTGAAGTGACTTAGTTAGATATAACTGACAGTAGTTTGGAATACTCTGGATTTATTTTTGTTTTACTTCTGTTCAGGTGTTCAGTGTTTTGTTTTTTAAAAGAGGTGTGTTTCTATCCATTCATATAAATTGGCCTGTTCTGGCTCTAATTGAGCACAGTACAGTGATTCTACAATCTTCTGGTGTCGTTGAATATACTCTAGAACTCTTGCATTTGAGCTGTAATTTAATTTTATTATGTGTGTGAAAAGGTGAGTCACGTTTTCTTGAACAGCAGTTAAGAATTATGGATTAGTAGTTACTTGGCATATCATTGGTATACATGAGCTACAGTAAATATCATTGATGGGTGTAGAATAACCAGACCTTGATATCTGAACATTATGCAGTCCGAGTGGAATTAAGCAACAACTGCAGTACAAGCTCTTGCAGGTAGAACTAGATGAAGTTGGGATGTAACTTGGTGGCAAATTTTTGTTTGTACTTTTATTTATTTTTGAATAATTTCAAAGAACAATTGTACAAGACATCCCCTAGTAACATAAATATACAACCACATGTGAAAGGGAAATGTCAGGATGAAATTGGGATTAATCTCTGATTAGGTTCACAATAGGAAGTGTGCACAGTTTGAACCTGGGACATCTTGTACACAACCCCTGGCATTTCTAGGTAGGGCTGATAAAGACCTAGCAGCAGCAATGGTTTGGCTTGGTCTAAGGCATTTTCCTATGTTCTTGTGCACCATATTAGCAACACCAAGGATGTGGAATGTGTATCGTTTCAGATGTTGTTGAACTCAGATTCCCTTCAGGCCCAGCCAGCGTGGCTAGTGATCAGAGTTGTTAGGCGTTGGAAGCCCACATAGATTCCACATACTCTCTGGTTCCCAATCCTGGAATTTTTGTGTGGTATAAAGGATATGGTTCAAAACTTATATGTCGGTATGCAAGAACTGACAAAATCATAATTGAATAGCATAGTTTCTGGGGCTTCAGTAAAAAAAGACATGATATACAGTGGTACCTCTGGATGCGAATGGGATCCATTCCGGAGCCCTGTTCACATCCTGAGTAGAACGTAACACGCGTGTGCGCGGGTCGCGTTTCACCGCTTCCGCACATGTGCGTGACGGCATTTTGTGCATCTGTGCATGTGCGAGCGACGAAACCCAGAAGTAACGCGTTCCATTACTTCCGGGTCGCCGCAGAGCGTAACCTGAAAACGCTCAACCTGAAGCATATTTAACCCGAGGTCTGACTGTATTTGATACATAAATGAACTCCAAGAAAGGACACATTTTGATCCATTGATTTACATGTTGGCATTGTCTAACAAGTGTTTTGGCCACTTAAGGATTCAATATGCCACATATTAAAATGAACTGAAAGGTTTGGCTTTGCAATAATAAACCTCCTTAACTCTTGGTAAATACTGAATTTAATTCAAATGTATATGTCTGGGGAAAGTCCATCTTATCTTCTCCTTTATTTTTTCTTGATGATGGTTCACATGTCTTTTCTTAGAGCAAACATGCTAGAGTAGCTTGCAACAGTGTTTGAAATTAGCCAGGCACATTTTGCACCTGGCTATCAGCCACTTGTGACCAAGTAAAGAAGCCTAAGTGTGAGGATGGCGCCTGACATTTCCACCATCTGGAGGTGCATGCCTCAGGATCCTTGGATTTTGATTGTTTTCACACACTAATAAGACATCCTGTAGAATTCTATACGTTTTATTTTATCTACAAAATCAGAATGAATTTCAGGAACCAACATGCTTTATCTGTGCAGCCTGAGCAGGAGCAGTGAACAATGTTATAGTTAATTGTTGTAGCTTCTCTTCACCCACCCCACTTATATTATGAATGGTCTGTGTCACCATTAAGAAAAAGAGGTAAGAATAGGCCTATATGTATGTGTGAAATGGCCCTGGATAAAGTGGCTATTCCTCCTTAAGTTCACAAAGTTCTGAGTTTCTAACACTGGCTTATAGTGGGAGTGTGGTCAGTTTGGGCTTTTAAAATGCACATGCTGCAGACTGAATTTAACAGGGGAGGTGGAGTAAATTGCATTCTTGAAACAGAAGTTTCCAGTGCCATCTGCTCTGTTAGCATCTATAGAGAATTTTCCAAATTTGAGTATTTAGAGGATCAGTTTGCTGCCAAGAACGTGTGTGGAGAACCACCCCCTCCCAAATATAGGAGCTTCTACTACTCATTGTTATGTTTCATCAGTGAATGTGAATATTGTTAGTTCCCTGAGCAATGACTGAAGAATAAATACCACAAGTTTATTTTAATTATTGTTCTTGTTTATTAAATTGATATAGTTTTCTTCAACCAAAGATCACAGAGTGGTTCGCAACATAATATGGCCTTAACTGGGATTTAACAATCGGCCTGCTTATAGTACCCTGTAAGAGAGCCAGTGCATTGAACAGATCTTCTCTTCACATCTCAGCCATATTACACTTAATGGTAGTCGGCTATGCTGGTGCAATGACATTGATAATTTAGTTAGTTAGAGGCTTTGAAGAATGGCTCACGAAGATAGTTTAGTTATGAATCCAAATGGGTACACTTTACAAACATTAAACTTAAAATCTGTTGATATTTTGGAATCGTGAGAGTTGCAAGGGACCTTGGTGGTCATAGCATTTATCTCTTGAGTTTTACTTGTGAATCTAGGGACTGCTGATAGTCCATAGTGAGCTTTCACATGAAATCATGAATGGAAGAGAATGCTAGAGGTTATTCCCAGACCAATCAAATATTAAAAAATAATAGGATTATAACAATTGTGCACTAGCTTTCTCAACTGGATAAATGGGTCTTTGCTGTATCTACTTTATATTATTTGAGTTTTGTTTTAAATGTGTCTGCTGTGTTTTGTGTTTTTAACCGTCTTTTCACTTTTCATTTTTATTATCTTGTGCATAACTTTGAGATGATTGTGCAGAAGGCTACTTAAAAATTAATGACAATAATAGTATAAATTGGCCACAAAGTTAACAGCCAGCCAAAAATAGTACTCAAAAGAGGGGCTGATGGAAGATGGATAGAATATTTGCCAGCCCCTGCTCTGGGTAAAAAGCAGAGTGAAGAATTCTACAGGCTAGAAACACAGTAGGCACCAAGCCTTTTGTGTTCCTATACAGTGGTACCTTGGTTTGCAACTGCTTTGGATTACAACCATTTTGGATTACAAACACATCAAACCCGGAAGTACGTGCCCCTTTTTTGGGATTCTAACCCATTTTTTGGGGGGAGGCCTCATTTGCGAAAGCGCACCTTGGGTTACAAAATGTTTTGGCTCACAACCGGACCTCCGGAACGGATTATGGTTATAAACCAAGGTACCACTGTACTTTATGTCTTGAAAATAAAGACTCATTCTCCAAATCCAGCAAACAAAGCAAATGGACTAGAGGCAGAGGCATGAGTCACTCCACACCTCCCTGTTCTTCCTTTTCCTACTTGTGTAGCATAGAGGTACTACAGGCTGGTGGCAGAGGAATGAAGTGCTTCATTTCTCTGCCACCAGCTCTCTTGCTTTCTAGGATGGACAGGTATTAGGGAGCTTGACCTCTAGAATCCAATATGAAAATTCAGTGGGCTGGCAGTGGTGCGTTGAAATGTTTCATCTCTTTGCCAGCAGTCCACTTGATTCCTGTGCACAGCATACTGAGCACCTTCCCACCTCCTATGCTCTAGCAAATGAAAACTTTAAACATTCTTTAAAAAGCAATAATAAACTCTAACCAGTCACTCTGAAGTTGGCTACAGCAACTACCAGAGGAACAACATATTGTACCTGCCAGTTTATGTATAACTTCATGATCTGTGCTGTCAAGGTGGATCTAAACCTATGTAGTCTTAATTTTCAGGGTTGTCTGTGTGGCATGTTTTGAGGTACACAAACTGAAGACACAAGGATGACAGAGCAAATGGGATGACTTAGCAAGAGCCGAATAACTTGCAATTGTCTTCTATTCCCCAATAGAAGGATAGTAGAGAGGCTCCGTTCTCCACTGATGATGTAACCAAGCTTGTGTGTTCAGTTATTTTTCCATGCTTCTCTATGTTTGAAGCTAAGGAACACAGATTCCCCATTACTACTAGGCCTGGGTGATATATCGCCCAGGACCGGTATGAGGAACAGGCCACAATGTCTGCTTCACTCAGCGGTGTTTCGCTGAGTGAAACAGCCATCCCACTTCTTTCTCATATAACAGAGGGAGAAACAAGCTGTATCTGTGAAGTGCATCTTTAAACTGCCCGATTGAGGAGTGTGCTGCTGCCCTTGCATCAGTTGAGCAGTCAAAGGAGCCCCCAGCCTTGCACTAGCAGAGAGCGTGGTTGCTGCTCCCTGCAGCGAGCAGTTAAAGGAGCCCTGATGCTCCGCCCACGCACAGGCGTTCCCTCCCCCCAGCTGAGTGGCACAAAGCAGCTCCGGTGCTATTGCTGCTCACATTAGAGAGCACGGAGCTGTCTCAGCTGGGGAGGGGGTGAAACTGCCTCAGCTCTGGAGGTGAGAGCAGGGGCAGTTTCACCTGGTGTCTCGCTGGCAGAGGCCAATGCACCTTGTTTTTTCAACATTGTGGTATATCGCCAAACTGCGATGTTTGGCTGGCGATAAACTGTTACGTTGAAAAGCTGCTGCTGCTAGTGCTGATAAAATAATTTATTATTTATACCCTTCCCATCTAGCTGAGTTTCCCCAGCCACTCTGGGCGGCTCCCAATCGAGTGTTAAAAACAATACAGCATTAAATATTAAAAGATGTCTTTTAAAAATAGGATAGCTGCTTATTTCCTTGATATCTGATGGGAGGGCATTCCACAGTGCGGGCACCACTACTGAGAAGGCCCTCTGCCTGGTTCCCTGTAACATCACTTCTTGCAATGAGGGAACCTCCAGAAGGCCCTCAGCACTGGATCTCAGTGTCCAGGCTGAACGATGGGGGTGGAGACGCTCCTTCAGGTATCTCCCAGCCATAATTACTACTACTATACTACAGAATTATGCCTGTTTTATATCCACCTCAACTTACTAGCAGTGTGACCTTTTTAGGGGGTGGCATCAGCTGTCTCTACTGGAGAACAGGGCACTGAGTTGTGTATGTTGATGAGTATTAGATAATGCAAAAGATAATGATATCAGAAAGTTTTGGAAGGGAATTTCCAGTATGTTACAGTAGTGCATAGAATGGACTCTTCCACTCTAGCCATCTAGGTTTATTTAACTGATGCTGGTTTCTTAATTATGTTCGTACCTGCTACTTTGTCTAAACCACAGATTTCCTCTTTTAAAAACAATGTGCTTGTTTTCTCTGCAACTAAAATCTCTGTGTAAAATGGACTGTGGCCAGCAGAGCTTTCTTATAATTTCCAGTAGAGATTTCCTGCTATCTAGGAACTTTACTAGCAAATAGTATTAAATGAACTTACTTGGACAAGTAGATAAGATCTGAGACATAGAAAATCTTCCTGTATAAAGAACCAATCATTGAAAATTACCTGCTCTGGTAGACCACCCTTCTGAAAGAGGCACAGAGATTGTGTATTTTATTTATAATGGGCAGGGGTCCACCAGCTTGGAGCTGGGGAGAAGGGCAGAGCCTTGTTGCTTCAATTTCAACTGAAAACTCGTGCATTTTTTTGATAACTGTTTAAAGATTGTCATGATTTAGACCAGTCCACCATTGTAAATAATAATAATAATAATAATAATAATAATACCACCATATGGAGGAATTCAGCTTCATGCTGTAATGATTGTTCTGTCAGTGCATGTATTTCTGCTTGTCAGGTTGAACTGTCCCTTCTCCTCACTCCCGTGCAATGTTCTAGGGATTCTCTTGACTCACCAGAGTAGATTTGGTGGAGCAGGAGAAGCCCCATTGTGCTAGTGGGAGACAATTTGTTGGCTTCCACTAGCATGTTAGGTAAGGTGATTCTAGGGTGTAGTATCCACACATGTCAGGAGAACTGTTGGATTACTATTCAACAGCTAATAGTGAAAAAGTCAATAAATGTAGAAAACATCAATTTAGGCAGCTGCCACATTCAGCTGTGTTTTCCATATATACTCACATGTTCTGCTTATTTTGTGTATATATATGCCCATTTGACAGCTTCAGTCTGGAGCACTGACACTGTTACAGGTGATTCATAATACTCATTCTGCACTTGTAAAAATTTGACATTTAGGAACTATCAATAATTGTATTTTATATTTTTGTAATTTGCTTAGAGGTTTTCTTAGATCAAGTGATATATAATTCTTTGTTAAACAATTAATGGCTCGGGTGTTGCTTTGATATAAAATCTTTAATCTGCCAAACCATTGAGACATTATTTCAGACCTTCAATTTCTTCATGACCTATGATCAGAATCAGGCTCAATATTCAGACTGTAAAATTGAAGGTGTGCCTTTGGATCATAAGCATTCAAGGATAAATTAACTTTTGAGGTGCTCAGTCAATATAATTCAGTATCTGGAGGAATATATATATGAAATGCTTGATTTAAAATGAGGGGAAAATGGAAAGTATTGAATGATAGCAAAATTTTATTAACTGTCAGTACCAATATTGAATTGGGGTTTGGAAAGAGATGGATAGTATTAAGAGGGTATATGTAGATCAGAATTTGTTAATACTTTGCAGTTTGTTGATATTCCATTCCTTGAACCAAACAGTAGTTAACCATAGTGTATACCATGAAATGAACAGAAGAAAATGAAAATATTCCTTAATTGTCATTCTTTAATTTCTAGATGGGAATGATGAACAACCCTGGTCCTTATGTACCACCATACAGCCAGAATCCTGGACAACCAATTGGAGCCAGTGGACTTGGTCCCCAGATGCAAAATAAGCCTGTATTACCTAACAGTTTACCCCAGTTTCCAATGGACAAGAAGCCAGTGCCTGGTCCAGTAATGCCTAATATGGTAGGTAGTAACTTCTATTTCAAATTATTGTAGAGCTAGTTCAAGATATACCAGTATTTTGTCTTAAAGGGTTCCATATTGTGTCACATCATGAGAAATAAGGGTATTCAACCTAGAGGAAAAAAGCATTTTAGTTGAGTTTTAATTTCTTTTGAATGGCATTTCTATTTGAACCATATCTCCTTGTCTTTTGCATAATTCTCATATCTACCCTTTCATCATCAATTCTAGCCTTTTAGGGGGCAGACAGTACTATTTCCATCCATATATTGGAGGACATATAGAAATAACAGTCTGTGATGTATGCTGAAACTGTGTTCATGTGCTTGTTGATAATAAGGGTGGAAGGTTCAAGGGGAAATGGGATATAGGAAGAAATGGATGACATAAAATTACTTTTTGTTGAAAACTGACTTTATGTGAGTTTACATAGGTGCATTGTCATAGCAGGATGTAAGATGTATTTGATGAGGAGTGATTGCATCAGTTCATTCATTTGCCAATCTATGCTTTGCAGCCATTGAGCCAACACATTCAGTGGAGCATTGCAGCACAGATACACCTGAGCTCCCAATGAGCAGACAGTGTAATGTGCACACACTTAACTTGATTCTTGTTAATCCTGCCTTCCACAGTGCTGAGCTAGTGACACAGCAGTACAAGAGAATCTCTGTGTACATAGAGATTCCATTCCCAGTAACTGTGCATGTCAGTGGGACACACACAAGTCCTTTCTGTCCTGTTCTGCCCCCCTTTGGCACCAAAAATGATGCATGTGTCAGTGGTCGTGTGAGTGGGAAGGTGCTTGTACATGCTCATAAGGTTCTTAGCATCCCTATTCCCTTCCAGATGATGTGTGCCTTATTGGTATTTTTAACAGCAGGTTTTGGGAATGGTGGAGAGGTTGGAGGCAGGGGTATCAAGGAACATAGTCTTCTTACTGGACAATACAGAGGTGGAGGAGGAGGCAGAATGTAGCTGGGTAAGATGTTGGAGGAGCCAGGCTGGTCAGAACATGGAGAGTGTGACACTTCCTTGGAGCTTCCAATGTCCCTTTCTCCTTGCTGTGAGCTATGGTGAAGATGGGCAAACTGTGTTACTTGGATTGTGAGGTCTGCAAAGGCCATGCAGAGCTACCACCTCTCTCTCTGTTGGCCTATATAGGCCTTTTTTAGCTTTCAGTGCTCCATTCTCTGGGAAGTCAGGGGGGGCCTGGGCGGTGGGCGATGAAGGCGCCACACTGAAAAGCAGGCTGGAGCTGGGGAGGGGAGCACTGAAGAGGCTGTGTAGAGCTGATTCCTGGGTTGTGTATAGCCTGTCTTATCTCACTCTTGTGGGGGATAGAATTGCAGGTATGCATGCAGTATTACTTATCTCACGTTGCATTGTATGTGTGGCCTGAGTGCATGCATGGAACCATGCTCTTAAAAAGTGGAAAGCTAAGAGTGTAAGTCAGACCCCCAAACATTCTTAGACTGCTGTTTCTGAATGGCTAGCTGTTGCCAGTAATCTTTGTAGCCAAGTGTTGCTCTGTAAAAAGTGGATTTTTAAAAATCTTCGTTCATCATCATCATCTACTCTAAGCAGCACAGGTGTGCCACTTATTTCAAGCTAATTCTGATTGCTGACTTTTTAAGAACATCTTATGCACCTTATGGTCAAATTGTGCATCCCTAGATATTGGCATTTTAAAAGTGAAATAACGCTGTATAGATCCTAATAGAACTGTGCTGAACTTTTGCCTAAAAAGTACTGGGAACAAAGAAGATTAGGAGAAGTCAAAACATCTTACAGTGCTCCTCTTTGCTTGCTTCCATTATGTACTGTTCACATTAACTTTTAAGCCATATTCCTGATGTGATCCAAACCAATTGGGAATCACGTGGGCAGCATGTTGCGCTGCTCATCAGATCAGCATGCCAATAAGCAACAGTTGGTTTGGCTCTCAGATCTAATAGATTCCAATAGTGAACTAGTTCACACAATACATTAAACTAGAGTTTATTTTAAAGTATGTTTTAATGAGTATAGGCAGTATATTCTTCTACTGCTATAACATTCATGTCAATGAATTAGAGTGAGGGCAGAAACATCGACCTCCCTCTGCACAGGCTTCCTGACACTGGCACATAATGAGAATTGACTAACCTAAGAAATTCAAATGTCAGGTGAATTCTACTTACACTCCCCTGAATGGGTAAATTTTTTCCCCTCTCTTACAGCGTTCGAAATTAGCCAGGCACCATGCTCATTTTGCACCTGGCTATCAGACACATGCAACTAAGTGAAGATGCCTGGGCGCCAGGATAGCACCTGACATCTCCGCTACTGGCTGGCGTACAGCATCATTGTTTTTTTGCTGCCGTGCTATGGCATGAGTCAGATTTTAGCTGGAGCTGACAGTATACAAAATTCATTTTCGGCTTTGTAATCATGGGTTTTTTTGTTTTGTTTTTGTTTTTAAAAGTGTCGAAACATTCCATTAGTGTGCCCGTAACCTAGGTTTAAGGGGCCATATGACGAATAGCTTTAATATCTCTGTTTCTAACACTGCTCTTCATAGAACTGGTCAAACAGTTACCTCAATGAGAGAGGGGCAGGCACATGCAGGAGTAGGGGAGGAACAAATTATTGTTACTATTATTTATTAAGTTTATATACTACCCTTTATCCGAGGATCACAGCATGGTTTAGAATATAAAAATACAAAAATACATAACATAGTAACAAGCAAAAACAATAACCTACACCCATTCACGGTTTAAAAGGCCATAGGGACTATAGAGTGGGCAGGAGCACACTTTTCATAGTTTAAAATAAACTATGGAGTAATGTTATGTACAAACTGGGCCATTGTAAACTTGTACACTATAATCCATATAGCATTGGCAAAGCGCACTTTAAAAGCTTCACTGTATGACTATAGATCAAGCTAATTAGGTATGTTGTATTACTCTTTATTACTCTAATAAAGAGTAAGTTTATTAGTTGTGATTGAAATACAATTGGTATTGGGTACACCAATTAACTTGAAGAGAGTGAAGCTATCTGTGAGTGCCACAATCCTACCACCTGTATAGGGAAGTTCCATTCATGTCAGTGGGGTTTTACTATGAATCGCCATAATACCCATACATGTGAAGAGTCAAAAGTTCTGGAATTATTAGTGTAACTTTTGTTCAAACTGGAGTTAGCCTTTGCCTATGGTTCCCAGTTAGTTTCAAGCTGTGAAGCTCCAGTATACAGTGGTACCTCGCAAGACGAATGCCTCGGAAGACGAAAAACTCACAAGACGAAAGAGTTTTTCGGTTTTTGAGTTGCTTCGCAAGACGGATTTCCCTATGAGCTTGCTTCGCAAGACGAAAAACGAAAAAACCGAAAACGTCTTGCAAGTTTGTTTCCTTTTTCTTAAAACCGTTAATACCCAGGGTGACTTCGAGGAGCAACTCATAGCACGCGGTGTGGTAGCCGTTTTTGAGGTTTTTGGTATTTTTGAAGCTTTTCCAAAGCTTTTCCGACACCGTGCTTCGCAAGACGAAAAATTCGCAAGACGAAAAAACTCGCAGAACGAATTAATTTCGTCTTGCGAGGCACCACTGTACTTGAAAACAGGCTGGAAGTGAAGAAATCCCTTTACTACTGTATTTGGGTGAAGCTGACATGAAAACTGAATTTCTCCCATGGATGGTACAATGTTAGTTGTGCTGAACTCTCATACCTTGACCCCTTGTTAAAAGAGAAAAACAATAATTATTCCTTCCCAGTTAATGAAGCAAGCCTGAAGATCCTTAAAACCAAATCAAGTCAAGCTCTCTGAAGTTGAATGAAAAGCAGTATGGAATAATGCTTGCATTGCCACTTCCAAAGATCAGCCTCAGAAGTGGCGTTGCAAGGTGGTTGCTAAGCAGAATAGGACATATATTTCTAATTATCAACCTCAGCAATATTAGTTTGCTGTGTTGCATTGGTAGTGGCTACAATAACTATGTCTCCTGTGCTTGATCTGTCCTTTGCATTGCTCCATATTTAGGGATGGTATGTTTATGTGTTGGCTGCTGGAGGTTAGAAAATATTGATTCATGAAATCATTCCTCATACTCATTATATTAGTAGGCTGTGTTGTATGGCTGCTTTCTTTAGGGACTATATGAGCATTAAGTTGCATTGTGGAACTTTGCTTGAGAATGGGTTTTCTTCAAAGAAATAAGAGCTTTCTCTGTGAGAGAGGATTTATTAAGTTATCTTAAAGTAATTCACATAGCTACTGCTTCTACAGGTTTAAGCAAACTTTCAAAAGACATGAATAACTTCTTTGTGTTTTGCTGACTTCTAGAGAACTGTCAGGGTTAGACTTCCATTTGTCTTCTTTATTTACCTTTGAAGGGTCAACAGCAGACACCTCCAGTTCAGCAGGCTGGGATGGTGTCAACTGCCCCCCAGGGCATGGGATCAGGAGCACCAACTGCAGACCCAGAAAAGCGCAAGCTCATTCAGCAGCAACTTGTTCTCCTCCTACATGCTCACAAATGTCAGCGGCGGGAACAAGCAAATGGTGAGGTGCGGCAGTGCAACCTCCCTCACTGTCGAACCATGAAGAATGTCCTCAACCACATGACACATTGCCAGGCTGGAAAATCTTGCCAGGGTAAGTATAAAGTTTTTCATCCCATAGAAATCTTTGGTCCTGTTCTTGTAAAGTCAAGTCAAGCCCCTCCGGAAATGTTACCATTGTGACATTAGGAAGCTAATACTGTCTGAAAAACAATTTTGCAGTAATTTGTGCTCACAAGTTACAAGGTCAGGATGAGAGATACAGATACTGAAGTTTTAGCAATCAACTTTGGCCTCCACTGTGCAATAAGTAATAAGAGATCCAGACTGGGTGACCTATTGCAAAGAGCAGAAAAGCCTTGATCTGTACTTGGGTAAGATAATTTTCAATCAACTAAGATTTCCCTTGACCTATCAGTCAAAAGAAGACTTAAGGGGAAAGTTTTCAATTCTGGAGATATAGATATAGATATATGCAGTCCAATATACTCAGAAGCATGAGTCACACTGTACTCCAAGTAATTGTGCGTAGATTCTGTGCATCAGTAGCACATGTATAGCTGGCTTAAAGAAATTTAAAGTTTTAAGTGTAAAATTGCTTTTTAACCCTCTTTTTAGTGGCTCACTGTGCATCTTCACGACAAATCATATCGCACTGGAAGAATTGTACACGGCATGACTGTCCTGTGTGTCTCCCTCTCAAGAATGCTGGGGACAAAAGAAATCAACAATGTAAGTATTCACTAATTTATTTCTTTTTAGGGCATTACAGATTTGCAGTATCACTCCATTTCTCATAATGTTTCTCCTAATACTATTAATGGCTGGTGTGAGAGACAGCTGCAGGATCAAGTTCCTACAGGACAAGCAGTGCTCCTGACAGCAGGGACCCTCGATATACATGGACCCTCTACTCTGGCCTCACTATCATATTGTGATGGCAGTCTTGTCTGCAAATACAGTAGGACGCAGCCATAGCTGCCCAAGTTGTGGTAGGCAGCAGCCTCCATGCTTATCAGGTCAGCAACCGACACAGTTTAATGCCCCAAACCTTATTGGTGTGTTACTAAGGACTTTATAAAAGGGTTGGTGTGTTTTATGTTCATTCTAGTCACTGTTTTTGATTGTTTTCATGTCTTCATTTTTTCTAGCATTACTAGGTGGTGCTGCAGTAGGACTTGGAAATTCTGGCTCTGTAGGGGTTGGTCAGCAGACAACCCCCAACATAAATACTGCTAACCAGATTGACCCCAGTTCGATTGAGAGGGCTTATGCTGCCCTTGGACTGACGTATCAAGGGAATCAGATGCAGACGCAGACACAAGCTCAAGTGAAGAGCCAGCAGCAAGGACAGTCACCGCAGGGACTTCGCCCCATGAATCCTACAAGTATGTTCTTAACTTCATTTTTAAAATGTATATCCCACCTTATTTCAGAAGGCAGCTAACAACTCCAAATCATAGCAACAACAATAAAATATGTAATTCTGCATTAAAACAAAAATATGACCATCAGCACCTAAGCTACAAATATTCAAGTATTTTACTAAAGGCATTTGTGAAGTTTTGCATCCATTGGGAGAATGGGTGATAGTGAGGTGAGGCTTTGTACATGGCAAAAGCAAGTTTTCAAGGTTTCATTGTTCTCTAGTATAACCAAAAAGTTGAACTCAGGGTAGTCTTAGTGAGGGGTTATCTCAGTGATTCCCATTGAGTTCATTTTTAATTTGATGAACAAATTAAACACGCTGCAATCTGAGACTCAGTTAAGGAAGCAAAATCTGCCTCTGCCATCATAAGTGCTCCCTCCCCCCTTGAGCTGCTCCTACACATTCATATGGAGGGAAAGAAGCCGTTTTGTAGTAGGGCCAAAATCTGTTTTGCAGCAATGATAGCAGCATGTGTACCCTAGAATATCTGGAAACAACTTAAGCACCCAAAGCAATTAATCTACAGTAGAGCATATTTTAATTTTTTCTTTTTTTCGTTTGGCCTAGATGCTAATCCTATGGGAGTGAATGGAGGTGTTGGTGTTCAAGCCCAGAGTCTTCTACCTGAATCAATGTTGCATCCAGCTATGAATTCTCAAAAGTAAGTTTATTTTTAATTGTATAGAAAGCAACTTTTGGAATAACACATTGAGGAAAGAATTCACAAAAGTGACAGAGCTACAAAATAGTAACTTTGAACAAGAGGGATTTTTACAAAAGGAAAATATTGTATACCTTAAAATTTTATCTTTGACCTCTGAATAAAGCTCTTTATGATAGAGATGGCTTTTTTGTCTGCCTGATCTAAATCTGAGTTAGCATAGAGATACTCTGTCTTTTCTGCCATAGGGCCTCCACATTTACCTGAAAAACTTTTTTTGTAAAGGTTATAGGTAAAGCAGTAGCTGCATTGCTTTCATAGTAGATATACATGCGTCTCGTCACTGAATTCTGTAGTGCTGCTACATGCTCTTAGATCGCCAGTTCTATTTTGACTGGAAAGTGTTGGCATTTAAATGTTGTCAGTGAAGTAGTATAGCACATTCTACTAGTGATACACATGCTATATAGCACATGTTTTGAACTATGATATATAATATGAATATATATCATATACTGGGCTAAATAATTCTGTTCCCCAAAAAGGTACATGTTGTGATTGGTAGATATTGTACAAATTAAAGTTGGTTATTGTGCATAATGTTGCTACTGCTCCTCATTGCTTGGGACACAGGTCAAGTGAGGACACTGAAGCTTCAGCTCCTGACCACTGTAAATTATTGTTGGTTAATAACAAGCACTCAGGACTTTCCAGATGCAAGAAATGGCAGCTAATGTTCAAAATTGTATTTCTCCATCTATAAAGTGGAAAGTGAATGAATATTGGAACTCACCTTAATGTAGAGCCTTGCCTGAAAGAAGAGTGCAATATCATCCATATGTATTTTAGCACCAATAGTGACTTGCTATTCCTTGGCCCCAAGGTATTAAGCCATTATTTATTTACAGTTGTTTCTTTACATAAAACAGTGTTTCAGAAGTTCATAAGTGCGCGTGCGCGCGCGCGCACACACACACACAGAGAAAAGAAATGTTTATCCACCTATGGCTGAGCAGGAATCTGAGCATGAGTAGGCCACTTTCATATACAATTACTTGCGATGTGTTTTCATATAAAGAAAGTCTCACTTAACGAGGTTTATTGTGTCTTTGATAATCGCCTCTTTTTTTTTTTTTAATAGTACCATGATGAATGAAAATGCCAATGTTGCCAGTTTGGGAGCCATGCCAACAGCAACACATCCTTCTGGCATTGGAATTCGGAAACCATGGCATGAAGATATTACTCAGGACCTCAGAAATCACCTTGTTCATAAACTGTAAGTATTGATCACCAAATCTTCTAGATGAAATAATTGAAATGGTGCAATAAAATTACTTAAACCTTCTAAATGTATCTGCTGCATTCCTTCCATAGGTGATGGATGTAACTATTCACTTTGTTACCTCATTAACTTTACAGTTACTGGTGTCCCTTGTATGGGAGTTGTGGGAGACTGAGCAGGAGTCTAAAGATCAGACAGAGTTATTAATGAAAGGAGAAAATCAGCCTTATGACCAAAGATGGCAATACTTCCGATTTGCTGCCTAGCTCATTTGGAATCTCTACATTGACCCAAATGCCTAAAAGGGTGTTGTAGTTGGAATTCAGAGGAAACAGCCAGTGGGGGCCAAGTAGTGTGATCTGGTTCTAGCATGTCATCCGTGTTGTCCTGAGCTAGCTTTTTTTGTCATTAGAGTTTAATTTCTCAGTAATTGTTTCCACACCCTGCTCCTGAAGACACAAGTCATTTCCAGGGCTAAATGGCAATTCTGTGCATGATGTGATGGGTGAGCAAACACACAGCAATTGTAACTGTGCCCAAATAAATTATCCTAGGTTACAAGCCATTTTTCGGTACTTAGAACCTTTGCCACATAAACTCCACCCCCCACCAAGGCATCCATAGGGTAATTGAAATGACTTCCAATAAACCAAAGAGAGATGATCTTGAACATGCCCAGAACATTTTTCTATACTGACTCAATAAGGAAGAAGAAATTATTACTGGTTTCGACCAGGAGACAGACTCATTGTGATAGATTTATTTGGAAGATTTTTATTTAACATCGCTGTTTTCCTCCAAAGTCGCATACTTGGTGTATTGTCCTCTATCCATCTCAGTTACAACAATGACAGTGGCCTAGTTTGCATGTCACATTAAGCCATAGTTAAACAGTGCTTTAATATGCTGATGCACACCGCTCAAAACTTTCATGTTGCTTCTCCCTTGCTTCTGCTGTGCTAAAGATGAAGCAAATCAGACTCTAGCTTGTCTGGAACAAACCTTGGTTTCAGTCCATAGTCCGTTTGGACAAAATGATCCACAGGCTCGGGTTTGGCTGACAAGCCAGGTCGCTCTGGCTTATTTTGTCCACAGTGTAACGTGAGTGTGTGTGGAAGGAGTGCCATGAGAACTTTTGAGCAGCATGTTTCTCTTTCACATTAAATTATAATTTGTTTTAAACTATGGTTCAATGTGATACACACCAGGTTAGTGAGAATTTGAATTTACCTCCCCAGGCTATATGCATTTTCCTTATCACTGTTCCACTCAGGCTCTTATGCATCAACTAATTGGAGTGCAATAAGCTGGGGGAGACTTCAGGCTTTAACCGCCCCCCCAAAAAAACTAGAAGCTTAAGTTCTGCCAGCAAGAGCCAGAGGAACTATTGGGTGGATATACTTAAAATTCAGAATCTCTTGAGGCTGAACACATTATCAGGCTAATCACAATTTTAGTACCAAAAATTAGCTGACAACCCTTTCACAGAAAAATCAATTCCTGCTAACCCACTCCCTGCCCCCCAAGTTTTCTTTTGAGTACAGTAACCCATTTTGCTACTGATAAACTATTTGGAGTCAAACCATTGTGGATCTTCAGCAAATCATCAAGAGATCTACTTTATGCCTACACATGGATTAAGGGGAATGTAATAAGTAGTCCATGTAATCTAGACCAGTTATAGGCAAACTCAGCCCTCCAGATGTTTTGGGACTACAACTCCCATCAAATCTAGCTAACAGGACCAGTAGTCAAGGATGATGGGAATTGTAGTTCCAAAACATCTGGAGGGCCGAGTTTGCCTATGCCTGATCTACACCATTGCCATTTCTTCATGATGGGGAAAAACAGTTGAATTGAAAAGAAAAAGCCCAGGCTGTGTTTGCTAGCATGCTTCAGGGGCTTGTTTAGTAGTGCTGTAGGTAACAGTGTTGCTCACACTGTTGAGTAAGGGACAGTTCTTAATCATAATTCACATATTGCACTGATTGGATGAAGATTGGTTTTGTTGTCTGTCTTCTGGCCCAGTCAAGACATGTTCTATTGAGACAATAGATGTTTCAGTGTGGCAAACTTTGGTTCTTATTCAGACATCATATTCAAAGAGCGTATGAGTGGAAAGTAGCCTTTTGTTAGGAACGCCTGGACCTAGAACTGAGAACTTTTGGATCTATGCTCTGCTGCCCCTTGTGGTAAGACACTTCATGTTGCAGATTGAAAGGTTCAGAAGACTATCATTTCCTCTGAGGCTGTAGGGTGATTCTACTGCATCAGTCGCATTCCCTGAAATAACAAGGTTATAAAAGCTTGTTTTGCCTTGAGAAACGGTTATCATGACTTTCTCTTTCTTCCTGCTGTACCAAGCTATACTCTGCTGGATTCTCTTCAATTTCTTATTCCAGGATTTGTTCTGCCTGTGAGCTAGCATCACAACAGCTAATTTCATATTTGTACTGAACACCGATTCCTAATTAAGGCATCTTATGTTTTCTGGATGTTGCAAGCTTTCAGTGAGTTGAATTAGACAATTTGTACCTCTTGGTCCAGTACAGCTACAGAATTCCCATCTATGATTGTTCTTGGCTTTTACCAGAAGTTGACAAAAATTAAGAATAACGTAAACTCTAGCTGTGGGCATTAGATTTTTGGATCCAGAAGTTCAGGAGACAAATAGTTGGTTCAAGGTTTCCCTCTATATTCTTGCAGAGTACAAGCCATATTTCCAACTCCTGACCCTGCAGCACTAAAAGATAGGCGCATGGCAAATCTTGTTTCCTATGCTCGGAAAGTAGAAGGCGACATGTATGAATCAGCAAATAGCAGGGTAAGTTATTTTGTAATTTTCTGGTATCAAAGTATTAATTTATAAATTGATTTGTCTTTTTGTCATTTCTATAATAATGTTGATCAAAAGCCAGTCATGTTCTTTTCCATTGTATGTATATATAATAAGTATTTGGAAGGAATGCTTCAGTAATACTAATGAATCATCATTTGTAGCAAATTCCAATTTTCTCTGAAGCAAGTTCCAAGAATTCAAACATATTCTATTTTAGGAGTAGGAAACATTTTAGGCTTTGCAAGCCAGATCCCTAGTAGATTCTAGCTTTGTGTCTACCCTCCTGTCAATCACTGGATGTCAGAATGGCATCATTGCAAAGAGCCCTGCACAGTGCTTTAAAGTGTTTGAAGCTTTAGCTTTGTAGAGGCAAAGTCTGCTTTCCCTGCCAGGACACAGTCAGTGGCACCCTTTCAGGCTCATAGTTGTGTATCAACAGCTGCATCTCTACCTACCCCACACCTGATGTCATATATGACATACTTTGGGGGAAACTGCTTTGCAGGCCAAATATGAAACTGTGGTTTGGACTGTGGGCCAGAGGTTCCCCACTGCTGCTATTTTCACCAAGAAACAAGCCAGATTGGGGTGACAAAGCCCTGGTTCTGAGTAGTTCCTGCTATACCTCATATAAATAGGATAGTATTTAGCAAATGTGAGGAATGAAACCTGCTCTGACCAAGAAACTAGCCCCCATTTCAGTAGTTCTCCTGGTTATACTCCTTTGCTTTTGTCCATTTACTCCAGTAATGAAGTGCTGCAGTTGGGACAATGTTGCCTTATGGCCAAACCTGCCCACCATGCCAGACATTGGGTATTTGCATGCAAAGGGCAGACTCTGAGACCTTGTATTCTGGGACCTAGTAGAGCGCTGTCTGTCAGTTGAAGCAGGAGGCAGAGGCTGAGTTCCAAAGCTACAAACAAAGAATATTAGCAAAATATCATTCTGGTGTAGGCTCATTCCAGTGATGAGTTACTTGGAGTAAGGAGTAAACTTTTGAGGCTAGTATTTTAAAGGGCCTGCTGACTAGATACTTGTACTTGTGGTCAGCTGACTGAATGCTCAGGCAACCTAGAACTGCAGCCTAGATGATGCCCTTGAATTACGGAACACAATCTGCCAGACTTGAAGTGTAAATTGAACAGTTTTGCCATAGGAAGTAAGGCACTGAATCTTGATTTCCTGGGCTTACATGTACAAGACCACTCCCTGGTACTTCAAAGTATCCTGGCCTCTACTGATGGGGACCCCAGTCACATTCTCCCCCCTCCCCCTTTCTAGGTCAGTACAGTATGAAGGGCAACCTTCTATGTGTGTATACCATCCATCACAAGGATCAGCATTTTACTAGTATGGATTAAAATGAAATTCTAATGAGAATGTGGCCACTATTTTCTGTGCAGGAAAAAAGATTACAACTTAATATGGTGTAGCTGGAGGATTCCTTCAGTCTCGGGCGGATTGGAAATATACATATTGTAAGCTTTCCTTATGTATGCATCTCATATACTTTTCTCATTGCAGGCAGAGTACTACCACTTATTAGCAGAGAAAATTTATAAGATCCAGAAGGAACTGGAGGAAAAGAGGAGGACCAGGCTACAAAGGCAGAATATGATACCAAATGCCCCAGTCATGCCACCAGCTCCTATCAGTCAGGGGCCCATGGGGCAGCCACAACCCGTGATGACAGCAAGTAAGTGTTGTACCCTTACAAAGTTTGATTTAACAATAACAATGAATTTAACAACATCAATAGACATTTGAATCTATTTGATTCTTGGGCACTCAAGAATTACAGGGGTGACAGTCATCCTCCAGCTGGGTACAGAGGGAACTTAATAACCCATATGAGCCTTCACCCCATATAGTTGTGTGATTTGTTCAGAGCCCAGAAGTGCATAGCGTGAAAACATGGCAAATTAGTTGTGTCTGTGTGAAAGGAGGCATTGGGACAAGCATGTGTGAAAACGGCTAACTCATTATCAGCATTCTGATATATCTCTATAATTGCAATCATTTGATCATTAAAACGAATAGTTCTACACAAATGACATTACACCCTTTAATCTCTCTTCAGTTATATATAGTTCTGTTTAAGGTTTCCTTTGTTCTGCTTGTGATACATAATCGTCAATTTCAGGGAGGATGCTTGGAGAACTGTGCATGCTTTCACATTCTGTTGAAAGTACCTTCAGAATAATGCCCTTCATCCTGGCATTTCATTTCTATAGATACATTTGGTTCTTGAAAATAGAACTTGGTTGATCAGCTGCTGAATTTTATAAAGATAGTGCTGCTGTTAGGTTTTTAGCATCCTAGATGTAAAAGTTAATATTCCCCAAATGCTGAAATATGTCCAAGAATTTAAGAATTAAAGTTCCCCTTACCCTAAACTGACTTTTTTTAAAAATGAAAATGTCTGAATTCTTTAATTTTGGTGTTCAACTACATTACAGACGGTCCTCTTCCCGATCCATCTATGATTCGTGCCAATGTGCCAAACCAGATGGTGAATCGAATGCAGACACCATCAGGTAAGAGTTCAGAAAAAGAGAGCTGAACAACTTGGCACTATAGTAGGGACTTTTCATTGTCTCTACCGCTTCCCATGCCAGCTGCAGCATGGTCCCCAACCTGACAGTGCTTCCACCCTATTTGGCTCCCACTTCGGTGCTGCCAGGGCATGCCACCACCATCAGTTATTCACCTTCCTCCAGATATGTTTCCTGCATGGCATGCTTTGGAATGGGTGCTGAGCTAGTGCTTAGCAGCTGCCTGCCAATGTAAATTGCCCCAAATGCTATGCTTGACATTGCCCATCATGCAGTGTCCAACATCATTCTAAAATGTCAAGCCACCACAAGCAGATCAGAGCTGAGCACTGAGTTGGCATAGATTCCAAAGTGCTGGCACATGTTGGGTCAGTATGTCCAGATGTGAGAGGCCGACAGCAGCATTGGGCAGGACATGGCAGTGGAATGGCAGGACACAGCAGCAGCAATGTCAGTTGCCAAAATCTTTCCACATACTTTACAGTGTCTCTAAGAGCCACCATTTTCTTTTTATTGCAACAGGCCATGTCCATATGTAATCATTTTCCCCAAGCTGTGTTTTCTTGATTTTTCTGCATTTCTGGTACATTTTCCTCTCTTGATTTGTTTCAGAATGTCTGTGCCGTAAGTGTCTCTTTCCAGTGCCATGATAAAGTTCCTATTTGCCTTTGCTTCCTGTCTCTATTCATTTTAACTTCAAGCTTCACACTCCCTTGTGTCTCCTTATTCTCTTGCACACAGTCCTGATACTGGTTTGTCCCTGACATCTTCCTCCTCCTTTCTTGCCTATTTAAAAGATTCCCATCCTTCTCTGATTCTTACAAATTTAACTTTTTGTGTGGCATAGTATAAATATTCTGATGAACTCACCAATCTTGTTTAAACATGTAAACTTCCAGGAATGAATCAGTTTGGCCAGATGACCATGCAAATGCAGTCAGTTGGACCCCGGCAAACTCCTCCCCTTCAGCACCCTGGACAGCTAAGCCAGACGGGGACCATGAACCAGGTTGGTTGACTTTGCTTTCCATTGTTGGCTGCTGTGCCCAAACTATATAGGTGCTGTTTGACTCAGGTCCTGTTCAGAGTAGACCTGTTGAAATTAAGAGATCTAACTTGGTCATGTTTGTTAATTTTGGTGGATCTACCTTGAATACCACCCTATGTATTTAAATGTGTTGGTAGTCCACTCTCTAAATAGGGAGTACTGTTCATATTTTAACCAGTTATGTTAACTAAGTTAGACCTGCAACATGCTTCAAATAATGAATTTTATTGGGCTACTGGGCTGAGAATCCAGAGGCAGTACCATTTAAGTCTCTGGCCATGATAGTCCCTGGCAACTTATCTGATAAGAGGGTATCAATAAATTTGCTATGTTAATGTCTGGAAGTACTATGTCATTCTTAACATTGACTATTAGCTTGATACAATGTTTTATTCATTCATAATAAATACTTTGTTACAGATGGGATTTTCCCCACGTATGCAACAAGGGGTGTCACAACCTTCCAATCAAAGTCAGTTCCTTCAGCAGACCCAGTATCCTACATTGTCTCCTGGAATGAATCCAACAAGCACGCCTATGACTCAACCTGGCAATCAGACTCCCACGTCTCAAGTATGTTGAGAGAAGTTCTGTTGGCAGGCTCTTTGGATGTGGATTTGTTTGTGTGTGGTAGACCTGAATGAATGATAAAAAGGGAGCAAAATTATTAATACAAGCCAGTTACTGGCACTACTGATTATCTAGTGAGGACCATCTTTCAGGCAAGCGTTCTTCGTACTTATCCTTAAGTTCTCTGTGCACTGTCTTCCATTTTACTCACATTCTCATTGGTTGGCAAGTAGTTCTACAGGAGTGCCACTGAGTGGAAGAAGGAGGAGGATGGGCCAAAGCTCCATCCATTCTCCCATGTGAACTGCCTGCAAGTCACACCACTCCCTCCACATCCTTTTCTCCTTTGTGTTCCAAACTGAGGGAGCAGGAGCTGATGGAGACTAGATCTGCCCCTGGGACTTTCAGTTGTTGATACCCAAAATAGTTTATTCAGATACTGACAATTCTTTTTTTCAACAGGCACAAATGACCAGCTCTTCCTGTCCTGTGACTTCTCCAGTAGTGGCGCCAGGTTCTCAAGGGAGTCATATTCATTGCCCTCCTATTCCACAGTCTACTTTACATCGAAACTCTCCTTCTCCAGTACCAAGTCGTACTCCCACACCTCACCATACACCCCCAGGACTGGTATCCCAGCAGCAGCAGCAGCAGCAGCAGCAACCAGCACCACCACAGGCAACAATTGCGTCTGCTCCTGCCACTGTTCCTCAAGCGATGCCACCTGGACCACCGTCACAAACTATGCACCCCCCACAGAGGCAGACCCCAACACCTCCCCAGGCTCAGCTGACTCCGCAAGTGCAGCCTCCAGTTTCTGTTACCCCTTCTGCAGAGCAGCAGCTGCCACAGCAACCTCTTTCGCAACAGAGCACGACTGCATCTGTGCCCACCCCTACAGCAGCACTGCAGCCTCAGCATCCTACAACACCCGTAAGGAAGTTTAAGTTTTCTAGGGCTATTAAGAGTGAAAGTCCAACCTTGGGCAAAATCTTTTTAGGTTGTTATATACAGTATCAAAGGCTAAAAGGTTTCTGCTGTCTCAATAGCATGCATTGCATGAAGGTATAGAACAGTATGCTTTACTTTGGAATGCATGCTGTCTTTTGTATAGCAGAGTTTCAAAGAATTAATTCAGCTACAGATGTCTGATAAAAATATGTGTGTGTGATTTCTGGGGAGGAAGGTGCAGAAAGTGGTATAGCTAGACATAATTCCGTCGTGGGCTAGTGTTAAGATATTGGGATTTTTTTGTGTAGCACCTCTTCTTATTGAGATGCACATGGCATAAGTTGCTTAAGATACCATCTAGCTTAGAAGCACAAAATAAAGCAAAGAATACAATTGCTGCAAAACTGTGTAGCACTACTTAACATGTAGCTTTACTAGTTTTGTTGCTTTCATTCTGTAGCTTTCACATCCAGGTGCAAACATTGATGGGCAAGTATCAAACCCACCATCCACCAACAGTGCAGATGTGAACTCTCAACAGGCTGCTCCTGAACAGCAGCAGCAGCAGCCTTTGCCTGAAATTAAAATGGAGATTAAAATGGAAGAGGAGGAGTCAGAACAAACAGATCTTCAAATGGAGGAGAAGCCAGAGGTGAGAGTGTGGCATGCACACTGGATATGCCTAGGAATTCATTCATTTGATCACATCTGGATCTTTTTCTTCCAAGAAGAACAGGAGGGATACGGGAAAGGGGGGCTGCAATATATCCACTCAACCCTATGAAGTAGATTAGGCTGAAAAGAGAGTAAGTGGCTCAAGGTCGCCCTGTAAATGTCATGGATTTTAGCCCAGGTCTACCCAAATTGGTACTTTATCTACTATACCAGTCTGACTTGCTGATTAGGAAAGTCAATGCACTAATTTTTAAAACATTTCAGCTTTGTTTTTTTGATCCAGATCTCCTGTCTCTGTAGTCTCTGATGCATGATACAAGCGGGGTTAGAAGTTTTCTCTCAAGTGATGACCAAGCAGTTTAATTAGTAGCACTTGTGTGGGCAACAGTTTCTGGCCAGCTGGTCAGACCCATCCTGTGGACCCATCCTGTGGTCCATTTTAACAGGTGGGTGGGGTCACCTGATGTCTCATTGACACACACTCTTTTTGGTGCAAAAACTCATTGTGACATCAGATGACCCAGACTAAAAAAAATGTTTTATGGTTATAGCGCAAGCCACACCTGCAGAGAACAATAATTTATCTGTGGCTTCTTTTCATGCTGGTGGTGAAATATTTGGCTTTCTGGAAGTGCTGATCCCAGTGGCCTTGCTGTAAATTCATCTGCACTATTAATTTGACAGCACTTGTGTGTGTTGTGAAGCACTCTCGGGATACTTTCCCTGCATGTTCCGCCTGGCCTTTGGTTTGGACTCGGTCTGACCCTTATGTTTCCCTCCCCTTATGGTCTTGATTTATCAGCTATTTTAAAATGAGGCTGCATTTAAAATTTTATTTTAACCTGTATTTTAAATTGGTTCCCCCCCCCCCTCTTTTTCCCCTATTATGTTTTTACTGTGGTTTTATTGGTGTTAGCCGCCCTGAGCCCGGCTCTGGCCGGGGAGGGCGGGATATAAATAAAATTTATTATTGTTGTTGTTGTTATTATTATTATTATTATATGTGGGGAAGTGTGTGTGTCTGTCTGTCTGTCTCTCTCTCTCTGCGGCCCCTTCGGCGCTTCTCTCCCGGGCATTGGAGAACAAGAGAAAAGCAGAGAGGAAACAGACAGACAGACACAGACAGAGGACTCAGCGTGGGACTCAGGAAAACCCGGAGCTGGCTGACCGACCCATTCACCAGGGAAGCTGGAGTTGCTCTGTTGGGTTGGGCTTTGGGTGGGCAGGAAGGAGAACTGAGGCTCATTGGCTTCGCAGCGTGCAGGCAGCAAGGTCTCCTGTTGTGAGGTGTCTTCAAGGAGCAGCTTGCCTCCACCCCTTCACTTCCAGCCCCTCTTCATGACATTCACTCCTTCTGCGCCTCGCCCGCCCTCTCACTGGCTCTCCCTCTTCCCCACCCGGTCCGCGCCCTCCAGCACAGGCGAAAGAGAGTTCAAAAAAAGGAGGAGGGAAAGGCAGGGAAATCAGGCTTATGCAAAAGCCAGGCAGAAGCATCCTGATGTGGCACATTGCAAAGCTGCCCCCTCTCCCGTGTGTGTGTTTTGCTTCGCGCAAGCGTGGCCCAGCGTAGCTCTCCCCTCCTTGGCGTCGGAGGGCAGGCTCCTCCACCCCCACCCTGCTCTGCATCATGGATCTTGAAAACAGCAGCACAGCCCAAGCCTGCTGTTTGTCCTCAAGGGTAAGAGACAGACCCTTCTGTTTATCGATGGCTAGCTGAGCTGTCGCTCCCCGCCAAAATAAAATATAAAAATCCAAACCTGCTTCAGATCCAAACCCACACCACCACAACCCTCTGTCTCCATGCTTCCTTACCCAGCGCCCTGTCTGTTTTAAATTGCAGCGTGGGGGTGGGGCTGGTTGGCCGGCACACAACTCTCCCTGACACTGCTGAGGGCAGTGCGCGTCTTAGGGAGCGTTTCCCACCCGCATTGGCATGGGGGGAGCGGCTGTCCCTTTGCCAACCCCTAGCAATGGCCCTGCTAGGGCTATGGCGCACGTGCCATCAGAGAGGGCTCTGAGTGCCCACTCTGGCATGCATGCCATAGGTTCGCCGCCACTGTAATGGAGTACATACAGTGTCACCCAGCTGCTTTCTTCATTATTATTCTTGAAGGTGTGATCATTTGTTATTATTGTTATTATTATTATTTGTTCTTTGCTCATAAACGTCTTCCTGCTTTTCCAGGTTAAGGTAGAATCCATGTCTGAGGAATGCAAATCTGAATCAACAGAGCAAGAAGAGAAAAAACCAGAAGTGAAGCAAGAAGTGAAGGAAGAGGAGGAAAGACCTAGTACTCCAGGTACTCAGTCTTCACCAGCTTCAGGACAGTCAAAGAGGAAAAGTAAGTTTATTGTTTCTTTTCAGCTACTTAGAGAACCTGTGTAGTTTTCTTAAGTTTGAGACTTGAACTTCACACGTTAACATTTTGGTAATAGGACATCCATAGAAGGATGTGCCTTATCTAACGAAACACTGGTTAGGAGGCAGGCCTATGAAATTTAACTATTAGCCAAACTTTACATTTACTGTGCACATTAGTTCTTGAGTAAAATATTTTTAATTCCTACTGTTGTTCCGTATCAGATTCCTGTTCTGACTATTGTAAATTAGTCAATGCCTAACACTTCACCATTGGATGAGTGGGGAAACTGGAAATGAAGCATTGTCTTGATGTTAATCAGATTTCTAATTTTCTTGGTTAATTTAATGTTATGTGTCTCCTTTCACAAGTTTTCAAGCCAGAAGAGTTGAGGCAGGCACTTATGCCAACTTTGGAGGCACTTTACCGTCAGGACCCAGAGTCCCTTCCCTTCCGACAGCCTGTGGATCCCCAACTACTAGGAATTCCTGTAAGTGTATTGAAAAGAAACATTTATCTCAATGCATAACCACTTTTCCAGGGCTTTGGTGTGTAACAACAAAATCTTGTAGCTCCATCTTTTTCCTTTTTCTTTTTTTCAGATTAGTCTCCTTCAGAGCAAAGTTGTCTTCTGTATTGGGCATTTTTAAATTTGTCTGACTGAAAGCAAATTTCTTACCCATTACTTTCTGAGATGGGGCTTCAGGCTTTTGTAGATGAGATAAGCAAAGACATTCCAGGTCAGCATCCAAGGGTTCAGAATTCTTATTTATTTATTTTTCAGGATTACTTTGATATAGTAAAGAACCCCATGGATCTTTCTACAATCAAGAGGAAGCTTGACACAGGACAGTACCAGGAGCCCTGGCAGTATGTCGATGATATTTGGCTCATGTTCAACAATGCCTGGCTTTACAACCGCAAAACATCTAGAGTATATAAGTACTGTTCCAAGCTGGCAGAGGTGTTTGAGCAGGAAATTGATCCAGTTATGCAGAGCCTTGGCTATTGTTGTGGACGAAAGGTAAGGAGAGTCATCTTCAGCTGAATTTCAGGAAATTACTCAAACACTTCAATGTTTAATTTTAAGGATCCCTTAAGTCTGTTTTGAATGCTAATATAGAAATCAAGTATGGTGAACTATTTTAGGATTGTCTTAAATTGTGTTCCGTACTTACTCCAGAGTCTTAATGTTCATCATTAAATACAACATTCAGTTGTTTTCCTACTGCATGTAAGCAATAAAGCAGATGGTCCTCCAAGGCTAAGAAGTTTATTGTTCCTAGTCTACCCCTACATGTAGTTGTGTACAAAATATTTTGATGGCAAGGTTTTCTTTGGAGTAAACAGCATTCCGAATGGATAAAACTACTGCCGATTAAATCTTATGTTGTACAGGAATCGTCATTAGCACCGCAAAATTTGTAGGTTGTGCTCTGATTCCAGGAGCTTGGGGTGGGGCGGACAGTGTTGATATTGAACTACCACCACTGAATCTATAATACTTCATGAATACTTATAAACAAAAACCTGAGGTTTCTGTGCAATCCCAGGTATGGGCTTTCTGCCACTTCAGGACAGTGTCTGGAACCTTCTAGAGCTTATCCATTAGGAAAATTTGGAGCCCAGCCTGCCCTCTGGAGATAGTGTACATGCCGTCATTGGGTGGGATCTGTGCAGTCGCTGCTTTTGGGTTACCAATGTTTTAGCAGCTTTTGAAACTTTGCTTTAAAATGTCTTATTTCTTGGATACCTTTAAGCAACCTGCGTTCCTCTCTCTTTTCAGTTGGAGTTTTCACCACAGACTTTATGTTGCTATGGCAAACAGTTATGCACAATCCCACGAGATGCTACATATTACAGTTACCAAAACAGGTAAGAAAATGCTTGGGTACAGCATTGCACCTGCTGTGAAAAATTATATTAGATATAGGCAGGCATGCACTTATATTTGTAGCATACTCAGCAGATTACTTCCCATGCAAGCCAAGTGCCTCGTTGCATCAATTGACTTTTACTTCCTGTTTCAGAAATTAGGATGTTAATATAAACTCTCCATATGCTTTAGATAAGTTCAAAGCTTTTGCAAGTAAAACCATCATTTTTTCCTCTGTATGAAACAGTGCACAGAAAAGCATGCATGTTTGCATCTTGAGTTCACTGCATCTAACATTCAGTCTTGTCCTAAGGGAGACATATTTCCTGTTTTAGATCACAGTTATTTCAACCAAAGCTGTAGTTGTAAAGCTGTGTTTTGTTTAAGCCGCGTGAAAAGCAGGGTGCCTGCAAGGTCAGGGAGGGGCTGACTTCACTCTGCCATGGCCTCTTACAGTCTCTGTCAGCTAGAATTTCTATGGTAGTAGCGCTCCTGTGTGTGTGCTTGGGATCTCTTAACTATTGAGGCATAACTGTCAAGTGTTCCTGAGTATGTACTCTTGTTTAAGAAGCTAAATCTTGCACCGCATCAGACCAAGATCTACCTGGTCCAGCATCTTTTATGGGAATTTCAGTAAACCAGCAACTTCTCTGTACTCCATTGGATCTGCAGCCTTCAGTTTGTTCTCGATAGCTCTTTTCTGAAGTGGAAATTAACTGAGGAGTGAACTCTGGAGTTGTTTGATTAAATAAGCATCACCGTGCATCTTAATTTTACCACCTGCATGATGATGGCAGTCTTTCTGAAGACTTGCTTTCTGTGATAGCACGGTTCTATGTTCTGCTTTGGGGTCGGAAAACATCTGATAGGAAAAACTGTGTTTGGAGCTCTTTAAGGGAGGAAGCAAAACTGAGAACACAACTTTTTCACGTTTTTTGGCAGGCGTATTGCTGCAAATCATGCTTTGGGTGGGTTGCTGAAGTAGATAACTAGTTCTTTAACAAATCTAAAGCTAAGCTTTCATTTATTTCTATAACTTTACAGCTTCATGCCATAAGTCATTTTTATCACAAATGCCCACTTGAGTAAAGAAATCATCATATGTATACATATGAGCTGGGATCCAAAGAACTGCTGTAGGTGTGTACATGGGCTAGGGCATTGCTACTGGATTTTTTTACCTTTAATCATCAGACTGTCATGCCATATCACAGCTTTTGAAATTAAGAGGAGTTTCAAAATCAATGTGGAATGGAAGGTTGCTGTCCAAAACATGCAAGGCAAAGCCCCCCCACCCAGCAGATAACACTAAGTGGTTCTTTGGACACTGGTCTTTTGAATGTCCAAATCAATGTTTGTCATTGTATCAGTGTAATAAATAAACTAACCTGTTATAGATAGGAAACATAGGTGGTGAAGAAGTGATCCGTTCCTTAGCAATTACATTTCCTCTAATGTTGGTTTTGCTTTGCTTTATAATACTGTCACAGTTTTGTTTTTTGTTTTTGTTTCTTTTTGTTGTATGTTTGCACTCAAATTAACTTGCTTAGCAATGGAAAGGCTGCAGTTTCTGTGCGCTCTTGAGGGTAAAAAAACATCTTGAGTAAAGCATTCAACATTAATTTAGATGAAGATGAAATCCTTTTAATATGTCAATTATACATCAATTTGGAGGCATGGAACATCAGTACGTCACATATTAAGAACATACATATGCATGGCTGATTGTCAGATGCCTTAAAGCACCTGTCATTTTGGCAGATCATGAACAATTGCATAGAAATTGTTTTGGGGATGGTTACTGCTGCTTTAAACAGATGTTGCAAACAAAAAATGCTTTGAGGGGAAGGACTGGCCTGTCAACATTTGAGCATTCTCAAGATGGATTGTTTTCACCCCTTTCCAGCCCTCTCCTGGCAGATGTTCTTGTGAAAAGAGTTGCTACCCTGATGCAGATGTCAGAGCAGCAATTGCTCTTACCCTTTCTTCATTTTGATTCTCTGCTTTATTGTAGCATTGATTATTGAAATGAGGAGGGCATGGGCATACTAAAATGGAATACTCTTTTTATTTGCTATAATTTGCTGCTTGTGATCCCATTTGAGAGATTTAATGCTAATCTGTGCTTTGCCTTGGCTTTCTGCTTTGTGTTGTCCTGTCTTGCTTCTGTGTTTTTGTTTTTCGTCCTGCAAATCCCTATTTCTTTGTTCGTGTGTGTGTGTTGTTTTTTTATTTCTCCTTCATGCTTGTCGTTGTCTGCACTTGGCTTTGATTGCAAAAAAACCAACCCAAACAAAAAAACAAAACCAAACACAAACTCTGGGTCCCATAAATCTTCATCATTGAATGTCCCTGTCGCCGTTGATGACCTGCTCTCTGCTCCCGCCCCCCTCCTTGGCCTGCTGTGATTGGTGGCTCCGTTGCTTGGCTTGGGCTGTGTTGTGTGGACGGAACAGTTCACCCAAATATGGCCTTCTTGCCGACAGGTATCATTTCTGTGAGAAGTGCTTCAATGAAATCCAAGGAGAGAGCGTTTCTTTGGGGGACGACCCATCACAGCCTCAAACGTGAGTAGCTATCTCCTTTCTAATTATTTTTAAATTTCTTACAACATTTATCATAGCATTAGTCAATCTCATACTCTAAATACTATTAAACAATTTACATCAAATTTATGGTAAAATTCCTTATTTAATGCTGAGGCCTTGTGCAATTATGGGAGGAACAGAGGACAGGAATATTATTTGAAAACAAGACAAACCTTATGTTTCAGAATGAGCTTTAGCTTTTAAAACACATTCATATTTTGGTGAGAATATGAAAAACCACTTTTGAAAAGTAGAAGCATTCTTCCAGTTTATATGCTAGATTATTTTAAAGACCTAATGTTTAAGAATTCCAGTCCCACCTGAGCCTGCAAAATTTTTTGTTGCTTCTGCTTGTAGAAAAGAGACTTCACAGCTTGCTTTAACTTTTAACTATTTTGTGCATGTGCATACACACATACGCACCATGACTACCTTTAACCTGTTGAGCAGGAGATCCAGTAAGGAATTGTTCAGGCAGGTACCTAACTGAAAGCAGGCCTAAATTTGAAAACACGGGTGACAGATTTTCCTGCTCAAAATAGGGTTATGTTGGAGCAGAGTGTTCATAGGAATTGTTTGCTGGAGGTTGCAACCATGTTCTGACACTTAGAATATTTATGTGCCTTTACATATTGGCCATATTTGAACGCCACATCCTCTTCTCCTTAGGCACAGCTACAAGGATGAGATGAGAACTGCATGTTGTCCGAACCCTAAACTGTGACTAACCTTAACTATGGCTTGCAACAACTCAACTTCAAACCATGTGTTATGAAGCGTGCTTGTTTCAAACAACCCATAGTTAATGCTAGCCACAGTTTAAGTTAAGTTCAGATGACATGATGTTGCGGTTAATCTAAACCAGAAGTGGAACCATTGGAACTCTCAGGAGGGGAGTGCACAAGCTCAAGGCTTGTTGTGGCTCACTCTTGTCATGCTGATGTGTGACTTGTCGTGAAATCTGGACTGGGTCAATGTGTAAGGCTCCCTTGCTTCAACTTCAATATTTGTAATGTTGTTCTGATAGTTCCATAATATGTGAAATAGATTACTTAATTGCAGTAAGTGGGGGACTTTTGCCTGATGGATTCTGGTTATATGTGAAAATATATAAACAGGGAAGGTTTTAGAAGCAGGAAAGAGCCTGATGCCGAGGATTAAACAAGAAGCGCCTGGAAGGAGACTTAGCTAAATACTTAGTCTTCAGTCATGTCCACCACTAATTTAACCTACAGGAGAAAATATGTAGTAGATTTTTGGAGAATAAGTGCCTAAAATGTTTTTAAATACACTTTTAATGATAAAATACATTGGATCTCAAGAGACAAAATTTTAAGTCTGGTTGGATTCTGAGGCAGCAAATGTCTTCCAGAAAAGGAAAGTTTCCTAACCTTCAAAAAGTGAAAGGGAGCTAGCCAGGAAAAGCTTCTCTAGGCAACAATTTCATAACTGGAACATCACCACCAAGAACATCCTAGATGTCCAGATTTTTCCTCTAGTCCAAGAGCACTCTTTGAAATCTGAGAAACTGTTGTAGGCACTACAAACTATCCTTTCATATCCAGGCCAAGTTCAAGGCGTTACTATTGATATATTAATACAAAGCCCTCAACAGCTTGGGATCCATTTACTTGTGAGATCACCTTACGTCATTGTATGCACATTTGATCTTTGAACATTTTAAAATACCTATTTTAACTTTGTTTTGTTGATATTACATTAACATTATATCTTGTAAACCACTTAGAGGTTTATTACAATCAAGCAGTATATAAACTTTGTTAAATAAACATCACAGAAGGTTAACATGTAATGCACACACATACCAAAGCTGGCAGAATACCTCTCCGCCACCAAAAATAAAAATAAAAAATTGCCACTCCCCTGCCCTTCCCCAAACTTGCCATTTATTCATTTTGTATACTGCCCTTCATCCACAGATCTCGGGGCAGTTAGTTCACAACATTAAATTACAATATAAAAACCAAAAAATACATAGTAAAAAAGAACAACAACAACTTATAGTGAAGGGATTTGAGAAGTGGGGTCCCTAAGAATTTGGGTTAGTACTGGTGCTTTTTAATTTGTTCATAAATCACCTGAAATTAAGCACGAGCAGTATATTAGCCAGTTTTACTGATGATACTGAATTGTTAGGGTGGTAAAACCAAAAGAGTATTGTGAGGAGCTCCAAAAGAATCCAAACTGGATGAATGGGCATTAAAATAGCAAATGCTGTTCAGTGTAAGCAAGTATGAAGTAATGTGCAACAGGGAAAAGCATCCTAACTTCACATATATGCTTATAGAGTCTAACCTGATGGTTACTCATCAGGAATGAAAAAAGTTGTCATTGGTAGCACAGTGAAAATGTTGACTTATTGTGTGGCAGCTGTGCAAAAGGCAAATTCCATGTTTGGGATCTTTGGTAAAGAGACTGGGGAAAACTCTCTAAATATCACAATGCAATTATATATATTTGTAGAGTGACCACAAAAAGGGGGGGCAGGGGGTCTTGGCTTGTACCAAGGTGGGTGCCTGGGGGCAATGTGATGCTTTCAGGTGTCACACTGGGGACCCCAGTCTATATCTTACAGCTGCTGTCCATACCTCTTTGAGAGGATACAGTAATAGCACCACCTCCCAAAATTTCAGTTCCATATGGGGTACCTATGGTATTCCTTCATGTTATGAGGGCCCAGATCAGTTAAGGCCTTAAAAGCGGAAACCAGAAATTTGAGTTGTGGTTGGAAACAAACCAGTAATCAAAGTGTAGCATAATTCTTATGGCCAGCAAAAGTCTGCTACATTCTGGATCAACTTCTGAAAAAAATTCTAAAGCAGCTTTATAGACTGCACACTGCAGTAGTTCAGTGGTAGAAGTTACAAAAGCATGTGCTACAACAGTTAACAATAATTTCCTAACCTAATTTAATTAGTTTGATATTGTTCTAAAAGGGTGCTTTTCAACAAAGCCTCTCTGGAATGGCTTACCATAGTAGAAAAGAATGAAATAGCCAGCAACATTGTGATAAGCAAAATCATGTATCTGATGAAATGGGCTCTGGTCCATGAAAGCACATGCCATAATAAAATGTGTTGGTCTTTAACATGCCACAAGACTGTTAATTTTGCTGTAACAGACTAACATGGCTACTACCTGTCTGGTAACAATAAACCCAAGAAAGCAGCAAGGGGGGGGAAATATGACAGTCACTAAAATAATAGATCAGACTGCAGCAGCAATTTGATTAAAAGCCTTGGTAAAAAGGAAATTGAGCTGAATCAAGGTAGAAGTAACTGCCATATTTATGTCTAGAGAGACTATTCAAAGACAAAGCACCATCACTGAATAGATGCTCTCACTAAAAGAGTTGAGGGCACCTGGAAAAGGGTGTTGGAAGGTGGACTGGTGCATATAACAAAAGTTGGTCCTTCTTAAGTACTCTAGTGTCAAGCTGTTCAGGGCTTTAAGGGTATAAAAATGACACTTTGCATTGAACTTGGAAATGTTGGTTAACTTTGTAGAACTATTAATACTGCAGAGGTGCTGAAACTAGTGTGTCCTGCTTAACAGTTTATCGGTTGTGTTTGGAACCAGATGAAGTTTCTTAACCAGTTTTAAAGGCAACCCCATATACAACATATAACAGTAGTCAAACTCTGAAATTTCCAGAGGGTGGAAAACTATGTCTAGGCTATCATAGTAAAAGCAAGTATTACAGCTGAGAGAAGATAAGGAGGTCTCACTAACCCAAAAGCTAGTCATAAGTTGTATATTAATAAATGTCAGTCTTTAAAGATGATGTGTTTTATAAAATGGGGTTTCATGATACGTCAAACTGTAGAATGTGTTTAAATAGTACGTTCTGTACTTCCTAGTAGCCTCTTTGTGCTTGTCTGCTCCCCAATCTGTGATGGAGGGTTGAATTTGGATGGTTAGAAGCTGCATGGTGACTGCATGGTTCCTGTACCTAGTGAGGAAGAAATTATCTGTAGCTTCTGATGACAGTGCTAAGCCCTAAGACTTTCTGGATTTTTAAGCATTTGCAGAGGGGGAGGAGTGCTTAAGTGTGTGGTCACAGGTTATGAATGGCAACTCCGGTGTCTTAAAAGCTTTTAAGTAGCCACTACATTGCCCTAGATATTTGAATTCACCTGTAGTTTTCCTTCCTCTCAAAATTTTTAATTCTTAAGAAGCAGAATGCATATGGAGTCCTATTGGGCTATGTAGCAGGGTTTCCTGTAGGTGCTAGGAAGATTTTTTATTATTATTATGAGCAGCTACTTATTTTTGTTACAACTGTGATTATCAATTTTTCTCCTCAGCACAATAAATAAAGACCAGTTTTCTAAAAGGAAAAATGATACACTGGACCCTGAACAGTAAGTCATGCTTGAGCAGCTCAAATCACTTGTCATTTTAAAAATGAAAGTTTTTTTCACCATTTATTCATTTATTTATTTTTGCAGGGGGGTGGGAGGGGTGAGTGGAAGGCTTTAGCATTATTCTCTTAGTTTATCACCTGCAATATTGATGATGTGTTGTACCTTAAGAAAGCAAATATTTGCCTGCCTAAGTATAGCCACATAATCTGAGTTTGGGGTAGAAAAGCCTTTGATTACTTTAGTCAATATTACAAATTTATATTGAATATATTTGTTCTGAAGTATAAAAAATTGACTTCACTTTTTCAAAAGCCTCCCAATCCTCTTTGTAAACATTTAACTGTGCTTTGTCATGTACCTAGTTCTGCCTTCAGACTTAGATGTACAGGAATCTTAGTTGCTGTGAATTCTTTTAGTAGTGGAATGTAAGAAAAGAGAAGCTATATAATGCATAACTAAAATCAATGTAGACCATATGGGGAGTAGTGGTTTGCATTTGGGCATAGTACACTAGACTGTTGCTGAGAAAAGATACATGTACAGCAGATCAACAGGTTTGAAATTGTACAGTTCTGAATATTTTGTACTTGGGCTACATAATCTTCAGTTCCAACACATTTTTTCTAAATCAGTTATCTTCAACAACTTCCTGTGTTGCTTATACTTTGATTCTCTCTTCCAGGTTTGTTGAATGTATAGAATGTGGAAGAAAAATGCATCAGATTTGTGTGCTTCACAATGAGACAATCTGGCCATCTGGGTGGGTTGCTTCCTGCTTTTTCTTTCCTTTTTTCTTACAAAGATGGTAATTTGTTGATGATGTACCTCTTGTGTACAATTAAAAATGACAAAATGACTACAGTTCTATCTGAAAAGAGTGCTGGTGATCTAATTAAAAACAGCAACCATGCTAGCTTAAAATTGTTTTTCTAAAATGCTTGCCATTAAGTTACTATTTTCAAGTCAGTTGATAAACTTGCCCTCTTAATAGACATTTGTTAACATACTCCTATGTAATATCAATGCTGCCTTTAGAGGGACTTTCTACAACTCAGATCCCAGAAAGCTTGATTTTCTAGTTCCAATAACCTTACTACTGCTGCCACAGATCACATAATAATAATAATAATAATAATAATAATAATAATAATAATAATAATAATAATTTATTATTTATACCCCGCCCATCTGGCTGGGTTTCCCCAGCCACTCTGGGCGGCTTCCAAAGGAATATTAAAATACTGTGATACATCAAACATTAAAAGCTCCCCTAAACAGGGCTGCCTTCAGATGTCTTCTAAAAGTCTGGTAGTTGTTGTTCTCTTTGACATCTGGTGGGAGGGCGTTCCACAGGGAGGGCGCCACTACCGAGAAGGCCCTCTGCCTGGTTCCCTGTAACTTGGCTTCTCGCAGTGAGGGAACCGCCAGAAGGCCCTCGGTGCTGGACCTCAGTGTCCGGGTAGAACGATGGGGGTGGAGACGCTCCTTCAGGTATACTGGACCCAGGCCATCCAGTACAGAGAGCATCATTTATATGGTCCATGATGCAGTATTTCAGAAGGCAGGCCAACATTCTCCACAGCATCCTCCATTCTGTCCATCTGGTATATTGTCCTAGTTGGGATTTATGCTCTCCTTTGAAGAAAGTGCTGTAGGGAAACTGCTGAAGTGGTAGTATAGTGTACATTAATCACTGGATCAGCTTAAAATTAGTGCTCATCTTAAACCGGAAAAGGGAATTTAATTGATAAAACATACTTTTGGCAATAAGACCTTTCAGTGATTTCCTAATTTATTGTTGATACATACTAAAACATTGATCAAATCCAATATGCTATCCTTTTTTTAAAAAAGAAATAATGGTTGAAATAAATACTGGGTATCAGGATGTTAGAAAATATCAAAGGAATATTTTTGTGGAGATTATTCACCTTTTTGTTAAGAATATATTTTGAATTTCTTTTTTCCCCATTTCTATTTCAGCTTTGTTTGTGATGGTTGCCTAAAGAAAACTGGGCGAACCCGGAGAGAAAATAAATTTTGTGCTCGAAGTAAGTGAAGATACTCCTTGTCTTCCTCACCCTTTGGTTGCTTTATTTTAAAGCATTTTAATCCTGTCTTTCCTTCAAGATGGCTAACAACAACATTAAAAATCAATACAATAGAGAATTTCAAGTACAACAAAAATAAAATAGCAAGTTAAAATAACAGTCCCAATTGCCCACTTATAACTTTTTAACAAAATTAAAACTCTAAAGTCCAAGAGCCTTCATAAAAAGAAGAGTTACCCTTGGCAGGGAGTTCCAGAGGCTGGACACAGAACCTGAAAAGGTCTCATGGACCCAACAAGATGCATTTCAGGGGTCAGAGCATCCACTTGATGCTCACTTACCAATTAGGAAATAAATCTTACTAATTTCAGAAGATCCTGTAGCTAAGTGATACGTTGAGAACTGTTGTTATTACATTCTGTTTTTTTTCACTGAGCCACAGAAATTAACTTGAGGTAGTCTATTGACCAGATCAGTTCCATTTGGGTACTGACAATATTCCTCTATCAGGAACATGATCCTAACGTTACTCCACCTTTAAGGTGGAATTTTGAATCTTTGGTCATTTTTATAATAAGAAATTAGGCAAGTATAGAAGTCCTTGCCTATCAGTAACCGCCTGGTAACTTGCGCTGACAAGGTGCAATTAGGAGGCCCAGATCTCTGCACATCCTTGAAATATGGAAGACATTAACTTGCAGCCAAACACTTGGAGTTTTCCCCATTATCCTAAAATGGAAACCAAGCCACTATATGAGCCTGATACTTAAAGTCTCAACATCTGTTTGCTTTCCCCCCATAATTAAAGCTTCCTGGATTTATTGGGATCATTGCTTGAGAATTAGGGTGGGGGTGGGGATGTTGTATTGTGCATGCTATTTGATTTCCAGTTTCTTTCCTAATCATTCCCAATACTGTTTGCCTTTTTTCTATGCTGCTGCATGCAGTGTTTTTAGTGAGCTATACACAGATAACTTTTTCCTAAGTAGTCCGTTCAGGAACAACCTTGCTAGTATGGTGGACAGTTTAAGATGCTGGAGATGGATCTTAAAAGAGCTCTAGTGCCCTGCTAGGGACATCATGACAAGCATATGGTCAAAAAGTACTGGAATCATGTTTCTAGATGAATTCCATTTTCTTCATTTAGGCGATATATATGCCTGATGCTATCCTCTTTTCTTGGGGAGAACATTATGCAGATGTTAATTACTAGCTTTATTGAAAACTGTTAGCAGGTTAGTTCAGTTCTACATCATTCAGTTGGTAGATTAATAGGCAGAAGTTGTAGATTAACATCAAGGGCAAAAGCATGCAAATTTTAATCAGTGGGTCTCAAGGTAAAGCTATACCTATTTATATTGGGCGATTTTGGTGTTGATGTTTACTGTAATAGTATACTGAGAGTTATTTGTTTTATACAGGGTTACCAGCCACAAGACTTGGTACATTCTTAGAGAACAGAGTGAATGAGTTCCTGAGAAGACAGAATCACCCTGAATCAGGCGAAGTCATAGTTAGGGTGGTTCATACTTCAGAGAAAACTGTAGAGGTAAAGCCAGGGATGAAAGCAAGGTATGTTTTTCCTCAAGTCTTTGAGTTTCCTTATGAATCCTCTAGTTGCACAGTTACTATGTGTGTTAAAGCAATGCATAATATATCATTTTCGTAATCAAAGAGCACTTGGCAATATCTTTGCCATCAATCGTATCTCACATTTATGAGTTTCAAACTGTTATTTCTATGACTTTCCCATTATAACAGGTTTTTTTTTAAGTAAGGTGAATTAATTCAAAAATGTTGATCATAGGGATTAAATAGAGTATTGGCTTTTCATAATTTATAGCTAAAAAATAAAGTTTAAGGAGTAAAACATAATATTTCAGTAGGCTGTAGATACCCTGAACTGCTAAGTTTTCATTTGCAGGCTAAGGTGGTCAGATCTCTTCTAATGTTAAGATATTTCCTCGCTTCCCCACACTCCCCATGGAATGTCATAATGTGAAGTGTTTTTAATGCTGCTATTATAGTATGAATGATTATAACAATTAGGACATTCACTGTTGGTTGCATATCTTGTTACTTAGATTTCATACAATGAATTGTAAGGGTGAGGAGAAAAGGTATGTGGGAAATGTTGGGAAAGACTAGGAAATGAAGGGTAGTAAATTAATCACATTAAGGAGACTGAACAGGCATCTCTTATTGTTAAATTCTTATCGGAGATGGCTCTAATTCTCTCCATAGTTACGGGTGTGCTCATTTAGGTTTTGTGTAGTTTATTAATTGGACACGCGGTTATGCTATCAAGACACTTAAAGCTGTTTTCATCATTAAGGTTAAACTACAACAGAACAAGGCAGTTAAAACAAATCCATTATAAAATAAATAGCAGTAGTTACTAATTTTTATTTTGGGTACAATATCTGCATTTTTGAAACTGTACCACATGACTAGAATTTATGTTATCTTCATTCTGTCGTGCTTGTCTTCAAAGAATGCCTTTAAATTATGCCTTTACATTTTGCAGGTTTGTAGATAGTGGAGAGATGGCAGAACAGTTCCCTTATCGAACAAAAGCCCTCTTTGCTTTTGAGGAGATTGATGGTGTCGATTTGTGCTTTTTTGGAATGCATGTTCAGGAGTATGGATCAGATTGCCCTCAACCCAATCAGAGGTAAAGAACTACACTGATGAAGTTTTATTATTTTGATGGTAGTTATGTTTGGAATGTTGCTAGATATGCCATTTTGAAGGTATAAGAGAGGTTGAATTATTTGCCCCAAAGAAAACTGCAAGATTCGTTGTAAATGTCTACAGTTACCCTCTACTCCTTTTCCATCTCTGACTTTCCTTTCTGATGGTTGATGGTTTTGATGGTTCATAGAAGCAGCTGGAGTGTTTTTATCTTCAAGGTTTTATGGTTTTTGGCTAGCTTTGCTAGCCAAGCCAAAAATTGTGGTTGCCAGGTTCGCTCTTCCCACCCTGTCCCATCCCCTCGTGGCCTGATGGAGGCAATCGCCTCCACTCAGCAGCAAAAGAAGTCCCGTGGGAAAGGCAGGCCAGGACCATTCTGGCTTCACCAGTGCTTAACAAAGGAGCTCAAAGTAATGGCCAAAGACTGCCCCCCTTCTATGGGGGAGAGGGAGTGTCACCATTGAGCAGCCACTGAAGAAGCCCTCAAAGCAGATCGGTGTTGGTTTTGAGCCCGTATGTTCAAAGTGGGGGCTTGGAGCAATGAAGATGCTAACCAACCCACACCTTCTTCCTAACCTTAGAACTGGGGAGAGGGCAGGGATCATCAAAATGCTTCCAGGGGACAATCTCCACCCATCTTTGGAGCATCAGAGTTGGGCAGAAGACTCCCCATGGCACTCCCCATGGCAAGCATAATTGTTGAAGCTTGTTTATCTTTTATATGTAATAATAATAGTAATAGTAGTAGTAATAATAATAATAATAATGTTTTCCCCTTAAATTCAGTATTTTCTACAGAATTAAATGAATAAGCTCATCTGCTCATATTGGTCTTCTACTTGGGGATGGATTGTTAAACTGTTGCAAGAATTGTTGGGAGATGTATCCTGAGACTATTGTGCCAGCCACATAATGTGCCCATATCTCTTGAATGGGGGAAAGTAGCCTATGAGTGACCTATTTATAGAGGTCAAGTAATGCCTAAAGTTTTAATGCAAGCTAAGTACTCAGTATTTGAGAGGTGTTAATACTTCTTAGAAGTGGCACCATGTAAACCAGTACTACATTTTTTTCTCCTGACCTTATTTCTATTTATTATGCTGCATTGTTAATGAGACTATATATGTTTATTACTGTAATAGACTCGCCTTACAAAACACTTGAGGACATCCAACGTCTGAGGCTTGCATGCCAGAGAGAGATCTAGCCCAACAAGTTTGCAGGACTAGTTTAAATATCAACTGTGACTTGATACTATAAGTACAAACCTTCAAGGAGCTTTTGGTTTGCATGTGCACTTTTTGCCCTCCATTGCACAGGACAGTTCCCTTTCTGGTCTGAGGCAAGTCAGAGTTAGTTGTTTTGTCTGAACTGTCAAACTATGGTTAGTACTTCACCTGCGAGCCAGTGTTGGAAACAAAAGTTTGATCCCGTTTTCTGGCCAAAGACAAATCCTAGTTTTCCAGTTCACATAAAATCACAGCATGCAAGCCTAAAGCTTCTTGAAGGTTCATTCTAGTAGCACCAAACCAAGGTTTGACATTGTGACTGAACCTTCCTGACATTAATTTCTTCCAGAGATGAGTGCTGTAAAATAAAATATAAAACAAGGGCCCCCAACCTTTGGAGTTTTAAGGCCACCTTTGGAGATCTAAAACTGTCATGGGCACCCCGAGATATCAGTTTCAGAGAAGAAGAAAATAGTGATGCTCAGAATACCCCCCAACAGACAAAACACCTATACATCTCTGATAACAAATATCAGATTAAAAAAGCAGTTAACATACCCTCTAAAATAGGCAACCTTCCCCAGAACAAATACAAGACAAGCAAGCCCCCCAAAAGCTCATTTAAAGAAATATTAGAACTGAAGGGCAAGGGATATTGGTGGCCACTAAGGGGGTGTCTGAGGACACCAGGGTGCCCACAGGTGCCATGTTGGTGACCCAAAGTATAGAATATTACATGGCAAATAGAGAAAAAGTTTGGGCAGGGAAATGGCAATATAATTGAGATAGCTATGTAAAGAAAAAAAATGTGAAGGAAGACGAATTACTCAAGTGTTGAAAGTACCTTAATTCAAACACTTAGTAATGGGGGAAAAATGGAATGGTGAGGTATTTGAATAATGTTTCTGATTATGGCCTGGATTTATGAATGTTCTCTGTTCTTTATCTAGGAGAGTATACATATCTTACCTTGACAGTGTTCACTTCTTCCGCCCCAAATGCCTGAGGACTGCTGTATATCATGAAATCCTAATAGGATACCTCGAATACGTTAAAAAGTTGGGGTAAGCTTTCTGTTCTTCTGCAATAAACTCCATACTATCCCAAATGATTGAAAATGATAGATCTTCAGAAGTAAATTTGTGGGTATAGATGTGCCCACAATTAGTAATTAACCTTAATGAGGAAGAATATACAGTTAGGTTGCTTGTGGCAACCGTACCGTACATTTTGAGTCCCTTCAATGTATGGGCAGAAGTCAGTATATAGAGAAGTTCCAGCTTGACAAGTCTGATCTGGGTGTTTTTAAAGGAGAACAATTCCTGCAATGCTGACTTACAAAAATAAAGATAGTCTTAAATGTTGTTGTCTTTTATTGTATTGATCAGTGATGTGACAGTCTCTTGTAATTGCTGTCAAATAACCCACCTATGGTGTAAAACTTTTTTTCCGTCTCTACCTTTTTCCTGAATTATTTTCTTTAATGTCTCTTTTTTAAAGTTTGTATATCTGAGGGCAGAGCCTTTGTCTCATTTAATGTAGTGATAGTCACCAGCACTGAGTAGAAATTTTGATGCAGGAGATAATTTGTCTGGGGGAGGGGGGTAGAGAGAAAAGAAACCAGGGTGGATTGATTGAAAATAAATAAAACCAGCATGATGTGAGAGGTCTCATTTAACTAGATTAACCTGAATTAATTTAACCAAATTGTAGACAAAACTAAGTAAATAACAAAGTGAAATAAGCGAGAGGAAGTGGGGTGGATTTGAAGAAAATGTAGAATAATTAGTGATATGCTTATAAAAAGAGGTCCCACAAATATCCCTGTTGTTGTGAAAAAGGTGTCTGATTATACAAATTTTGAAATCTAAGCAAAGGGACAGTTTAAGATCTGTATCAATGGGGTTTCATTGTTTCTCTCTGGTTTTTTTTAAATCATCATTGCTACATAATTCTTGCCTGGGTAAAGTAACCCTTTTCTCTACTTAAATGTTCTTTGCTATCAAATGAAGCAGATAGAAGTTGGCTACCCAAAATAAACTGTCACAGATATATAAGCTGCTGACCGCCACATATTGGTTGTTGAGAAGATAAGCTGTAGAAGACTGAGTAAAGGGTGTATTCTGCCATTAAATTGTGACTATAATGTTAGAAATGGGCTCACAAGCAAAAGCTAAAGTAGAAATTGGCTGATAAAGCAGCAGGAAATATTGGTCAAGTTGCTTCAAGGGGAAGAAGCATAGGCAGTAGATTCTGAACAACTTGACTTCAGGACCTAGCATTTCCTTGAGCACCCCAGAATCTCCTCCCATCTGGGGGAGTCGTAAGTGTTGAAAAGGAGTGGTGGTGGCAGTGATTATCAGATAGTTTAGGTGCAGCTGGTCTGCCTTACAAGGCTGTTGTGCAGCAGTTGCACAAGGAATTATAGATAAATGGAAGGGATAAAGAACTACCCAGCATCTGGTTGGGGAGGGTATATAGGGCAAAATAGTTTAGAAAGAATGGTGAGCATTCTAAATCTGACCTATTTATCCATCCCCAAAGAAAAGGAGCCTAAATTCAATAAGACAATATTAATAAAACCATTAAAAACTCAGATTTCTCCCAGTTTTGCAAGTATTATTGAGCATAGCCTGTAACTGTTTTCAAACAGAGATTGGGTGGGTAGAGTTGGAAAATAAGCTCTTTCCATTGGCTACTGCATCAGGCTTCTCAATCCCTTAGAATAGTTTAAAGGTATATGAATCAGTTCTGTTTCTGAAGGGAAGCAGTTTTGGGTATGACCAGTTAACCTGGATGGGGAGGTCATCTGCATCATTTATACATTGCTCCTTGGATGCAATATTTCTAGGCTGACCTTGGCTCTGCTTGGATGTTGTAAAAGAAACTCTTGCTCCTGAAAAGATGGATAAATGAAGTGGGCAACAGGGTGAAACACTATAATGAATAACAGAACTAATGGTATTGACTTTTTCCTTTAATTCCTATTAGGTATACAACGGGACATATATGGGCCTGCCCACCTAGTGAAGGTGATGATTATATTTTCCATTGCCATCCTCCTGACCAAAAGATACCCAAACCCAAACGACTGCAAGAGTGGTACAAAAAGATGCTGGATAAATCTGTGTCAGAGCGCATAGTGCATGATTACAAGGTTGGTTGTGAATTAGTTTAAATATCACCTTTAGTTCTTGCACCTTATGTATACTGGAACAGGAATTTATTTTGAGAAAAATGTCGAAATGTTTTTGAGAATATTGCTTAGCTAACAGTACTTAAAAGGTAATGTCCGAGAAGCATTTGGATCTTACGAAGCATTTCACGTTTGGTGGATAGAAAAAAACTTGCACCATAAACAACAGCACTATTTTTTAAAAATAAGCCTAGAAGAAAAACAACTTTGAAGAATTAAAGTGTCCCAGAGTGGTTGGGGCAACCTAGTCAGATGGGCAGGGTACGAATTATTATTATTATTATTATTATTATTAATGTTCAAGAGAGACTAGGAGGCCTTCTGCATGAGAATTTCTGCTTTTGCTCCCGTCATCAATGTGTTGTGTACTGAGAAACATTTTGTGTTGCAGGATATTTTTAAGCAGGCAACAGAAGACCGTCTGACAAGTGCAAAAGAGCTGCCTTACTTTGAAGGGGACTTCTGGCCTAATGTTTTAGAAGAGAGCATTAAGGAGCTAGAGCAAGAGGAAGAGGAGCGAAAGAGAGAAGAGAACACTAGCAATGAGAGCACTGATGTAAGGAAGTCATGTTTTCCCAACAAATGTCATTCATCACTTTATTTCCTAAAATCTACAACTGGCATATTGAACTGGACCCAGGATCCAGGAATCCTCTCTAGAATTATTTATTAATTTCTAATAGGTTTGTTGGTGGAAAGGAACAAGGAACCAACCCACAACATTTTGTTTTCATTCAGGAATTACTCCTTAAAATTGCCTGAAGAACATTCTAGCTGCCATAGTTTTTGCCTCTTGTGTGGATAAGATCAAGATATGAATATGTGCCTTACCTGGCTTAAGTTGCCACCTTTGCTTTTGGGACTGATGGATAATTGATGTGTTGTAATGACTTCTTGGTGGTTGCTTGTTTACTCTTGGGAACCAAATGTGTCTTGCCATTTTCAAATTAGACTCAATTCTCCATTCACATTGCAGGTCAGCAAAGGAGATAGCAAAAACGCCAAAAAGAAAAATAATAAGAAGACCAGTAAAAATAAGAGCAGCTTGAGTCGTGGTAATAAAAAGAAACCTGGAATGCCTAATGTCTCCAATGACCTTTCCCAGAAACTGTATGCCACTATGGAAAAGCATAAGGAGGTAAGAACAATATTTAAAGTATCTGAATGGCTGCAGCATCTAAGTGCAAGTGAAATATATCCTTGGACTGTAAAAGTAGGGGGTTTATTACTTCCATGTTGACTGAGGGAACTTCATGACCAAATAATAATCTTCTTTTCATTTGCCACACAAGTTAGACGCATGGTTAATTTAATCCAGTGGTGTGAGGCTTCTGAGGGAATGTATTGAAATGAGCAGCAGACTGCACACATACATGCTCTGTGGAACATTGTGGAAATTAGTTGCATACATGTTTCTATTTGTGTTAAAAAGGTTTTTTTAAATCTTATTTCTCCTGGGTATTTAGATAATATACAAAAACAAAATCTTTTCTTATCTAATAAACCTGTATAGCTATTTTAAGGTCTGTATTGTAAATTGGAAAGTTGAGCTTTTTTGCCAAATTCTAAGGCACAATGAAGCATAAGGCATACTGTAAACCTATGAGCATGTTATCAAACACATGTGAGAGTAAGGGAAAACTGTGAAAGAAAACAAGTCCTTTTTTCCTAGAAAAATAGGTACCAGTACTCACCATGAAGTTGTTACAGTAAGTGCCACACTTTTTAACAACAACAATAGAGGTGCTGGTACTGCATACCCTTGAGGACCCCCTGGAAAAAAAACACTGAAGAAAATGCTCAATTGGGGCATGCAATCAGGCTGAGGTTGCATTGTGGCCAAGTGATTGCGGGTTGACTTTGTTGTGGTCAATGAAGTTAAACATACAGATTGGAGCATTATAAACCAAATAATCTGAATTTGATTTGTATAACACAAAGTATTATAACTAGGTGTTTTACTATTTCAGGTATCTTTTAGGGCAGGGGTGAGAAACATTCTGGCCCAGAGAGCCAAATTGTTATCTCTCCAACCCCTTGTAGGCCAAATTTGACAGCTAGTTGTCCCCTAACTTCTTACTCTCGATGCTGCTGGGCCTGGCCCCTGATATGTACAGCAGGGTGGGGCCCAGAGACATTGAGAATAAGGTTGATGGCACTTGTTGCCTAATGCCCAGCTCTTTTCTCAACAACGCTGGGCCAAGGAAGTACAGGGGGGCTAGAATTGTGCTGCTGCTGGTGGTGGTGGTGCCATCCTGCAGTAAACTTGACAAAATTCGGAGCAGTTGTGGCTTGTTCCTGATGTTCGGAGCATGTTGACTACTTCAGACTCCACAATGAGACTGAAAGACAGAGAACAGAAGGCATTGTATAGTTAAGGGTGATGAATCAAACCTCTTGGAATAAAGCCTAAAATCCATTACTCTTTTTTTCAGGTATTCTTTGTGATCCGTCTCATTGCTGGTCCTCAAGCCAATTCCCTGCCTCCCATCATTGAACCTGACCCACTCATTCCGTGCGACTTAATGGATGGGCGTGATGCCTTCCTCACCCTTGCTAGAGACAAACACCTTGAGTTTTCCTCACTACGAAGGGCAATGTGGTCAACCATGTGCATGCTGGTAGAACTGCATACTCAGAGCCAGGATCGTTTTGTTTATACCTGCAACGAGTGCAAACACCACGTGGAAACAAGGTGGCACTGCACAGTCTGTGAGGTATGTCTCGCCACTGGTGAAATAATTTGTTATACAAATATTCAGAGGTTTATATCATGAAGAGGTTTTTGGAACTGAAGTGGAGGGTTTCATTAGTGTTGTCTACTGTAATATTAGGTTTTATCTTAGGACGTTTTAAAAGTTCCTTGCTATCCTACTCCAGTGTCTTGATATTTATGTTGAAGCGTATAGCTTACGCTTCCATTTTAACATGGCTCTGCTTCAGAGTAAAGAGCTTTCTTAGGATATTACAGCCAAAAAAAGTGATGGAAATGTACTCTCCTTAAGGCCCTTTTTGTTAGGGTCCCTGTTTGCCTGAGGCAGGGATCATCAGCCATTTTGGAACAATGGACACATTTCAATTTTTGAGAGGGTTGTGTGTACCAGTGACAAAATGGCAGCCATGGGGGCATGTCATAACACAATATTAGAGAAAGTACAGTAATTGTGACATTTTCTATAATTATATTTCCTGATGAATTTCTGCCTACCATAAAGCTATTAAAGGCACAACAGTACTCCCTCCCCCCTTTTTCAACCCTAGACCAAAGCCTAGGCTGCCATCCTATACCAGCTTACCTGGGAGTAAAGCCCACTAAACACAAAGGGACTCAAACTTCTGACTCTGCCATTCTTAGTAGGTGCTTGTTCTTTAGCTCCTGCAAAGCAGAAGACATGCTTAAGCCACTTTGCAAAGATTTCAGATTTTCCTTTTGGAGACAGGGGCATTCTTCAACATCCACCCACATTCGTTGTGTAGTAGTATTTGAGAAAATAACTTCTAGGGATTACCTGATCTCAGATGAATTCACCATAGGAAAGATGCATTATGGTTTCTAGGGAAAAAGAAATGGCAAATTACAGAGATTCCAAGGACTACTAGAAAATAAGCATGAAGAGTGCTCTGAGGGAGAGGGGAAACAACAGCTCTTCAGAACCCAAGTAGTTCTTGTTACCTAACTTACTAATCACAGCTGGCTTCACTTATTGGCTAAAAAATAAAAACATTGACAGGTGGCAGAAGTCAGGCTGACTATTCACAGAAATTGCTTAGCAACATATCTGCACTTTTTCCTCGGTAACTTTCTAGGCTGCCTAGAGATTTCTCTCTCAGAATTTAGGACCTTTTTATGGGGCTACCAGTCACTGGGTTGGTGACTCCTGACCTGTTTCAAGTCTGCATCTGTCTGATATGGGAGAAACCTTTCACTTTTGTTGCTCACCATATCAGTCTTGCTGTTCTTCCCCTGAGAACTGACACTTGAGCCACTTTGGCTGATAGTCATTGCATAGTTTTCAGTGAATGCTTGTTTATGCCTTTCCAAGTTTCATGATTTTTTTTTTTCTTGGACAAGTCATCATTAGCATTTTGAGATTGCATTGTTAATTAAGATTATCTTTTATCAGCTATTTAAATTTTTAGAGATGTGTGCCTCTGTCAGGGAATAAGGCCAGTTATCTGACTGATCATTTCTGTTTTTAGGATTATGACTTATGTATCACCTGCTATAACTCTAAAAACCATGAGCACAAGATGGAGAAACTGGGCCTTGGTATCGACGATGAAAGCAACAACCAACAGACAGCCACTACGCAGAGTCCTGGTGATTCACGTCGCCTGAGCATCCAGCGCTGCATCCAGTCTTTGGTCCATGCCTGCCAGTGCCGCAACGCCAACTGCTCATTGCCGTCTTGTCAGAAGATGAAGAGGGTCGTCCAGCACACCAAAGGTTGCAAGCGCAAAACCAATGGAGGGTGCCCCATTTGTAAGCAGCTCATTGCTCTTTGCTGCTACCATGCTAAGCACTGCCAGGAGAACAAGTGCCCAGTGCCCTTTTGCCTCAACATCAAACACAAGCTTCGTCAGCAGCAGCTTCAGCACCGCCTGCAGCAGGCCCAGATGCTCCGGAGGAGGGTGGCAAGCATGCAGAGGACCGGCATAGTAGGCCAGCAGCAAGGGTTGCCCTCGCCAACACCAGCCACACCAACAACTCCGACAGGCCAGCAGCCACCAACTCCTCAGACCCCACAGCCGCAGCCTCCACCCCAGCATGCCTCGCAGCCACAACCCGTACCTCCCAATAACATGCCTCCATATAGCATGTCAAGAACTCAGCCTCCTGGTGCTGTCTCCCAAGGCAAGGCAGGTGGCCAGGTAACTCCTCCAACAACTCCTCAGGCTACTCAGCCACCTATGCCGGGGCCCCCTGCAGCTGCCGTGGAAATAGCCATGCAGATCCAGCGAGTAGCTGACCACCAGCGGCAGATGGCCCATCCAATTTTCCAGAGGCCAATTCAACACCAGATGCCCCAGATGAATCAAATACAGCCTATGAGTGTAACACCACCTCAGATGGCCAGAGGTCCCGGGGGCCATATAGATCAAGGGATGGGACCATCAGGAATTCAGCAGCAGCCCGCATGGGCCCAGGGAGGCTTGCCTCAACCTCAGCAGCTGCAGCCAGGAATGCAGAGACCAATGATGTCAATGGGCCAGGCTGGGCAGCAGATGAGTATGTCACCGCAGCAGCCAGGAATGGGTCAGGTCCCTGGCGCTGCTCCGTCAAAGCAAAGCTCTGTGCCCCAGGCAGCCTTACAAAACCTGCTGCGGACTCTCAGGTCCCCCAGCTCTCCCATGCAGCAGCAGCAGGTGCTTAACATCCTGCACTCCAACCCTCAGCTGTTAGCTGCTTTCATCAAGCAGAGGGCTGCCAAGTATGTTGGGAACCAGAATCCACAGGGCATGCCGGGACAGCCCGGAATGCCTCAAGGGCAACCAGGGATGCAGCAGCAGGCCATGCCAGGACAGCAAGGTGTGCATCCCAATCAAGGCATGCAAAATATGAATCCGATGCAAGCAGGCGTCCAGAGGCCCAGCATGCCCCAGCAGTCGCCACCCCAGCAGCCACCACCCCAGCAGGCCATGGGCGGGATGAATCCTCAGGCACAGCAAATGAATATGAATCCTGCAGCAACCATGTCTCCCCAGTTTCGGGAAATCCTAATGAGACGGCAGCTCATGGAGCAGCAGCGTCAGGGAGCAGGACCAGGGCTGGGGCCTGGCATGGCCAACCATAATCAGTTCCAACAGCCCCAGGGAGTTGGGTACCCTCAGCAGCAGCAGCAGCAGCAGCAGCAACAGCGGATGCAGCATCACATGCAGCAAATGCAACAAGGGAATATGGGACAAATGAGCCAGCTTCCACAAGCGATGAGTGCAGAGACGGGATCCAGTTTGCAGCAAGTTTACCAGCAGAGGTTACTTCAGCAGCAGATGGGATCACCAGCTCAGCCCAATCCTATGAGTCCTCAACAGCACATGCTCCCTAGCCAGGCCCAGTCCCCACACTTACAAGGCCAGCAGATTCCGTCATCGCTCACCAATCAAGTGCGTTCTCCACAGCCTGTCCCTTCACCACGTCCCCAGTCCCAGCCACCCCACTCCAGTCCGTCCCCTAGGATGCAGCCACAACCTTCTCCACATCACGTCTCCCCGCAGACCAGCTCCCCTCATCCAGGACTGGTAGCTGCCCAGGCTAACCCCATGGATCAAGGGCACTTTGCCAGCCCGGACCAGAGTGCAATGCTTTCTCAGCTTGCTAGCAATCCAGGCATGGCAGGCCTCCATGGTGCAAGTGCCACAGAACTGGGACTCGGCTCAGATAATTCAGACTTGAATTCAAACCTTTCACAGAGTACACTAGACATACACTAAGACACACTGTAGCATTTTGGGAGCAAAAAAAACTTATTTTCTCAAGACTTTTTGTACTGAAGACAATTTTTTTTGAATCTTTCTTAGCAGAACATTTTTCCCTGGAATACATCTGAACTCTGCAGCAGTAGTTTGTGGTTTTAAAAATGAGAAACCAACAAAATGAACCTGAGGGACAATAGAATACAAAGAAAATATATTTTTGTTATGGCTGGGGTCATAACCAGTCCTTTTACTTGTTTTTGTTTTCCCTTCGCGTGCGTTGGGGAGGTGCTTGGGAGGGGATAGTTATTTGGCTGCTGACCAAATGGCTTCCTTCTCTAGCCTCCAATAGGTTTTATTTTTTTTTTAAATTAATGAAAATATGTAATATTGATAGTTATAATTTACTGAGGCAGATGGTTAACTTTTTTCCCTATTCTGGTTTTTCTCATGCCTACTGCAAAAAAGAAAAAAAGAAAAACAGAAAAAACAGAACATTTCCTAAAACTGGAGGACAAAAAGGGTGAATGTTGCTTTAAAATACAGTGCATATATATAAATATATAAAAATATATATTAAAGATAAATACCAATTTTTCCTCTTTGGTTGGAAAGATGTCAATTCTTTTAAAAACTGTAAAAATTATTAAGTAACCCAGTCTCCCTCCTGAAGTCTACTTTTGTCCTCCAAGAATTTTCTATACCAGAGTCTGAGCTTAAACTTCAAGTATTAAAATTTGTACATGTAGAGAGAAGACAACTTTTTGCAAATACACGGGGCAGCTGCCAAATGGATGTAGTATATATATTGTGGTTTTGTTTTCTTGAAAGAATTTTTTTCGTTATTTTTACATCTAACAAAGGAAAAAATAAAGAGGGTAAGAAACTATTCCAAGGGTATAATTTTAACCTGAGAGTAAATCCCTGGGGTTTCTTCTTTATGCTTGCTTTCTCTATCCCTCCCCTCCCATTTCCTCCTCTTCCATTTTCTGTAAAACTTGAAAATAGAAAGCAAAAAACCCTCAAATGTTGTAAATCATGCAATTAAAGTTGATTACTTATAAATATGAACTTTCGATCACTGTATAGACTGTTAATTGATTTCTTATTACCTATTGTTAAATAAACTGTGTGAGACAGACTGATTTTTTTATGCTTCCCTTCTTCTTTTCCCCTTCAATTGGTGCTTATTTTAAACTGGGGAAAGAAGATGGTATGCTTTTGCAAAACAAAAAACTATCGCGATCAATTTGATGTATAGTAACATACCATTATGTGTGTTTTTGAAACATGCATATTTTGGGCTGTAATGAAGATGATCAATGTCCATTTTGCTGTGACACTATATTTGCTTCTACTTGTGCTATGGAAACTTTTCTTCATATCTAGGTGGGATGCTGTCTGCATGTTTGACCTGGACAGCACTTGATCCTCAAAAGAACCTCCAGAGTCCAGAATACTGCCCAGGGTTTGACTATCAGAACAGAAGTCTCAAGACACCATTCGACAATTCAGTGGGTTGGCATGCAAGACGACCTGAGGAATTTGTGGTGATTGAAGGCAACTTATAAGCATGTCAGTCTGCTCTGACACCAGCAGTTCTAATTTAATTAGATGTGTGCTGTGAATACTGAGCCTCCCTCTATAAATGAGTGCCATGCAGGGGCAACAATTTGGTAGTCCGATTTTGTTCATGCCCACAAGCTTAGATGGAGAAATAGTTAGCTACACATACAGTGTTTCGTGTAGTTAACATTTAACTACTGTAGATTCATCTTTGTTTCTGCTGAACTGGATAGTCCTGAGCGTTTGAGGAAGGTTTTGCATTATTAAGTACTACAGAATTTCTGTCAGTTTGGTGCTTATCTGAGCTACTAAATACAAGGTCTTCTAAATGTTCCTCCACCTGTTATAGCCCTTTCTGGATTGGCTTAGTTTCAAAGTCAGGGTCTAGCCTTAGCCCTGACAAACTCTAGAATAGTAGATAAACAGGGCAATGCAGGTTGGATGGAAAGTATAGTGAAAGAAGTAAAATTTAATACTATCACAGATGATAAAACTCAGGATAATGTACAATTATTTGTGTTGCAAAAATACAATAAAAGTGGCTCATAGAAAATTGTTGTAGGTAATAACGTTGCCAGAGGCTTTAGTTTTAGGATGAACTCTGCATCTACAGTCCTATGAGTATTTAGAGTGTTTCCTATCTGGGTGAAGGTGCAAAGTTGCAATGTGTTCAGTGTGATAAATTTGAAATTGTAGTTCTTCAGTAGATTTTGCAGATACAAAATTCCATTTTTAAATTGCAATTGTTGATGACACATCACCAACTACAGCTTTTATTTTTATCCTCTATGGATTTTCATCATCACTGCGTTTTTGTACTGTCACTCTATGCATCATTCTTTGAGTCCTTGTTAGGTTGTTTTAAATTTATTAACTTAAATCCTTTTCCCACAAGCATGCTTACACACATACATATATCGCACACATACATGTATAAAATGAAATTGCTTTCCAGTTCTTGAGCCAAATGCTCATTCAAAACTGATGAATTAGAACTAACACTCACATCATTTATAACAGATGCTTGCAAACAAAATATTAAGTATAATGAAATCCAGCCAGGATTTTATAAAAACAGTGAGCAGATTTCTGCAAAAGAATTGAAGCGCAGAGTAAAATGACAGAGAAACACAGTGTCCCTAAAGCCATATAGCAGATCCACAGTTCAGTGGATTGAAAAAGATCCCTCTTAATTTTATGATAGAAATTACATCAAGTTTCTATAGACTGACTTGCCTCATCCTTTCTTTTAAAAAAAGGGGGTGAGTTAATCTGACACTCAGTGCATTCTTCTGTAGCGAACTTGCAGTGCCTTTACAGGAAATAAGAGCTTACAGCTCTGCAAATCAGTGGAGGTGTACTGCCATTAAAGAGATACTTTGGGTCTAAATCTTATTAAAACACAAAATTCTCATATCTATCTGGTATGTAGATGGGTCTAGCTTTCACAATGTGCAACTTGTCATGTTTTATTTGTAATCCGCAATGATATACACTATTCCAGAATTTGTTAGGCAGAATAAGGTTACTATCTCTTAGGCAGAAAAGGGTGAAGAAGTAGGAAGGTGATTACTAAATGTGAAGTTCTTTCTTGGGGAAAAACTAAGCAAAGCCAGAAGCTCACTCCCTGTCTCCAGTATGCACCTCTGACTGACTTCAGCTCTCTTTTTGCCATGCAGAAATATAAAGTGCATTTTCCTTCTCTTCTGCAATAATGTCAGGTATACAACTTCCCTACCTCAGAAATGCATATGCTTCCACCATAGACATCATCTTGGTCTACAAGCCATTTGACCATACCAAGACTGTTCTTTTCTAATTTTATTTACTTCAACTATTAGCCCCACAAGTATGGCCAATGGGCAGGGATGATGGGAGCTGTAGTTTAGCAACAGCTGGAGGGCCAGAAGGTCCTTTCACCTAGGCTGCAAGCTTGGAAATCTTGAAATTATTCAGCAATGCCTCGGAGAAGCCATCATTAAAAGAAAAGAAAAAAGGCAAACCTACATTGGAGATTGAACTATAGGTGGTTTCTGTAGCAATAACTTCAAATATTAAAAATATATGAAACACAGGCATTTCCCTAATCATCCAGCCTGCCTTAATTCTCATGCTTTTGCTAGTTACCTTGAGCAAAATAACCACAGCTCCTAATCTTGAATTCTCATTGTGTACAAGAATGCAAAATATACTATCCATAAGAGGGATATCATAAATTCTCATATGTATGAAAATTATTGTACACCTGGGCTGCAGAACAGGAGTACCACCTCCACCTGGTTTTCAAGGACCCCTTCAACCTTAACTATACCTACTCACATGGACCTCGTGGGAATCGGTGTGTTTGACATGCAGAACTGCCATTTTTTAACTTGTTGCAGTTTTCTTGTGATGGGGGGGTGTACATGTAACGAGAAGCATTCTTTGTATCAGGTTCTTAAAAGGTGAATGAGCAAGGGCAGTACAAAGATGGCAACAATCATGGTCATCGCTTCAAATGTTACCTCTAATTGTTGGTACAAAAAAATGTAGAATGCACTCATTCCTCCTGATAATAGAAGCTTGACATGCAGGAAATAGCACAGGAACCTAGGAAGGTACCTTAAACAGGGTCAGACCATTGTAGCATGAGTTTCAGGTGGGGTCCTCTCCCAGCCCTATTAGTAGATGTTGGGTATTGAAACTGCCTGCATACAAAATGAATGCTCCAATTGAGCTCTGATTCTTCCTAAAGAGCACAAGACAAGGCAGGTTTTTTCTTTCTCTGGGTCTGTTGATTGTAGGACTACAAAGTTATGACTGACCTGCTCAAGCTATGATGCAATTGAGATACTTGGAGACAAAAGAGAGAGAATAGGATAAACAAAACAAAAACAAAAAACCAGCGCTTACTGGCCCTTAGGGAAAAAATACCCTAATTTGGATTTAGGAATAACAGTGTACAAAACCGTGAAACTCACATTTTACAAGTTTTGCATTATATGCTCACTTATTTGAAAGTTAACCCTACTAATTGCATTGGGATCATTAAACATAACAGGGTGATTACATGTTACTTTCAATGAGTGTATAATCTCTGTAAATAGCTGGGCGGCATGAATCAACGCAAACACTTGTACATGTGTAGACAGACAACTTGTACCTGTGTTTAGGGTACTATGAATAACCTTAATGGGATCAAGTTTCAAAGGCATTCATTTATTGCAAACTTGCATTATAGCCAATGAGACCACTTAGCTGAAGAACCAGCTGTGTTTTGAACTTTAATGCTGCTTGGCAGAGCAATACTGTGCATGTCTTCTCAGTCATAAACTAAATGGGACCGGCAGGGAAGTATATATATATGATTGTAGTCTTCATGGATTACCTTGGAACTAATGGGGATTAAAACAAGGCAAGTAATGTGTAGCCAGAAATATATCATTTGGTTATATCCATGCATTTTGCATAATTTAAGCTGCAATCCCATACACATTTATATACCTGCAACCGAACTTAGTGAGGCTTCTAAATTGACAAATTTAGGATTGTACTATTCTCAGTGTTGCAGCTAGTAAAGTGGAGGGCCTGTCATTTTTAATTTCATTTTATTTTCTCAAATCGGAACTGAAATAGTATTAACAAATGAAAATGTCCCTTTAAAGTTGAATTGAGTGCCTCAGCCTCCCTCCTGCAAAAGGAACTGTTTCGTACCCCTCATTAGATGGGGTGGAAGGGCACAAACAGCTTTCAGGCAAAGGTGAGTTCCAGCATCTTTCATTTAGAAATTAATTATGGAATAATTAAATTAAGGCACATTTATTGGAACACACCCATTCAGTGCCAAAAATCAAAACCTTACATGCCAGGAAACACACTTCTCAAAACCAAGGATTGCATTCAGCTTGGTTCTATTCAGAGCAGACTCACTGAAATTGGTTAATATTGTTAATGTAGGTGCATTGATTTTAATGTCTTAAGTAGAAGCTGGAAACAACCTCAAGTCCCTTTCCTCCTCTAAAACCCAAAAAGCTAATTATTTTAGCTCTATAGACAAAATATAGGAATTTAATTTAAGAGAAAGCCCACCACATCTTAGCAGTGGAACCTATTTTCAACTCAATGGCTCAACCTCAGATATTTGAAGGAAAAAACAAAAATGTTAGACCGTATGCACCACAAAATAATTACAACCATCCTCCACATATCTAAAATTAGGAATAATGTCTTCCAGATTTTGACACATCAGTCGATGTGACAGGCAAAGCATTTTGAGAGCCCATGTTACATATTTTAGAAATCCACTGACAAAATGGGCCCTAAAACAGGATCACAGGCGTTGCTAAGCAAGCTAAAAAGTCTACCTTGCTTGCCATCACTGCAAAAAAGAGTATGTTGAATCACTCCCTACTTGTATTTCCCAACCAGTGGGTCAGAAAACCTGTGGCACCTTTGCATCAGAGGCAAGTTGTAATACTCATTCATTCCCACACTGAGTACACATCGGCAAAACGCAAGCTTTAGGGATCCCACCAATACTTGCCAAAACAGATTTGACCATGAATGAAAAGATGACAAACTGAGAATTGTTAATAGTTTCATCTAACATCACTTTGGTATATTTATAGAATACATTTTTATGCCTTATGAAGCAATATTCTGAAGTCATGACTGGTGTTCTTACATTCTCATAAAAAAACCCTGATTGAATTTGTAAGTACTATACGTAAATAGTTCAACAATTCCACATTAATGGGGGCATCAAGTACAATTTTTGCTTGGATCGTTATAAAGTCGGCAAAGCTTCACTTAAAATGCATAAAACTGATGGCTGCCAAAGAGCTAAGCTCCAAAATTCATGTGACATTAAATCACTGGGTCAGTAAATACAAAGTAAATTTGGACCTGTGGATCATACCAAAAAGGTTGAAAAGCACTACCCTACCTCATGCAGTTTTCTGGAAAACTTAAGGAAGCTGGCAAGATACTACTCCTGCTTCCCCCTTCCTTCACATTAATTCCATTGCAAGCTGATGCTGTTCCCTCAAGACACAGTTTAAATAAGAAATTGTAAATAATTATTTTTAAGGAGCATACATAGGTTAGAAATTTATCTCAGCACTTTTCATTCAAGAAAGAGTAAGAATTTGGCTGCTCAGACTACAAAAGAGAGTAGTATCCAAAAATTACAAAGCCCTGTTATGCAATTCAAACACAGGCTCTTAGGAATGAGAGTCTGAATCAGCCAGAAGTTGGGAACCTTTGACTCTTCAGTTGATGTTAGGGGTACTCTCATTTTGACTCAAGAAAATCACCATTTTATAGTTCAAATCATGAAAAATAAATACAGTAAATGGATAAAAGTACAAAGATTCACAAAATGTTTAGAGGGTATGCATACCCCTGCAAACCCCCAGAAAAAAGCACCGGGCTACACTGGAAAGAAAGAATGATTAAGAGGACGTAATTGTCTTTCAGAGTTCCTCAAACTAAAAATTTTATTTGTTTAAAAGATAAATAATAAATGAGACCAAAAAACATACCTTTAAAACACTTTTGATTTTGTAGTGCTCCACCCTTCTGTCAGTGATCGGCTACCCCAGCCCGCTTTTAGGGCTCTATTTTTCTAAATATTGTTTCTGTTTCTGCAAACCTCCTAGTTTCCTCAGCCCTGATGTTAGCTCCTTGTGTGAGGATAATGCCATTTTGTCTACATAAGGATTCACACTCAAGAGAATGAGTTCACTGTTAGTAATGTAAGTTAGTAATATAAGTTAGTAATATATATATATATATATATATATATATATATATATATATATATATATATGATATAGATGTATTTGTATAGTAATAGATATTAGTAATATATCTACAGTATATTATATACTCTGAGCATTTTGCTAAAGCTATCAACAACAAGCGTCCTGTTATACCATTTAGATATTTGTGCAATATCTAATTTGTGCAAACTAGTGTGAGAGCTGTCATTTCTGAGCCCACAGCCCAGGAATTTGTTCTGAGTGTCAGTACAGAACGGAACTCGCAGTCCTCCTATACAAAACTCCGGGTTTCCCCCGCACACAGCTTTCTTTCTTATTTCAGTAGATATGTATGTATGTATTTTGGAGGGAGAGAGTAATTTTGTTGCTGCCATTGTTATCAACGAGTTAAAAATCCTTGCGACCTGCTTCAAATCACCCAGAGATCTATCAGTAAAATCCCGGTCCACTTTCTGCCTCGCTCTGTAGTCGAAGGTGGCCGCTTGCTTGCTTGCAGCCCTTAGAGGCATTTTCCAAATATTACTTGGCAAGCCCCATTGATTTCCCCGGGATAGACTGAGGAGGAGTTGCTGTCTGCTCTAGCAGTGATCAGCCTCACATTCGAAGGGCTGTGGGAGGCAATATAGAGGGAGACCTGGGCCCTGCTCGCTCGCTCGCTCGCTACGTGCCAGAACGCGAGCGGTCGGGAATGCAAAATGCAGGCGGCGCTTCGCTTTTCAGGCACACTCCTTATAACGCAGGGCGAGCCCGACTGCAGCCTGGCCTTTACTAAGGATTGCCTGGCGGGCAGCTGCTGGCACAGGAGAGCGGGTAGCGTCGAGCGCTCCTTTGCCAAATAATGTTAGCGGGTTGGAGGGCTTCCCTCATGGACGGCTGCTGCCTGCAGGGCCGACTGACAATGGCCTGGGAGGCGGTGCCTTTTTCCCTGCGAGGAACGGACAGGGCACATGGTCTGCATTCTCTGCACAGTAAACACCCCGCTGAGAACATGAGGAGAGTGTGTGGTTGTTTTTCTCCCCAACGGGTCTACAGCCTGAGTTAAACTTCGTTGCGCCCCTTAAGAACTACAACTCCCAGAACCGCGCGCGCTGCGGAGCGAAGGCTGTTTACACGCCGCACGCCTCCCCCTCTGGCTCTTCCGGCGCCGCGTCTTCTCTCTCTGCCCATTGGGCGGCGGCGGGAGCGCGAACGATTCCATGCGCTTTGGTGGTGCGCGCGGAGGCGACGCGGCTATTGGCGGCTCGTGCGCTCGGTAGGGGGAAGGGAGCGCGCGCCGCCCGGCCGCGTCTTGTCGCTGGCGGTGCTGCTCGGCGTCTGCATGGGCAAGAGGAGAGCCATGGAGCGGGAAGGAGGCCCGGTAAGTCGGTCGTGGTGGTTGCTTTGCTCGGTTAGCGACGAGGCGGCAGTGATCTCCCAAGTTCCTTGCTCTGGTGCCATAATAACATCCCACCTGCCTGCCTTCCGCTTATGGGGAGGGGCGGGGAAGGGGTGTTCCACGTGAAAATGGAATACAGTATATTTCCCTCATAGACGGTGCGTGCCCCCTTCCCCCTAAAAGGAGCTCGCCCCACAACCCGTGCCTCTCTTTCTCCCACCGCCCTTCTTGCTGGACCCCTGTGTGCAAGGAAAGGCACTTTTCTTTAGTCCTAAACTGTATCAAATAAGCTTCCTTGAAAGTTAACTCGCTTGTCTTTTTCTCTCTTTTACTTTCAAAGACAATTGCTCCTAGTCTAGATAGATAGATGGATAGATATGGATATTGGAAGCAATTCATTGAATACTTGTTACTTCCTCAATCAAAAGGTGGTTTTTGTAATGCTATGTCTATTTTTTTTACAAATCAGATTATATATACTGTAGTGTATTTTATAAGTCGATACACAAGTGTATTTTAGTTATAGAGGTTCTTTTTTCTAGGCGTTTTATATTTTCTTTATTGGTTATAATTATAAATAATAATAAATATAGGTTTTCCTTTAGGGAAAATATTTTTTTTGATGGGAGCCTTAATGTTACTTAAATGTTATTTCTCTTTTTAGAAAACCAGCATGTGGGACAAAGCTCACCACCTGCCCCAAAATGCATTTTACTCCTTCTGTGCTCTCCTCAGTATGCCTTGTTTCTAGTATCAATGCTATATTTACTTTGTATTGCTGCCCTTGACAAAAAATAGAAATAGACTGAAATTTCTGAGTGTTGAAAGTGTTGGTTCCCCCCCCCCCATTTTATCCGTGTGACTGATGCTCCCAACTATGTTATTATGTGAATTATCCTGCACACATGTAAGTTTCCTTTAAGTATTGAAAGATGTATGTGAGACAGCGCTAGACCTGTTGAAAGCATATTGGCTAATTACCTCCTGGCTTTGCTCTGTGTGCAATTCGCTGCTTCTTGCTTATCAAACAGCTTATTAAATTTGTAGCTGGCTGCTATTAAAACTAAATGACAGGTTGCATAGTGAACAGTTAAGTATCAATAGAATAAGAGTAACATCCAGCTGTTGTTTACAGGTAGGTAGCCGGGTTGGTCTGCCGTAGTTGAAACAAAATTAAAAAATTCCTTCCAGTAGCACCTTAGAGACCAACTAAGTTTGTTATTGGTATGAGCTTTCATGTGCATGGATCCAGCTACTGGTATTTGTTTGAGCACCATCAGTATAGTTCAGGAGCCGCCAGTTTTGTGCCCGTGGCTGGACCGGGATAGGTCTTCCCCACATGGCCCCATCCTTCCACTGAAATTAGACTGTAGTCAGTAGAATTAGTTTTGGTGTATGCTTTGTTGCATGCTATCCATTGACAGTTTCTCCAGATTGGGCCCAAAGGTTGGTGAGTTCACCAGTCTGCGATCCTGTGCAAATTTAGAAGGGTTGTATTTGCTAATGCAACATCGATTGGAAGATGCTAATTGGTTAGGAGTGTATAACTGGTTATTCTTGGGATTAAAGGAATGCTTTGTGGAAGAGGGTGGAGCTCAGACAGGAAATGGAATTTGATATTTATGATGTGGTGGTTCCAGCTGTAGGGTGCATTATGGCTGGATGAGTAGTCATAGGCAAAGAACTTCGTGAACTCAGTAGTGATTTGGTGGCTTGCTGGGTAAATGGACTTAATCAATACAGCATATTGCTTGATCCCTCACAACAAATATGCAAAAAATAATACATGTCCTTCCTGTTGAATAACTTAGTATATAATAGCTATTTGCTGGGGCTTTATATTCATAAGATGTAGCTTAGATTATTTTTTTATTCTCCCATAAACATGCATTGGACATAGGTGGGAAATGTCCTGATGGTTATACTTGCAAAAAGTGGTTAAGATTGGACTAATCTGCTTCAAGTAATCTCTACTGGATGTGGCCAGATTTTTGTCACCCCAAATAGTAGTGGGCTACTATGGGTATCTGCTGCCTGCTTGGCATTGCAGTCTTCTTGAATTAGAAAGAAAAACCAAGGTGGTAGGATGTTTGACTGCACTGGCTTCCTCAGTACCGGTAGGTTGCTAAACTCACAAAGGTGCTTAACAACTCTTTCTTCTTCACTGTTTACCTCATGTCTTTACAGAGCTGGGCTATAGTCATGGCCACTTACCCCCAAAGTCTTCTTAACTCACTTGTTTGCTTTGCTGGGGTTTCCCTCATACATTTCTGCCTACAGTGTCCTAACATTGCTTGAATCCAGCAAGTAGGAGGGGGAACTAGATGTACAGTTATCTCTCTCTCTTTTTGCCAACTGTGTTTAACATCCTGTCTGCTTTGCCCCTAAATTTCTGATGTGTAGAAGGATTGCACAGGTCAGTGGGTTTAAAAGCATGTTCTGGCCCTCCGGGCAATTTTAGAAATTCTGGCAATCCTGAAAGGTAACATGTCTGCACTTATGGATTATCTCATATAATGCACTGCCTAGGAGAGGGGCAGGTGCAGGGCATGTTTCATGTGGTCAGTTGGGTCAGGGTGATGTCTAGGCCCAATGGACCAGGGTGTCACTTCAAATGGACTTGAGAGAAGCTATTGAGAATTCCCCAGAATCCTCTGCAATATGCAGAAATTCCACAGCAGATGCTCAGGAGTTCTCCGGGGAAGATGCATCAACATAGACAGTGTTCCCTGAAAGAAAGAAAAAAGGGAAAATGCTAGCAAAGATTGAAGTTATGAAACGTCAAAGAAGACTGAAATGATATACAGTTATATCATTCCCCCCCCCCCCATTATTCTAACTTGATTTTGTGTACTCCTTAGGATATACATCAGTTTTACTTTTTCTTCTTCTTTTTGTGCAATTGCCCACTACTACCACATCACTGTTTTCTGATTGTGCCTTTTGTAATTTATGTGGTGCTCACTAAAGACCTCAAAAAGTCAATCCTAAAATTTTGAGAGTTATCATGACTTCAGGATTAAAGATTTTAAAACAATAAATGAACAGAGATGCATCTTCATGTTGTTAGTCATATATATCCCACCTTCCCTAATAAACTTGGCTGGACTTGACTCTGCCTTTTTAGCACCAGTTGAAAACGCTTCCATTCTCCTGGAATTTTAATGGATATTATTTGTTTGTCCAATTAACTTTCTTTTTGTTAAGAACCAAAGAAGATCTCTGCTGGATCAGACCTAAGGCCTATTTAGTCCAGCATCTGATAATTTGCTTGTCGTTTTCTGTAGCTCTTCCAGTTTACTCTTCCACTTACTGTCTGAAAATATTTTCACTTGATATTTGATATGTGTTTGGTTTTAAATTGTTCTAGTTTGTTGTTGTTGTTGTTAGCTGCTTGGGCTTAAAGGAAACATCACAGTATTTTAAATAAATATGTAATATTTTAAGGGTAGCATATTGAGGGAGTATGGGACCTCATCATTAGTGGAAGTACCGACATTTCCTTGGCTAATAGCCTGCTCAAATGATTCTGCCTCTGATATATGCGAACCGAATGCCTCTTTCCCACCATCATGCCTGTGGGTGTGTTTCAAATATACTCCGGTCTGTTTTGCTGTTAGTTGGAGTCTCCGGCCCATTGCAAGTCCTCATCCTTGGAGCAGAAGAATGAGCAAGTGGATGATGACTTGGACCTCTTTGGGGGTTATGATAGCTGCCGGCGTTACAGCAGCAGTGGAGAGAGTGGCAGTACCTCCTTCCTGGAAGACTCTAGTGAGAATGAAGCAGCAGATCGAGAAGCTGGGGAACGGCCTACATTGCCTCCACAGGCCCAAAAACCTACCAGCCGGTTGCCAGATGAAAGTGGTTCTGAGCCAGGTACTTGTGTTTTGTGGCAAAGGAAGGCTGTAAATGATTGAATACAAAGCAGTTTTATTCTTTCTAGAGTGGGGGGGGGGTAGAGATAGTTGATGGAATACACTACATTTGGAGGATGAGCCAAAAAGAAATATAATATCAGCTTTTTAACAGGGAGAGTGTGTGTGATATATTATCTCATACAGACATGGTGAGGGAGTATTGCATATACAGAGTATGCCTAGCCATATGGTATTGCATGAAAAAACAGTGGTGTGTAAAGATGGAAGAATTCAAAATTTCGCTATCATGCAGTTCTGCCCACTTTTTAAATCTACAAGGGCCTTGCCCCCAAGAAATCAATTTCAAACAAGCCATTTTTAAAAAAAAGTTTGGTTAAAGATTTTGACATACATTTCCCATTAATTCAGTGCAGTTATGGAAACTTGTATGTAGAAATACTGTATGTTATATTTTGACCATAAAATTGTGTTTGAATTTTTACACTTGTTTTTAGTGGTAGCTTTAAAACAATACAGCCTGAAAATATATGTCTTATTAAAAAACATGAAATTAAACAATTCAATTATTCTATATTGTTTCGCAAGCAAAGCTTCTGCCCAGAAAATTCAAATTTTGTACTCAAAATCCATTTGAGAAATAAACATTTTTTTTTAAAAAGTACAATCTTGATAATTTGTTCTTATCGTATTCCTGGTGTTATGCTTCCTTAGTAAGAAGGTTTGTGTTGAGAGGAGACGTGTGCAGGGTCAGACTTGTACAAAATCATGAAACAGGACCAGTGCAACTCCCGCAAGGTGGGTTATATGTGCACAGCTGAGTGTACCAGACCATATCTAGCAATTCCTCATGATGAGCTACAAAGCTTTCTTGAAAATTGTGGAATGGTGATATCAGAATGGAGCTAGATACAGTTGGGATTACCAACATGGTGCCCAAGGGTGCAGTGGTGCCTCCTGCTCTCTGCTCCCTTCATCATGAGGTGGCTTAGATGCTTTCCAATTTCCCCCTTGAAAAGTACACAGAAGCAAAGGAGGAAGTTGAAAGAATGACAATCTTTTTCACTTTCTCTTTCTACTCTGTGTGCTTTTCAAGGCTCAGGCTGACAAATGAGAAGCTGAACAGAAAGTAGAGTGGCCTACATAAACATAAAATCCCTTATCATTTCTCTAAAATATCTGTTATTCAAATGAAGTTGTGAAAGGATACGATAAATAAAACTAAATAAATAACTCAGCAGAGGGCGAGTTGAGGGAAGTCCAGAGGAGGGGAGGGAGAATAATTGTAAATAACATGATGAATGAGATTTGCATCATTAATTGTTATGAAATTCAATAAATATTTTAAAGAATTAGAAAGTAGAGTGACCAAGTGGGTAGGAAGGAAAGGGGAAGTGAGCTATGGGACTGTGCATGTATGAAAACGGAATGGCCAGGAGAGAAAGTGGGGTGCCCCAGGAGAGAGAGAAGATGGTGGCAGAGAGAGAGAGAAAGAGGGGGAGAGAGAGAATGTGTGTGTGTGTTGGTGTAGGTGTGCTTATACCCAGAGGACCCAAAAGCTAGCCATCCTTTGTGTCCAAAATGAGAGGGTGGAGTAGAGGCTCTTTCCAATCCATTAGGTCACAGCTTTTGTGGTGGAATTTATTTAAGTTACCAAATCTAGCTTCAAGACAAAATTCTGCAATCAGGAGTCTATCTGCATTGTAACACATTTCCTGTGTTGGAGCACTGCCATACAGAGGTGCTTTTGGGCAGCCTCATAGGGTGTGCTTGTGTGATGTTTGGGTCAACCCATGCAATTCCTATTGGAGGTACAGGTTCCCTCTTGAGTGCCAAGCTAATGGAAGTAGTTTATCTCTCTGCTTTATAGTCAGTACTATGCAATGCAATGCAGTACTGTCAGCTTTGTGCTTTTTATCCAACTTGGTTGATGCTCCTAGTGGCCAGTGCAATAACTGGCACTCTCTAACTCCTTCAGGTGTGTGTCTTTGGGATCCTAAAGCACACTATGGGCTCTGCTCTCTCCTTCTGATCCGCTAGTTGAAATGCCAGGACAAGAGCAGTTTGTGTCAGTAGCAACAAATGCCCCTTTACTTCCCCCTTTGTTGCTACCTCCCTTCTTACATGCCAACTGGCTCTAGGATTCCCCCTAGGTTCACCCCTTGTTTTGGGGGTGGGTGAGACATAAACAGTTCCTCCTAGCTTGGAGGAGGAGGTGGCTCCCAGTCAACCTTAGTTTAATCATCCCCGTTGGCAGCCTTGGACTTTTCTGGTGGAACTGAATTGCTTCCTGCTGCTGAGGCCTGTTGTATTTGTGCCCCCTCAGCTGTCTGTGAGATGTGTGGGATTGTGGGCACAAAAGATGCCTTCTTCTCCAAGACCAAACGTTTCTGCAGCGTCTCCTGCTCCAGAAGCTACTCTTCAAATTCCAAGAAGGCCAGCATCCTGGCAAGGCTGCAGGTGAGCAAGGCCCACTTAACAAGGCTGCTGTTTGCTAAACGAGGCATGAAAATAACAGTAAGCAGTGCTGGAGGCCTGCCAGGGATATTCGAAAAGCCATTCTCCCATGAAGCAGGGACTTTAGGTGCTAGGAGGCACCTAGCAGACAGCCACACTGGATAACTAATTATTTGGAAGCAGCTTTTGGCAGGGGAGGGGAGAGTTGAGGTTGGAAAAGCCATGCTTTCCCTATAGAATTGCACACCCACATGCACCAGCATATTAAAGATCACTTAGCACAGAACAGTTGCCCTTTAACTGCTGTTTCATATTTGCAAACAGGTTACTGAAGAGGCCCTTTCCAATGCTTGCTTTTGTGGAGTGTGATTTAAAAAGCAAACATTGTCAGTGATTGTAATGAAAAAACACAGAGTGGTGGTTATTCCAGATTGACTAATCTCTCAAAAACACACAATCTTGTATAAGTAAGCCTTATTTGGAATCTCTAATATTGTACAATTAAGAAATTGTGAATATGACACCAGGGGTGGTGGTTTATTTCAAAATTTAGAATAAAAAGTGTGATCTTTTGCAAGCATTTCCTGTATGAGAGGAGGCACCAGAAGGGAGAAAAAGGACAACCCCACTAGTTGACAGGACACAGCATAGTTCAAAGATAAGAGAGTGAGTTGGAGAAGAAGAGGGATTCCTCAAAAGAAAATGAAGGAATCGGGTAGGTTTTAGGAAATAAGTTAGTTCTTTCTGTTCTTGATATCATTTCCTTCTCCATAACTTGGAGTGAGCCTTTCAGGGACAGAGTTCCATATTTTCCAACTGTTAAATCATGTCGACCACTCTGAGCATGTGTATAAAAGGCAAGGGAAAGATTAATAGTTGTTTTTGTCATCGTCTTGTGAAAGTAGCAGAAAGTTCTGCATTGCACTCCTTTTCCGTTTGAATGGCAAAAAGAATTCTCTGGCACCTTTGGAAAACTGCAAAACATACGGTTGCATGAGCTTTCTTAGGCCAGGAGTAATTTTGTCAGATACATCTGATGAGAGAAGCAATAGTCTTTAAAATATCATGCCACATCTCTTCATATACAGATAACAAAGTTACTTCTCATTTAGGAAAGCTACTTGTAAGCCGTTTCAGTGCCACAAGACTTTCTTGTACTCGTTAAAGCTGCCCTTCTGGTTTGATCCATTTAACCTGCAAATCTATCACAGGCAGCAAGATTTGTCTGTCCCTTGTGTCACTGGAAGGCTATTGGGAATTAACATCTCCTTATCGTTTTGTTTTGTCTTGTCACACTTTCACAGGGCAAACCACCTACGAAAAAAGCCAAAGTCTTGCACAAGGCAGCCTGGTCTGCAAAAATTGGGGCTTTTCTCCATACGCAAGGGACAGGGCAGCTGGCAGATGGAACGCCAACTGGCCAGGATGGTAAGTGCTGGCAAGTGGGCAGAGGAAGTAAGAGGCTGTTGCTTGCTTCAAACCTCAAGGTGAATAGGAAGTTCATCAGAACCATGCACAAAAGTATTTCTGGTTGAATAGAATATGCCAGCTGACAGAGAAGAATGAATGTATAACCACTATATAGATGTGGATGCAAGGTGAAGGAGTGCCTTCATGGCACAGAGAGAGAGAGAGAGAGAGAGAGAGAGAGAGAGAGAGAGAGAGTTGTGCGTCCCCTTCCTGTTTTTTGGTGGTGCGTTTCAGACTTGTTGGCCTTGTAAACTAGTCTCTGCTTTTGGATAAGTCTAAACACGTCTGGACTGTTCTGCGCTCTCTATAATAGATCTAGCTATTTTCTCCTTTCTACTGGATAAAGATGTCTGAGCTCTTCGGAAACTCGCAGTGTCTTACACCAAGAGGATGATGCTCCAATAGAAGATGTCCCCATATCTGTCCTTGTCCTGTTGTGGCGAATCTGTTTGCCAACCTTGAACCTTCTGTGTTGAGATGGTCTCTTGTGTCCCCTCCCAGCTCTCATCGTTGGCTTTGACTGGGGAGCGTATCTGCAGGACCATGGATGCAAGGCTGCGCCTGTTGGCAGTTTCAAACATGTGAGCACTCCCTACTTTCCATCAAGCCCATATGTGTTGTGTTGTAGGCTCCTGATAAGATAAGAAGGGTCCCCAGGAAAGTGCTCAAGTAGCTTAAATTTTGTTTTTAAACAAGAATATCAAATCAAGATGACTTTGAATATCCATATCGTAAACTGTGCTATGATTTCCAAATGATAAAAAGCTTAATAGTATCCTGCAAATGGGACGCGGGTGGCACTGTGGGTTAAACCACAGAGCCTAGGGCTTGCCGATCAGAAGATTGGCGGTTCAAATCCCCGCGATAGGGTAAGCTCCCGTTGTTTGGTCCCATCTCCTGCCAACCTAGCAGTTCGAAAGCACGTCAAAGTGCAAGTAGATAAATAGGTACCGCTCTGGCGGGAAGGTAAACAGTGTTTCCGTGTGCTGCTCTGGTTCACCAGAAGCGGCTTAGTCATGCTGACCACATGACCTGGAAGATGTATGTCGGCTCCCTTGGCCAATAAAGCGAGATGAGTGCTGCAACCCCAGAGTCGGCCACGACTGGACCTAATGGTCAGGAGTCCCTTTACCTTTATCCTGCAAATGGATCCCAATTAGATTTGGCAATCAGCTTAGAAATATGTGAACAATTAAATTTAGTGTTGCCAGAAAGGGTAACATTTAAACAAATTGTTAGCTAACATTAAAACTAGTGCAAACTGCTATGACCATAAAATAAGTATAAGCTGTTCTACAATAATGAGAAACCTACACTGTATGATTAACAATGCTCTATTCACGGCTGTGAAGATGAACAGGAGAATGGCCAACTTCAGACTCTCCATCTGGTGTTGGAGGTAATGCCCCCTTTTCTCCCACAATCACATTTTTACCTAGAAAGGTGCTAGAGAAACGGAAGCTAACAGACTTAAGGGCACAAAGTTCTTTGTTAAAAGCAATTCCCTCACCTGCTCATCACACGTGTGCACAATAGCACATCCGTACACACACAAGCAGATATAAATTATTCTGACATTTTGCTATTCTTTCTATGCCTCCCTGTTTTTCTGCTTCAATCTGTTCTCCACTCCATCATCAGGTGCCTCTTTATGATCAATGGGAAGATGTGATAAAAGGGATGAAGGTAGAAGTGTTAAACAGTGATGCTGTGCTTCCCAGTCGTGTGTATTGGATTGCCTCTGTTGTTAAGATTGCAGGTGGGTCTCTTGGGGGGGATAACAGAAAAGAGTAATTCACTTTCCTTATTGTTATTTGAATGTACATCTGCTTCCATCTGGAGACTTGAGGCAGGCAACATATTTAAAAGGGAATAAAAGCATTATAAAACGTTATGTACAGTACTTACTTTTTAACACTGATATGCAGCTATTCAAGCAAGTTTCAGATCTATTGTGCAAAACATAATTTAATTTGAAAACTTGCATTAAAAGCATTATTGATAAAAGCAGCCCAAGAGAAGTAACAGAACAGAGAATTAGCAACACAGCAATGGAAGGCTCTCTTTTCCTTTTTAAAAGGGGAGGTTTTAGCTTGTCTATTAAAAGGACAGCAGAGAGGAGGCTGCATGCACCTCTTGTGGGAGGGCATTCCAAAGAATTGGGGCTGCAACAGAGAAGCCCCTTCTTATTGTAGAGAATATGCTCACCTCCACAGTAGTTGGAATCTGTACCAAGGCCTTATTAGTAGATCTCAGTTTGCTAGGGAAGTTCATTTGGCAGTGCAGGTGCTAGAGCAGTGGTTTCCCAACCTTTTTGGTATGGTGACTCACAAGCCCAAATTTACCTGGCATGGTAGGGGACCTATTGATATATTGTCAAATGAATTTTGGACCTCAGGTCTTTGGCAGCCATCAGTTTCATGCATTCTAAATACATGTTTGCCTATTTTATTACCACTGCTTAAGCCAGGTATAGGCAAACTTGGCCCTCCAGATGCTTTTTGAGACTACAATTCCCATCATTCCTGACTACTAGTCCTGTTAGCTAGGGATGATGGGAGTTGTAGTCCCAAAACATCTGGAGGGCCAAATTTGCTTATGCCTGGCTTAAGACATCCCAATAAAAATAATAAAGCCTGTGACCCACTTGCAGGTCATAACCCACAGTTTGGGAAGCATTCTGCTAGAGCACTGGTGGAATAGGCTTCCAGACTTGCAATGCTGTGCTGTGTCCCAACCCAGGGTTCCAGGTGGGCCTTGAGAGCATTCTTGGTAACAGGGCATAACTGTAAAAGATTTGGGGAGCTGAATTAGGACACTAGGCTATCTTCCCAGCTGGCAAAGTTATTCAGGCTGTGGAGCAGCTTCCTAAAACAAGTGGTAGAAGCCCTGTGGTTGGAGGCATCCAGTGGTCCATACACTGAGAACAGAGTTTGTCTTGAAGGAACTTAGTTCTATAGTTATCAGAAAAGGAGGGTGACAGTGTTAGAGACGTAATAAAATGTTCTTTTGTTTTCCCTTGCTGTCTCCAAATCAATCCTTGCAGGTTACAAGGCACTGTTACGTTATGAAGGCTTTGAGAATGACTCCAGCAGTGACTTTTGGGTCAACTTGGGTACTGTGGACGTTCACCCTATTGGCTGGTGTGCTGTTAACAGCAAAATCCTGGTGCCTCCCCAGTGTAAGTGTCTTTGAGTCTTGACCAGCTTTGGGGGTTTATTTAACTCACAATTTGCATCATTGCCAAGTTGGATCATGCCCATTAATCCTAAATGCTGAACGTTGGAATACATTGGGAACATTAGCAAAAAGTTATCAAATTGCATGTATGCTTGTAAATTTGACAGTTCTTACAATATGACAATTTTTGTTTAGGGGACTGAGAAAGCAGAGATGCACGAGAAACGGGTGTATTGGGGAGTGGGGCTTTCTAGGCCAAATAGTACAACCCCTTGTTCTAGATGACTGTCCCACTAGGATGTGTCATTTTAGGGGGTAAAACTTAATTTTTGCAAAATTCTTCAGAAAGCAGTCTTAAAAATATGTTTTTGAGTGTGAGGAATTCAAATCTGCTATTATTTTTGTGATTGGACAACATTTAGCTTGGTAAGTCTACGTTTGATGAAAAAACGTATAAACTGCTTTTAAGAAAACCAAAGAATTTTAATTTTACCTTCCGAAAATGTGAGGTAATGCCTAATAATAATGATTATGACAATAAAAAATATTGACGTATAACCACAAGTACTTGGCAATCATTTTAAATTACCTCTGTGCAATTTTACACACATTCTATGTACCATGCGAAGCTAAATTATATTAATTTAACCAAAATGTCTTTTGAATTACCAAGTCATCTTACAACTTTTTAGCAACCCTCATTTTTGAAAAGTTGGATGGCCATTTGTCATGGGTGCTTTTGTTGAAATTCCTGCATTGCAGGGGGTTGGACTAGATGACCGTGAGGATCCCTTCCAACTTTACAATTCTATGATTCTATGGCCTTTAAAGCCCTTTATGGCTCAGGACCGCAATGCCTCAAGGACCACCTCTCTCCCAGCCTGGACCCTACAAACTTTTGAGACATTTTACTGTAAAAGCAACTGGTAAATGAAATAAATAATAATAAGTAGTTATTGCAGGTCAGATAATTTAACTGCTTGTAGTGCAGAACTTTCCCATGTCAAAATGTAAAGAAATTTACTGCACTTCAAGGTGATCTGTAGTCACCTCTAAAGTTTCCATCAAAAATTTAGAGCCTGTTCAGGGTGGTAGTATGTTGAGACTCAGATGTTGCTGATGCTTTTGTTGAGAGACTACAGTGTTTTGAAGGAGCAAAGCAAGTTGCTGCAGGTAATTTTGGGGGTGAGTGTAAACTGAAAGGAGGCTTTACGTTTAACCAGAGAAAAAGAAAAATGAGGAAATCCCTGCGTTTCATTCAGGAATGAAAGGCGTGCTAAGTTTATTTTTTAATTAAATGAAGATAATTATCCCAGTCTTCAACCACATATGTAATACTGAGGGCAATTTATAGCAGTTAAAAAACACACTTTCATAATAAAACAACAGTACTGTATTGGATACAGATACAACCAAGAGAGTCATAATGGATAAAAACAAAATTCTCAGATCAAAATATTATTTACCTGGGCAATCTTATACCTCTTTGTACAGCTATCCATTCAAAGTACACCGACTGGAAGGGGTACCTCATGAAAAAGCTTGTGGGAGCCAGGACTATCCCTGTGGATTTTCATATAAAGGTGAGGGAAAAAATCTTTCTCCCCCCACCCCCCTGCACACAGAGGAAAGAATCAAGGCCTTTCTGCTTATCCATTCTTCCAGTAGCCCAAGCTGGTACCCTCACCATGCGTAGAAATACACCACCCATCATCCTTGACCATTGCTCATGCTGGCTGGGGCGGATGTGAATTGTAGTCGAAACATCCAGAGAACACAGAGTCGGAGGCTGCAGTAGCCTATTCAGATTTAATATGGGCTGCAAGCCGTGCTGGAGCTCACCTCTGTCTGGAAGGCCTGGTGATATTAGTGATAAGGGAAAGACACTTCTTCCACACCATACATTTATAGCACTCTTACAGCATTTCAACACTCACGGCTTCCCCCAAAGAATTTTGGGAACTGAGAGGGTGCTGAGAGTTGTTAGGATACTTACCCCTCACAGAGCTACAACTCCCAGAACCCTTAACAAACTACAGTTCCCTTGAACCCCTGGGAGAAGTTACTGTTAAAGTGATATGACAGTGCTTTAAATGCATAGTGTGGATGTGAATGCAGTGCACTGAAACACACAGTGTGTTTCAGGACTGAGCCGTGTCTGGGATAAGCAGCATTGCATTAAGTTGGTAGAATTTTCTTCAGAGTGTTTGGGTTCTGCCCAGTGCATTGTTTGATAGACATGAACAGAATGTGTTAGCTGTAATCTCCCACATTCGTGACATGATGTCCTTCAGTTTAAAAGACTAAATAAAGAGCAATTAAAACCCTGCTGTTTGGTCTGTTGCCTTCACTAGCTCACCTAAAAACTCAGTTTAGCTATATTTGCTGCTGGAGGGAGAGGGGCGCCCCCTGCTGGCACACTTTAGAAAGGGATCTTTGGCCGGAAGGGATTTTTCTTCATAATCTGTGCCTCTGAATAGTGAGATGGCGGATTGAGGAAGAGCTTTTGCAATTTTAGCTTCCACATTTAAACAGGCAAACAGGCACGAACCAGTGATGCAGGGTTGGAATCACTAAGCAGTGTTGATTAGTCTCTTCAGAATGTTCATTGTGAGAGGGTAATTAGTGTTATACTTCATTATGCCTTCTTCCCCCTCCCCCCTTTTACAAGGCTGCCTTGGCTAGAGATGGTATATTAGGCTGTCAGGGGCAAGGAGACTTCCTTTTTGGGGGAGACCCAGTGAGTTACTGCTTCTAGGTGATATCAAGGTTGCAATTATTTGCACCTGTGTTTCTACTGCAATCTGTTGGATCTGCTTTTAATAAATATGGGTAGGATCAGGCAGAAAGTCATTGCTGAATAATAATGCTTTTCATATATTTATCCCCTCTAGAGCTTTTTCAAAGTTCAGAGTGCTTCTCATATATTATCTCAGTAATCTTTACAACAGATAATACCGAATGTTAGCCATGTTCAGAGGAGACCCACTGAAAACAATGGACTTAGGTCCATTTGTTTCAGTAGGTTCACTCTGGGTATGAGTTAGTTGGGTATCCTCCCCCAGTCACATTGTATTTTTTATTATTAAATAATTTTATTAATTTTCAAGAAGCCAGTAGCATTGTAAAGTAGGTCAGTTATACAGTGGTACCTCTGGATACAAATGGGATCTGTTCCGGAGCCCCGTTTGTATCCTGAAGTAAACGCAACCCGCGTCTGCACATGCGTGGGTCACGATTCGCCGCTTCCGCGCATGCACATGACATCATTTTGACCGCGCATGCGCGAATGGCGAAACCCGGAAGTAACGTGTTCCGTTACTTCCGGGTCGCTGAGGAGCGCAACCCGAAAGCGCTCAACCTGAAGCAACTTCAACCCGAGGTATGACTGTATCCACATATGGCAGATTTGTGCAGGGGACACGAGAGTCTGGTTTGCCAGAGTTCATGCCAGAGTTGCGATTTAATAATAATAATAATAATAATAATTTATACCCTGCCCATCTGGTTGGGCTTCCCCAGCTCTGGGCGGCTTCCAACAAAATATTAAAATACAGTAATGCATCAAACGTTAAAAGTTTCCCTAAACAGGGCTGCCTTCAGGTGTCTTCCTGGTTCGTAGCTCCATCTCCTGGTTTACAGCACTTTGTTGGCTAAATCTGCTTCTGCCACAGATGTGGGGCATGACCCATTAACACAGAATGTGAATCCAAGGAAGGTTCTGGAATTTTGACTGAGACTCCCCCCACAGCAAAACAGTCAGTGTGGTATTAGGGTACCTTGGGCAAGCCTCTCTCTCTCTCAGCCTAGCCTACCTCACTGGGTTGTTGTGAGGATAAAGGAGGAAGAACCATGTATGCTGCCCTGAGCTTCTTGAAGAAAGGGCAGGATACAAATGTAATAAATCAGGTTAGATTGTGGTTTTATTTATCTAAATGCTCTGGGCGACACAAAAGTGGCAATGGCAGCATTCACATAACATAATAGTTAATGGTTTAGTATGAATGCAGAGAAGGCGCCTGCTTTACTTCTTCATGATCAGGGCCAACAAACCCTGGCCCCTGGCTTAATACTGCATCGGAACTGGGGAGTCAATCAAATGAGTCCAGAAGCCAAAATTTATTCAGATGTATTACTAAACCAAGGACCATGGTTCATGACTCCCACTCAAGCTAGAGAAGGAGTGAAGTAGGAGCCATGTCTGCATTCATGCTAAACCATTAACTATGGGTGTATGACCTGGGCTACTGAAAGTGTTTGAAAAAAATCCAGTCTGAATGGATGGCCGAATGCTTTTATGTTGACATGGAGGCATCAGCAATTGGGGGTTTTTTGGATTCATGCGGCATCCCATGTTAAAGAAGAACTGCAAGGCTGCACTCTAGAGGAGGAAGCGTAAAAGTGCAGAGAGTTGCGCAATCCCTGTGGTGGAGAGTCGCAGACATGGAACCAGCAGAGCATCTCTCTTCTTGTTTACTCAGATGACTGAGAACATGAAGTATCCCTTCCGCCAAGGCATGAGACTGGAAGTGGTGGACAAGACCCGTGTTTCTCGGATACGTGTGGCTGTCGTGGACACCGTGATTGGTGGCCGCCTGAGGCTTCTCTATGAAGACGGGGACAGCGTTGATGATTTCTGGTGCCACATGTGGAGCCCCTTAATCCACCCTGTTGGCTGGTCTAGAAGGGTTGGCCATAGCATAAAGAGAACGGGTGAGGATTTACATAGGAGAAAAACTACTCTTCTACTTGAAGTATATATTTTAACCTTTCAAATTGTTGCAGATAGAATGTATTCCTTCCTTTTAATGAGATTGGAGCACATGATGTGTTATTTGACGGTTTTTAAGATGATGAGAATGTTTGAAATGTATGCTGTGGCAAATAAACAATTTTTAAATGGAAGAAGAAGAAGAATTTTCCTTGCCAAAAGATGACCGCTAACTAGCAAATTCGAGGTGTCTTGTTTCACTCTTTCTTACTTTCAATATCCTTTTATGTCTTTCCTGGAAGAAAAATCTAATGACATGGCACACCACCCTACCTTCCGGAAGATCTACTGTGATGCTGTTCCATATCTCTTCAAGAAGGTGGGAAAGGTTTATGGTCTCTTTCTTTTCTTTGGTCTCCAAGTGAGATGGGATTTGCACCATTTGGGGGATTGGTGGTTTATGGAGCTCTTGAAATCCCTCTCCTGCCTTGCAAGGGACTAGCTGTTGTAGCGCCCAAGGAGCTCAGTGTTCTATGAACCAGTCGGGGGGGGGGGGCTTCTCTGTGGTGGCTCTCCATAGAATCACTTTGCCCTGGAACTGAGACAGGCACTAGAACTGTTGGTGTTTCAGCACCTTCTGAAGTGCCTCTTCCCAGGCTTTTGCTGATGCTTAGTTCTTTATAGTTTAGTTCTGTATACCTGCAGGAGCGTCTCCACCCCCATTGTTTATCCCAGACATTGAGGTCCAGCTCTGAGGGCCTTCTGGTGGTTCCCTCACTGCAAGAAGTGAAGTTACAAGGAACCTGGCAGAGGGCCTTCTTGGTAGTGGCACCCAACCTGTGGAATGCCCTCTTGTCAGGAAATAAACAACTATCTGACTCTTAGAAGACATCTGAAGGCAGCCCTGTATAGGGAAGTTTATAATGTTTGGTGTTTTACTGTGGTTTTATAATTTGTTGGAAGTCGCCCAGAGTGGCCGGGGCAACCCAGTCAGATGGGCAGCAAATAAATAAAGTAGTAGTAGTAGTAGTAGTAGTAGTGGAGGTATTGTTAATTTGCCCTCAATTGCTGCTGCATTTTATTTTTCAAAGATTTAACACTGTTTTACTTTGCTTAATGGATTGCTGTCTTTTTTCTGTTGTGCTTTGAGATGCTCTTTAAAAGACAGTGTATGAATAAACAAATTACAGTGTTGAGCTATTGGGGATAGGATACAGGACCTGCGTGAGTTGAAAGCAAAACAAGGATGGCTTGCAGCAAAAATACGGGGAAGACTTTCTGTGGTTGGAAAGAGTCATTCCACTTTTGAAGGACTAGACCTTGGAGGAAGCTTAAGCAATGGGAGATGTTGTCTTTCCCTTTATCGTGCTTATCCTACTTGGCCTTGCAACCATGCTGTGACGTAGGTCACTGCTGTTCTCGTGTATCAGATAATTAACTGAGAACAAGAGTGCTGCTTCCCCAAGGCCAGCCAGCAAAGCTGGAAAGCAATTTGAACTCCTACGCCCCAATCACCAAGGTCAGTCTTTCTAGTCACCCACACATGTCCCTGCATGTGTTTTATTTCTTTATCACCAACTTCTTTCTCATCCGTAATCTCTTCCAGGTGCGCGCTGTCTACCCAGAAGGTCGCTGGTTTGAGGAAGGCATGAAACTGGAAGCCATTGACCCTTTGAATATGGGCAACATTTGTGTGGCTACTGTCCGTAAGGTATGCCGGTCTGGTCTGAAAAGAGGGAGCGGCTGCTTCAGCCAAGCACAACGCTTTCAAGGAATTGGGAGTTAGACTTTGAAGGAAGAAAGGAACTGCTTTGGGGTTGTTGTTTTCTTACAAGGAAGCGGTGTATAAATTTTTATGAAATAAAAAATTAAGGCTCTAATTTATATACCTTAGAGCCAACTGATTTGGGCCAGTGGGCAGATTTCGAATTTTGAGAAAATGTTGGAGGCAGCAGTCACAAAATAGCGGCTATGTGCTATGAGTCTGCTTTTTAAAAATCTAGTAATGCTTGTACAGTGTTGATGGGATGTTCAAATCACACACATGTGAGTGCAGATCTTGGTTTTTGAAAGAAAAGCAAGTTATAAATATTTTAAAAATAAATGAGTGAGAAAATTAAGAGGAAAGTATGTTATATTTAGGCACTTAACACCATAGAGTGCTCCAGCTCTTCTCTCTGTTGAGTTTAGAAACTGCTATTATGAAATACTTTAGAACAACCTTCAGGTTCGCATTCTCACCCCTGGCCTGTCTTTCAGGTCCTTTTAGATGGCTATCTCATGATCGGCATTGATGGTGCAGCCTCTGAGGATGGTTCTGATTGGTTCTGCTACCATGCTTCCTTGCACTCCATTTTCCCTGTCAATTTCTGTAAGCAGAACAACATTGAACTGACGCCTCCGAAAGGTGAGGACCCCAAGCTCTCCTTCTCTTTGTTTGCTTCCGTGGCAGATTGAGCTCCTTCTCTGCAAAATAGAATGCTAAGAAAGCCTTGCTTATGTTAGACTATAAGTGTGAAACCGACATACTCTGTTTCTTCTTTGCCATCGAGATGGCGATCTCTGTTGTTCTTCCTGCCCAAGAAAATGGGGAGTTTGGCTGGAATTCAGTTTCTGTCTTGCAATCCTCCTGCGTTTGCTCTGAATAGAATGCCTGCCTCTGAATCTTGCTGTTTCCATGCTTCTCTTTTGGGGGCATCGGAGGGCTATACAAAAGCCTGGTGTTCATCCTTTCCTGCCTCTGCACTCCTCTGGAAACAAGAACTACTTGGTTTTCTGAATAGCTATTGCATTGTGTTCTGTCTGATCTCCACTCTGGAAAGCAAACGTTGTTTTTGCTTTGCCCCACTGTAACTGGCATTGGCTGCTTCTTGGACAAATATGTGCGAGGGGATAGGCAATAACTTGCATGCTTCTCCTGCTCCTTCTGGTTGTGGTGTTTATGAGGGGGTTGTTTCATTCCGGTAACATCCCCCCCAAACTTCATACTTCAGGGCATGATGCCAAGACCTTCAATTGGACAAGCTATCTAGAAAAGACCAAGTCAAAGGCTGCACCAGCACATCTGTTCAACGTGGTAAGTACCATGTGGAAGGGCAAGTTCACAAAGGCACCAGCATCACCCTAAACTAGTGGCTCTGTTGTTGAGAAGCAAATGGCCTTATGAGAAATGCCATTATATACAGTGCAGATACAAGCATACTTATGAAATATTGTGTAAAGTGTTTCCCTGAAGCTACAGAAAATGGCAATCAGATTTATCAAGGGTTGTGAATGGCTTCCCTAAGTGGAAAGGTCCAAGTGTCTGGGATATTTTAGTCTAGATAGGGAAGTAAGATTCATTTCGTACATAGAATTTCAATAATCACCCTTGACAGTGTGCTTTGCTGAAAAGAGATCAAGAAGACTGCACTCTGCAGCTGAGTCAAATCTCTCATTTATAACCTTGGCATTGGTACTGCTAACATAAATGTGTTGGGCTCCCCCCCCCCCCCCCGGTTTAAATTCCTTCCTTGCCTCATTACAAATATCATTTCTGGACACTCATACTGTCCCTCAACTTAAACTGCTAAGCTTCCCCAGTAGAATTAGCTCTTTATTTATTAAAATATTTATTTAATAAAAAAAATTTACAGCCCGCTCTGTGTGTGTGTGCGTGTGCGCGCGCGCATACACTTAAAAATTTAAAATCAGAGAGCAGCATGCAGAATTTGGATTTCTGAGGACAATAACGTTGAGTGCCTTCAATAAATAAATGGAAGGAAGGAAGGGAGCCCTCATGGATGTATATTATTATTTGAGGTTGGGTATATCGTGCTGCTCCTTTTCCCAGGATTGCCCAAACCATGGCTTCAAGATGGGTGCCAAGCTAGAAGCAGTAGACTTGATGGAGCCCAGGCTTATCTGTGTGGCCACAGTGAAGCGAGTGGTACATCGGCTCCTCAGGATACACTTTGATGGTTGGGACAGCGAATATGACCAGTGGGTGGACTGTGAGTCCCCAGATATCTATCCTGTGGGCTGGTGTGAGCTGATAGGCTACCAACTGCAGCCCCCAGTAGCACCAGGTAAGAGAATGTATCTTCTTTTCATCCAGCATCACCAGTTTCACTCAAGGTGTGTTGGTGGCAATCTGACCTATTCCTTCTCTTACGAGAAAGAGGTACCTTCCACCTGACCCACCCTATGTCTTTATTGCATAGCAAACCTGGACATGTTAAAGGCTGGGAACCAGAATGGGCAGGTTCAGTAGCTGATGAGGAGCTGAAGCTGAAATCAAAACAACAGGAGCCCCCTATTTTGAGGGAGGGAGGATGTTTTCAAGCAGAAATGGTCGTTAAACTGATTCTGCTCTCAATACCAGCTCCATATACATGCAGCTCATTCAGTGAGGACTAGAGCAGCCTTTTGGCTGTGTTCCTCTACCTTTGAATTACCTTACTCTGAGCCACTGACGTTCTTTACAAGATGAAATCATTGTGAGGCCCCAGAATAAAATTTACAAAGGTAGCAAACTTGGGGGCTTGTGGGAGACTAGACAGAAAATTGTCCTTCTCTGTCTCCTCTTATCTTTTTATACAAAGTGTTCTGAGCCTGTTAAACTAGGAACTAATCATGAACCCTCCTGCTTGGAAACCGCATGCAGCTGTGTCTTTATACTTAGCTACTGCTTAACATCTCCTGTGTCCTGTGTAGCTTCTGATTGTAGATCTGTTTCCTCGGTGGCAGAGCCTATGTCACCAGTGCCAGCTAAGGAGGTGCCGAAGAAGAAGCGAAAGCCATATGGAAGGAAAAGTGAGTGGCAATTGGAACAACCTTGTCTCTATGATTCATCTTAATAACAAAGCAAATATTGCAAGGTTTGATACTAAGGCATAAGCCGGCTGCAGATAGTATGCTGCCCAGAACTACCAGAGCACATGCAAGGAACATTAAGGTACAGAAGATGAGGGTGGAACATTTGCCTGGACTATCTTCTGTGAGGATAGCATTGCAAAATGGAGTAGCTTGAAATGTGGATGATGGGACTGTCTGACAGGGCATGAAATGGACTGCCTCATCATTAGCTTGTGCCTTGGTCCTATGCATTCTTGCAAATTACTGTAAGCTGTCACTATTGGAATTGGGATTCTCGATTGGATGGACCACATATATGACTTGGCTCTATGACAGGGATGAGGAACCTGTGATTCTTCCAATTTTGTTGCACTACAATTCCCACCATCCCTTTTATCATCCCATTGTCCCTCTGTCACCCAACCTGAGCCTTAAAGGAGCATGCCTTTCTTATGCTGCTGGTGAGGATGGCTTGCTGTGAGGTAACGCCGAATAGGGCCCTTCTCTGTAATACCAAAGATCATTCTACAAGGAGCTGCCAGGTGACTGAATCTGTGACCTTGTTTGCACAGAACATGAGCTATGGCTCTTCAAGAATTGTGGCTACAACAATTGTGTTTGAAACCCTGAACGTCTCTTACTAAAAGGGTCTCTGTTAACATGGTGGGAAATGAGCTCTGGCTGAATATCAGATGACTGTAGTGGGCTAATTGAACCATTGGCCTGATGGCCAACGCCAACTAAATATACTAAACATATGAGAGCCAGTGTGGTGTAATGGTTAGAATGCTGAACTAGGATCTAGGAGACTGGGGTTCAAATCCTCACTCAGCCATAAAGCTCACCCTGTAATTTAAACTAAACAAAAATGGCGATCAGTAGCACTTGTGTCAGGGTTGTAACGGTGTGTTTAGAGAATGGTTTGATTGTTCAGCATCCTGCTAAGTTCACTGAGTGGCCTAACCTATCTTGCGAGATTCCTATGAGTCTTCATTCTAGCTCTCTTTGAAGTAGTCAACCAGTGTCTTGAGTAATTTCAGCTGCACTGAGAGCTCACTTGACTGAATGCTGCTGCCATACAAAAAAACAACAACCCTTCACAACAAGATGTTAATATAAAAAGCAAAACAGTCACAAAGGTGGGTTTTCTTATAACTGCCTCTCTTCTGTATACAAAGGGAAGAAGATGACTGCTAAAGCCCGTTCCATCAAGCAAGCAGCAAAGAAGACGGCTGCCCCCGAAGTAAAGAAGAAAGCACAGGCTGCCAAGAAAAGGGCTGCCCCTAAAGCAAAGGAGGGCACACAAACTGCAAGCAAGACCTCCCTGAAACCAGCTTCTGATGAAAGTAAGTTAAAAGGGGTGTCACTTATTCCTACTTTTTTGCTGCCCCCCCTTTAGTGGGATTGGAGATGGGAAGGTGGTGGTTGTGTAAATTAGCTATTTTCCTGCTCACCATTTCCAGTGCAGAATCTGCTTGCTGTATCAAACGTGTTGGGTAACAGACTCTCCAACGGACAGATCTCACTCCTCTGTGACTGTAAAAGCGGATCTATAGAATCGTTATATCATATAATCTTCTGTTGTCCATTACATTCGGCTTCACGGTCCAAGTTTCTGGCCCCATATTTATCGAGAATTGCTGACAGTCCTCAGGAAGCCCAAATAATATACTTATTAAACGACGAAGATACAAGTAGATCCCTTGCAATCGCTAGATACCTGATTAATGTTTTATTTCAAAAGAGGAGAAATGGATCACTGTATGTTTCTGACAGCTTAGCTAAACTTAAGAACCATCAATAAGTGCCAGAACTAAGACGTATACCCCCCCAAAATCTGATGGATCGGAATTGCGGTTTACATAGAGGGAGCTTATTGTGTATAGTGTTTACTTAACTAAAGTAAAATTGGTTTTACAAGGGTGTTTTAACTTGGAACTGTTTAAATTGTATTGTTTATGGATAAATTCTGATGTATTGTTTTTGATATGGGCCAATGGCCGCAATAAATCTAAATCTGAAATCTGAAAATCTGCTTGCTGTTGTAGGAAAATCCAGTCACAGGTCTCCCAGTCTTGGTACATATGGGTGCAATTTACCACAAGCTTTTGCTATTGCTTATTAAGAAATAATGTGTATGTGCATGCTCTGAGGATTGTGTCTTGCGATGTCAATGTAGCACCTCTCTCTGTTTCTTGCAGTTGTTGCTGTGGAGGTGAAAGAAGAAATTCTTGACGATTCAGCAATGGAACTTGAAGCCCCACCGCTACCAGTACCAATCAGCAGCTTAAAGGATGAAGATATGGACATGGAATCCCCACTGAGTCCTATGCCAGGCGGCTGCTTAAAGGATAAGGATATTGAACCAGAAGCTCCAGCAAGCTCTGCGCTGCTCAGCTGCTTAAAGGATGAAGTCATGGAACCAGAAGCTCCAGCAAGCCCAGTATTGATCAGTTGCTTAAAGGATGAAGATGTAGACTAAAGCTTCATGCAACAAAGTGACTTGATGTTCTTTTGCCACAGTCCTTGAAGAAATCAGAAAAATGCTGGCCTCATTTGCGGGGGCATGGACCACAGTTTATAAAGCTGTAGTTTTTTCATAGTTGATGGATCACCTCAAAATAAAAAAGGAAAAGCTCTCAAAACAAATTCCACTTAATTATGTAAAAAGGCAAGCCCACTATGCCTTTCTGACTGGCATGGCAGGAGCCAAGGATGAACTTCTCCATTTCAGATCTCTGTAGGGAGGTGCTTCCAGTCATTCTAAACTTGCATCAATTGAGCCAGAATCTAGATAAGTGCCAATCCAGTAGAGAACCACATCCATTACATGGTACAGTGGTACCTCAGGTTACAGACACTTCAGGTTACAGACTCCGCTAACCCAGAAATAGTACCTCGGGTTAAGAACTTTGCTTCAGGATGAGAACAGAAATTGAGTGGTGTGGCGGCAGCGGGAGGCCCCATTAGCTAAAGTGGTGCTTCAGGTTAAGAACAGACCTCCAGAACGAATTAAGTTCTTAACCTGAGGTACCACTGTATTGGGAACTGCTCTCCCAAATTATCTCTGTCTTCCTCTGTGCTACATTGTTTCTTCCTGCCATTTTGGCCGCAGAGTCTAAGAAGGCACAGGACACATGAAATCAAATTACATGTGAGCCCAATGCACTCTGGAGCATCACATTTTCCTCTGTGAGGAGTAGGAGTATACACTTGCCCCCCCCCTTTGTACTATGAACAGAATGAATCAATTCTTTGACAATAATGAGAGGAGAAAAATGTATTGCAACCCTTTCTGTAAATAAAACTGCATGTGTTTATTTTGCCCTTTCGTTGAATAAACTCAGTCAGAAAACCCTGTGTTTGGAGTCTTTTCTGGTCTTCTCTGGTCAAGAAAATATGGGTACCAAGGGCATACAGAAGCAACTTGTGCATTGTTTGCTGGTTCTAAAATACATCTGTCTGCAAGGGGGATTGTTTTGCCTTTTGTCTTCTCAGACAGGTCATAACCACAACACCAAAAGTATAATCCTTTTTCACTTTTATAATACTGTATATTAGAGAAAGTGTTTCCAAACCAGAACACACAAATCTTTTTAAACATATGCACTATAGACATGTGCTAGGAACATAATGCATGGAATGACATTTAGTTTTCGTTTTCTGACTCAACTCCTCTTTCTCTGCCATTGCCCCCAAATTGTGTTTCTTCCATCCTTCCCCTTTCCTATTTGCATTTATTCCCAAACTACCTAAAGTATGACAGCTGGAATCTAAAGGGATTGGAATGTGCTATTACGGCATGTTGCGTTTCTAAAGCAGGGTGGGTAGACTTACGGCTTGTTGGTTGTGCTGAGCCTTTTTCTTTCTGTTAGCTAGAACTCAAAAGACTTAACAACCATAGCCAGGTGCAAATGACAGATAGGAAGAATTAAAGAATAAGGTCCCTTTGAGCACATTTTGAGACTAGGAATGTGACCAGAACTGGGCTGAGCTCTTTACAGAAGCTTAATTTAGGTAGAAAAAAATCATTTTGTTGTTGCCATTGTTAAACAATTGGGAGTCAGAATTCCATGTCAGTCTTCTGCAAATCAGCCAGAGATCTGTCTGTGGATTCTGATCTAACTTCTGCATTGCCCTAATGTAAACCATCTTTATCAAGCATCCTTGTCACTCTTCTAACTGTGGGCATTTTGATGGGCCCCAAAGTCAGTGTGTTTCTCCCACCTTGGCCTGAAATGAAAGAAGGCTGTTGGGTGGGGACTTGAAATAGTCCAGAAGTGTGGACCATCCCTGTCAGCCTCCTCATTCCCAAGCTTCTGGTGAGGTGGTTTTTCATCTCCTTCCTCAACAATAAATGTGTACGGGGAGAGTCCTGATCTAACCGTATGTTTTTGTACAGACTCTACCCATCTTCTACCAACTTTCTCCTTACAGAAAGTAAGTCTGTGCTTCTTAACATCAGGAATGAAAGTAAATCTCATTTTTATAAATGTAAAAAAAGAATAAAAGTAAATTACACACACTAGAGCTGTAACTGAAGTGTTTATATTTTAGCTTTATTGTTTATGATACTTATATAGCCATATAAAAAGAGCTTGCTTCTAATTGTATTTCACATACAAATAATTATTTGTGCATTTAGTTACATGTAGGAAACAGCCCTGAAGCTGTGGGGGAGTTTTCGTTTCGATTTCAATGTCATTAAGCTGTGGTACCTCCTGTTATTCTTTACTAGAGTGACATTTAAGATTTGTCTCTTACATTGCACTGGCAATGCACTTCCGTCTAAGAATATGAATTCCTTCCTTGTTTTGTTGCTGTAGCTGCCAGCATCCCTGACCATACAGATGACAGCCATAGTCCAGCACTGGTCCCTGGTGAGGTTAAAAGTGGCATAAGCCTGTGAGAATCTATTCTGAGAAGTGAAGCAACAACTACCCGATTTACATTCACAGGAGCAGCCACATTGCCACTATGAACCAGTCTTAAAATTCTCACCACGAGAGCAGATGGGCCGTGGTATATCTCCAGAAGAGGGTTGCCATTTGATAAAATATTAATAATGACGCTTTTAATTCTGCTAAGCTGTTATCTTGTGAAATAATGGTTGGAATAAATACTGGCCAGCCCCCTGCAATGGCAGCTTCCTGGGATTTAAATCATGCCCATTACTTAAGTGTGTGTTTCCATCATCCTGGTGTTTTGAAAAGCTCCTAGGAGGAAATATCACTACTTCCCTGGGCAACTTGTTCCATTGTCTGATGTTTCTTACAGTGAAAAGGTGCTTCCTGATATGCGGCTTTCAGCTGCTAACTTTAGCATGGACGCTTAGAAAGAAGTCATTTTGCAAGCAAAGGAACTTGCTTTTGAAAAAAGCATGGTTAGGATAAGGCTGTAAATCTGCTGTGCTACAACTTGCCCCCATGGCTGCTTTTGTTTCCTGCTGTGAAACGCTTGATTTCATTTTTGTTTGGAGACATCTTGGTTCTTTGGAACAGTCTTATCCCATGGTTCTTTCAATGCACATTCTTTTGCTATTGCGTCAAATCCCCCATATTTTGTCTCTTGTAGAATGTTTGTCGCCTCCAGAGATAACTCCAGAACACACCAGAGATAAGAGGCAGTTTAACCTTGGGAAGAGCATTGGTTGCTTACAGATGGTGAGCTCCTAGCACTACCCAATTATTGCTCTTCTGTGGTAAGCTATGCTAGAATTCACAACAAATTCCTCAATTCTGAATTGCAAAATTCTGTAAATAGTGCCAAAAGCTATTGGCATGTAGAACATCAATGCGTAAATTTGGCAAACTGAATACAATGAGTAGCAGAAGACAAAGACTTAGCCAAATTGTAGCTTAGCCCAAATATTCCAATGCTTAGAAAAAGCATCACAAGAGCATTGACTTTAATAACTAATATACTTCACAAAGTCAACTTTCTAACTATCTCCTCTAACAGAAACTGCTGTTTCTACTTCAACAAAATGCTCCTGGTTGAGACTGTGGGTTCTTTTACAATTTAGCAAAGATGCAGAAACAGCACACAGTTCAGCTGTGGGCAAAAAATTCAGCAACCTTGAGAAAGCTTTACATTACGTATGTATGTATGGCAAGCTCTTAATACTTTTTAAGCCCTTGTTAAATACAGACAGACTGAAAAGTGTGCAGGACATGTCTGGCTAAATCATGGTGACAAGAGGAGCACTCGGTACCTGCCACTACTTCCAGACTAGCAGAATAAACTATAGAATCTTTAAGTGTGCACATTTGCCTATACAGTACAAGCATCTTGGAGATTTCAACCATGCTCAGTGCATGATTGTACAGGCAGACAGCTATAGCATACCGCTCCACTTGCCTGCCTCTTTAACATCTAAGATTGACTTTTGGTATAATTATCAAGTATTCCTTTGAAAATGCACCTTTTGTAGTATGGAGGGATTTACAGGCCATAAAAATGTGCCCCCTCTCAAGCCTTTCTCCCCCTATTAATGGAGAAGCGCATTTTCAGCAACTTGCTTTTCCTGCTTCTGCTTTTCCTGCTTTTCTTGACTCGTATATTCCCAGCTTGCTGCTGCCTCTTCTTACTGGAGCTCCTTCCAGCCTTGGCTTTGGCTTTAGTTGAACTGGTTCTTTTTGTCTTCTTGGTATTCCAGCCTGGGCAGCTTTGGAAGATAGTGACGAGCTTCACCTTCTGGCCACGTACCTCTGCTGGGGAGCCACAGGTGGCTCCTACTCTAAGATTCAGCTTGTCAAGCCACCTGAAAAGGAGGAAGAAGCGAGGCAATATGATCAGCCTAAGTACTAAGCCTTTGTATCTTCACAGTCACACACTTTCCTACATTTCTGAAAGCTTGCTTCTTGATACAAGAGGATCTTCAGTTATTGTGAAACACAGAGGAGGAGAAAGGAAGGTATGGAGACTTGATGATTTCATTAATTTAATGAATTAATTTAAAATTTAAAAAAAATTCTAAGTCAGCCTAGGCAACTATGGAGCTCAGCTTATCAGCTTGATGCGTAAACGAATGAACCACCTTTTCAAATTGTGTCGGGTTGCCTATCTCTTACCTAGCTTTAGTCTAGATACGCTGCAGCATTTGAGTCAGCTTAAAGCATATTGGCTTGAAAGCAGATGCAAAGCATTTGAAGTGAGTTGGTATAATGAAAGAGTTGCTTCGTATTTGCTGCTCTTGGGCCTTCCCCGTCCCTTACTTGGTTTATTGGCAATAAAGAGGAACATGTTGAATTACTGTACAATTTTGTGACTAGGCAACAGAAACTAGAACAGTGCCCATAATCACTATGCTGAGATGGCTGGCAAGAGTGCTAGTCTGAGCATGTTAATAGGATGCGTTTGAAGCCCTGCCAAATAAGAAGGAGAGACAAACGTTCTACCCAAACTGCTGTTCTACAAGCCCTTGTGCAGTAGTGGGAACTAGCAGCTCACTTGCGTAGCGGGAGAAGTTGGCAGTCGCAAGAGAAAGGAACATCACTCAGGCTGATGACCTCCAGAGCTGTAAAGCTGTGTAAGTTCGGCAGACTGCGCACTTTGTTTTTCTCAAGATACAGGCTTCTTATCTGTGGGCCCAAGCCAGTGAAGGCACCAGAGGAAATCTGCAAACACAGAACGAGTTTGGCTGTCAGACGCTTAATGACATCAGCAGTAAATTCTACGTTAGCCAGTTATCTGAAACTTCTGGTGACATTGACCCACTTGGCGTGTCCCACCAGAACCCTTTGGAAGGTGCTCTTCTACTTATCCAGGCACCTTAGCTTCCACATCCCACCCCAGACTGATCAAATTATGGTCGTTCCATATTACTTTAAGGAAAAAAACTTGGATGGGGAAATGGAATTGCTCTACCAGATCTGAGCATCTTCAACCTATAGCTATAAGGGTGCTGGAATAAAGGAAATAATAGTTCTAGGCTTTTAAATTTGCTCATCTGCCGTGGTTTCGGGCTTTGTACCTTCTCCCAGCCCCTTTGAAAAGTATCCAGTTGATGGCAGCTTTTAAGCAAAAGAAAAACAGCAATAACCCCCGAGATCATATTTATACATTGTGCAGGTAGTTTGGATGCAAGCTGTTTAAAAAACTGACACAGTGAGTCAGACCCCTGGTTCATTTAGCTGCGCTCTGGGGTTTTATTCAGGCAGGCATCTTTCCCAGTCATAGCAGGAGATGTCAAGGAATGAACCTGGGACCTTTTTGCATAAGAAGCCTGTGTCCTGATAACTGGGCAATGGCCATTCCCTTGGCCTGCAGGAGCCATGAGATGAAATGGAACAGCTGTGCAGCAGAGAGAGTTTGAGTAGGGACAGCCTCTCCTGTGGCCACTGCAATGTGTGGAAAAGCCACACCTGCTAGAAATTGTATTGCATATCTCTGTTAAAGGCCTAAGAGCAGATTTTGTGGTCTGGGGGGAGGTCATTAGCTCAGAGGCAGGCACCTGACAGTAAGAGCTGTTCGACAGTGGAATTTGCTGCCAAGGAGTGTGGTGGAGTCTCCTTCTTTGGAGGTCTTTAAGCAGAGGCTTGACAACCATATGTCAGGAGTGCTCTGATGGTGTTTCCTGCTTGGCAGGGGGTTGGACTCGATGGCCCTTGTGGTCTCTTCCAACTCTATGATTCTATGATTCTACCTTCCTTGCATGCAGAAAGCCCTGCACTTAATGCCTGGCATTGCCAAGTGGGGCTGGGGAAAACCCCTGTCTGAAACCCTTGAGAGCTGCTGTCAATTGGTTACTGAGCTAGATGAACAATGCAAGTCTGACTTGATTAAGTTTATCCCCTTCAGGTGAAGCTTGTACTGTATTTGGGGAAGGTGGCAAGATAGGGCCTACAGCTTGGATAGGGCCTCCTAACACATTTGTACAATTTCCCAAATTCTTCTTATGACACCTGAGAACTTGGTATTTAATAAAATTAAGCAAAGAAACATTTGCAAAGGGGTGTTACTGGGAATATGATGGCAAGAAAAGGCAGGTCTTGATTTCCAGCCTTCCTCCCCCTGCTTACCTGTTCTAGCCCCATATCATCCAAATACAGGTGCTGCAGAGATCTTGCCACTGGCAGGAAGGCGCCATCCCCAATGTGCTTTATGGGATTCTTGGACAACTTCAGTTCACTAAGCGTGGGCAGCCCTCTGAGAGACTTGGTGGGCACTTCCTGCAAATGATTCTCGTCTAGATGCAGCTTCTCCAGCAGCTTGGCATGTCCCAGAGCCTTGGGAGACATGTGAGTGATGCGGTTCCCTGTTAAGTATAACCAGCGTAGCTTCTCCAGCCCAGCCAGATCATTATCGGTCAGCTGACTGATGGAGTTGTGTTGCAAGTGGAGGGCAAAGAGGTTTGGCAAGAGGGTGAAGGAGCTTTTGGATATTTGGTTGAATCCATTGTGGTCCAGGTAGAGATATGCAAGCTGGGCAGGCCCTTTGAAAACATCAGCATCTACAGAATCTATGTTGTTGTTAGACAGGTAAAGGTAGACGAGGTTTTTCAAGTCCTGGAAAGCACCAGGCTGCAGCTTTGCAATCTTGCAGTTCTGCAGATGGAGTGAGGTCAGGTTTCTCAAGCCAGGGAAGGAGTCTTGAGGTACCGAGTGGAACTCATTATGGCGCAAGTCCAGAAGTTGGGTGTTGCTTGGAAAGCCTTTGGGAATACTCTGGAGGTTTCTCCTGACACAGTTTGCATGCTGGGAATCTGGTGAACAAGTACATCCTTGTGGACATCTTACAGCATCCTTCTCTGGTTCCCTGGTGACCGTGGCCAGGCTAGGCAGCAGCTCCTCACCCAATGCGTGACTTCTGCACTTCATATCTGTTGCCCTCAGGGATTCCAGGTGCTCTCCCCTGACGGCAGCAGGACCAGCACATACCACATCGGCGTGTATTCTTGCTTTCGCAGCCCATTCCTTGAAGGGGCGCATTTCACAAGTGCAAAGGACAGGGTTCCCTGTTAGGTCAATTTTTTTGAGGTGGGCCATCTCCGTCTGTGGCTGCAACACGGACAGCTGGTTGTTATGCAGGTCAAGAGTGTGCAGCAGGGGGCTCTTGACAAAAGCTCTGTGTGAGACTTCCTGAAGGGCCATGTTGTTCAAGAAGAGCTGTTTCAGGGATGCCATCTCAATGGCCTCCTCACCAATATAAGTGATTGGATTATTTCCGAGGTCTAGCTGGGCCGTGCCAGACAATCTAGAGAGCGCCTCGTTAGGAAGGAACTGAAGTTCATTGTGATCTAGGCTTAGCTTCCTAAGGGTCGATAATCCACCAAAGGCCTCGTTGGCAAGCACATTGAGTGAGTTGTGGGACAAATCAATCCACTTGATCAACTGAAGTCCCTGGAAGACCATATCTGGTAGGTAAACCAAGGAGTTTCTTGCCAGGTTAAGAAAGGTGAGGAAGCCCAGTTGACTAAAAGCCCCTGGCTTTATTTCCTCAATGCTATTATTTTCTAGGATAAGCTGCCGGAGGGAGGAGAGGCCATCTAGAGACTCTTGATAGATGAATGCTATATTGTTGGAAGCCAAATTGAGGTAGACAAGCCGTCCTAATCCCCTGAAAGCCCCTTCCTCAATGCTTTCCACCTTGCATCTCTGAAGTTTCATGTGGGTGAGGTATGGAATAGGCAAGAAAGTTCCTGCAGAGATGACTTTGATTTCATTACCCCGGAGGTCAAGTCTTTGAGTGACCTGTTGATTACACAGATAAACATTAGCTTTATCCTCAACTAATTTCTTGCTCACGGTCTTTTGGAACAATGTTGCCTCTGGATGAAAAGTCAATTCCTCACTCCCTGGTGTCTTTGTTATAATAGAGAATTAGCATATTATTAACTATTCCATACTTGGAGTAGATACAGAAAATGACTTTTCCCCATAGGTCTCACCTTTTGAATCCACAACAACAGACTTCAAATTCAATCCCAGAAAAGACTGAGAGACCTTTTCAGATGGGAAAAGCATAAATGTATAGTTGCATGGACCTGATACCAAATGGGAATTTGTCTACTTGAGACCAGAGTTTTGGGAGTCTCAGGTCTGGGTAGCCACAGGGTATCAGTAGCTTCAAATAAAGCAGTTTGTACAAAAAGGAGCGGGTAATATTTTCAGGCTGCATCAAACAACTTATTTGAGAAGGTGGTTATAGAATACACTTTAATAAAGGGGGTACTTTCTCAGTTGTATAGTCTGTGATATGATTTTGACTATGATAAAATACCTTTGAACAGAGACTTGGGTTCTTGGATTTCTGAAAGTGCTTGGTCTGTCATAACAATATGATGACTTCTTTGGCTTGTTATGATTTAGGAGCATAAGAAGCTGCCTTATGCTGAGTCAGGCCAATGGTTCATCTAGTTCAGTATTGCTTACACTGACTGGCAGATGCTCTCTGGGGTTTCAGGGTTTAAGTGGCGTATTATTCCAGCTAAAACCTCATTCCAACTGCAGGATGTGTGCAAGGGGGGCATGCCTATTTTATCCATTTGTGGTGGAATTGTAATATGGTACATGGGTGAGGTATACAAGTTTTGGGTGTAGATAGGGCCAATCTTAGGTGCTAATGCTACTGTAATTAATCATCTCACTGTCTTAATAGCCTAGGTATCAAATGTACCGTATGTGTATTATTTTGACCTGTTTGTAATTGCTGAGATTGTTCTTTCCAGTAGTGCAAGGCTCAAGGTATATGATTGATTAAGGAATGTCTGATAAAATCCTTAGATATGATGTAAATGGATGAACTGACATATTATTAATATTAGAAATTTGTTAGAGGCAGCAGCTGTTCTTTAAGAAAAAGTCTCTGGGCTAGAGAGACCTTAGATGTCTTCACTAGAACTTTTAAAGAAATTGGAGCTGTTTCATAGACTCATAGAATTGGAAGGGAATGTCAAGGCTCATCAACTCCAACCCAGTGTGCGAGCCAGTGTGGTGTAGTGGTTAAGAGCGGTAGTCTCGTAATCTGGGGAACCGGGTTCGCGTCTCCGCTCCTCCACATGCAGCTGCTGGGTGACCTGGGGCCAGTCACACTTCTTTGAAGTCTCTCAGCCCCACTCACCTCACAGAGTGTTTGTTGTGGGGGAGGAAGGGAAAGGAGAATGTTATCCGCTTTGAGACTTCTTCGGGTAGTGATAAAGCAGGATATCAAATCCAAATCCAAACTCCAACCCACTGCTAATGCAGGAAACCCATTAAACATCTCTGATAGGTAGCATTCCAGCCTTGGCTGAATAATAAAGGAGCATCCACCACTTTACAAGGCAATTTCCCCCCAAAACTCTTTCCAGTTTGAACTTTGCCAGTAGGATGTCGGAGGAAAGGGCCCAATGGATGCTTCACAGAAGTGCACTTGTGCAAACCTCGTGTTGCACGTCCCTCGTTGCTTCCCGCAAACTGACCTGAGGGATGTTAATGGGCACCTTGGTGAGGTTCTTGTTCAAGCACATGACTTGATGCTTGATGCCGTCGCAGAGGCAGATTTGTGGGCAGCGTTCAGCAACCGTCTTTCCGGTGAGTAGGGCTGACAACAGGAGAAGGCGCACAGAGGTCCACATCTTGGGGAAGCGGCTGAGTAGGGAATATGCAAGAAAGCCAAGTCGTAAGGCAATATTAAACTTTCTGCTGCTGTCGTGGACTGGCTGGAGGCAGAGGAGTGGTGGGAGGCTGGATGGGTAAATGGTTTGAATAACGCAGCATCCTAAAATGTGTTAGAAAACACAAGGCAAATCCTCAGCATGTGTTCCCACCATACTTATTTAGTAACAGTTAAACAAATGAGCTTGTGCACTGGGTGTGCATGCTGAATGCACAAAACCACTTACAGTGGTACCTCGGGTTACAGACGCTTCAGGTTACAGACTCTGCTAACCCGGAAGTAGTACCTCAGGTTAAGAACTTTGCTTCAGGATGAGAACAAAAATCGTGTGGCGGCAGCTGGAGGCCCCATTAGCTAAAGTGGTACCTCAGGATAAGAACAGTTTCAGGTCGAGAACTGACCTCTAAAACGAATTAAGTTCTTGACCAGAGGTACCACTGTATTTTTTAAAAAATGCTCTACACGGATGACCTTAATATTGTCACTGTGATGTAATAAAAAGGGGTATAAACTGAGCAAGTGATCTTAAGATACACTGCCTCCCCCTCCCTGCCAATCCAAACCTTAATATATCCAAGACAGGCACTTTCCATACCAGAAACCTTCATTCTTCCTCATTTGCAATGTTGCTCCTGGACTGGAAGCAAATCACAGTTCTTGCGAATTAAGACCAATTAAAGCAATCTGATGTTGAGAATGCAACTTTAATCAATTTAGCTCTTTAATACTGCTGCTTCCTGCTTTTCCTTCACTGCTCTTCACTTTGTGTATTTTTTAATGGCTGTTTTTAAAAGACAAATGTTAAGGCTCCCGTTGTTAGAAGTGAATCTGACCTACCTTAGGGAGGCCCCTCAGCCAAAGTAAAGAGAACAGCAGGGGCTTTGGAGAGAGACCAAGAGAGAGAAGGAAATGGAGGAGGGGTGTGTGCAATTGGAATCACAAATCAACATAGTTTAGACAAAATTAAAATGTAGGAAGAAATCCCTGAAGATTTAGAAACATGCATAAACTGGGCACAAAAGCCCAAAGCAAAAATCAGTATTTTTTCATTTACAGGGCAATAAAATTGATTTATACTGTATATAGCCCTCTCTTCTGCCCACCCCACCTCAACTGATGTGCAGGTTATTTTACATAATGCAACAAAATTAAACCATCACTTGATGCCAAGAGGTTCATTTCTTTGCTTTCCCTTCATTCGCCTTCTTTTTGCGTGACCTTCTTTGTGAATTTTCATTTTTCTTTGCCTGTTCCCTCAAATCTGCATGTCTTGGTTATTTTCTGTGCCTTGTCAATTTTCCTCTACTGCCAAGGTTAAGATTTCCCTCCTCCCTGAAGACCCCTTTCTCTGTAGAATACAAGAGTCTTTACATACATACACCACTTCATTCATTAATTCATTCCACACCTCATCCATTACAAGTAATAATACAAAAAAAATGATTTCCTAAGGGATAGTCTTGCTTAGTGGAAATATAAAATATTTTCCCTTACTTCCTCTCAGTAAACTGTCAATTACAATACACTCTTCACACATAAAATAAACACAATGTTTAATACCAGTGATGAACACAACTGTATCCTGGGAGTGTTATGAATTGCATATTTTTTTTAAGAGAGAAAGAAGCTCCTGTACTTTAAGCGACTAATTACAATGAAAGTGGAGTTTACAAAGGTGTATGGTACTGTTTTAAGTGTTGCATTTGTTATGGGCGGTTCCAAACCTGGCTGATTCCACAGCCATCCCTGTCAGAGGAGCACAATATGATTCAGATGTCCTTGGTATCTAACTCACATCATCCCTCACCACTAGCCTTGCTGGCTGGGGCTGATGGCAACTGGAGTCCAGCAACATAGGGCGGGACATAGATATGCCATCCCTACCCTAGGCCAAGTCTAAGAAGCCTTGTCTTCTAATCCATCTCTCTCTTTATTCCTTCTGTGCCAGCAGGCAACTTGATAGAAACCTGGCTGCAATATTTATACCCTTCTTCTACTTCAAAGAGGTCAACGCAGCTGAGGTCAGGCTAACGTTCCCCCGATTCTCTGGAATGTGTGCAAAGCTTGAGTCTCATGTCCTTGGTGGTATTGGGTCCCAATATCTCCATTTCCTGAGTCACATGTTTACTATGACCAGTTTGTCTGTCTGTCTCTGTCTGCAGTGCAGCTGGCTAGACACAAAGCTTCCCAAATTATTCATCAAATGTTGAAATACTTAAAGACTAAAAATACATCACCCACCCCATTGCACAATGCTGACTTAAAACATCTGCTTCTAAGTTTATTAGACTTAGGAACAGATTTTACATCTTGAACTGTACAACTAATTCATACAGTCATGTTGTGGAGAAATACCCATTTAGGAATGAAGTGTCCCTATTCCTTTAGCCAGACAGCTTCCTATTATTTGGCAGCAAAAGGGTGTTGTAAACAAAAACAGCTCCCTTTCCCTTATGGGGTACACAAGAGCTCTTATAGAGTCCTTTGTAGGTTCTGCATCAGTAGGGGAAAATAACAGCAGCCAACCAGAGAATATTGAGAAGCAAAGCAGCTAGTAAGCCTGATCTTTATTAAAGCTGTTGCAACAGGGTGCTCCCTCCACATGGAGGAGAGAGGAGGAGGACCCAGGACAAAGGTGTGCAAGCCCTTATATAGACTTTTGAACTGCCCACCCTAGAACCTAAGACCACCCCTCCATACATCATACATACATACATCAGAGAAGGGGCGGACTACAACAGAAATCTGAGTGCCTTGTTTTTATCCTGTCTGCCAGGTTACCTGATTGGATTACCTGGGCATCCTGGCCACTCTTTTGTTATGATAACTACTCAATTTCTGAATCCAGGTTACAGGTCACAGGCTCACCCTATTCATATCTTAAATGTGCCCTTAAGGCAGGACTTGTGAACAAAGAGACAATAGGGAGACTTCCCATTTCCTTCGACCTTGCAGAGAAATATTTGAGGTAATTTGGGAGGGACAAAATGGTTTCAGGACTTTTTTCTGTGGGGTTTCAGACGTGGTTTATACATTTATGTATGTGCTTGCTTGGTACATTTATGAACATTTATTTTATATAATAAGACCTTAAAATTCTTATAACAAGGGCTTTATAATTATCCCCGACTACAACTGACAAAATGCTTCCCCTTCCCCAAGGTGCCCACTAACATCCCTAGTTCCTTACCTGGATAAGGCTACGTAAAGTTGGGAAGAGTAAAAGAAATATTGGTGTGAAAACTATCAGAACCTTGTAAATGTTCCTGGTATGTGCATTTGCAGTGAAAAGAGCTGAATGAGCTCTTGTTCAACAGTGGTGTGTGTGCGCTCTCTCACTCCCTCTCAAACACACAAACACACAGGGAGGGTGGAAGCAGGGAAGGCAGCAGCAGAAAGGAAGACCTGCAATTACCTTTAATTTATCAGTTGCTGCTACCTATAATATTTGGGGGTCAACTGAGGGGTTGTCTATGTACACCAATAAAATAGCATGCAGAATAATTTGAAAGCACATCCACATGTCTCTTGAGTACCTTCGCAGAGTACCTTTTAAATTTTTAAATTTAAAAATTGTACTTCTGTTTAGGAATTAATATGAAACCAGCATATGGATTGCAAACTCAATATGTTTATTTATCATGTGTATAGGTATCCCCCTTGAGCACACTGGTTAAGACCTGTGTGTAAAGTCATCATCCGTTGTTGTTGTAATTAATTCACATCCCACACATGTTGCAGGGCGTTTTGTAGTCACATTAATTCTTAGATGCAAGAGTCTTCCGTGTAGGAATTGTGTCATATATGCAATGGCACTCATTTAGGGGAGTGTTTCAGTGCATTTACTCTGCATAATCTCAGGGCATATTCTAAATCAGAAATGGCTAACCCTCAGTCTGAGAGCCTGATCTGTCCCTCCTAGCAAATTTTTCTGGACCCCTAAGACCCCATCAATTTTGGCAACGAAAACAAAAAACAAGGGAAACCTCTTGTTGGGTTTAAAACCTCTCTGCTCACCCCAGCAGTCTGGTGGGAATGAGAATGGACTTGTCAGCTGATCAGTTATCTGATGAGCAGGAAAGGAGTGAAGTGGCATCTGTTTTTGGGTGGTGCTCACGGAATATAGCTGATAGTGTGGAAAGTGAATATCAAAAGTACTTGCAGCTTTCAACAGAATAACAGTAGGCTAGAAGGCCACCAGAGATTTATACCCAAATGCCCAGGCAAGAGCAAATTCAGAACTAAAGGTAGACATTTTGTACAGCTCATCTTTCACACAGGGCAGGGACAACAGTCAAATAGCATTGCGGAAAGTGTTGGGAGGCACAGAGCATAACACAGGCTTGGCCAGTCACATTGCACCCTCTTTTGAGGGGGTTGCACTGGCAATATTTATCTGCCTGATGGAGGCCTTGCTTTACCGCTCATAAAGTAGATTTGAATATAACAGTCCCTTCATTTATTTCAAACTATTCAAGTAACTCCATGTACATGAGGTAATTTGTTTTCTGTATAATTTCCTTCACTGCTTATGGTGCACTGGAAGGCTAGAATTTTCCACAAAGTTTGGGAAATTGTCTTTATGGAGGGTTGTGGGACTGAAGGGAGAATGTTGGTTTATTTGCCATAGAGTTGAAATGATCACACACACACACACACACACACACACACACACACACGCTGTTGGGAATGCCTGTAAAGCTGCCATACTGTTGCTTTGAATGTCAAAAAAATAAGGGACAACACATCTCATGAATGCTTCCGCCAATGGAAGCCCTGTATTCAGAATGTCCTTTGAAAATGTCAGGATTTCAGCCTACAAAGGGAGAATTTATTATCATCACAAAAGTGACCCAAAGTGACTTACATTAAAGCCAATTAAAATAAGCACAGCCAATAAAAACCTAAAAACACACCTATACAGATAAAAGACAGGTCTTACAGATCTGAACCCTCTAA